ACATTGCCTCCCTTTTCCCAATCGTTGGTCCAATTATGTTGTGTACGGCAATGATGCTGCATTCTGCGCACGGCACGTACTATGTACGGGCAATATCTACACCGCAACCCATTGTTGACTGGTGCGGCAATATGTGGAACCGGCTCTGGTATTCGATCGGGCAATATATAATGTCGTAATCTAGCCTGGTTCTTTATCAACCCTGGTATTTCGCGAATCTTGCTCGCGATACGTGCTCTTTCGCTTTTGCTGATACTTTCCGTGTGACGCGCTCTCATGTGGCTCGACAGCTCGTCCACAACGTACGCCCAACGACATACGGTGCAAAACACGAATGGGAATCGTGTATCGTAAATAAATGGCTCAATATTGTTCATTTTGCGAATGCTTTTAATGGACTGGAAACGTATATCTTGTCGGAACTATGCTCTTGTATGTTGTGCTTGCTACGATATATCCACGCCGACCGGTCTGACCCCACTGACATCGACGACCCGTCCCCACAACTTGCCTAATTGGGAAATTCTGGGTTAATACTTTGGCTGCTCTCCACGCCTCAATATTGGTCTAATCGAGTGTTATAGTTTATAAATCCACTCTAACAATTAAACGCTCTATCTACAATATTTTAAAATACTTTTTTGGCTCTATTTGCGAAACTTGGCTTCAACGACCTCTACCCCCTGTTCCTTCAACGACCTCTACCCCTCTTTTTTTCACCCTAACCCTGGCCCCATACTAAAACAACGACCTTGGGGTCGAGGTCGTTGCTGCCTATTTGTTAGGAAGTATCCCCAAGAAACACGTTTAGTGAAGCTAATGCTGAAAACAATGGTTCTGATTCAAAAACAGGATTTCAGCCAACTGCAACTAAAATAAGATATAGTATGCCATTCTAAGCTATATATTTCTCTTTGTCAACGTCACTTTTACTATTAAGAGATACGGACGCTGTCATTGTCGCAATTGGTGACACTGAACGACTCTACTTACCACTACTCAGCAATAACGCAGCCAATCCATACTTGCAGTATTCATTTTAATACCCTCTCCAAACAGGCCGTAGCTGAAGAATTCTATGCACTGACAAAATGACGACACGACGTCAGTTGAAATCCAAAGGGACTTCGCGATTTTCAAAGCGTGATCGTGGCAAAAAGCATGAGAAAAGGCAAGCAAGGGTGGATGCGCTTTCTAAAGCGCTCGTTGGAGAGGACACATGCAATACCTTTGCCGACAACTGTGAAGCAACCTGGCCTGCTTGGCTCTCGTTGCTGCGCGAAGCCACTATTCCGAATGGTATTTCCAGCTCAGATCCTCAGATAATTGTAGCATTCAAGGCTGTGGACAAAGTCATTTTAGGGAAGAACGAGTCATATTTACTGCGACGGCTGGCATACATCCAGTTGATGCGGATCTTCTCCTCCGTAGAAGCCATTATAAGGTCTGAGAGGGAGAACGGGTCAGAAAAGCGACTGCCTGGGCATCGCGATTCTAGCGCTGCCATGCGATTATATGCTTCCGCACAGGACGGGAGCTCAAGTCCAAGCAAATCGACATGTGAGCTAAAGGAACGTAAGCGGACTGGTCGAAGCTGGCTGGAGCTTGCCGGCGAATCCCCCCCAATTGCGCTTATGTATTCGAAAGCAGCAGAATTAGCAGTGTTCGTATATACCCTCTCCGCTTGTGTAAAAGAAGGATACTGATCATACACAGCAAAGATTTCAAAAGGGCAGATCGACAAACCATGAGCCTCCTGGCAGCTTTAATTCATAATGCATGTCCGAGGCGCATCGTTGAGGCCGCTGCCTATTTGACGAGCAGCATAGAATGGGCAGTCGTAACCAACCAAGCTCTTCATTTACCCGAGGTCGCCAAAGAAATCAGAAATTATTATGTTACTGGGTTGCCTAGCTCTTCGTAGGAGTTCTGCATTTTTTACGAGGCTAAATGGGGGATTGGTGTAGCTTGCACCGCTAAGCATTGGCTTAATACGTACCAATTGGTAACTTTTTTATACTCGATGCATGTCTGAGTCGGGGCTCAGTATATGCTTAGCGCAGCTGGTGTACGTGGGATTGACTACTACGTATTATAATTGGTGGTGGTCGAGGCGGTGGTAGTAGTTGCGGTAGTAGAGGTAGTGGTAGCTATCGTAGTGGTGGTCATAGGATACTAGTAGATAGTTCTGGTCACTAGCTCGCAGAAGCAGACACTGAGTATGCGCCGAGTGGCTTGGTGTGTTGCCTGGTGTGTTTGCCTGGTGTGTTTGCCTGGTGTGTTTGCCTGGTGTGCTCAATAATAGGATAATGTGCGAGCCTAATGTGGTAAAAATAGAGCTCAGTGTGGCCTGAAACTAAAGCATTTGGTGGTCTCCGTGCATTCGGTGTGAAAATCTTGGTGTGTGCGTCATGCAAGCTCAGTGTGCAGCTCGATGTGTAGCTACGTGTGACAATATCCAAGCTTAGAGTGCAGCGTTGAAGTGGAGGTAGTGATGGTAGTGATGGTAGTGATGGTAGTGGTGGATGTTGGATTGATTGTAAGAACAAGCGGGCGTTATGGAACAGAGAAATGTTATCGGGAATCAACCAGCATAAAATGCTTGGGCAAAAGCCGTTACGTGCCTTTGTAAAGGAAAAACGGCCAAGTAGTCGCAAAGCAGGAAACGTGTACCAGGACTAGCACTCGCACATGTAAGCTCCGAGAAGTTTGAAAACGGTAACCGTAAAGTCAACGGAGCCGGTAGCTTGTCGTCGCCACCAGACCTGATTCCAGCTTTACGTTTTCTTTCCTCGTAACGCGAGTCGTAGAAATCGTGACCAATTTGATTAGCCAGGCTCCTTCCAAGTACATTTTGTTGCGAGCAAGAAGACTGCTAACCGAAAACAGAATTGAGCGATTACAGAAAAGGTATATCTAGAATCTTTACATCCCTCCCGCCCCTTACGAAGCTTCAAAGAAAAAATCCCAAATAATTACAAGATCTGTGACTTGTCATGTCTACGAGTAGCAGGGCGAATGAAAAGTCGTCACCTAATGATCTGGCAAGAGGTCTGTTCTATAGCGGTGTGAAGGAGGCTTTCGAAAGGGACTTGGAACCACTTTATGAATTTTGGGTGACAATGGTGCAGAAATCTACACTTCCAGCCGATATTTCATACACCGACAGTCGGGTACAGGAAGTTTTGAAAGTGTTGGATGCGTATATGGAGATGCTAGGGGTTGTATCAAGACTTGGCTCCATCTAATTTACCAGATTTTTATCAACTCTCCAGGACAGCGTAAAACTTGACCGCAGTATTGGTCGGGTCTTCCCTGCGAAGAAAAGCAGAAGCGTCGTGATCGACTCATTTATTAACTCCCGGGGCAGCCCGGACAAGGCGTCAAGATGTCGGGCTCTACAGAGTGTGCGAATGGCCAGCCGATGGAACGATCTAGGGGGGTGGTGTCCTCTGCTTATTATTTTTCTGACGGATAAAGCAGAAAGAATAGTGTGAGTATAGCGTGTAATACCACGTTGAAGCTCTACTAACAGTTTGGTAGTGCAGATTTCAAAATTTCACCGCAAGATTTACGAGCTGTCGCTCGAGCAGGCCAACCGCTTTTCCCCGACGCGGTCATCCAAGCAGCGAATTACATGACAAAAATCGGGGAGTCACTAGTAGAACAAACCCCAGGTGAGAAGGAAAAGAACCTGGCAAATCTCAGGAAAATATTAGATCAGAAAGATGTTGAGTCAACCGAGACAAACAGTCATATTGTGCAGGGTTACAGAATAGGGCAACCACAGGAACATTAATAGTAGTGAGTGCAATTACCCAGGTGGTAAACAAGCGGGCCTCGCTGGCCTCTCATTCTATGGTAATAAGACAGAAAATTAGTTGCTGTCCAGAATACATCGGAAAAGCACTTGCTTAAAGAGGAAAATAGCATAGGCATTATATGGGCACGGAGTCAGCGCAGAATAAATATCAGTCTCTCCGAGATTGTCATGACCTCTGTCAAGACCAAGGTGATAGACTATCGCGCTGCCAGAAAACTAAAGGATTTTTACACTGTCATGCCAGAGAATGTTCCAACTAGTCCTAAAACATCAATACAAGTCTTGGTATTCCAACGACAGTAGATGTGTGAGACACAGCAGTCGAAACGACTTCCGCGCGACGCCCCTCGTGTATTAAATATGGTGCACTGACCAGGTCTAGTCCACTACAAATGAGATGCTAGTACCAATGTTGCAATGCGTTTTACTTGCCTTAAACGATTGCAGACTAATTGGCCAGAAATACCTTTAATATATATGTTCCACGCCATCCACGAATCCACGCCATTCGCGAATCAAGGTGTGTGGGTCCACGCCATTCGCGAACGGCGTACGCCAGTCACGAATCAATGTATTCCCGTATCGCGTACGCCAGTCACGAATCCCCGCGGGCGCTGCGGGCGATTCGTGCCAAATGGCTCGGAAGAAGTAGTTAAACTAGCTGAATTCATTAATTTTACTATCGCAATATGCTATCTGTGCTCTAGAGAACTACTTCGAGTGATTTGGCTCAATCACTCGCAACATAGAGCCTTCTACATCTCTCTACGGGTGTTTGCCCGTGTTCTCCTTCGTTGTGGCTGCCCAATTAAAGCTATCTCTGTACGGATTGGCAATGCAGATAGATTCCCACAATCATGATCATCTCTATGGCAGTGAATACTGCACTTCTGCTTCTCTCTAAAGCATCTACACCGTCGTGTACTGCAGGCAGCTTTACATTGGCAAGATACGGTAACTCGTATACTTGTTGATGCATCTCGAGCTGCTTCTCGTAGTGTAATTTCTTCTGTTGTAGATGGAATCTGTATACCGGACCAGAGTGTCTTATCTACTACACATAGAGATTTGGTTGGAATAAGCCGTTTGATAACTCCAGATTTGGTAAGAATTCTATATCGATGACTGTATGGCTCTTCTAAAACTCTCCCAAAGAGTCGTTTGTTATCTGTAGAGGTTCGATCTTCTCTTGGGATCTTAATAGAGACGATATCGTTGACTTCAAAGTGCTGAATAGTATGATGCTTGGAATATTTGCGTATCATCCGTATCTTCGATTTTTTTGTAGCGATTTGAGCAGCTTTAATTATAGGATCAACTTCTATAACTGAACTTGCTGCTGGTAAAGGTGGTGTTACTCGTATATCAACATCAGAGCTTGATGAGCTTGATGAGATGTGTATAGTAATCTCCGTATTATGCAAGGTCTGCCTCCGGCCCATTTGGCTGTTTGACTCGGGCGTATGGCTTCTGCGTGGCTTTTCTGGCGTTAAGCCGTATATTGGAGTTCGATTGGGGTCTTCTTGATTAATTCCAATTGATGGATCCCTCCTCATTCGATTATTAAGCCAGTCCTTGTAAGCCGAGCGCTCTCGAAAGAGTAATTCGGCTGGTGCACACTTAATTGATGAGTGTATCTGCGTATTCATTGCCAAAGTAATCTCAGTGAGGCTCTCTGCCCATTGTGTTGACTGATGATCTGCTTTCCATGCAGTTATCTTACTTGATACTACCCCATTCGCCTGTTCAACTAAGCCTTGCGTTTGAGGTGATCTTGGGGCGCCATTGATGATCTGGATACCATATTGCCGTAGTAGAATTAAAAAAGCCCCCTTGAATTCTCTACCATTGTCGGTTTGTACGATCTTAGGTGGTAAGAACGCGCTGATGAACTGAAGGAAGGCTTTGGCGATTGGATCGGCTTCTTTGCTTGTAAGTGCGTATAGTTGAGTGTATTTTGTAAAGTGATCTTTTATATGTAAGATCCATTTGAATTGGTCGGATGGTTCATGACGCATATCGATTAGATCGGCCTGTATTCGTTCCCATGCTCGATCTGATATAATTGGTACTAATGGAGCTTTGATTGCAGAGGGACGATTTAGTGCGCAGGTCTTGCATCGTTTAACGACAAATATAACCTCTTCACGCTTAATACCGTAAAATTGTTGTTTAATTGCATCCCAAGTCTTATCTTGGCCAGTATGAAGAAGCTGGAGATGCTTGTTGGCGATAATATCAAAGGCTTCGCTCTCTGGCACCACATATCTTGACTTTGTAAAGCGTTTATCAGGTTGACGATAGAGCTTCTTGTTAATAAGCTCAAATTCGCTGTAGGCCCGATGCCGCAATCGTGAATCTGTCTGGGTTTCTGGTACTAGGTTGGATTGATCAAGATGTATGTGTAATCGAACCCATTTCGAGTATTCAATGCGTTCTCGATTGTTGTACGAGTCGGCGTGAATGAATTCGTCAAATGCCTTTCGAACATCATTTGGAAAGGCTATATATGTTAGACTTTGCTCGTCTTGTTCCATTGTAATTGAATTAATGGTGTAAGCTATGAATTAGTAGCTATATACATGCAGGAAGCTGTATTAGACCCTCTGCCGAGCCATTTCAACGGATGGCTCGGAAGCCCCTCTTTTACACCGCCCGCGGGGATTCGTGACTGGCGTACGCGATACGGGAATACATTGATTCGTGACTGGCGTACGCCGTTCGCGAATGGCGTGGACCCACACACCTTGATTCGCGAATGGCGTGGATTCGTGGATGGCGTGGAACATATATACGCCAGCGATCGGCACCTGTGCCTCGGCGGATTGATCCATGATCCACTTGAGCCATCAAAGTGGGTCGTGGTGTAGACACGCCTCATCAGTCGGGACGCGCCACGCTGCCCAGCTGTCACCAACTTGGCTATTAATGGATGCGAAGCGTTTGTTGTCGGCATTTACCTAGACCTGCTATCATTAATATGTCGGCCAAGGAAGTGGAGGAGTTGCGTCGCCTTATCGCTGTAGCAGAGGCTCGAGTCGAGGCTGAACAACACTTGCGCGAAGAAGAGCAACGTCGACGCGAGGCTGCGGAAGAGCTCGCCAGAGAGTCATTACCGCAAACACTTGAACAGTACCTCGAAGCTACGCATCAACTAGATCTCAGTATCCAAGTCGTAACAGACCCCTCCTCGACTACTAAGGGTGACACTACGAATCCGACCAGTCGGATATTCCCTCGCCGTATTGTTCCGTGGCTCGACTTTGCAACAGAGCAACGAAGGATTTGGGAAAGTCTATCCGTCAGTCCGCAATTTTGCTCCGAAGCCGCCTTTCCTTCTCAGCATCAACTAGCATATGTTCAATCTATTCTTCAACCTATTAGCAGCGAGCTTGGACTCCGAAACTTCCAGCGCGAGGTGGTCGAGAATGCTGTTCAAAAGCTAGTCGAAAGGGCATATGAGGACCCGGTGTTGAGGACGAGCCTTGACTTGCAAGGGACAGTTACCTTTAAGAGCCACACTAACCTTGGGACCCCCGATGACGCACTATCACAGTCCATGGAACAAGTATCAATCAGCGAAAGCGTTTCCCGTGAGGGGCCATCGATATCCCGAACGAAACGGCAACAAAAAACGCGGCGGCGAGCAAGGGGCAAGGGCAATAGAGCGGACCAATTTTGCATCTATCGAAAGTCAGATGCACGAAATGAACCAACTCTCGCGATCGAATACAAAGCACCGCATAAAGCTACTATGGACGAGATCGTGGCTGGTCTGGAATCGGAGGTCCAGCCCGAACAGGACGTGATCCACCAGGATCTTGATAGCTTCTCATCGACTTCTCGAGCTCTCGCTGCCGCCATTGTCACCCAGCTCTTCTCCTATATGGTCGGAAAAGGCATACGGTACGGATACTTCTGTACTGGCCAGATCTTCGGATTTCTCCGCATCGAGGACGATCCATCAGTTGTGCAGGTTGCCCTCTGCGTACCAGCCTTGGACGTTGTAAATAACGATGAGAACAGGCTTCATCTTACTGCCACCGCGCAGGTCTTTGCGTTCTTGCTCCAAGCGATAGCCACCGAACCACCTCCGGAGTCATGGCATGATGAAGTTGACAAGCTCGACACTTGGGCTGTTGAGTATGATGACATTTTGAGCAAGATTCCTCCGTCCGCAACGAAATCAAAGGAAAGACGTGTATCGTTGTACAAGCCACAAAAATGGGCAGGGTTTCATCGATCACCAATTCAAACTCGCTCGCGTTGCAACCCTTCAGGTCCAGCGGTCGCTCATTCAGAAAGCGACGATAATCCGCCATCACCAACACCAGGGGCAGGTATAACAGCTGCTCAGCAACCGACATCAGCAGGGACCGTCAGCTCAAACGAAAAGAATAAAGGTGGTAAAGGAAAGCAGTCGAACCAGGGTATCCAGCGGCAACGCAATCGCCACGCAACGACAGCAGTTAACATTAAGGACCGGCTATATTGCACTCATAAGTGCCTGCGTGGATTGGCGAAGGAGGGCCCGCTGGATCCAGCCTGTCCGAACGTGCACAGCCATGGGCAGCGTCACATCCGACTGGCGGAGTTTCTACATCTCATACGGACGCAACTACACATGGATCGTGGCCGCAATGCCGACTGCGAATGCCTATGTTTGGCTGGCCTGCGTGGTGTGCTTTTTAAGGTGAGACTCACATCGCATGGGTACACGATGGTCGCAAAGGGCATGGAGAGCTTCGATCAACACTTTCTGCACCATGAAAAAAAGGTGTATGATGTATTGAGCCCTGTTCAAGGAAGATACGTGCCTGTTTGTGTTGGCTTCGTCGACTTGGTGCTCCCTTACCATTTTGACGGTGGTGTTTACACCCAATTCCTCTTCCTTAGCTGGGCTGGGCAGTCTATGCCTAAATCTGTCCCTTCAAACGGAGCAGCAAGCATCATGAATGGAGTCAGTGTGGCAATGAAAGCAATACACCGGCTACGAGTACTGCACGGCGATGCTGCATGGCACAACATATTGCTTGATGCGAACAAAAGAATTATGGTAATTGACTTTGAGCGGTCGCAGCTGCGCAACCAACGTCCACTAAGGCAGATAAGTATGAATCTACCCGGAAGGAAGCGCCGGAATTCAATTAAGGATGAGTTCACGAGAGAGTTGCGGGCGGCTCTTAGCTCTTTGGAAAGCCGATTCAGCATTAGTCAGGCAGGTGCTTGCATGAAGAGCACCTAAACTTGGAAACAGGCGGGAGTGTGCTGTTAACTTTTATCGAAATTTCAATTCGACTTTAAATAGGAACTAGCATTAGCTAAGTATTTAGTATGGAATCGAGTTCTGTAATTGCATTCCGTCACATCTGACGACACTGGTCCAAGTAATAGTTGCATTTATCTGGTTCGTTTTAACGCTGTCCACGATCAGTACGAGCTTTATATACTTCCAAGCTATTCGAACTCGTACCATTAAAACTTTCAAGCATTTCCTTTCCTGATTTGAGGAGTGCCTCCTCATCTCTACAAAGTATCCAATTCCCAGCTAAGAAGGTCAAGGATGAGGCCGATTGAAAGCTTCTTTGCCAGTAAGAAGTTCAAACTAATGGTGCAACATCTAGGCAACCCAGCGTCGATGTACAGGAAGCAAGCAAGATGAAAAGTTGTTATGTAAGCCTAAAGTAGTTATTTCAGTCTCCAAACATCTATAATGCTATATTCTCTTTCTATGGAAAAATAATCCAACTCTGGTTGCATTTTCCACCGTTAAATACACGTCTCTAAGCATTTATATCTATTAAAATTATCATAGTCATGGACCTTGGCCAAATGGCTTTGAAAGGCATGACGCTCCTTAAAAATAGCCTTCGTATCTCTACACTTTGGGTCGGGACATGCAATAGAGTGCTCCTCAATGCCTTTCAGGTGACGAGAGTAGAGGTGATCTCTGGCACGATAAGGAGAGCAGTATTTGTAAAATCTTTGGCTCGGCGACGCAGTCGAATCCCAGAAACATATAAAGCACTGATTTTTGTCACATTTCTCGGGTATAGTTTGCAAGTCCTGCTTCACGGCGGGCTGCGCTGGCCGAGGTTCCTTTTTCTGGCCTAGTATCACCATTGTATGTGTGGTGTAGAGCCTATGTCTCAGCTTTGTTTCGTCATCCAGTTCAGTTATACTGGCGCAAATGAGCCTTGCAAGGAGTCTGCGTTCTTCTAGGTTGTAATCTGATTGGGGTTTCCAAGAATCCGATTTCAAATCCAAAAATGTCTGTTCTTCGTCCTGCAGCTGCGCATTGATTTCCGCAGTGTTGACTTTATTGAAGAAATCTTCTCTCGTCGAAGATTTTGCCAGTTTGCGAAGATATGATCTTGTAGAGCGCACTTTGTTTTCAATAGCCCGGTACATCTGGGACAGCTTCGTACCACATGCCTCGCCATTCTTGATACTGCCTGATTCTCGACGAACTTCAAGGCTCAGGGTATCGCGAAGTTCTATCATCTTGATAAGTGTTGTATTGGTCTTGATCTTTCCAAGCTCCACAGTACTAGCACTTGTGGGAGCTCGTGGATCAGCGTAACGACTCATGTGGCCCGCTGCTTTTATTAATGCTTTATTTGAGGGTCGTCCAAGGAACGCTGCCACCGTATCGCACTGAACACGCTGGTTGATATACGCTTGATAAGTCGCTGCATTTATGTGGTGCATAACCTGTTGAAGCTGTGCCTGGGTTCCAACGGCTAAGCAAGTCAGTAAATACCTCTAGACGAACTTCATTTATCGACTAACCTTCAACACCTTCTCCTGCTCCTCGGCGAATACAATACGGATTCAAGATTTGCATAAGTCCAGTCACGAGACCTAGTCTCTGAAGATAGTAGAGGTAAGTATGGTACCGGAGTGCCTCATGATCGGAAGTTCTGATCGTTCCGTCAGAGGTTAGCATTGCCTGTCGGAAGATTGGTACATTCAAAATCTCAACTCTCCATTCAAATTCGAGAGAGTGTCGTGGTGGTGGAACTTTAATCTTGTAAAAGTCATGGACGGTTCGGATTTTCGATTTGAATGCTCTGTCAAGGAGCGCAAGCGCCAAAATATGAAGAACGGCATCGAATAAGAGGTCATCAACCTCGTAGAAAATAAAAGTTTTCCTGAATCATTTCTCAGCTGATGTCCTTTGAATCGGTTGGTGGTACTCACGGATTTTCTCTTCGCTCCCAACCTTTCGTATATCTGAGCGTGACTTCCAAGGCTGGGAGATCTCTGCCCCCATCCGGGTTTTTTAAGAGAATTAATCTCACATCCTTATAGCATATCGTCTTAAAGTCATCCTCATTGGAGTCCCATTCCTCTGCTTCGTTCATGATATCTTCATCTTCACTGCCGAAGTAATGATCATGAATGGCTTTTTTGCTGAGTTTTTTGTATGCAAACACCCTTGGCCGTGTTGCTGTGTACGCTTGCAAGAGGATGAGGAAAGCTAATTGTATACGTTGGCGTTCGTCGGGAAAAATGGATGTGTCGTGCACCCAATGGTGATGCTGCACGAGGTAGACGTCGTCTACATCCATAACAGGTTTTTCATTAACAGAGGTGTCCAGTTTATAGCGTATAGTCAAATATCCGTTAATAAACTAATCGTATGTTAGTTGATACGACGGCGAAGGCAGCCCATCACAGGTGGGGAGAGGCAACTTACATTGTTGACTTCGTCATTCTCATTCTTGTCAAAGTCGATTCCAATTGATTTTCGGTAGACTTGAAATAGAATTCTTTTGTAGGCATGAACGGTACTTCTCTTCCGTATTCTCCTGTATGAGTCAAGCATCCACTCCAAAAATGTCATGATATCTTCCTTGGTGGATTGCTTGAGGTGGGCGTGTGGATTGACAGTCAAATGTGTGCAGTGTCTATAAACTTCTTAGTCTCTCACTGCAAATGTGATTTTGTTCACTTACACTATCCATTTCTGCTTCACACCATGCATATTGACTTTCGTAGTGTCAGCATGCCGCTTTTTGACGGCACCAACTTTCTCAAGTTGTTGTCGTTTTGAACGATAGTACTCCGGCGGGCGTTGCGACCGGAGTGTATTTTTTTGGACGGCCATTTTTGGAGAGTCAGCAAGGTCGAGTTTGGATAGGAAAATGACGGATTTATTCTCTACTATAAATAGAAATTTAAATTAAGCGCTGACCAGGTCAGGCTTTGTACTGAATGGCAAAGTGGACCCACACCTTCCTGTCGTGCAAATTGACATCTAAAAGCAGCACCCCGGATTCTGAAAACTGCTCCCAGCACATCCAGAAATAGAGGTCGTTTTGCGGCGAACCTGCACTTTTGTTGTATAGTTATGAAACCGATGAGATATTCGTAGGTAAGCCTAGACGAGCGAGCGCGCTAGTAATTCTATCCCGAATGGACTTGTCGAGCTCCTGGTAGACGTCACGTGTCGTACAATGCGACGAGCTGTTTCTCGGGTGGTTTAGAATACCATAAATCCACTCGATAGCTTCATAGACATGTATGTACGCCTCCAGATTATGGTCTCCGTACGAGTTACGAAGAAAGTCAAGGGAAGCGCCATCATCACAATACCTCGTGACAAGTTCGTTTGTACTCTCGAATGGTGACTGTGTGTCGTTTGTAGAATGGAAAATGAAAAGAGGCATTCGTGGAGTAGGTTGTGGACCGAATTCAACATCGTGTTTCAGCATTTTCTGTATGCTAGCTTGGTGTAGCCAAGCGAATCCATCCGCAAAATATTTCGACATGTCTTGATTGGCAAATTTTGGTGCTATAGTGGATAATCCTTCATAAAGTCCACTCAAGAATGTAGTTGTGTTGCTCCCGCCAGACTTTTCCAACTGCTCTCGCATGGTAGAGTTGAACTCGGTGTGCTGCTGGGACCATCCAAGAAAAGCAACGTCAACAATGGCTGCTGGGGGTTGTTTATTGACAGCAAGCACAACATCAGTCATGTTAGCTGGGAGTCCACCTAATGCAGTGCCTGTAATGAGAAGCTCGGGCGCATATGCTGGCTGCAACACTGCCGCCCATCCGGCCGCGAATGCTCCACCCGAGTAACCGTACAATGCCAATTGAATCTGACTCTTTAGTTCCAATGTTTCCTTCGTGTTTAGTACTGCTCTGATTGAATCCAGTGACGCTTGACCGGACATGTGGCCGCTTCCAAGGCTTGCTGTTGGCCCTTCATAGTCAGGCAGATTGATAACCCAGCCTTGGTCAAAAAAAAGTGGCATTTGAACCTTTTGATCGGTAGGAGAGGTTTGAAGGTCGTTCATGATGTAGCTGGGGCTCTGATCGATATTGGGCGAGTCGTACGCAACGTGATATGTGACCATTGAGTCTACCGTCGAGTTGTCAGGAATCAGAACAGTGGTGACTGCGAAAGTAGGCTTGTTGTTGGAGTCGGTCGTGCAGTACAGAATATTCCATGCAGCTTTGGTGCCATTCATCGCGTGAAGGGTTTCATGTGGTGCGCGCCGGAGGCGCAGAACTGTTCCAGGACTTCCAGCCTCGGAGCAGGTAGCGCCGTCTGGCATCGTATACCATGGATCTTGAGTTGGGAGTCTACTTGGCGGGTAAACATCGCATGTAGAATTAGTTGCACCACATGTCCCAAGGGCCAAAAAGAGAAGGGGAATGATAAACATATTGGAATCTGTAAGTGTCCTATATGAATGATGTTGTGTGTGGCAGAGGTAGAGAAGATTGTTTCCGAGAGGAGGGTCATCTTAATATTTATACATCCAGGATACGCCATGATTATATGAACATGCGGTAATTTCAGGGCAATAATTTCCATTGCCTGTCCGATAGATTTGGTGGCATGGGGTTTGAAATAGGAACATCGAGTCAGTTCCGAAAGTGCTGTGGTACCTGGGACGACAAGCATCTCGATCGATGCGATACCGTAGTAGCTATCGAACAGATATAGACTAAGTAACGTCGGAAAATATGCTTGATCTCCTTAATGTCAGAGACGCTATTCTGTTTCCGCCAGACTCTCAAATCATATCTTTTGGTGTATCGTATGGCAAGACGAGGCTAATAGGAATACCCGGTACTACCAGGTACCAAGATTAGAATACGTGCACGCGACTCGGCCGATGGTGGCGCAGCCTTGATGACGTCGTCGATGTTAGTTGGTGGAGGCTCTTTAAGTTTAACAAGAAAAGTCTTTTTTCACTTCCAGCTTAGACGGCCTCCGGCGCTAGCCCGGCTTAAGTCCAACTTAACCCCGCTTGGTTTACTCAACATACACTCAGAGGTCTAACTCTTGATAGAGCCGAACAGGTTCTCCATACGATCCATGTCTGCCAAGTAACGTAATTTACCAGTAAGCGGGCCACCTCAGTAAGCGGGCCACCCCCCATATAAGTCGAGAAAAAAAGGAGGTAGAGAACTAGATAGCTTAATACATTACCAATTTTGATTCAAATAGCCTCAAATAATGCAGATTGTGAGATTCGAACCCAACAAGGAATTAGAGCTTATAAAATAAGAAAATAACAAGCGTACGTCAATTGGCGACCATTTACAACGTTCCGCGCTCGAGAATCCAGCGACGCCTTGATGGCATAGCATCACAACATAATACGCCTTCATTATTACGGCGATTGACTGCTGTGGAGGAGGAATCTCTTATAAAATGGATAATCTCTATGGATAAGAGAAGAATCCCCCCTACGCTAAGGCTTGTTCGAGATATCGCGCAAACTATTGCACAGGTTAGTAGTACTGAGCCTGTTCGGCCTATTACAGCACAATAGGTATCTCGATTTATCAATAGAACGCCCAGTATTCGATCAAAATATATCAAAAGCTACGATTACGTTCGGGCGAAATGCAAAGATAAACCAAGTCTTCGAAGATGGTTTAATCGGCTCGAATCTACAATTCAAGAATACGGGATTACTACGGATGATATCTACAACTTCGATAAGACTAGTTTTACAATAAGGTTGATTAGCGCAAAGCAATGCCTAAAAAGTGTTAAGCATGCTAATGCAGCAAAGCTTATTTAACCTAGGAATAGAAAATGGCTTACTACAATTGAATGCATCAATACAACTAGTCGACTCTTACCAAGTTGTATTATCTTCAAAATGAAGCGTTACGAACGTGACGTAACGGCCCGGCCCAATACAGGACCACGCGGTCACGTGACTACGTGGATCACCTAGGTCACCAGCGATCATGGCGACCCATGGGAAAGGATAGTTAGTTAGTCTCTAGTATAGTTCAGATCTTCAGTGATCAATCTAAGCAATTACTTGTTAATTGAGGATAACTCCTTAACGACCGCTTAACCAACTCTTTGTTACTATTGCTCTTGGACTTAGTCCACTTACACCGCAACTGTTCTACACAGACCCCTACGTAGTGCAAGCCACTTCGTTACACGTAGGTTTAACTATAGGGTGCTCGAAAATCTGTGCTCAGTTATTATAATCGATTTTTAACAATACAATAAACTTAATTATCTACACCATCTATCTATATCATTAAAATAACCTGACTTATATAACTCTTTGTCCTTTACTATGCTCTCTGGGCCAAAATTCGCCAAGTACTCTAGTGTTATACTTTGTGGTAATAGCTTTGTTTGCTCGCCTCGTCGTACTCTGTCATCATTTACTACTGCGCAGCGTCGCCAGCTTCTTTCGCACCGTATAATGTTTAATGCTGCTGCTGATAGTACTGATTCAACAAGACGGCGTGACGTGGTTACTCCGGCGCTGTGTGGTGTTCTATTGTGACAACCGAATCGCATAGTAATATCCCGAGCAACGTTCGTCGCTTGTATATGAGCCGCTCCACTTTGAAGCCCTCCCAGCGCAATATATGCCATGCGTAGACGAAAACGTACGATTTCCTGCAACAGGAATCCATCTGTGATGCGGTTGTTATTCGTGTGTGGTGTCTTCAATAGGTCTACACCCCATACATCAACAAACTCCTGGAAAGAACAGAGAGCTTGGTTGACTCGACTAAGTAATACTATACGTCTTCTATTATCGTTTTCGTGATTCAAGACGAGATCTTTCCAGTCTGCTATAATGCCGGGTCCGACTGAGCAGATCGCAATCGCAGTGGCCGCAGCCTCATCCAATGTTGTATGCCCAGCTCCGACTTCACCAATGGAAATCATAGCTTGCTGCCACTCCTGTTCTTCGAAAATACAATGTGTGGAAGTCGCATAGCTTTGCAAGTACTTTGTTCTGTGTTAGTAAGTTTTATTCTTATACATTCTAGGCTTTTACAGATACATAAGAAGTTGTAAAAATAGTAGCTTACACTAATCGGGGCTTGAGCAAGCAAAATTGCCTTATCAAATGCTGTAACGAATCGCTTAGGCCCAAGATGCTGTATTAGTTGTGTAGTACCCCTAGCATGATGTGTTGTAGGTTGTGTTGATTCTAGTGTCAAGGCCTTCTAAATTTAGTAGCAGCGTTATAATTTATCTCAATTGTTGAGCTTACCTCGTATAGAAAGAGTAACTGGGTAGCACAGAGGGTTAGGGTCGATAAGGATTTTTCCCGATCATCGAGCGCCTTCTGAAGTTGCTTTAAAGTCCGCCCGTAAAGCATCAGCGCTGTTTTCAAATATTTGGCTCTTAGCGACCCATGGGAATAACGCACATGTAGCGCTGCAGCAACGCAATCTACGGCAGAATCCAATGCTTCAGAATATCCTGACCGCATTGGAATCTCGTAAAGATACCGCTCGACTCGTGCGCAGCAGCCAAGCATATAATCATGCCAGCGTGTGGTAGACTGCGTTGAGGGTTTAAAGCTACATGCCAAAGGGAGAAGTTGAAGTAAGTCACTGGTAGTTGCTGAGCCATGGAAGCGGGGTTGAAGTGGCGGGTTTTTCGGTAGATTCCCCGCGGGCGCTATCGTAGCGAATTGGAACTCCCCTTTAATAGATGTTGCAGGCTTCAATGGCTCATATGTACATGCGAATCTACTGCGGTAGCATCGCTGACATGTCGGCTTAGCTTCGTCGCATTTCAATCTTCTCTTCCTATATGGACGTCAGCAGTGGTAAATGGATTTCGAGAAATGCGACATACCTGCAAACCAAGCATCCTGTTTTAACCTTTGGGGCAAAGCGCTTGACACGAGTTTTTAGCGCCTTTTCGCGTGTGAACATACTATCGAAATATTAATGTTAAGGAGCGAGCTGGGAGGAATATCGAGATCCCAAGCAGATGTTGTTGCTACTAACATGGTTATGTGTAGACCCACTACTTATGACTAATAGTTTATATTCTTCGTATGGTCCAACTAAAGCTGCTGTCCACCAACACTATAGAAACCTGTATAAAAAGTACACATTATTGCAATAACTTATGTAAAATTATAGTTCAAAATTATAGTCCAATTTTCTTTGAATAATCGGGGGTACTACTCTAAGCTTTGTTGAGTGTAGCTACGGCTATAGGGTGGGTACGCGAGAATTCGGGTTCGGCCACTATCATAGGCCTAGCGTCCTCTGACTTTTGGGGCCCATGTCCACTCTAAATGGCCGCCTCCCTAGAACCAGTAGGTAGAGGGAAACTTTACAGCAGACTAAGAGTAAAGAAAGCACCAAAATATTTCAGGGATACGTTTTATAGATAAATACCTGAAGCATGTTTTATATTAGGATGTTTTTGTCCTATAGATCTATTATATTTTGGGTGGTTTAGAACCACGAAATCTCGCCACTACTGCGGTAGAACATGTGACTGGGGATGGATTGTGGTGGTAAGCTAATATCGCCAAGGCGGCTGAAAAAAGCAATCTCACAGAACTATCGCCAAACGTCATCACGCTCATCTAATTCCTCTGAATTATAGCCCATGAAAGGGTACAGGACGAAAAGATGGCACACCAAGGTTCGAACGGGGTGCATGACATGTCGGTACGGCTACTGGATGTCGATAGTGATGTCCTGATACTAATTCTTTCTACAGCCGCCGCCGTCTCAAATGTGACGAGGCAAAGCCATCGTGTCGCCGTTGCATTATAAACAGATTCGAATGCACCTATTCATATACTGAGTCACGGAACCAACACCGACTTGTAATGTTGCTACCGCAGCCAAGTGCAGCGGTGGCACCGCTCCAAAAACAGCCAGAATCCGCTGATCTAGAGACATTTCACGTGTTTAAAGAGTACGCTCTTTCCCACTGTTCAGATCTGTTCGACGAGGAATTTTGGCGTGTCTTTATGCTTCAGGCTGCTCAGAGATATCCGGCCGTGTGGCATGCTGCTATGGCCATTGGGTCAGCACACAATCAGCAACTACTCCAAACCTCGACCAACAAGACCAACTACAAGGCATTGTCACACTATAGCAAGGCTCTACAGTACCTTATTCACGTCGACCATACCAATCTACGTCCAGAAGACTGCGAGATGTTGTTGCTAACCTGCATCTTGCTGGTTGGCTACTGCACCCTCCAGGGGGATATGGAGCAGGCAGTGATGCACATTTCCAACAGCATCTACGTCGCTAGTAACTGGAAATTCTGGAGGCCTCAGAGGGATTTTCTTTCATCTAGCCATCTATCTGGCTGTGTTGTCCCCCCAAGACTCTTGAGAATGGTAATGCAAGGACTAGAGTCTCAGCTTTTATTCTCGCCATTTCGACCTCGCGACCAGCCACCAATGGCAGATAACGATGATACAGAATCAGAGCTATCAGAGCCGTCATTCTGCTCTGCATTAGAGGCATACAGTGAGCTATTGCCAATCTCTCTGGCATACTGGAGAGTAAATATTAAGGGGAACGATGCACAAAGCAATCCTAGCAGGGACGATACTCAGAGTCAAACTACATACCTAGTCGGGCCCAAGTCCAACAAAATGCTCCAGGCTGAATTTAAGTGGAAGGCCATGTTCCACAGCTACAGGCGTTTAATTGATGATCAATACCGTCGTGGTGTTGTCGATGAGGCCGAGTGGTGTCGTGTGCAAGTTTTGCATATACGGGACTTGGCTGGCGAGGCGGTCAATCGGCTACAAATGGCCAGTTTGCCGTTTAACACATCCGATGGCTATATTGCCCGCATTATCGCCATTGCTGAGCAACTTGGTGCCAGTCAAGCAGGCGCTCGCAATACTCTGTCTTCGGAATCCATGGCACTCATCGGCCAGCCTTTAAATATCATCGTCCGCAAATGCCACAACTCCCAGCTCCGCCGGAGGATTTTGACGCTATTCAAGAAATATCCGTATCAGAAGGGTATTAAAAGTAGTGATATATTAATTCGTGTTTCAGAAGCTTTAATATTTTTTGAAGAGAATGCATGGCAGCAGATACCTGTTGATGGCTGCCGATGTATTCAGGGTATATTTATTTGCAATCATCACCGGGTTACGGAATCCAGAGTTACTTCGACGACAAAGAAGACCCTGGTTACATTTAAAACCCGTCATCACGAACATAAAAACCTAGCCGCTGTAGAGATAGCACTCTAATATTGCATAAAATTTACATTTTCTTGTATTGTGTCTACTAGCTGACTATATTTCCGGCGGAGCTTTAGCCATATGCAGAACCTCTATAATCCGACCATTATCCAGAGTAACCTTAATGTCACAATCACTAGAACCGCTGGGTCTATGGCTGATAGTCAAACGAGTGCAGCCAGCAAAGGCTTCGTTCATGAGCGTCTGAACTCGCATGTCGCTCTTGTTGTCCATATTGCTCGATATTTCGTCCATGAGAATGATTTTCGTGGCACCCTCTTGGTGATGGATAATAGCTCGTGCAATGCCCAGAATCTGTTTCTGGCCAGCTGAGAAGTGCATGTCATCAATAGAGGCAGCAAGGCCGCCTCGCTCGGCAACATGGTCCCAAAGGCCGACATCTCTTAGTGCCTTTTCAACGGTCACAATCTGATTGCTAGTGACGGTTGTTTCTCCTAAAATGGTAAACGGCAAAAGATTGTCTCTCACACTGCCAGGCAGAATGACAGGATCTTGGGGAATTGTCGTGATGGCGCTTCGCAGACGCTGCCGTGAGACTTGTGAAATATCAATCCCATCTATGAGGATTGTGCCAGTTACGTCGAGGAAGTTCAAAATTGAAAGCACTGCGCTGCTCTTGCCACTTTAAGATGAAAGCTTTGTTAGCGAGTTTGACGTGCAGACCGTAGTTGGTCATGACGTACCTTCCTGTTCGTCCGACAAGCGCGACGCTTTGCCCTGCTGGAATCAACAAGGAAAAGTCTTGGAGCACTTTTGAAGAGGTAGATGATTTGCTGCTCCTGGTTAGCTATGAATAGGGGAGGCAGAGGATTAATAATACCTATAGCCTGCATTGACTTCTTCGAATTCGATACATCCAGTTTGCGGCCAATCTCTAAGAGGCTCCAAGTCCTTCTCTTCGATAGCATGCTCAGGATCTTGTTCCGCATCTGGATTGGCGCCAAATGTGTGAAGTTTCTCTATCGGGGTTGTCTTGAGAAAGCTCTGAAGACGTGTAACGGCGCCAAGAGAAGTCTCCAGGGCGGTCCAACGTACAACCCATAGACGCGTGGTTCTACTGTATTGTGTAGCTGCGAGTAGGGCAAGGCCTAGACTAGGTTGGGTGGCGCTTGATGTCCACAATACCGCAATCGCTACAAGCAATGTTGACATGAGAGCCGCGCACATGTCTAGTACGAGAAGGAGCCAGCGCTGGATGCTGTACATGTAATAGAAAGGCGTCTGAGAGTAATCAAGCAGTTGTAACGATTTTTGGATGGTCGCTGACTGCCAACCGTAGCTTCGCACGTGCTCAATTCCCGTCAGTGTTTCGCTCAACTGTGTGTAGAGTGGGCTTTTCGCTTCGAGATCAAGCAGTCGCATCTGTCTTGATGTCCTCAGGTAGAACGCCTGCAGTGCGTATAGCACCGCTAGAAGAAATGGTATAAGAACTGACGCAAAGTCAGCCCCTGCGGCAATGACGCCGATATTCATTACAATTAGCGTCGTCGTGTAAAGCAGTCGGAAAAGCGACATTGGCATATCCTGTGAGAGGAGAGTCATATCCTGGCTGAAGCGGTTAATCAGGGTACCGTTCTTGGTCGAAGTAAGGAAGGGTAGCGTCGCCTTCAAAACGGCTGTCAAAAATAGATCATGCATACTCTGCGCAATATGTGGGATAATTTTCATCAAAAACATTGTTGTTGTGACTGAGTTCATGAAAATTGACAGCAATCCCAACAAGCCCATACCAATTAAATAAAGCTTATTAGAGGGATCGACTGAAACCCAAATTCGCATGTAAATGCCTGGGAAGCGCTCCATTGCCGCCATCAGGACAATGGATAGGAGGAAACCGACCCGCAATGACTTGGGGACATCTTGGAATAAGAATTTGTAAACAGAAAGGTCTGTTCCGCGTCTTGCGCTTGCGATTTCCTCGGCTTCTCGTTTTAGATCCTCCTGAATGTTTGCAACATTGGAGTTGACTGGCGACTGCGACTCGTCTGCTTCTCGAGTGGCTTGAGGTGCGCTAATTTGCGCGCTGGCCGCAAATTCTGCAATGACATTTGGGTTGTCGTAGATGTCAGCGGTACCAGTGGTGTTGAGCGATACAACCTTGTCAGCTGTTGGGAGAACTTCAACCATGTGCGTTGCCATGATGGTAGTCCTGCTTTGTGCTTTAAGCACACCACTCGGGCCGAAAACATTTCGGAATATCGAAGTTGCAGTGGCTGTATCCAGCGCACTGAGAACGTCGTCGCAGACAACAACGGGGCAAAATGAATAGACTGCTCGAGCCAGTGCCTGTTTTAGCTGCGTCAGACACTCAAATCGTTGAAGATTATAATGTTTACAGATTACGTACCACTCTTTGTTTTTGACCGCCACTTAGGTTGGAGCCATTCATACCGCAGAGCGTTCGGTCTCCTTGAGAAAGATTGGCGATGTCTTGATCAAGTGCGCAAGCACGAATGGTATCCTGGTATCTCACTTCGTCTCTATCGTATTCCGCTATGATGGTATCTTTGATTGATACATCAGGCAACCAAGGAGTTTGGTCGCAATAAGCAAAATTTGTTGAGGATGTTTCAATGGTTCCCGATGAGATGTTGGTTTCTCCAAGCAGGGTCTTGACCAGCACAGTCTTTCCTGAACCAACAGGTCCAACAATTAGTGTGAGTGACCCCTGCTGGATTGAGAAGCTCAGCTGACGCAAAATTTGGCGTTCGTCATTTTGGGACGATACAGATACGTCGTTGACCGATATACAATATCGCGACATGTCCGACATTGATGAATACGTCTTCTCATCGAAGGACTGATCCGCGCTTGCAAGTCGAAAGTCTCGAAGCTTGCGGGGATCGACATGCTCATCCTCCAAGAGGAATTTCTGAATGCGACCAAAGCATGCGTACATGACACCCAATTCGGGCCAAAATGCATTGATAGCATGTGTAGGGTCGGAGAGCAGTTCTAGAAAACCGAGCGCAGTAAACAAAGTGATGGCATCTAATTGATCGCGCCACACTGTCCAGAAGAGGCCAGCCGTGATGGTGATCATGGGAGAGAACCAAATCTCGATTGGGTCTAAACCGGTTAGTGTCAGTGTTTATCATCACTGGGAATTTTCTATGGACTCACAAATGGACATGAGCAAGACACGCACCCATCTGGCATCTGCCGACGAAGCAATTTCATCAATTCGTAAAGCTTTGATAAAGGAGGAAATCACATCCTCGAGGCCCATCATTTTGAGACCTTTAATTTGGGAAAGGATCCAGTTGGTATTGGAGACGCGCTTCTGAATGGCTTGATTCCATTTGGTAGTTGCTGGGCCCATGGTACGACCAATTGCCCATGCTAGGAAAAGGGAGACTATGTCGTCCATTAGCCAAAGTATGATAGATGATCAGCTAGAACCTACAAAAGATGGGTATCATTGGTGTAAAGAAGGCATTACCAACGACGGTGGAGAGAAGATAGAGTCCCAGGCCCAATTCAGGAAAGGCGATCCAAAAGTCATGAATCTTCTCAATGACAGCAATAATGCCATCCACGTCAGCCGTCATCAAGGTGAATGACGCGCCTTGACGTGTAACGGAAAGCGGGAGGCAGGTATTCTTTTTCAAGATTTGCGAGATGAGGACTCCGCGGAGGAGCGTGGCAGTCCTATTGATCATGTAGCTGTACGACGCAGCACTCAACTATCCAAAGGTTAGCACTAAGATTCGGCTAGTTTGGGAGCACCTCAACATACCCCAATACCTATAAACACCAGTGCTGTTGCTGCTGTCAATCCCTTTGCGGCATCCTTATTTGAGTCAGTGCTGTTGACCTGTTCCAATGCAGCTCGGAGCAGAAGGGGTGTGGTGAACCAGAACCCGGTGAACAGGATGCGAGGGAAGGCCGCTAAAACGAGCGGCCCAAAGACGGTGCGAATGCATGTCTTTAATAAAGCATTTGGTGCCTGTTTGTTTGCTGTAGTATATTAGTATCGCAAGCACACAGGATCCTCACGAGGTTGGAGAGGGGCATAGTATACCTTTAACCCAAAAGCGTTCAAACCGATCTGCCAAGGCTTCTGATGAGTAGTCTGGGCCAATATGAGCAAGATCTTGTATTTTCAGCGGCCTGCAGAACCCAATGAACAGGGTCGAATTGATCCAGAAGACGAGGGTTCGGTTCCAGAATCCACCAGTGACTTCATTGGATACCTTGCCGTTCACCAAAAGGTCTTCCTTGAGCTGTCGTGGGACCTCTTGCATGACAACAAGAATGCCTTTGACGACAGTAATTGTCATTGTCAGAGCGCCAGCAACGTTCATGACGGGGCGGTTAACAAGACTGTAGGTCTTTGCAGCCTCCAGTAAGACAGTCAATGTGAGATACAAGCTCACCAACGACGACGCGCGAATGGCGTGAACGTGCTCCCAGTAGATCATAAGAACGACCGCAACAGAAGCGGCCACGGCGGTAACAGAGGCAGCAATGGCACTATTATCCAGTGCGACTACCTCGCGCACATAACCTACCTGACACACGGCCACAGCCCTGGCGATTTCCAAGGCTACGACGACGGCAGCCACAACCTATATTGTGTCTTAGCGCGATGTTCAAATGCAGTAATAACAGATGATAGAGTTGTCTTACCAGTTTTGACCACAGTAGACTGTTTCGGTTGGCGATGGTTGGCCTACTATACTGCCCCATAATGTAGAAGGGGCAGAAGACAGCCACGAGGCATGAGGGCACGATGGTCATGAAGACATTTTCAAAGAGGAGCGTAAAGTCAAATTGGCCATTATAGGACGGGCCAAAGACGCTGTCCTCCATCGCGGTGGACGCGAACCTGGAGAACAGATTCATCGTGCCCATTCGATTCGTATTCCTTGCGAACTGAAAGACAAGACAATGGAAATCGTCGGCGGCGGAGGCGTCAGCCAAATCGAAGGGGTGGCGGCGAGCGTTTTGATTAAAGAGCGGCGCCGCGGGCGGGGGTCAGCGATGGCGAGCAATAGCGCCAGCGCCACGGTTGACAACGCTGAAGCTGGGGTTTGGGTAATTGCACCGAGTTTCAGATCATCCCAAAAGTTCCCCCGCGTCCTGGACCTTTCTGGGAACGGGGGCATACAGGGGGTTCGTGTAATTACGTACAGCGGCGTTTGCGTGGCTCAGCCCCATATGCAGAGTCGGGGGCGGAGACTAAAGATGGGATAATCTTACTCCAGCTTCAGCCGAGCTGAGTCGCGGAGAAAGCAACTGGCGCTATGTCTGCATACAGTATTTTCCCACTAAAATATAGTGAGGCTTCCCATCGAGGCTACATTGATAAAGGAGGGGGCTTCCCATCAAAACAAGTGCCGACACCCCATCGTAATTAATAGCTGGTTCAGTCTGTTGGTTGGTCCGACGCTTGGTCTGTGCTGTGTGTTGGTTCTCCAGCATAAACAATTTCTTGGCCCACTACAATCTGAGGCGCTCGCCACATGGACAGTACATGGTACATGTAAGATATGGGCTGACCACGCTTTTGCAAGGTGGACCGGTTGTTAGCGTCCCAAGACTTTCCCCAGCGTTGCGTTGCAGTACAATAAGGGGTGCGTGCCCTGTCGCGTGTATTTGACTCTACATGAGCCCCCTCCCCGCAGACTAGAGACAAACCGTTACAACCCGTTCTCCGAAGACACACTCTCCTCCATCGCAGATCAAGATGTCCAACTTGTTTGTCTTGTTCGTGATGGTCCTCGCCCCCCTCGCCCAGGGTGCGCCGAGTATGTTCGATTCTACACATGACCTTTTCTCTATCGTCTATAGCAGCTAACCTTTTGATAGCGAATGTGGACGTCCGCAGCGAACATCAAACCAACACATCAGGTGGTCTCTGAGCGCGCTAGGTTGGTGTAAGATAGGTTGGATGAGTGGACGCCTCTTGGCCCAAGGCAAACCCCCTGAATACAATACCCCATCTTGTCATATACGTCGCAACGCTATGAGCGGCGGCAATGCTGAACAAAACACGGATAGTACGCACAGCGCTGCGACTAGCCAACGATACGTTTTCATACATAGCTGGTACCTTGGGCCACCAAAATGCTTCGCAAAGCTTTGTAATATAATACGGGATGTATATTATTTGCGAATTTTCCACTATAAACATTAAGGGGCCTAATCCCATTCATTATCTCTTAACAGACGTAAATACATAAACAACGGGTCATCTCGAGCGTATACTTTAGGCCGACTTGGCAGCAATGGCAATCGACTCGGTGTTGCTAGCCTTGGGCAGCTCCGAAGCAGACTTGGGCATCTCAACGTCCACCTTTTCGAGGGCAATCTTGAGGCTGGGGACGGTCTGGAGAGGAATAACGGTTCCATCGGGCTGTAAGGAGTTGACGTTAGCATTTTGTTCAAGTAGCGCATTGGAAAGAAGGGAAGGAAACATACCTTGGTGATCTTGACAGTCACAAACTTCTCGAGAAGGCTGAGTGATCTGTCATTGTTTCCAAGCATAGAGAATGCAGTGGCAACAGGACTCTCAACAGTGAATCCACCCTTGAGCTCACCAGAAGCAGGGTGCGACATGAGAACGAGACCACCGGCCCTTTGGCCAGCAATGTACACATCAACAGAGGCAGGTCTCTCGACCTCAGCACGTTCGAGCTGGATGCTGGCAAAATACTGAGTGTTGGTGCCCTTGCCCTGGAAGTTGTTGTTGTTCCCGCGCTTGCGGTTAGGGAATCCGTTGGGGAAGCCGGGGAAGCCAGACCAGGGGTTCGTCGCAGGAGGGTTGTTGTTGTTGTTGTTGTTACCGTTGTTGCCGTTTCCATAGAGAGCGTTAATCTTGGAAGTAGCAGCAGTCTTGAGGTCGTCGGCAGTCATGTTCCAGTAGTTGAGGCCGTCGTAGGTGTAGCCAAAGCCGTTGATAGAAACGACAGAGTCGGAAGTATGGAACTTGTCGTCGCCGTCAAAAAAGGGGCTGAGAGGGCTAGCAGAGGTGATGATGGTGCCCTGGGGTGTATCCCAACGGGACTGACCGTAGTATCGGGTGTCCAAGTTGGCAGCGGCGGGCTTCATGTACTGGAAGTAAGCCCAGAGACGGTCAACATTGGTGTGGTGCAGCATGCTATTAGATAAATAGTTAGTTCCGGTTATTTTCTAGAGCGTATAGTGGAAGACTACAAAGACTTACAACAAGGGGTCGAATCCAGAAGTGCCAATGTCAAAGAAGGACTCGCCACAGGGAGCATCAAGATGGATCCAGTCGTGGATCTGCTCGAGACCAAGACCGCGGTTGGCGTTTCTGGAGAACTGAGAAAACGTGGTTGCGTAAGTGTAAACAGCGTACTACATATCAGTTAGCAAGCTGGTTCTGTCTGCTTCTGCGCGGTCAAGTGCTGATAACACATACCAAGTTGCTCTTCAGGTTGCGAGAGCGCAGGTTGGCGTTGGCGCTGTTGGGGTAGGACCGTCCATTACTGCTGCAGCGCGTGGTTCTCTGAGATGAGGGGAAACGACCGAGCTTACCCTGGCGGGCTTCAGCAGGGTAATCGAAGCCACGGAGGGGGTTGTCGACGCTGGTGGCGGTGGTGCCATTGTCAGAAGGCATGTTGATGGTGATCTGAGTGGGAACAGTCGAAGGAGGGACAGCAGATGTCTTGGCCCAGTCCCAGTAGGGAGAGCGGAGGTCATTGGCAGCCTGGACATACTTGTCACGGACCGACTCGGGGTACTCGAGGGCAATCTCCTTGGCTGCGGCAACCAATTCTTGCTGTGCGGTGTAAGTAGGTTGGTTAATGCGTTGGGATGGAGCCACATAAGAATGGAACATACCTCGTAGAGAAGAACGTAAGGACGGTGCCAGGGAAGGAAAAGGCCTTCCTGCAAAGACAGTTAGATCATCAAATCATAGCCAAATGGGTGCAAGAAGAAACATACACCGTGGGGGCAGTATCCCAACCAGCCGTTTCCGCGCTGTCCACCAGCATGGCCCCATTCGATAAAGGGAAGACCGTGGACGCCGGCAATTTGGAAGAAGGAGAGCTGGTCATCGTAGTCGCGAGACTTGAGAGCAGTCAAGGCACGGATGTATAGGTCCCTGCCGGATCATGATTGTCAGTACTTGTGTTGCTGACGTTACTTGAACCAATTGTGCCGCGCATTGTTTGCGAAACGGCAAGATGGGACAAAACTCACCACTGGGGACCAGCCTCGGCCTGGAGGTCTTCAATGTCGCGACGAACGCCGACAGGACCATCGTCGGTGTGAGGAACACCGGTGATTTCGTACTTGTCTTGGGCGGCAACCAGAGCGATGAGGCTGCTTGCCGCAAGGGAGAGGGCAATGCCGGTACGCATGATGAGGGACTGTGTCTCAGGCGATTACAATGTGGCACAAAAGACGTGGAAATCTGAAACAAAAAAGGAAAATCGAGGCGTCGCCAATCGCGGGAGAGTGGCGGCACGCCAGCATTATTTGAACAGGGCTGGGCTTGGTTGGCCGACAGCACGTTCACGTCGTGACGACACGGCGGCAATTACCGCCCGGCACCGAAGATTGGCGGCTTGTCAGAGCCAATGCCATGATTACTATTTTGGCAGACACAATACTAGGCTGGTGGGTGGTGAATCGCTCCATCGGCTCCATCTTCCGAGTAGGCGTCGCGCGACGTCGCAGTGGATGCGGGTTTCAGGCTGGCATCGCCTCAGATGTGGCTAAGGTTGCTGGCGGCGGCCAGATCTAGAATAGTTCCGACCGCGCCAGCGCCAGCTTGCATTGCATTTGCATGCGCTGCCTGTGGTTTTTCCTTTTTGCGTGGCGGTCTACATTGGCCAGGGACCATTGTTGCTAGTGGGGAGCCTCGCTACGCGCCACAAGGGCCCTTTCATTGAAGTGTTTTTTTAGTTCTTTTTTCGGGCAAGAAGCTCTTTGTAGTTAGCGTCGGGCTAGTCTAGGCACACTAATATGAACAAAGAGGTGGGTGGTGGTGGTGATGATGCGCTAGCCCCTTGCGCCAGCGTCCGATGATTTCCGGCCCATTGCCAGGAGTATAGAGAGGCGACGATTGGCGACGATGATCCTGCAAAGGAAGACAGAAAGAGAAAAACGATTGCAACTTAGAATAGGTCCACCTCGGACGTTTAACAACTTTCAACGCTCCGCTGGACGTAACAATAGGCGACAGAGGACAGATAGCCTGGAAGCCCTGCAAACTTGGACTGTGAGAGAGCTTGCAGCATAGCGCCGCTAACTTAAACAATAAGGAGGTGGTGGGTGGCGCTGCGCACAGCCTGCTGATGATCTACAGTATATTGTGTGGCTTGTTGAGTTGTTCAGAGCCTGGTTTTTATCTTGGCCCCGTATTTTCCATTCGATTGTCCGTCAGCAACAGATGTGTTGCCCATTTATCCGCCCATGTTTTACGTAGGGCAAATTAAACTAACCCGGTAGCTTGGGTTCTTAGTTCTTCCGACGCTTATTTAGGAGCGTGATCGGCATTCACCACGGTCAAGCCCATCCAGGCCAGTTGTGAAAAAAAAGATTAAAAAGCAAATCCAGAAGAGTCCATAATTCAACCTTGATTCGATTACAAACTGTACTACTATGTATAAGACCAAGAGCTCAAGCGGGTACTGTCGCCCGTCTCTTGCCAAGTAACGACGTCATGAGTCGAGCAACAAAGGCAAAAAGAAGCTCAAGTTGCGAGGGGCAAAGTGCCTTGGCCATGTTCCAAATAGAAACGCTAATCTTGCTCGTATCTCTGCTCTGCTGCTTCTGTGGTTCTTCTTGACCTCGTTGTTGTGACTCGCTTCCCTCCTCTGGGCCAGACGGTAGAGGTTCATAGTTCTCATAGGGAGGCGGGTTCTCCTCTTCGGGAGTAGCCTCTTCATCGTCATCGTTGGGAACGAGGCTAGTGTCGCAGCTGAGGGTTGGACGCCTCTGGCCCCAAGCAGCCAGAGGGGTAGTGGCAGCAGTAGTAGTATTCGCCGTTGTCGTAGCTTGTGCATTCTCTGATACTGCAGCCATGTTCATAGCCTTGCGACCCGCAAGCATCTGTGCATTTCGCTCGGCGAGATCGCCCGGGGAGCCAGAGTAGTTGGCCCTGGTCCAAGCAATCTCCTCGGTCTCCGTTTCAGCCTCATTGGCCGTATTCTCTTGTGCCTCTTCGATCAATACGGCCTCTGATTCGGCACCGAATGCAGATACGGATGCGGATGCTTCCTGTGCTGCCGCTTGTGTCATCTGGTATGCCTTAATTTCTTCATCAGTGGCGCCAGCATAGTTTGCTCGTGAAAATAACTCCGCCATTGTGTATGTAGTCAGAAACGGATAAACAACTCGTTGTATAGACTGTGATCAGGCCGGCCTCGACCACATTTTATGAAGCTTTTGCCTGAGTTTCATTTACCAGCAGCATCTATAAATATCCGTCCTTGGTCTCACGATTGGTATAAATGGCCCAAAAATAGAGCCCTCAACGGCTCTCCAGCGGCATGTCTCAGGCCTGTGTAAGATTCACATCCTCCGCCATAGACACACTCACACCACCAATGGGTAAGCATTTGAGGGAGGCTCTCAAATTTCTTCGCCCACAAGTTATAATTTGCCTTTCTTTTAAGAGAGGCTGAAGTAGCCTGTCAAACGTCCCCCGCCACTTCGACCCTCTGCCCGATTTGACAGCGACGTTTCATCTTGGTGGAACGATAGGCGCCTTTGACAGTATTCCCAGTGGTACCCTACAGAATGCTACGGTACCACTCCCAAGAAGCCAGCTCAACCCAAACGCCATCTTCTAGGATATTAGGTGGGCTGATGTGCTCAAAATGATCGTCTGGGCAAATATGGCGTAAATGTTACATGCATGTGCTCTCAGTACCATGGGTAAGCCCCGCTCTTTCACCGTTGTGCCCAGTTAGCGCATCTGCGCCAGTAGCGAGAAATGCTGTACTATTTGCAGCCCAGTCTGATTTTCTTCCAAGACATTATGCGACTACAAGTTACAAGAAAACGAATTTATAAATACTGCATATATACCATATATAAATTTTGTCGTGGGATTCAGCGCTGACGTTGGTTCAGTCCAAGATCATCAACCAGATGGGTTGCCGTTGAAGGCAAGCAGGTTGACAGTGTTGTACGACTGATCGACAATGGCGTTCTTGGTAGCCATGTCTTGAATCTTTCCGCAGAAGGATGGCGTGACCTTGACGCCGTCACGAGAAGCAAGGTATGCTGCCAGACCAGCAATGTGAGGAGTCGCCATGGATGTGCCAGTGTAGTAGGCCGAGTCGTTGTTGGGAAGTGTCGAGAGGACGCTGACGGCAGGGCCGATAATGTTGACGTCGGGGCCATAGTTGGACTGTGTGTAGCGTCTGTCGCTCGAGTCGCTGCCACCAACAGTGCAAACCTTGGAAGCCGAGGCGGGCGAGTAGTAGGATGCGTTGTCATTGTTGTTGCCGGACGCGACGGCCATAAAGTAGCCGCGGTCGACCATCTTGTTGGCGGCGTCGTTGAGAGATTGGCTCTTGGAGCCACCAAGACTGCCGCTGACGACGACACCATTGGGGCAGTTGCGTTTAGGGCTGTCCTGGGCAATGAAGTCGTAGGCCGCAATCAGGTCAGAATACTGGAAGCTGTCTTGTGCGCTGAGGACCTTGACTCCGTAGATTTCAATTTGCTTGGCTACACCGTAGCTCTTAGATCCAATAGTACCGGCGCAGTGGGTTCCATGGCCGAGGTCATCGATGTTGGAGCCCTGGATAAAGCTCTTGATTTGGTGGGCGCGACCCTCAAACTCCTGTTACTCTGGTTAATAAAAGAGTAAATATGGGAGATGATTGGGTGGCTCATACCGGATGTCTCTCGTCAACACCGCTGTCAGTCACATAGGCGCAGACACCCTTTCCGGCGGAGGAGTCGTAGACGTAGGATGTTGAACCCTTCTGGCGATGGGAAATGCGGCCAAGACCCCAAGTAGATCCAGTCTGTGTAACGTATCCAGTGCTGGAACCGGTACCATCTTGTTCAATGTAGTCAACCTGTGTCCTGTCAGTTGGGAACGGGAACGGTGGCTAGGGGCTTGACGAGAATTTGTACCAACTTACATCAGGCAGGTAGCGGAGAAGGTCAACCGTCTGCTTGTCCAGCTTGGCGGCAAAGCCCTGGAAGATGTGCTCGAATTGGTGGGTAGCATCTCCAGTGACATGCTTCAAAGCATCTTGGACAATAGACATGGGGCTGCCTTCCTTGAACTTGACAATGTACTTGTCGGCCATGTGTGCCTGCTGGACATCCCGAGTGAGGAGAGGAGCGGGAGTGGCTCTCTTGGCAGTAGGAATAGCCGTGGCAAGGGGGAGAAGAGCAAGGACGACGGAGAAGCGCATGGTTATAGATGTGTTGATGATTCTTCTTTGTTTGAGTATGGATTCCAAGCTTCAGAGTGGGATCATGGCGGATGTAGTGTTGGTTTTATACACGGACTCCAGGAGAATTCAGCTAGATTGTAAACCTAGGGTTTGGCTCCAAGCGAATGGAACAACACCCCGCAAGTTCCCCTGATAGCTTCGCACTCCAAGTCCGTATCATGGCGATTTTCAGGTGCCGCCACCACCAGTGTTGAGTTCAAGAACCGTGCGCTAAGCAGATGCATGTCCTGGAAACAATGGATTCGTTTACTTAACAGCAACGTCAAACAAGGGCATCTATTGGATATTGCCGTGCGCTAGCGTTGAATGAACTGCAGGACTGGGGAAGCATGACTAGCCGAAGGGCCACCTCGGCAGCATCCTAGACGTCGAGAGAATGCGCCAGGGTGGTGTAGCTTAGTGCTTATCGAAAATCCAATCGAGGAAGGCCGGCAATTGTGGCGCCAGACTAGGCTGAGAAACCCGTCTATCAATGAGTCTCAGTGCCGATTATTAAGGGGTTTTTGATTTGGGAAAAAATGCCGTTATCAGTCTGTATGCCACATCTTTAATTTAACAATGAAACGTAGCCAGTTAAAAACCCAGCAACAAAGAGTCGTAGAATGCTCCTGGAAGCACAACAGAAGATCAGGACGAACGGCCGAACTGCTTCCATGTGCCGCATGGCAAATTCTTGCTTGGAAAAGTCTGGGGAAATGCAACACTGCGTACATATCGATCCTGTTATGATAACGTAATGACTGGAGACATCACCAGCGGCCACGAACTGTGCTCCGCCCCACGATGTGTCAAGGTTTGGCAGGCCAGCGAGATCCAAACTGCATTAAACATCGGCGCGTGATGAAACGGCAGTTGTGGGGTTGCTCAGAGAGGGAGCTGTAGAGTTCATTAGACTGCGTTAGCAGTATTTGGGTAATTTGTTCGCGTGGATAAAGCTTCAGCTGAGTCGCGCGACCCCGCCAAATTACGTTACAGTCGACGCAAAGATAGGGCTCGACGCGCGCCGAGCTAAACCATCATTCAATATGAGGCTCATGATGGTAGCTAGCAAGGTGTTCACCTGCCTGTTTGGTTGACTAGGTTGCTTGTTGTAGTATGCTGCGCCAAGAGACTAGTTCACGTACGTAATTGCACGGCAACAACTGTTGGCACCACTGGTGCCGAAATTGGCGTGTATTGAATAGCCAGCAGAGAGAGATCGGAGCTCAGGTTCGAAAAGTCGAGGTCATGCAACAAAAAAAGGACAGTCTATTTGTTCTAGTACCGTAAAAGGGCGTGTCTAAACCGCTCCTTTTCTTTCTATGTGGTGCTCGACAGTGTCTATAATCCGATAATCCCATGCCATGGCGGTGTTTTAATTAAATCCATTCATCTATAACTTTTAGAGTTTCCGGGTCTAAGTGGCACTCAGGCCGCCGCAGTTGCGGCTCGGTTTTGTGTATGATTTATCGTGGAGGTTCGGGGGTGACAACGGTGCACAATACAGTTGGAGCGCCATTTATTTCTTGGCCCAGCGCATGGCACCATGGTGGTCAGGGTCGCTCTCAACATACTTGCACTTGCTGAAGGTGTTCCAGAGGGATCCGAGGAACGAAGAGGGCTCGCGGTGGTAGAGGTCGCCGATGACGGGCAGGATGGCCTCGGTGGCTTCCTCAGCCTTGTAGAAGGGAATGCGACTGTACGGATGGTCAGCTTTGGTCGATCATGTCAACGCTACATCACAAAATCGACTTACGGGAAAAGGTGGTGAATAACGTGGAATCCAATGATGCCGCTATACAAATGTTAGTTGTTTTCATTCGTTGCCTTTGATCCCTCATGGGCTGACGGGACCAGATGGTCCGGTGGGAGGGTGTACGCACTGGAAGATGTGCTTGTCAATGAAGCCAAAGTCACGGTCAATGGTAGCGAGAGCACCCTTGACGTAGGTCCAGTTCTCGGCGTCGTAGTGGTGAACGTCGGGGTGAGTGTGGTGAAGGTAGGTGCTGCATCTGGGTTAGCAAGATGCCACGAAATGCATTGGCCAGAATATTTTGTCGATTGGCCGAGGAAACTTGAGAAATACATACATGGCGACTATGAAAATGGGTTAGCTCCTTGTCTTAAGTTCAAAAGAGAGAAATAATAACTTACTCAACCAGTGGTTCCACCACATGTAGGGGACGAAGTAGAGCCAGCCAACCATGGCCCAGCCAACAAGGGTAGAGGCATAGTAGAGACCGCAACCGACGAGGAAGAGACCGAGATCCGCAAGGGCAATGTAGAGAGCTTCGCTGGGGCGGAAGACGGCGCTGGTGGGCTCAAAGTGCGACTGTCGGAGCCAGCTCTTTTCGGTGCGCTGCTTGCTGTCCTTGCCAGAGGAGATGTTGAACATCATGTACATTTGCCAGCCGGCGAGCTGGTGGGCAATGAGCTGGATGAGGTTGACGATGGGGGCGTCCTCGACAATCTCGGGGTCGAGGAAGAGGGTGTGGATGCCGGCCTTGCGGTCCTGCTTGGTGGCAGGGACAAAGACCATGTCCTTTTCCATGTGGCTAGTGAAGCGGTGGTGACGGTGGTGCTATAGACACGCGAACAAAATGAGTTAGTCTTTTTCTTCTTTTTTTTCTTCTTGTTGCGGGCTTTTGGTGCCGCTCTCTCTCAAGAGACACGCACACAAACGCCCCGAGCTAGACGCGAGGGGAGAGGCAGAGCAACGTACAGAGAACTTCCAGGAAAAGTAAGGGACACCCAGGCTAGAGTGCAGAGCCCAGCCAACAAAGTCGTTGAGGCGAGGGTGGACGGAAAAGGAGCCGTGGCCAGCCTCATGGGCCAAGATCCAGATGCCGGTGCAGACAAGACCCTGGGCCCAGCCGTAGACCATCCAGGCCGAGTAGCGAGCAATGGGGTTCTCAATGGTCGGGATGAAGGTGACGGCGAGGTAGACAAGCGCCGAAGCGAGAATCAGGTCGCGGGCGACGTAGCTGAGGGAGCGGGCGGTCGAGGGGACGAAGCAGTCCTTGGGGATGGCATCGCGAATCGTCTGGATGTCGGGGAACTCGACCTGCTTGGTCTTGCCGGTAGCAACCTGTGAACAAGGCGGACATGTCAGTATTTTTTATTCTAATTTTTCTTGTTCTCGATGCGTTTGCTTTGCCGCTGCTGCTAGCTGCTGCCACTCATAGCCGCCATCGCACCATTTGGCTTGGACCCTGAAAGTTTTTTTTTCTGTCTTCTTTCCCCTTCTGGCGGTGGTGGTGCCTGGCAGGGCGGCTGTTTAGGCGAGTAGGTGTGGTGGCACAACTGCAATCAAAAAAGTACGTACCGTCTTGCGGCTCTTGACCGTAGTCTGCGTAGTGGTGGTAGTAGTGGTAGCCATTGCCGCTGTGTAGATGCAATGCAAAGGCGCAAAGTATCAAGACAATGGAAGGAAGAGAAGAAGAAGTAGAGAAAGCTCTCATGTCCCTTTTTTTTTTCTTAGTTTATTTCTGGATCTGCCCATTTCCCTCTTCCCCTTTAGCTTTGGTCCCCTATCCTTTCAAAACGCTGGGCGGGTGGGGCCGGGTCCAGGCCAGGCACAGCACACGGCCCCAGTGTTTATCGCCCTGTAGACCAACAGGATCATCGCTATCTACACTTTTTGTCGGGGCTCTATTGGGGGGCGTACGGGGACTTACGGGGGCGACGACTCTCAACAGGCGCTAAAACGCTGGGCCAGGGGCGTCTCACCCTTTTTTTTTTTTCCCTCTTCATGTGCGCGCGCCGCAAAGAGATGAGCTGTTGTTTGGTTACTTGGCAATCTTCAGGGTCTTGTTGGACGCTGTTCTGCATTTGCCCTGTTAAGTAGCTTCATGCTGCAAACTGCATATGCTTGGTACATGACTAGCGGTGTCGGATAGGGCAGGCTGCAGGCGACAGGTTGCAGCAGCACCACCACCACCGCCAGCAACAGCATGTGAAGGAAGCGCTGTTGTTGTGCCCCAACACGTGGTGGCTTGCTGCTGTGCGACTCGCGGATCCCCCCTAAAAGTCCCCGTAATCTGGTCGCATTGGCGGTTGCCGTATCTTCTCGAGGCTCTGATTTGCACACGACCACGGACTGAAAAAAAAATAACGGGTTTGAAACATGACATGTGATGGATGGTTAAACACCTGGATGATACTATGGATGTCTGCACTATAGTAGAGATTCCATTGGAATGATGAACATGACCAATAAAACAGTTGCCTGGCACTGCTACAAACGAGTACGCATCAAAGGAGAAGGCTCTTTAAACCAAAACGAGAAACACAACTATGTAGAGCCGAGCCACACGCGACACAGCACATGCTCAGTCATACCCATCCATTTCCCAACTCACACGCGCTGATCTGCAAAATCAAGAACCTCGCAGTCGTCCTCAAAGAAGCCATCCTCAAGCCCGTCCTCGCCCTGCCTCGCGCCACGTCGCCGTCTCGTAGTCACCACAATCTGCTCGGCTTCCCCATATGGCGTAATGTGCTGCGTTGTCGATGACATGAGTGGGCCATCGTCTGTCACCACCCCATCCGTCTCGTCTTCCGCCGCCGCTGGGGCCATGCCAACATTGATCTTGGTGCAGGGCAGGCTGCCTCCAAATGCCCACGCCGAAGAACTAGGGCCTCTCGTGGCCTGTGCCGTATCGACACCCTTATTCTTCTTTGTGCTCTTTAGCTTGTCTGCGTTGCTCTTGTCGATGTTGTCCGACGTTGCTGTTGTTGTGACATATTCGCAGAGCCCGACTCGTCGATCTGTATGGAACGGTTGGTAGGGAGTGCTCGTTTCGATTTCCACGTGCGTAATGGCAGCTGCCGAGCCTGCTTCGGGCATAGCGGCCACACGTTTGCCCTTTAGCGTCACAGTGTTAGCCACATCCGTCTCTGGCTCCGATAGGTCCAAGTAATCCTCGGCTGGCATCCCATCTAGAACTTTGCGTATCAAAGGTGCCACTGTTGCATCGGGAAGCAACGGGACCTTGAAGTCTATAGGTCGAGCTGATCTTGCTGGTCGATTCCGTGCGGATGACCCTGTTGATCGTGCTGCTGTTCCTCGTTCCGGAAACTTGCGGACAGTCCCGCCTCCGACAGTGTAGAGGGAGGATCGGTTTGTCGCTGACCAGGCAACACAGCAAGGAGAGGGAAGAGAGGCGCTGCTCGGTAGAGCGACTCGGTTTTCTCTGGTATGTCGCAGCTGGTTTATGGCGGTGCTGGTTTTGCCAATCGAGCTCGTGATGCTTGCCGCAATGACTCTGCCGCCATGGGCTGCCGACTCTTTCAACGTGGCGACTGGTGCTGCCGGTGCTGCTGACCCATTACCGCTGCTTCTCCTCGATCGATTCACAAACGGCTTTGCGGCTTGGTAGGCTGCCCCAATGGCACCTGTCGCTATAGACACGGCGGATGAAGGTGTATCCGTCTTGCCTTCATCATTCTTGGCTCGAATTCTCCTACGTCTTGGGGGAGGCCACAGAGATGCTCCAAATGGCATATCAAGCATGTGAACAGTCCCTCGCTCTGTAACAACAGCCAGCCGATCCCCAGTAGGTTCCTTCCAGCATACGTCAATAATGCGCGCAACCGTCATGCGAGAAAATTGGGCTACCTGACGGACTAGTGGACCCGACGCTGACAATGTGGATGTGGCTGTTTGTAGTGGTGAGAGATGTGTGCTTCGCAGACGAAGCAAATCCCACACGATTTGCACGTCTCCTTTGCTGTTGGCAGTAAAGAGGTTAAATGAAGTGGGCGAAAGAGAAAGGAAGCTGCAGCCGCCTGGTGAGGGAAAGGTTATGAGTGGATGGAGGGATGACGAGAGTGGTAGTGAATGTGCGTCGAGTATCGAGATAAGACCAGGCTCTTTGATGGCTGGCGATGTTGAAGCGCCATGTGTAGGTGGGAAGTTGGATGCCCCCGACACGGCACCTTGATTTCCATTCCATTGCTTTGGAGGTGACTGTGCTACGGATGGATGCTGCTGGCCAGCAGCTGGCTTGTTCCAGTATGAGTTCCAGGCTTGAAGTCCCTGTTTTCCAACCCATTTGGCACCTTGCAGCAGCTCTTGGGTCGTCTCTCGCATAATTTTATTCATCATGCTATCGGCCATGGATGTTTCGATAGACGAGTTGAGCTGAGGGGCTTGCGGTGGCGTGACAGATGTTATACCAGGGCCTTTGCCTAGGATGGGCACTGGCAGATGAGCACGAAGGGACATTTGCGAAGACGGAGCAGCTGGCGCATAGGCAATCCAGTGTCCTGAAACAGAAAACGCTGCTAATTGCCCTCTGGGACGAGATGGCAGCTTGCTCTGCGTAGAGTTGGTCTCATCTGCCGTATCTGGTTTATGAGTACGCTGTAAGCAGGTCCAAACCTTTCCTAGACAAGCCACGTAGTTTCCATTTTGCTTCTCAGCAAGCTGCGAGTATACCCAGCATTCGCCACTGACTCCAGAGCAAATGGCGATTAATCCTTCACCACAATGAATCGAAAATGAGCTGGCCGGGGGCGGAGGTTGGAATAACGGGCTCGTAATGGAAACCTGGGTGCTGATGGGCTGCAGCGGTGCCTGCAAAATGACGTCCACCAGTTGATTCGTCTTGAGAGAGTATATTTCAACACTGGTCTGATAAGCATCAACCACTGGAAGTGGATTGTTTGTAGGAGCGTCAGTCCTCACAGAGTCTGTATCATCCGGCACAGCAGTTGGGCTGGCTGGCAAAACAGGCCCATGAATGGTAACACAAATTAGCGGACAGAGGCCCTCTGGATCCTGTTTCAAGGTCCACGGCAAAATCTTTGCATTTAAGACGCCACCTCGCAGTCCTTTCAGACTGCCGACTGGGTCAAGGCCTCGTTTCCCAACAGAATAGATTCGAAGTCCGCCATGGTAACCTGCCACTACAACAGTGTCGGCCTCGGCGGAGTCTGTCGATGCCGGTAGCTTGTCAAAGCCAAAGTAGAGGCCATTATCACCAGCTCTAAGACCGGCTAGCGATGCAGATGTCGCGTCAGTGTTATGATCTGGGTAGGCAGGTTGCGAGAATGGTGACCGTGTCTGCTCAGCGGCGTGTAGAGGAGAATGCATGGAGCTGCGTCTCTGCGAGGGGACAGAGGACTGTGGAGGAGTCTCGCTCAGGTAGTTTGCATCCATGTGGTAGCTAATGGGCCTCCGACTTCCGGCCGGAGGGGAGAGGGATGTTGGAGAAGGCGTCATGATTTGTCTGTGCGGAATACCCCATCCTTGGTGCAAGCGAGCTCCGGCGTCTTCATACGACGAAGGGTTTGTGGGGGGCGATTCTCCGGCAAGACTGATCAGATTACCGGGCGAGCCAGCCATGGCACCTCTAGACCATTCGTAGCCGTTGCCGTATCGTGGGCTTGCTGATATAGACGTCGTAGAAAAGGGTCCAACCAAAGGCGACATGCCGGCTGGCGGCTGCTGCGTTGGTTTAAACTCGGGGCTGCTCAGGCCAGGCGAGGAGGGGTTGGAGGCGACTTGGCCTTTGGAGGATGCATCGCTGCTCGTGCTTGGTTCGACACTACTATAAAAAGATACATTAGTACTCTTGTCAAGCAAGACGGGGAGAAGGGAGCACCTACCTGTCATTTGCGGCCTGGCTGGCCACCGCCGCCGCAATCCCGCCGTTCGCTTTAGCATGCTTCTTTTTACCTGCAAAGAACAGTTAGACAGCTCCGTTTACCGATGGCTATTGTTTTTAACACCACGGCCAGCGATGGCAGTAGTTTAGAGGGGAGTTGGACATACTCGGCATTGAGGCGCGGGGAAGGGCAGAGGAGGAGGGGCTGTGGTCTGCAGCTGCTACAGCAGAGCGAGCTCTGTCGTCTGAGGCTCACGCGCCAGTAGCCCAGGCGACTGTAGCCCAGCGAAGGAGGTGGGAGCGGGTAATGGCAGCTTTGTCGGTTCGATGCGTATGAAGATCGTCTATATATCGAGGAAGTCTGGTGTAATGGGTGTTGGTTGGAGACAGGCCCAGGCAGATGCGGCCGAAGCGCTGTGGTATTTGGAGAACGCGGCTGGCGGAGCTGTGGCGGGGGATGGACCCGGCGCCAACGAAATGAGTGATCCACGCCGGCAAGGGGATGCAGAAAAATATAATAAACAGGAAAGAAAATTGCCCTTGTTGGCCTGCGTTTTTCTAATATTCTATAGCGCTGTGGAGAGTCTTGTTCTTCAAGACTGGTCGTGGGAAAGTGTCGAGGAGTAGAAGAAAGAGAGACGAACGAAAACAATCAGGGCGATTGTTGACGGCGCAGTGGGACAGGACAGCCGACTTACTGGACTCGTTACCGGCGGCGAGTCACTGATGTCGTCACCCTGGCCCCCCAACCGTCCGGCGACTGGGCCTGCAGATGGCCGCTAAAGACAAAACGGCTACAGCGCGATCAGGTGAAGGGGGTAGGCGGGGTCAGGTGCCCCTCAGCCAGCCCGCTACAGCAGAGTAACGCCTCCCTGAAGAGTTGCCCCGGCCCCGCTAACGCAGCCTCTGAAAGGTGGGGAAGCAGGGCGCTGGCGCGTTCAAACGTCCACGCCCTTTGCCCTTCCCGTGAGCCTTATTTCGCCACGCGCTGGGCCCACGCTGGTATGTTTACAAGACAAGCAAAGTGGTCTGCAGTACGATGATGGTGACCGTGGCGGTACACGGGGGAGACATGACTAAAAACACAGAAAAGACAGATGGGTTTTGTTGCTGACATGAGAATGCGTGCATTGTGTGTGGCTAACGTGGATGGCTGTTCTCCCCTGAAGCATTATGCGACACTGACCAGCCAACCAACCCGCCAAACTACCGTAGTGGCCGGCTACATGGGAACATTCTGGAGCCTCAAACTATGCGTACCAGCCAGCCCTTCTTCATCGTTGCAGATATACTCTGTACTTTTGAAACTTCCACTCGTCAGTCGGCTGCGATCCCTTTCTCAGCACAGCATGCGCAGCCCATGGTAGCGTCAGTTTCTGCTCGTCCTTTGTCACCACATGAACATCACCAAACAGCATCAGCTCATGCTCTGTGGAGCCCTCATCGGACGATTCCTGAAACCTATGAGGAAATACCTTGTATACGATGTGCTTGCGGTCGGCCACCACGTTCCACATTCTCGCTCGTAGCTCTCGGATCCCTGCCGCCTCAATATTAGTATGATGACTCCCCGTACCGTGCTGGATCGTCTCGCATGCAATCATACCTTGTTCTGATTTGCCGTGATCGTTGCCTATTGTGACATCTGCGTCGCTATGGAAAAAGCTCACCCAGAGCTCGTCGGATTCCTTCTTATCCGACGTCTGGTAAAAGTTGGTGATGAACGTCCGGATCTCCGGATCGGGGAGATTGTCGTGTTGAGGGTAAACGGGAAAGTATCCTCCACTCATTTTTACTCTATGGGAGTATATAAAAACTTCTATATTCGGTTGCGCGCCTATTTGATTTGATACAAGAGTGATGAAGCCAATGCTTGTAATGACTTCACCCAGGAACTATAACAGTAAGGTGGGGTGGTGACGCATCGGCTTCTCCAAAGACGCAGCCGAAAAGAGCTCCTCTCTTCACTAACCCTCCGATGCCCGATGTGGCCCGGAATCGGCAATTACAACTATATTCTTCTGGTAAAGTTAAAGATTAACAAGTAATCTTTTGAATGGGTCGCGTTCTGTAAAATCAACTATTATAGTCATAAGTCTCGCATGAGTTTACTGTTACAGTACCCTCTTCACTGCTCTCACGCTGGTAGTTCAAATTGACACCAATCCATTTTATTTCAGTATTGCTTAGCACTACTACTCCGTACTTCATTTTTCTATGCATTCTAACCCTTCTAGTAAATTTACCGCTACACCATACGGTAGTGCACCGCTGTATGTGTAAGCGACTCCTCCACCAATGGCAAGTTGGCTCGCCCTTCAAACCGGCCAACTTCTTTGAAACCAGTCTTCTCTAACACACGTCTGCTGCCAATGTTTTTCTTGTGGGCAGTAGCCTGTATTTCACGGGGGATTCCAACTGCCATGTCCCTGTGCATAAGCTCTTTGTAATAGTCAACCACTGCCTGGACGCTTTCTGTTGCGACTCCCTTGCCCCATACTTCCGGCATAAAGAGATAACCTAGTTCAACCGCTTTATATGGCTCGTTATCGCCGCGTTCGCAATCATCCGTCTCGCCTTCCAGTTTGAAATTGGTACAAAGTAGAGTTACAATACCGGCCATTTTCCATTCCTTCTGGTCGACCTCCAAAGGCTGAATTAACTTCCCGTCTCTTTCCGAATACAGTACCCAGTATGGAACTCGTATTTTATTGGTTGGCATCGGCAGTGGAATAATTCCTGCCATCCAGGCCTTACTTTCCGCTATTGTTTTGCATGGCCCTCGAAGACTATAAAACTGTAAGTTTTGATTCAACGAGGATAAATATGGTACCATAAAATGGTATCCTGACAGACCTCCATTTTGTTGCTTGGTCGTTGCTCCATAATGCGTGAAATCTCGCGAGATCAACGGACCCCTCTTCATTCGTTTGGATAGGCTGCAGTAACAAGCGAGGGGTAGAAATGTCTTTGTACATGGCGATAATCTTAGCTTGTTATTATTTACTAAAGTCTCCAGCAAACACTTCATTGACATCCGTCACAGTCGAGTCAAACGCAATATGTTACCAGTTTGACCTGGTGGGGGTGCGTGTGGCTGTCTTTAATAAATCAGTCAGCCATGGGTCAGCGGTGCGTGGGGAACGTCGAGGGGTATATCAGATCAAGCATACCATCAGTTAAAACATCAGCTTATTAAGGATGATACCGAGCTTCTGTCATTGTTAATATGAAGTGACAAGGTGGTCTACAGTGTCGCCTTAAAGCAAGTGTCGCCGTGCAAACGACACCAATTTTAAACAGGCGTGAGTATGGCTACAGTATATCGTGCCCATGTGCTTTAGCCTAAACCGTTATATGCCAACAAATTTGGACAGCCTTTGGTATCTTTGACCAGGTCCTTGTGCGCTAAGCCAACAATCCTTTTGCAAAGCTCAACTCCTTTGAGCCCCCTCCAGGGCGGCGAAATAAGCACCCAGGCCAGCAACATGAGGACAGGCCATAGAGGTACCACTGTGTGCAATCTTGAAGATGCGAAAAAGTTAGTGCGGTTTCCATAGAACACGATACTGAACTTACAGAGCGACCACCCGTCTTGGCGGAGACAATCTCCACGCCAGGAGCATGTATAGTTACAGCTGACCCGTAGTTGGAGAAACTACCACGAGTGTCTTGGTTGTTTGTTGCACCAACACAGCAAACATCGGTCGCGCGGCACGGGCTGCTTGTCGAAGCCTCCTCGTTGCCGTTGGCAGAACTAGCAGCCAAAGATACCACTCTTGACAGCTTTTGTTACGGCATCATCGGTGCCTTGACTCCGCCCGCCGCCCCCAAAGATGCGTTGATTATCTTCCCTTTGGGGCATTCTCTATTATCGCTGATGACATAGTCAAAGGCGGAAATTATATGTGACCATGGACCGACACCATCATCAGGAATAGCCTTGACATCAATCAACTTGGCCTTCTTTGCAATGCCGTATAGCTTACCACCAACTGTACCGCCAGTGTGCGTTCCATGGCCAAGCCTGTCGCCATCTCTACCAGGGGCGATTTTCTTACCGAGTACAGCACGACCCTCGAACTCGGCGTGCTTCAAATCCATACCAGTATCAATAATATAGACACAGGTCCCCCCGCCTGCCGAGCTTTGATACTTGTAGTCCTTGGCGCCAGGCCTCTTTGACGACACCCTGGAAATACCCCAAGTTGCTCCCGATTGAGTAACAGTATGCGAGGTACTGTTACTCAAGAAGGGACCACTCCCATCCGGGTTCATCAAGTATGTAGCACAGGCATGACCGTCAGGTTCAATGTACTCAATGTCCGTGTGTGTGCGAATAGTATCCAAGATTTCGCCAGACATAATGGCCGCGAAGCCATTCATAGCAAGACTCCATTCCTGAATAGACTCATCTTGTAACAAAGAGATAACGTTGTCGCGCGATCTGATACTGCTCGATCGTTTCAGTTTGACAATGTATTGGTTGGGTATAGGTTCGTATGTAACTGGTAGGATGGGTGCGAGTTTTCTGGGCGGTAGTGCTGCCAGAGTTAGGAGTGGAAGAGTTGTAAGAATAATGTGATGCCGCATCATCACCATCGCGCATTGGTTCGTGGTGGTGACGATAAAAGGAGTCCCGTGGCAGACTCCGGCAACAACTATAAGCTAAAGGTATCAGTATAAGTATTGTAGAATATCTTAACCACATAACACTAATAGTATTCAAACATTAGGTAATTAGATAGAACCGGTGCATAAGGTGGTGAGTCTAGATCGGTCGGCGAATCTAGAGCAGTGTCTAACTCGGATTTTTTTATTAGTTTCATATGAAGTAACTAGAAATAGACACACTAGCAGTGTATTATGTTAAGAAATCTGGTATCAGAAACAAACTCCACCAATCGTACCAAAAGGAACGATCACCATTTAACGCCCCTGCCGACTAAAAAGACGAAAAAGACAAATCATGAAATCCATCGCTGGTCTTGTGTTGCTCCTAGAATACAAACCTACTTCTTTACCCCGCGGGCAGTAACCTCACCCTTCTCGCCAATGTTGAGAAGCACGCGGCATTCAGGGCAGTACCATTTCGTAGTGCGCGCTGGGATGGCGTCCAAGTTGACGCATTCCAAATGGAACCATTCCTTGTTACATGTCTGTGAAAGAAAGACCATGGTTAGAAGCTGGGTTAAAATCTGGAGAAAACTAGTCCAAACTTACATCAACGTTACACTGGATCATAGTACCAAAGCTTACGCCGTTGCATAAGCAGTATCTCTCCTCATTGGGGTCAATCGCGTTGCCTTCGTCGTCCACTTCAATCTCCTCCATCTCATCATCCTCGCTCGTTTGGGTGCTATCCTTTTCTCCCTTGGCCGCACGGCTCTTCTTCTTCTTCTTAGGTGCCGCTTTGCGTTTACCCACGGCGCTATTACCGCCGCTGCTGGTTCTGCTAACGACACCTGGTGCAGCTCGCTTCGGGCGCTTGACCAAGGTCTTTGTCTCGGGGATTGGTGTGATTCGGGCAGCACTGGTGCGACGCGGGCGATCGCTTGCCAAAGATGGCGGCTCTTGACTGCCAGCTTTGCCCCTTGAGCCAGGTCGCTTGCTCTCAGCGCCAGGAGTAATGCCGCGAGATAGCGAACGTCGTGACCGAGATTCATCGTCAGCTGCAGCAGAGCTCGTCGGCACAACCTGCAGCTTGGATGGATCGGGATTGCTATCGCGACCAGGTGGAAACACTGGGGTAATTGTTCTTTCTGTCTTTGGGAGTGGCACAGGTGTCTCTGCTGGAGGTTTAACAGGAATAGAGGTAGTCACTGTTTTACCCCCGTTGCCACCCGAAGGTGAGGTGCCTGACTTGGAGAAGAGCACAGGTATTGGCACAGGTGTTTGCTGAGCAGCGGGCGTTGCGCTGGTTGAAGCAGCTGACGCACGGGTTCCTCCATTGGTTGGGCTTGTGTAGTTAAATCCAGGATGGCGAGGAGGGGGCACCGGAGTCTCAACCTTGGTACGCTTGGCCTGTTGGCGAGCCGAAGGCGTCTCCGCGGCCGGTGTTGCAACAGTGAATGCATCGCTGTCATTATCCCTCTTACGTTTTCCTTGAGGACGAGAGTTGGATTTCGGTGTCAGCTTGATGTCTGGCATAATTCCACTCTCCTCTGCTAGCTTCATCGCCTCCCGCTTAAGTTTCTTGGCCTCGTTAAGTTTCATACCACGATTGCTTATCGGGAGCCCCTCACCCGTCAAGCAGTCTGCACTAATAGCACCAGCTGGTAAATGCTGTTGGCCAGATTCTGCATCTGTAATGAGAGTTGGTACCTGAGCATCAAAAACTTTGCCCTCGTCCTCTGCCTTCTTCTTCGCTTCCCGGTATGCCTCTGGTCCGCGATTGAGCGCCATCAGTTCTCTAGCTATCATAGTCTCGCTCGGGGTCCAAGTTGCATTCTTCTTCATGCGCTTTCTAAGCTTTGCTAGCTCGTACAACGTTAGCTGTAACCAGGGCGCGTCAGCACTGCCAATCACTGCATTCTCGGGCGGTGGGTTCTGCAGAGCTGCAGCGTTGGCAGCTACCGCAGCAGCCATAGCTGCAGATGTATATGTCATTACTCGAGGCGGCCGATTTACCGGCTTCCTGACGTGACTTGTGAGAAGTTTAATGCGAGGAGCAGGTGTTCGACGGGCGTCCGAGTCGGAATCGGAGCTGCTCTCGCTATCGTCCGAGAAGAAATCGTATTCAATCTCGTAAGGTGCGAGCACCTCTCCCGGCACTGTTATTTTCGGTATGCGCTTCTGCTTCGGCTTTGTCGCGCCATCGGCTCCTGGGCGTGAAGCAGGCTTGGCACGCGAGAGCTGCGGTGATCTGGGCTCAGCGGTTGCAGCTTCAGCTGGATAATTGTCCATCATAGTCTGTAGCTTATCGAGCAGAATCTTGGCTTTGCTGTAGTGTCTATGGACGTTGTCGGTCATGCGTTGGGCTTCTGCATGAGCAAAGACGCGTGAATCCACGCTGTATTTGAGCTGTTTCGATATGCCTGCTCGGATGTCGGCCGCGGAGGTTCGATCGGTCGTCGAGTGTGATGGTCGCTGTCCCCAGGCAAGGGCGTAATCGTTTACTTTTGCAGAAGCGTCGCGGTATCTTTGATCGAGGTCGCCAATCAGCGTAAGCGATCGGGTCATGTCGGCTGATAGATACTCGGTAAAGTCGATAAAGTCAGTTACCGTGGTTTGGGCGTCTGGGTCTGCTCGTGGTTCGAAAGGGTCCCCGAGGAATTCCACCACCCTCTCCATGTCTGGAGCCATGGTGGGCTTTGTTGTAATGGTAGATGGCCGCTGCCTTGTTGTTTGCTTCGGAGACACCTCGTCGAAAGAGGGCAGCGATGGAGCCAGCGCAAGCTCGTCACTGGAGGGCATGGGTCAAAGGAATTGTCGCGACGAAGGGGTTGACGTGGTAAACAGCTGGTGCGCGCAGTAGTGACAGCCACACGCGGCTGTTATGTTTTGGTTTGATTATATATGGTTCGCATGCAGCTGCAATGGCTGGATGTTGTGTGTTGCGTCGCGTCGCAAAGCACGCATCCCTGGCCTGAAGGTGTGGTGATGATGTGGAGGTGGTGTTTTGGTAGCGTTGACGTGGAGCCCCATCAAATCGTGGAGCGTGCCTTGGGCAGGTGGGCGACGGTGCGCGTATGTTTGACAGGCCAGCTACCCGGCAGGTCGTGTCAGCTAACAAGTCAACAGAAATAGCACTGCCATCTCTTTGTAAACTAAAGAAAATAGCAAGTTGAGATTGATATCCCAGACAATAGTATATTTGCTAGCGACAAAAGAGTCCCTGGTTACAGACGTTGAGCAAACCCAGATAATGTAGTGCAGCCTCTACGATATCATCGTGAAGTTACCGCAAGGCTGGGTAGTGCACGCCACCAACTTCCCCTCACATACCTCTTTATTATTCCGAGCCGACCTTCTGAATTTATTTCATTGGCATTTCTTATAGTTAACCAAGGACCGGAGTCTTCTCGCAAATGCTCAAGAGCATCCCTCAAGATGTCTGAGAGCGATATTTACGACCACGACGGCGACCTTGGGAGCGACGAAATCGATGACGACGCTCTAATCCCAGCGGATGGCTATTTCGGCGCCGCAGATGGTTCTGCAACGGAACCTTCGCAAGAGGTGTTGGAGTCTTCACCGGTAGAGAATAGCCACAGAAATCTGGACGACATGCCGCGTGTACCAAACGTTATGGTCGAAGATCCTACGCCAAGTGCGGGCAACAGCAAACGCGAAGAAGCCCAGCTAGAAGCCGCAGCCGCAAATTCATCCGAAGAGCGACCAGACGAACAACAAGCCAGTCTGAGTGGCCAAGCCAATTGGAGTCCTGAAGAAATCAATGAACCACCACTAGAATCGCCCTCTGCACCTGCAACCCGTGGCGATACATACCAGCATCACCCTGCTGGCCAACATCGCCGGCCACAGGTCTCGCCATTGTCAACCAATAACCTGCAGCATAATTACGAAGCGCCACCTGCATATTATCCTTCAGAATCGCCGATTCTCACCCGCATGGAATCGGCAGACGCCCTGAGCCCTTCTCCGACAAGCCACTCTTACGGGACCATGGACCGCAGAATATCTGTTGAGGCGTCGACTTTAGCTTCTGGCGGGCATACTCGCGTCTCTCTGGAAGAACAACGTCCGCTACTCGCGCATGATGAAGAAGCTGTTAGACCTGAAAGCTCGACGGGCGTGGGTTCAATAAACGAAGACCAGCGTGGACTGGCCAACAAATCAAGATTTTCTCGCAGGTGGATCCAAATTGCGATCTCAATGCTGTTCATTATTTTTATGATAATTCTGGTGGTTTTATTTGCCATTATATCTATTCCTACAGTTCGAGTAAGTTTTCCACCCACCATACGCATGACATTGCTAATGGTAGCTTAGGAACCGAGCGACACAGACGTCACACCCATTAGACCACCCGACACTACATTACCGCCCCTAAAATGGGAGAATATGCCTGGCTGTTCCAACAAAAGACTAAATACTCAAGATTCATCACATTTTGTTCAAATGGATCCTGAGAAGTCGTTGAAGGTGCTACAGACTCTGTCTCTCAACGACGATCTAGGCTCTGGTAGAAAACTAGAAAATAAAATAAGCGGCGAAATCATCATCCAATCAGCTCCGAATATAGCGAAAGGGCTTGTCAGTGTCAGAATTGAGACAATCGTTAATGATGACAGATTACTTATCGAAACCGCTACGCATCTTGTTGGTTCGAAAAGAACTGTACGAGTAACATCGCCGGGAATCATCGCAAACTGGAAGGATCAGGAGGGAGACCCATGCACATTGCTTCGCCTTGTTATAAATGTGCCACCAAATTCAGCATTTTACAATCTGGAGATAGGGGCCTCAAGTCTCAATCTGATTGTGCGAAATGGTGTTTCGTTTTCGGCTCAACTCGTTAAACTTGCGACCGTTGCAGACAGCATCATAACGCCGACCCTTTCAGATCACGAGAAGACTGGAAAAGTTGAACCTTACAGAATACATGCAAAGCATATCGACCTCAACCTGATGAATGGATCTCGGATACAAGGCTGGTATCCGTTGTATAATGGCCTCGAAGTACGGACCGGGTTAGGTGACATTGACCTACAAGTCACTCCAAAACAGACAGCAAAAGGGTCAATCGATACAGCTTCTCTATTAGCCGCCGCCGTTGCTGGAAATGTTCGCGTTACTGAATTTTCGCATTCGGGAAATACAACGGAGGTTGACAAAGAAGCCCTTCCAGTGAGGAATTATGAGAGCCAATTGCAGTCTTTTTTGGGCAGCGTAGCCGCGAAAATTATGATGGCAACATCGGTGATTGCATCTGCACAGCTCGGTATTGATCTGGACATAATACCTGTATTAACTCGTGAATCAGGCACGACGAGCCATGTCGCAAGCATCACGACGGACAATAGAGTCGGGGTTACCAAGGTCCATATTCGTGAACCAGTGTTTGCTAAAGATAGCTTTACTTTACAAAATACTGAACAAGCACATGATTCTGACGAAGGGGAGATTGAGCGCGTCGGAGCTAGCAATTTGGAGCGACTCACCTTGCAAACTAGCCACAATTCGTATAAAGGCGCGTTGGATCTGCTCTACCCCCGGGCTTGGGCCGGTGAGATCAAATGGCATGGCTTGAAAGGAGGTGTTTGGCTGGGCTATGGCTCGCAGGTTACTCGACAAGGTGGCGACGATTTAAAGTATCTTGATGCCGTGCGAGGCGACGGCTCGTCGCAAATGGTCGTGGAAAATGAATGGGGGGATTCACATATCGACTGGCGTAGGTGATAAGGTGTTGTTGTTGTTTTTTTTGGGGCGTATTCCTCTCAAGCCGATTATTTAACCTTCTACGAATCTTATGACTCTGCATCGTTGTCTTTGCATTGAAAAGCACGGATTTTAACAGCGTTACATTTACCAACCTCGCAGCCGGCCGTCAAATGGCGAGAATCAAGGCCGCAGAAATCTCAATTTCTGCTGTCAGTCAAGTTGATTTGAACTTCAGAATGGAAATAATCCCGCAGATTAACCAATCGTAAAGTCTCACCCGTTGTTGGACTGGAGGCACGCGCCGCGCCAATGCTACCTCGCGAGGCATCAAGACCAGGCTTGCTTTGCTACCGCTACTAGGCGTAGTATTAATGCTAAAATAGTAAACTGAAGAATACCACGGCAAAATTCAACCCCATGTGGAACACCGTTGAGGCCAGCCTGTACGAACTGTCCGTCGCATCGGCCGGGGCACTTCCACTTGACATTTACTGCCCGATGCGATCGCTACACTACCACAAGTCGCAATCGGCAGTTTTGCAGACTCAAGAAAGTATCGTCGCGATACTACTGAGACAGTAAAATACGATGAAGCGGCGCAAAATACAATGCCACAAGTCCATGATAACGCTCCAACCGTCCAAAAGGCAAGGTGTACTCTGATTGGGACTCGAGAGACGATGAGAATGATAAAAGGGCGATATTTGGCACCGCGCGATGTCCTGCTTGGCCATGACAAAGGTCTGTTTGAACACACTCTTTTTCCCATTCCTCAAACACTAGACAACCGGATTCTGCAAAGTGTGACAATATGTTGCCCAAGGCAGTCGTGCTCTCTTTCCTCCTCGCCTCCGTCGGAGCGCAGCAGCTGAATGTCGTCGGTACTTGGCCAGAGATGCTGGATGGCCAGCCCAATAAGGACTGGGTTCCCATGCGGGAGAACATCAACAAGCTCCAGACCGAAGCTGGACCAAAATGGTAACTTTACCTCGAAGGCAGACTTGGTCGCATCAGCGCTGACTCAGAGGTTAGGGATCTCTACATTCAGTCTATCCAGGCTATGTATGATGCCAACGAGGCTGATCCTCTTTCTTTTTTCCGAACCGGAGGTTAGTAGAAGCATGATGTATTCTATGATTTGGGAAAAAGGCTAAAAATTTGTCTCGATTCTCTCTACAGCAATCCATGGTAGACCGATTATGGAATGGGGCAACACAGGTGGGCCTGTGGAAGGCCAAGACCCCAAATACTACTGTCCCCATGGTGTAAGATACATTGGCTGACTGTATGGCATAAGCTGGTCTGAAGGCTAACGCAATTCTACAGGAAATTCTCTTTCTCCCTTGGCACCGCCCGTACATGGTTCTATTTGAGGTTAGTTTGACAATGGTGACCTTATGCCTATTCACTTGCTAAATGATGTGTTACTAGCAAACCATGAATGCCCATGCGCAACGAATTGCTGCCACTTATCCTGAAGATGTTCGTGCGACATACCAGAAAGCGGCGGATTCACTTCGCATGCCGTTTTGGGATTGGGGAAGTGACTCTGCCGTTCCCCAAGCCATGCTCCCTGCTACGCACAAGATCAAGATCTCCAAGGATGGAAAACTGCAAGAAGCCGATGTACCAAACCCTCTCAGCACCTATGTGTTCCCTCAGAGTGTTGTCGATCAAAAGTACGGGCGTTTCAACGCCAGCAACGGCCGAATTGAGTACTGCCCAGCACCCAACAGATTTCCAGAGACAGCCAACACCGCCATCAAGCGATCCAACTTTGGCAAGCAGGTCTACGACGTCTTTACGCGGGCCAAGGACTTTGATAGTTTCGGAACGGTTGCGACTCGAGGCAGTATCAACATCGAAAGCGTGCACAACCGAGTGCACAGGGAGGGTGCTTGCGGCGGTCAGTTCTTTGGCGCCGACACGACCGCCATGTCCATGCTCTTGTAAGTCGACAATACACCCCCACCAACAATAGTTGTTTATCTTTGGCTAACTTGTTCTCGTTGCAGCTGGTTGCATCATGCCAATATGGATCGTTTGTGGGCGTATTGGCAGCATATGATGCCTGAAGAGGCCACTGTCAAGAACGACTTTCGAGAAAAAGGCCGGTTTGCTGCCCGTGCTGGAAGCCGTGGCTCCAAGGATTCGCTGTTGCACCCGTTCCGCAAAGAAGACGGCACTATGCATACCCCCGATAGTGTCAAGTCGATTGAGGACTTTGGCTACACCTACGAGGGTCTCGAGTACTGGGAGAAGTCTCCGGAGCAGATGAAGAAAGAGGCCACGGCCATTATCAACCGTCTATACGGCCCGCCACAGAACCGTCGCAGAAGCGCACGTCCCAAGACCAGCTATTACGCCAAGATTCACGTCGAGGCGAGCGAATTAGAGAGGCCCTGTGATATTGTCGTCACCATGAAGGGCCAAGGCGCCGGTACGATGGTTGTGATGGAATATCCCTCTGAGGGTGAGCTGAATGGTGGCTTTTCCATTGACGATGCCATGAAGTCCAACATGCGAATGTTCTCCATGCAGGCAGGTGTCGACAAGGAAAAGCTTTTCCAGCAGGGTGTCGACGTGTCCATCATTACGGCGAACGGTACCAGTCTCAACATCAGCAGCATCCCCAGTCTCAGTGTCGAGATTGAAGAAGTACATATTACGCCTCCTACCGATGTAACCGAGCTGCCCAAGGTACACAATGGCCGTGTGTACAAGGATATTCAGGTTCATGATGACGAGAATGCCGAGCTTGTCAAACCAGACGAGGCCTTTATCGAGGAGCTCCTTGCTGAGGAAACGATGGAAGGCGAAAACTTGGACCAGCCTGCTGTCGAGCAGCCTACTCCCGAGCCTAAACCTCTTCCATCACCTATCCCCGAGGCACAGCCTTCATCTGTGACTAAGCCGTTGCTTGACATGGCGCCCGAACAGCCCGCGCCTGTAACTCAATAGATTCTTACGCTTCTAGCTGAATAATAGTTGATGAGCCTGTACCAAAGAGGGGATGGAATTGGATGCACGCGGACCGGTGGGCATAGTACGGCTTTGGTTGAGGATTCATGGATGGCTGGGCCACATATTACTGTTGACAATTGTATTTTCATTTTCATTTTTCTGTCAAATAGTTTTTAATATCACATCATGGAAACCCATTTCCAAGTTTGCTGTCCTCCGTTGACATGCGAATCATTACCAACAATATATGAATTAACTCCTAGCCCAGGAAGTCACCACTTCTGCCAATGTGGTGTTGCTTCCAACATTACCTGGAAAGACGACGTATGCAACACCGCAGTGTCGACTTGTGATTTCGTCACATCGCCAAAGCGGCACTCCAGGTGCAGCTTGACCAATAACACGCGCTCGTCTCATTCTGAGGGCCTTGCTAGCTGCATCCGACGAGGTGATACCTCCTTTGGCAATCAGATATCTGGGCCGCACCTCGACGCTTTCCAGTAGCTGAACCAGAGCGCTGGCTACGCGAGACCCTATCTCGAGCGAACTAACAGCACATTCTCCTTTCACCAATTCGCGTGACGTCATAACAAGAACATCTGTACCTGCTTCTAGTTTCGCAGATACAGTTGCAGCAACAGCATTCATTTGACCAGCAACGGCTTCGTCTGATTCAAGGAGCTCGGCAACATCCAACTCGATAACATCCAGCTCGTCGCCTCGGCTCTTGCGAAGCTCTTCCAACTGTGCCGTTGTCTTTGGCACATGGGACCCAGCAATAATAAGACCGCCGTGATTGGGGGCGAGATTTGCGCCCTGCTTATCAAGATCTTGTAGAGTCAGCGGCGGTATGCTGCTGATTCCGAGTCGAGACGATACAAAGGCAGCACCTGTGCGGTAGAGATATCGACGGCCCTTTTTCTCGGCATCAAGCAAACCAGCGACAAACACATGCATATCTGATTCTTCCACAGCGTTGACAATAATGACGGTATTAGCCTGCGCTGGTAGTGTTAGGAGTTTGGCTGTGACTGCTGCTGCGCCACCTGTGCGTATATCCTCTATGGAAATGGAAAGAAATGAGGACGCATCGAATCTGTTGCCGCACTTTTCTGTAATATAGTCTCGCAGGTTGGAGCTCTTGTATCCAAAGGTAGCATCCTGGGCGAAGGGTGTCTGGCTTACTGGGACCAGGTCGTCGCCTTCTTTGACGTAATGGACATCGTCGATTGTAAGTCGGCCTCCCTGAGCAAAGAAGGGGGCCAAAACCCATCCGTCAAACTTGCCCAAAGCCGCTTCAGCAGCTTCAGGTTCTTCTGGAAGATGACCGCGAAGGGTGGAATCACCGCGGAGGACGATTTCAAATGCTGTGTCCGTACTTTGAGACGCGGCTTTGAGGTTGTTGCATATTGTGATAATCAGGTCCTTTGCCTTGTCGGAAGGAAGCGCTCGAGAATTGGTGAGAATAAAGAAGCCTGAAGAATCGCGCCTGAATTGATCTTCTAGTGTAGCGATATCCCATACTGTCAAGACGTCGATGTCATGGCATGTCTGCGTTCCAGTTGGATCATCATCCAAAACAACCAATACTGGGACAGAACCACTGTTGACGACGTCTTGTATGGACTCGAGCATGTTTTCGCTATGTACAGCTGGGAGAGTTGCTAATGTTGTCGCGGCCGATAGTATTTCGTAGTCCCGAGGAGATGCAGATGCAGTATTAGCCGCCATTGCTGTTACTGAGGATGTAATAGTAGTCCCGGCTCCGAATTGCCACAACCGTACAACACCAGAGTCTGCTTCCTTTTCCCAGCCCTGCGCGGCGCCTTGGAGATAGAGAGTATGGGCCGTGGCTGCAATGGGCGCGTAGTATCCCAGGCGGCGAGCTTCGTCGAGAACAATGCCCAGATCCTTCACGAATATGGCTAGGGCAGAATGCGGGGTCCAGTCAGCGTCGAGCATCTGCGGCCCGCGATTCTCCAACATCCAGCTCCACGCAGAGCCTTGGAGAAGGTCTTGGAATGTGCGGCGCGTATTTAAGCCGAGGCTGGCAGCAAACGACAGCGCCTCCGCGGCGGCGGCAATATGCACCCCCGCAAGAAGCTGGTTGACGGTTTTGATGGACGAGGCTGAGCCAATGCCGCCATCAATCTTGAAGAGGTTTTCCTCCGTGCCGGACATGGCCAGCAGAAGAGGCGTCACCTGGTTTAGTGCAGGCTCATCTCCCGAGCAAATAATCTAGAAGGCCACAGTCAGATATGCGATACAAGTATACCTGTGGAGGTGGGAGTAAACGTACCGTCAAAGTGCCGTTGGCTGCTCTAGCAATTCCACCGCTAACAGGCGCATCGACTAGAGCAATGTTTCTGTGTAATGCGCCTAATTTTGCATTTAATTCTCTTGTAAATGCAGGGGCAACTGTCGAGCTGAGAATGACGACAGCCCCATCGACAAGGCTTGCTGCTCCAATACCACCGGATCCAAACAAGACATCTTCAGCCTGCGCTGCATTTTGGACCATGAGTAGCACAACACTAGCACCTGCGATTGTTTCCTGAATGGTGGACCCGATGGACGCTTGGCCTGGTGCTTGTGCAAAGGCCTTTGCTGCGGCAGGGATCACATCGTAACCTTGGACCGGATATCCAGCACGAAGTAGGGACATTGCCATGCCCATTCCCATGGCTCCCAGGCCAATGACGCCTACTTTGGCGACTTCAAAGGGACTTGAGGCGGGAGTAAGCTTTGTAGTTCCAGTGCATAGCTGCGAGGCTATGAAGACGGCGTCGGCATCACCCAGATAGAACTGTGCTAGCCGGTGCGCCTTTGTGTTTGGAGAAAGTTGCGATGAGGCAATCAAGACTTGCTGTGCAGTAGAAGATAGGGGGGAAGGAAAGTGTTTCTTTTGATTTGTACGTGTAGGTGACTTTGTAGCCGGCTATTAGTTATGAGCTCTTGATACGTGGGTGAGTGACGATAATCTATACGTCGGCATTGACTTACAATATCTGAGGACTCGCTGCTGATTGGCTCGTCGTCTCCAAATAGCTGGGGAACGAGATGCTTGAACGATGCCGAGCTGCCAGCCGCGCCCGAGATGATATTGTAGACTTGTCTGGTATTGAGGCCGGCTTTGGCAGCTAGACCGATGGCTTCAATAGCCACAGCATCGTGGATGCGTGTTAGTAATTGTTGGACAGTGTCCATTTTCGTCTTTTTGGTTTTCTTTTCGTTTTATATCGTCAGTACAGCGAAAAAAAAATACCACCGTCGCCAAAGCCGTATATTAGCAATCACCTCTTAGGAGAGAAACAATGGCTGAGCCGGCACGGGACCAACGCGGCAGCAGCATCCACCACTCTTTATTTGCTATTATGCATCATCAGGTCATTATACCATCCGTTTCGGCCGAATTGCCGACCCCAGCTTCCCCTCATCAGCTGTGGATAGGTTTATTGCAGCGGATGGAAGCCCGCGCCGCCGAGCAATACTAACGTAGGCCCGTTCTGGTGCTATAGCCCCCTCTGTAAAAATGGAAGCGGGGGCTGTATCTTGCCAGTGTACTTACTGTACGTTGGTAAATTTAGTGTGTAGCGGATCCGCCGCTAAGACAATAAGCACGCCCCCTGTTGCCCACGGGTTTGCTCCCAGCGACTTGCCCAGCGACTTGCTCGGCACTGTACGGAGACAGTGGTGCACTGTACACATCCTGCAAGCTCTGCACTGTGAGGCTGTCCGTGGTCCGCCCTGCCCCCCGCGCCCGCTGAACCCCCCAAAAACCCCACGCCCAGGCGGGTTTCTGCCCGCGACACCACCCACGCGAACCACCAAGAGGGTTCATCGCTTTGCTCGTAGCATCGCTTGCCCGTTGCGACCTGTCTCCGCCCGATTTCAAAGTTTCCAAGAGACTCGCGCTCTCTGCCGATGAAGCGAGCAAGGTTTGAGGGCGGCTCGGACAAAAGCCCGTCCCAGGATGCCGCCGCTCACCAGCCAAAGATATCCCGCAAGATTCGCGCCTGTGAGTCTTTTTTCTTTTCTTTTCTTCTGCTCCTCCTCCTCCCCCTGCGTCTTGATGCGCCGGCATGAATCGCTCATTATCTCTTCTCGGCCCGACAGCGGGAATAACAACGGCGGTGATGATGGCGACATTGTCTGGCAATGCCGTCGTTCATGATGGTCAAGGGGCAATGAGCGCAGGGCAGCCAACAGTGGCGTAGTCAGAGACCTCGTCAAGCTAACCGCCTACCAACCCAACCGCAGGCCAAGCATGTCAACACCGCAAAGTAAAGTGCGATCTTGACGGGACGCAGGACAAATGTCAGCGCTGCACCCGTCTAGGACTCGACTGCGTCGTCAACAAGAGCCTGCAGACGCTCCTGGACGGCGAGAATGAGTGGAAGGTGGAAATGGAAGCCAAGGTCGAGGCTCTCCAAGCCGCCCTCGCCGAAGTCCAAAGCATCCTCAACATTGCCAACAATGCACACACCCCCTCGTCACAATACGGAACGGCAGCATCAGCCTATCAGCAGCATCCTGCTCATGTAGGACAGACGCTGCAGAAACCTACAGCCTCTGTGCCGCCCCTCTCTCAGCTCCAGCAGCATCAGCAACACCAACAACAGCACCAACCTCAGCAGCAGCAGTCTCGGCCCAGCTTCTCTGATAGCCACTCTGCTATCGACGTCAAGCCCAGTCTATCGGCCGCGGCCACGCCCAACGGTCCGTCCCCGAGCCGCCCCCGAATCACGACAGCCATGACACGAGAAAACTCCATCGAAGCCGAGAACCACGAGCCGTACGACGAGGCCATTGTCAACGCCCCCATGGCCAGCCTCTTTGAAGTGACCAAGCTGCGCAACATTCGCAGCGATCCTGGCGCACACATCCATCGACCGTCGAGCCGGCAGACAGAGCCCGACTTTATATCACAGGGCCGCATCAGTGTGGAAGAGGCCGAGGCGCTGTTTGCTAGCTTCCGTGGCACGCTTAATGCCTATCTATGGGGAGGTATTGCCCTCGTGCACGAGACGCTTGACTCTGTGCGTGCATCGTCGACACTGCTCACATCGGCCATTCTAGCCGTCACGGCGCTGCATGCGCAGGATGAAGGACGCTCATACGACGTCTGCTACCCAATCTTCCTAGAGCTCGTCAGCCAGACCATGTTTGACCGTTATCACACGCTTGATGACGTGCGGGCCTTGTGTATTGGTGCATTCTGGCTGTCCGATGTTAGCTGGAAGCTGTCCGGTTTGGCGGTGCGCATTGCGACTGAGCTTAACTTGCATCAGGCCTGTGCCAAAGCTCTCCACGACGGAACCAGCTACGCCCAAGAAGCCCGACTCTGGTACTTTCTCTACGTCTGTGACCACCACTTTAGCATTGCGTATGGTCGACCACCCGTCATCAACGAGAATCCGACCATTACATGCCACGAGCACTTTTTACAGCGACCCGATTGCACACAGGCGGATTTGCGTCTGCACAGCCAAGTCGGCATCTTTATTATTCTTAGCCGCGTCTTCCATACCTTTGGTCCGGATCGATCACGGATGATTGGAAGTGACGAATTTGAGACTCTTCGACGGTTTGACGCCGACATGGGCTACTGGCGGGACCGCTGGAAGACCCGTCTTGAACCCAACCCATACATTTCAGAATACCCAGCCAAGGGCGTCACACTACACTACCATTTTGCACGGCTGCTCCTCTTTTCCATCTGCTTGCGGGGTCTACAGCCAAGTGGACAGGCTTCCATGTCTCCTGAGCGGCGCCAATTTGTCAACATGGCGATTGCCAGCGCTGCTGCTGCACTGGACCTTATTTTGAATGATACTGATATGCGCCGTGCTGTCATTGGAGTGCCACTGTACTTGCTGACGACCATGGCATATGCCTGTCTGTTTCTCATGAAATGCCAGTCGCAGTGGAAGTCAGCCAACCTCAACATCCACCACGGCGATGTAGTAGCGTTGATCGAATCGACGGTCCAGCTGCTGGAGGACACACGCTCTTGTGTTCGACACGTCGCCCATTACCTTGGTCGGGGTCTTCGCGGAATGCTAGAGAAGCTCAAGGAGCATAACGATGCGGAACGCCAGCAGCTACAGCAGATGCAGCAGCAGCAACATCAACAGGCGTTTGACGACAAGTCTGGCGGTGCAGCGATGCAATCGGCTAATATCTGGGCCCAGGGACAGGGCCAAGCGTGGCCAGACTGGAACTCGTGGATGTTTGGCACCAATGGGATGCCGCAGTACACGTTGGCGCCTGAGTACAACTTTCTGGGGGCGCTTAATTCGCAGCTGCCTGAATGAGTGATTGCTGGTGGATAGACAAGATGGCGAGAACGAGCGATGAAAAGTATTTGTAGAATTAGTAGCAAGCGGTGATACATTTCCAATCCATTTCATTTTATTTACTTGGTGCCCGGATGGATTTTGTTTTGTGACGGCTTGCTAAGTGATAGATGCCTGTGATAAAGCAGTTCAACAGCACTATAAGGCATGATGTACTTATGTGGGACATACGAAATACGTCGCACTATATTTGTAGTACTATAGAGTAGAACTATCTCCATTAACTCTCATTATAATCTAGTAGCTGATACGCTGGCGGCGGGTCCATTACCACCACGTCTAGACATGCCGTTATATACTATATGTTCAAGATTTTGTTAGTACGTAGTTTAAATCACCAGAGTAGAACTGCTCATACCTCAATATGGCACCCTGTCCCTTTGGATATTCCCACCGTGATATTCAGCGAATATTCAAGATTCAGCAAGCATGATTTCAATGTAGGTTTGGATTGAATCACTGTAAACTTCTTCCACTCACCCAAATCCAGTTCCAGAATATCAGTGGCAACGGGCACCAATCCGACAATCAAGCAGCCACGACGATCATGGACCAGCAACTGTGACGATGATCGAACGGTAGCTGTCGCGCTGCTTTGTAACTGCATATTTATGCTGCGGACATAAATATTCCCATACTGCAGAACTTCGATTGGCGTGTGTAAGATTAATCGAACTGGCGTCCCACGGCCGCGCATCAGAATCGGTGGCTGTGGAAGAATAGCCTCTAGCCTCAACGAAGGCGAGTACGGAGGAAGATAAGGGGTCCGCCTGTTGTCGGTTTGCGCTTCGGGGGATGTTGCCAGGTTGTTGTTGAACTTATCAGCTTGGAGGGTGGCCGTGCATGATGATTCCATTGATGGGATGATTGGGTTGCAAGTAAACGGAAGGATCTGTGCCACAGTTTTCCTCTTCATTACCCGCCCAAAACCACGTCGTTGCACGGAAATATTTATCGAATATTTTGTTTTAATTCTCATTTGTTTATCGGATATGTCCAGCGTCGATGGAAGAAGGCACTTGGTGTTGCATGCACATGCCAAGCTTGTTGGGAAACGAAAGGCGAAAGAATAAGTGTAGGTGCAGGTCAGAGTGCATATGCTTGATACTGTAGTTGACTTTGATTCCTCAAATAGCTAGGTAGATATCAGTGGTATTCTTGGCAGAAGAATTCCATACGACTCACTGTGTAGTTTGACTTGTTCATGCTACACCCGTTCCTTTGCGGTGATAGAATAAGTGTTAGGCAGCCTAATTTTGAATGATAATTATGAGAAATCCATTAAGAAAATACAAGTTGAATATACTGCATACCGGAAAACCTCGCGGTGACCTCGCCAATACTCGTCGGCTTACAGCCCTCTATTTGAAGGTTGACATGTAAACTGTCTCCAGGCCGAAATGCCTGCGAGTTAACGTCGCGGTCAGTAGTAAGCTTCAATTTCATGATACGAAATAATATTTTGTAATTTGAAGCTGGGGCTACAGAACGGCAAAGATAATATTCACACGTAGACGGTGTCCGAAATGTGTTTATGGGGGATGACAACTTACGCAGCAGGCAATAAGAACATACGATATCAGCCCTTCGATTCTGTTTGCAAGGCGAGAGCGGAAATAGCGGGCTAAGGCATAGTACAGCGATTTGCAGATGTACTACCTGTACGCCTTGTCCTATTATAGTATGCCCCGAATTAGCTTGGTCTCTTTTTGTGGAGAGATACATATCTGCGGTTAAAACAAGAGGCTCGTGACCTTAGCAAGTCAGTTCAGCTACACCCAGCGTGCCTCCACTGGCATGACAAGAGACCCGGTATATCCGGCTACCAAGAATTATTACTACAAACAACAGCAAAGCAGCAACTCATCCCGCCCTTCGCCGCTTGTTAACCATAATTGAACAGTATGGACAAAATAGATAATCCCCCGCCGTCCACCGGCGCCGAATACAGGCGCCAGCGAGTTGCCAAGGCCTGCCAAACATGCAGGTCCATGAAGTCTAAAGTATAAGCAGCAAATACTACTATGCGCGTTTATATGTACGCTTTACTAATTGATCGCAGTGCGACGGGTTACAGCCAGAATGTTCGAGATGTCGAGCGTATGGGTACAGTTGTATATACCGCTCACAACGACCACGTACAAAGTCCCTGGCTGGCACTCGCTTCAGCGCTACTCTCTCTGCGCGGTTCCCCAGTTTGTGTCAAGCCATCATGCAACAAGAGACATTGCTGGGCGAGGTCATTTCCCAATTGCCGCTCTCAGAACACAAGGCGGCGACCAAAAAGCGTTCGCGCGTCAAAGTAGAAATGGACAATGCTCTATCAGATATTGACACCGACAATATCCAACCGATTCCTGCTACCGACGGTGTAGAGACTGCGGACTCGTGTGAACCATCTTCCCCCACTGACGTCGAACAGTCACCATGCTATTTGGGCGAGGTTAGTGATATTCGCTTTGTCCATGTTGTCAAACAATTCCTGCAGTCCCAAGATGGAACTACCGCCGCCCCAACCGGGTTAGAGAGCTACGACCAAGGCGATGGAGCGATAGTTTCAGACCTGGAGGCTTGCAAGGGGGTCTTGCTGCCTGCTTTGGAAGAAGCGAAACCATATATAGATGCGTATTTTTCCACAATTCACGTTGCCTATCCATTTATACCCCAAGCACTTTTCATTGAAGCATATCAAACCATCGGTGGCCCTGACACACAGTCGGCATGTAGCCGTGGCGTCAAGACTGCTCTAACTTGTAAGTTACACTTGTTGCATGATCAAAGCGCTTTCTTTCAGGCCTTACGTTGATTGCTTTAGATACGGTATGCGCCATCGGAGCATATTATACATCTTTACTCGGTCATGAAGAAAAGGAAGATATGCGACATGAAAAATACTTTTCGACGGCACTCAGATTGGCGCCGACTGCCACTATTGAACGGTCCGTCACACAAATTTCACTCTTACTAGCAAGGTGCTTTTATCTTTTAGTTGTCTGTAGAACAGAGAGGTATAATGTTAAAGCTATGGTGATTAAAAGATGTATCTGCTAACTCTCTTGTAGCTGTTGGACTATGCTTGGACAGGCTGTTCGTGCGGCGCAAAGTATCGGACTGCACGTCGAGACTGATGCTACTGACAATCCAACTGAAGCCACATTGGTAGAAGTGGAAAAGCGACGGCGACTGTGGTACTCTATTTATGTCTTGGATCGCCTGCTGGCGCTACAGCTAGGTCGTCCCCCTGCCATTCATGACGACGACTACAATGTCCCGTTACCGTCTCGAGTTAGTGATGCCAACATTGACTGGAGGGGGACTTTTATTAACGAATGCGACACAAATGGCCCGTCCGAAGGGGACTATTTCCTAGCTGTTATAGCTTTTTCTGAGATCGTCGGTCGCGTTCTTCGAAGTCTGTACTGCCCAAAACGACGTCATATTACCTCAGAAGATCTTCTCAACACAAAGGATCTTGATGGGCAGTTGTCGGCATGGAAGTTAGAGCTTCCAAGGTCCTTGCGGTTCGATTTGGGTCATGCATTTGAGCAATCTTCAATCCTCAAACGACAGGTAGGCTTGTCGTATTCTAGCAGCGCATGGCCACTCCATCCTATGTTGTCAGCTTCTGATTAATGCCTTCTAACTGTCTATAGAGAAATATGCTAGCTATCAAGTATCATCATCTTCGCGCATTAATCCACCGCCCATATCTATGTCATCCACTGTTGATGTCCGCACACGACTCTGACTCAAGCGGATCTGAACTAGACTGGTCTCTAGCACGAGCATACGAGAAAATATGTATTATGGAGGCTCGAGAGACAGCAAGATTGCTTCATAGCATATCCAGCAAAAAGGACTTGGTTAGTGACTTCCCATGGTGGCAAATGATTTCGTGTTTGGTTTGCGCTAGCTCCATTCTACTTGTGTCTGGCATACTTGCGCAAACTAGATATGAATCATTTCTTGACTTCGATACTACTAGTCTTTACGATGATGCAGAAACCTGCTTGAAAGTATTCGATGCTCTTAGCATCAAGTCGCCAGGTGCACGGATTGCTCGAGATATGATGAAGGCTCTCAGGGAGTGTGGCATAAGATGGAGTGCGTATAATATTATGACGTTATTTGTGTAAATATACTAGCTAACTATTTACAACAGGTACCAGCGACAGTATGGGCAGGCACAATATAGCCAGCGGCACAAGTACCAACCCTGAAGTTCGGCGGTCAGTACCAGAGGCATACTCACAAATAACGTCGATATATTCAAGTGAATTCGATCAGCTTTTAGGGCTATCTGGAGCCCCGATCACGTCCAACTGCTACTGGCCAACGGAAATCGTAGATTCCATGACTTGGTCAGCGCAATTCTTCGATCCCAGCCCTACAAGACAAGCGCATACTACACACAGCAGGCAAGAGTCTGACCAAGAGCAGTAGAATAGCTTTCTATTATATATAATTATAGGGTTAATTCAATAACAGATTAAACAATAGTTAATTTTATTGGATCTTTGAAATAGAAAACATAACCTTAGTCTACATCGCTCTCTAGTCCTTCGCTCACTGGAGTGCATGAATATGGGCGACCCGATATATCCGTGTCAGGGTAAGTAAATACCTTGTTGATCCGTATTAGCCGACGCAACGAACCAGGAAATGAAATGATCCAATATATACGACTTTCTTTTAATAGATTAAAATTTTATTGCTGACCGTATGTACGTTTTAAATAAATACCGTTGACTTCCAACAACATAGAATCATAAGCACCGACAATTTACGGCTCTAAGCTCAGCAAGTATTACCGGCATGGTTGACTGGCTATAAAAACGTACAACGATACACACTGTGGCGCAATGCAACAATCTTTACGGTCGTCAGATATAGCGGACAATGGCTCAATGAAGTCATGGATGAATCTCAGCGAACTTGGTGTTGTTCCACGAGTGGACGATGGTATCGACGCGATCGTACAGGGCCGACGCCCCAGAGAAGTCGAAATCAACGGTCTAGAGCCTGCAGAATTATCACAGCAAACATCTGGCCACTCTGATGATATGGTAACGAGCAAACGGCCGTCGACAACTGCAATACAGCTATATACACATTCCTATCTTATTTTCTTTTCTATGCTCGGTACACTAGCGAGAAAAGGCCTCACCACCCTGACATCATACCCGGGGACCCCCGTCACTTTTGACACCATCTGGCCAAACTTTGCTGGGTGTTTCATAATGGGCTTTCTCCTCGAGGACCGCAAATTATTTTTACACGAATGGGGGTCATCTACATATGATCAAACGTTGATGGAGGCCCAGCAACAGCGAACCCATACAGAACATGGGAGGCAAACAGAACAGGATCATGTTGACCTGACTGCGGCGAGAGCAGCCTTCATGGCTACTAAAAAGTCAATCCCGTTGTATATTGGGCTTACCACGGGCTTTTGCGGATCTCTAACTACATTTTCAGAATTTATTCTTGACGTCTTTCTAAGTATGTCCAACCAGCCTGCCTCGCTTGCTTCTCCAACTGAGCCTACTGGCCGCAATGGTGGGTATAGCTTCATGGCTCTCTTTGCAGTTATCATTGTCACTATATGTCTATCATTGTCAGCGATGCGACTTGGAGCCGACTTAGCAGTTGGCATGGAGAGCTTAACACCGCCATTGCCAATTTCGATTACAAGAAAAGTTGTAGACTGCAGCGTCGTGGTTCTTGGTTGGGGTTCTTGGGTTGGTGTAATTACACTCTGCATCCTATCGCCGCATATTGCATGGCGTGGCCGTACAACGCTTTCTCTTGCCTTTGCGCCCTTAGGTGTTATTCTTCGCTTTCATCTTGCTATTTTGCTCAATAGCAAGATTTCTACTTTTCCATTGGGGACATTTCTAGCCAATGTTTTTGCGTCGGCTATTGTAGCCGCTGTGTGGGCTATGGATCATGCGAGCGTTGGGGGTTTAATAGGATGCGAGGTGCTGCAGGGCATCGAGGGCGGGTTCTGTGGATGCTTGAGTACTGTTTCAACATGGGCGGCGGAGTTGAACTCACTCGGGCGAAAGTACTCGTACTTTTACGGGATACTTAGTGTTTTAGTATCCTTAGTACTTGTTGTAATCATTGCTGGGGTGCAAAACTGGGCTGTTGGTATACAGCCTCTTCTTTGCTGAATTATAGGGATTTGGCGCGATATAGTTAGCGCTAGAATAAGACTAACTTAGAACTACTGTAGGTAGTTAATTAAATCTACTTCGTCTACTCTTGTATTTTGCTTCCAGAAGGTTATCTTATAAACGTTTTATAGAGACGTCTAAGTATAATTTATAAGGTTATCTTATTTTATAGTATTAATAATTAAACGGCACTCAACATCTATCTTCCAGAGAGTTGAATATTTTTATTCTACGGAGAAAAGAGGCTGATGAACACTAGCCTCTGTACAGTGGTAGTGGAGTGCGCTATCTGTCCACCCAGCGCATCGCCGATTAGCTCGCGGCACGTGGTGGGCCAGAAGCGTTGGGTCTTCCTTAGCGTGGCTGTCAGCAGCCGTTCTGTTCATGGCGGCTGCTAAAGAAAATTTCCATCCCTACCACCACCACGGTTAAACACTCACTACGCACTTCTCCTTTTCGCCAAAAGTCCAATTTACAACGACAAAACACGCCTATTTCAGCTATTCGATTTGCCATTCACAACCAGTACATGTCTTGCGTGTATTAGCAGCGGGTCAATCCGCCGCCCGTCACGCCGTTGCAATGGCTCCTCTCAACGCCGGCAACAATGACGAAGAGATGGCAGCAATACAAACACCAGGGGCCACCAAGACGCCAATCTCTGCCTCCAGCACTCCTGCTGCTACTGCTTACACATGCTCAGACAAAGACGATGCCGAAAAGAGGCTTGTGCGCAAAATCGACCTCTACTTCATGCCGATTCTCTTCTTCATGTACATTCTCAACTATGTCGACCGCACCAATATTGTTCGTAGCAACTCTCTCTACCACTGAGTACTAGTGCTAACCAATTCCCCCTCTTCTCAGGGCAACGCCAAAATCGCCGGCATGCAACGAGACCTAGCCCTAACCGACGACGGATACGCCTGGGTAGTGTCCATCTTCTTCTTTGGCTACCTAATCTGCGAGGTGCCCTCCAACATGCTTCTCACCCGCAGCCGCCCATCCATTTTTCTACCCGCCATTATGCTCGTCTGGGGTATTCTAAGTGCGCTCATGGCCACGTCCACGACATATGGTGCGATGCTGGGCTTCCGCTTTGTCCTCGGGTGCATCGAGTCGGGCTTCTACCCAGGCGTTCTGTACTTGTTGTCGTGCTGGTACACACGCAAGGAGCTGGGAAGGCGATTTGCCATGTTTTATACGGCAGCTGCACTGTCTGGTGCTCTGGGAGGCATCATTGCTGGTGCCATCACATCGCATCTAGACGGTGCACACGGCGTTGCTGGCTGGCGGTGGCTGTTTATCATTGAGGGGTGTGCCACGGTGGGCGTCGCCATTATTGCATTCTTTGTCCTGCTCGACTATCCGGCTACGACACAACGATTAACGGAAAAGGAACAGTTTCTCGCGACGCAACGAATTCTAGACGACCAAAACCAAGGCGATGCGAAACTGAGCCACTGGCAAGCGTTCATGGCTGCGTTGTCCGACGCGCGCACCTATCTCTTCGTCCTGCTCTACATGCTGGTCATTGGTGCCAGCACAATATCCTACTTTGTCCCGACTATTACAGCGAGTCTGGGATTCGAAACAGTAACGGCGCAGTATATGACGGTGCCGATCTGGGTAGTGGCAGCCATATGCCTCAACCTAGTGGCCTGGTCGTCGGATCGGCTACAAGAGCGGCGATGGCACACGTCGGGATCTCTGGCTGTAGGCTTTGCAGCCTGTGTCATTTGTGCCACGGTCCATAATGCCGTGGCCAAGTATATCATGGTATGCTTAGTGACGTCTGCAGTTGTCTGCGCAACAGTGCTGTCCCTGACATGGACATCAACGGTCATGGATGCGCCTCGCGAGAAGCGGGCGATTGTCATTGCGCTTGTCAACGCTTGTGGCAACTTTGCCAGCGTCTACGGCAGCCGCATCTGGCCACAGAAGGACTCTCCCAACTACCATCTCGGGTTTGGAGTCTCAGCCGGCTTCTTGGGGTCTGCGGCTGTTCTAACTGCACTCATGCCCATTGCCTTTGCGGGCATCCAACGACGAGCGCGTCGACGAGTCGCAATGGCTGCCCCTACATCGTGATTTATTTCAATATTGTACATTAGATAAAAGACATTCCTGCATAGAGAGCGATAGCATATAGAGAGCGAGCGTTGGTTTCTGTACACATTTTCCATACAATTAGATTGATTATACCAATCACAAACCCTACATAGCATAATAAATATTAACGAAATCGTCCCCAAAAACGGCGACAATCTCCAAGAAAGAATTAAAAAAAACGAGCAATATACCGTATCCAACTCCAACCAAAAGCCAGTGTTTTTCTGCTCTTCATACAAACCCTACTCCACGCCATCACTTCTGCCTTTGTGTTCGCCAGCAGATTCCAATTCCTCCATTTACAACAAAATCAAGTCTTTCTCCCGAAAAGATGCGACCAGGCATCATAACCTCAGTGTAGTATGTCTACATACGCAACAGCTTACTCGCTGCCAATGACACCCAGGCCAACAGCCGTCAAGAGCGTAGCGACAGCCCAGACACCCGCATACGAAATCGAGCCACAGGCCTCAACACCACGAATCGACATGCTGCTGGACAAGTAGGTGCCGACAGATGTAGCCACAACAGCCAGAGCAGCGCGGCGAATAAGAACCTTTGTCTTCGTCGTATAGCCCCAGACATTCCACCAAACAGTCTGCTTGAGGGAGGCATCGGCAGGCACAAACTGGCGAATCTTGTCGTCATCCTTGGTCTTGCTGGTGGTAGCAAACGACGGGAAAAGGAACGCGCTGGCAACAATACCAAAGGCCGCAGCGACAGGCAGCACAGAAATAGGGCTAGCACTGTAGGCGAGCTCGACGGACGGGATGCCCGCAAAGCGCATGACAAAGACGCGGGCAAGGTAGAACCGCAGCGCAAGCGAGATGGTGACGCTGTAGATGGCGACGGCAAAGGCGGACGTGTGTAGCTGCGACACAAAAGTCAGCAGCTCGCGGTTGTAGAGGCGGCCGGGAGTCTTGGAGTGCACGTTGGAGAGCGGGCGGAACAGGTGGAAGGGGACAGCGGCGGCGAGGACGTCAATGGCCAGCGAGCCAAGAGCTGCGAGGGGGCTGACGGCGTAAAAGTTGTACAGGAGGTATGTCTATAACACAAAAATCATCATTAGCATCTCCGTCATTCACAACAGTATATGTCGCGGAGTTCGTTTGTACTTACACCAGGGGCGGTAGACATGAAAGCCATGGCAGCCGCATCGAGGCTGTCAAGGTTGGCAAACCACGCGAGGGCAAGAGAAACGCTGTTCAACTGTCAGTATATACCAAATATCACCCAGAGGAAATCAAAAACATACAAGCGCCATGCAGTCTGCACGCCAAGATCGCGCACAACATCACCGCTGCTCCGCAGCGCCGTCAACTCGCGGCCCGTCACCTCGCCCAGCGCATACTGGCCACCCGTCGCAATCGCAATACTCAGGACCTGCGCAAGCGCAAAGTCCACGAAAGGATTGCGCGCGGCAGCACGGGCATCGGCAGCAATGGCGGCCTTCTTCTCCTTGGACTGGCGGGGACGCTTGGTGCCCGAAGCAGGCGTGGGTGTAGCTGTTGTTGTTGCTTTTGTTGCGGATGCGGTCGTCTTAGCGTCCTTGGCTGGGGTCGCAGAGGCAGTCTTGGGTGTCTTGGGCGTCTTTACGGCGGGCGAAGAGGAGGAATCGGCATTCTCGCCTTTAAGAGATTTGCGAGGCATTGTTTGTGTTCGCGGTTGTTGTTTTTCGTGGTGGTGTTGGTTTCGACGCGTGTGCGTGTGTCCTGTTTAGTAGCTAACTAGAGAGCGCCAAGCTGGGCTGTCCGTGTTTGTGTTTGTAAAAGTGAAAAATTGCAATTACTGTAAGTAGAGCAGTAGAGGAGATAACCAATTGCACGTAATCAAACTCTTATCAGAGCAAAGAAACTGGCGCAAGGATTGGGCGCGACTGGATTTACAACACAAGTGCCTTGGTGCAGGTATTTTTTGGGGGGGCGTCTGTCGCGACAGGCTGTTTGCGGAGGGAAGCGCGTCACTGGGGCGCAAATCACTTGCCGGTCTGCCGCCAAATGGGAATGACGACGCAAGTTAAAAAAAAAAGCCCACTAAATTAGCGAGCAAGGCACGACCAAGTCTAGTCAGCGCTAGGGAAATTTGGCCAATCTCCATTCCTGCTGTACAAGTCACTGGATAGAAAATCTAGACAAGCATAGCTATACAATTGCGTGTATTTGGGTTATGGTAGCATGTTACTACTAGTAGTACTATAAGCACGGCAGCGTCCGCTCGACGCCCCTCCATCCCTTGACTTTAACCTCGTGGAGATGCAATCGCGCTCGCCAAACTCTGTCCCTGTTCAGATGCCATGATGCATCGCAAAGACAATGGCTCTTCCAGCAAGCGGGCTCTCCACTCTTCGGTGTCAAAGCATGTCGGCGGAGCCAAACCACCACGTACTCGGTTTGGGGATATATATCGTTATACAAAAGAAAAATCAGTCCGCGCGCCATGGCCACCAAGCCGCTCCCAATCATGAAAACGGCTGGTGTCAATCCAAAAAAAGAAGAAAAAGAAAAAAACAATACTGGTCCATCCATGCCTGACTCCTGGAGATGATGATGCTGCGTACACAACATTATATGCAACAAAAACAAAAGACGCCGCTCCCCCTTACTCCTCCATTCGGCCAAATACTCCATCGTCATCTTCATCGCTTCGTGCTGTTCGTGATCTCGCCTCCACATCGTCATCGTCCGTCATGGATTCGTTGGTTTCCTCCATCTTGACATCTTCGCTTCCGCGTCGCAGTTCACCGCGGGTGAAGCTCTCGGGCTGGCGGCTGGGAAAGCTGTTGATGAAGCTCTTGGAGAGAGATGTAGCCTGGTCAAGAAACTGGGCGGGGACGGCAGGGACTGGTGGTGCATCCTTGTGCATGATGACGGTGCCCTGCGATCCATTGTTGCTGTTAAAGCTGCAGCTCAGTAGTTCCACAGCAGCAGCCAAATCTCGGTCGTCCTTTCCGGTAAGGTTTTGGCCAGACGATGGGCGACGGTCGCCGGTCCAGGGCATGCCACCGGAGAGAAGCGAGCTGTTGTTGGTAGTAGTGGGGTGGTAGCTTCTGGAAAAGGTGATTTGCTCTTGAGGCTTCTCGCGGTACGAGAGCCCGTTGAACAAGTTGCCATCGTGCGACGGAGGAGGGGTTGTCTCGACCGAAGACTGGCGATCGCCGTGTTCCGAGAAACCCGATGCCGCGGGGGATGCTGAGTCGGGCTCGCTGGCAGAGTCCTTTGTCGATTCAGGAGGCGTGGCAGCGTCGGCCTCCTTGACAGGGCCGTTCATGGCGACCAGGACAGAGGCAGCCTCAAGGAGTTGGACCTGCTGGTGTTTCGAGATGAGGAGCTTTGAGGTGAGCGACCATTCGGGAGTGTGTTCCCACCTAGTGATGGGTATGTTAGGATATGTCTTATTGTGTGTATATAGAGGCAACAGTAGCAACGGTGACAGAACAACGACAGCGGGGTTGTCACGCTCCAAAAGAGCACCGGAACTGGCCAAAAAGACGCCAATCATAACTTACAAGTGCTTGGTCAGGCAACTGCTGTGCTTGTAGCTTTTTCCACATTGGTCACACTTGACTTCGACGCGGTTCTTTTTGCCCTCCTTGGACAGAGGCTGGCCGTCGCTGGCACGGCGAGCCGAGAGACTCTTGAAATCGGTGCCTTCTTCGTCCGAGGGGCCGTTGGAATCGTCGTCGATAGCACTGTCGATATTGGCGCGCTGGATGGGCAGGCTGGCGGGTGGGGAGGGCAGGCTGGCCGCAATGGATGCCCGCATAGCGGCAGACTTGCTCATTGTGTTTCGTCGGGCTCCATTGGAGATGGGAATGGCAGCGGAGCGTTCGGAATCGGCAATGACGGCCGTGAGGGCGGCGACGTTGGGGGCGTTGTTGGTGACGGACTTGCGGCGCGTGACCCGGTGGTTAGGGTTGAGGGAACCGGAGAGGAGAGAATGCGAGTTGTTTCGAGCGTGAGAGGATCGGTTCGGGAGAGAGTTGGAGGGAGTCGAGAGGGAAGGGCGCTGGTGCGCGATGGGCCTAGAGGCGTACTGCATCTCCTGCAGGGACGAAGAATCCATGGTCAGCCAAAACAACGTCCTTACGGGAGCGATACCAAGCCAAGAAGGGCAGCCTCTGTGGAATCAGGTTGTAGTAAATCGTACTTTTGATGAGGCCATTTGCCCAACGGCTTGATGCTAGATGCTCTCGGTGACGCGAGGCGACAGACGGGAGACCACTCGTTGCGTAGAGTGGAATTGGCGGCAGGGATGAGCGGCGACACTGCCTCGCGTGGGTAATGACGCGGAGGGGAAGTGAGGTGCCTTGAACGGGCTTGTAGCAAGCAAGCAAAACGAGAATAAAAAAAGAGAGGTTTGAAAATGTGCGTTGTTGGATCAAGTCAAGGGAGAGTATGTAGTATGAGAGAAAAAAAAAAGAGAGAGCAAAGAAAAAAAAAAGATGTCTGGGAGGGGTTTTCGGTGGCCGGCTTGTAAGGGGAGGGGCGACGTGGTCCGGCTGGAAGCCAGGCAATCGCAGGAGAGAAATAATATTTTTGGGAAGAACAGGCCGCCAAAGGGGGGTGTGTGTGCGAGGGTGGCTCAGTCCCGTGGGGAGGGGGTTTGCGTAGCACACCAGACAATCCCCACCTGTGCCCAGAAGGGCAAAGAAACGAGCATGCGATTATCGGGTCGCGGAACGAAAAGACGACAAGAGAGCGAAATACAGAAGCAGTAGAGCAAAGACAATAGACATGCATGCGAATTGGGTACGATGCTAAAACGAAACACGGAAGCATTGGTCCATGGTAGGCACGTGTGTCTGCTACAAGAAAAAAAAAGAGAATGGTGTTCAGCCCAGGGGTAATAGAGCGTCCGAGCATCAGCAGCACAGCATCTTTTGCCACAGGCCCAGCCTAGCCCAGACATGGATTGGATGGCATGTTATGGTATAATAATAGCCTCTGCAAAAGGCACAAAGCCTCGTCCAGTGTGCTCACTTTCTCTCTCACTGTACGGCTGTTATTCCTGGGCGGGCGTAGTCATTTACGCGCCGAGCAGAGGCAAACAGCCTCACTTACAGAGGCATGGCCACGCTCTGTAAGAATTGATGGATTCTGTCGGTCCAATACCTCTACTAATTCTCCCTCTCTTTCTCTCGCTCTCTTTATTTTTCAATGTTTTTTTTTCTTCAGCATCGCAGCCTTGTTTCTGTTTTTTTCTACGGTCGTTGAGGCTACAGCGCTGCCCACACCCAAGCAAAAGAGGCCACCCAGCCCACATACCCCCGCGTGCTGAAAAAGCCCGTTTATTACGATGCTTAGGTTCCAGCAGATTCCAGCACCCCCAGCAAGTCATCAACGGCCTAAAGTGGGTCTGAATACCGGTCTGCTATTGGTCCGTTGCCTGCGTTTGTCCAATTTGGTCACCAGGCCACTTGGGCAAATCGAGATGGAGGGGTGTGGCAGCACACTGCACCAGCATCAGCGCCAGCACCAGGCAGTGAAGTAGCGCCTGTACCTGAAGTCGCGCCGCTGTTCCTGCGCCCGCCCAAGTACATGGGGGAGACGTTTCAGGGCTATTCTCTTTCTGACAGTGGTGGTCAGCTCAGGCACTTTCAGTGCTGACAGGCTTCAAGAAAAAAAAACGAAGTTTTCGTAGCTGCCTACAAAGTGCGTACTGTGGTAGGAGAATCGAGAAGAAAAAAAGAGTTGCGAGACACGAGGTATTGCCACTCACTCCGACAACTGCCTTTTTCCCAACAATAGCTCAAATCAACCCCCGTGTTTTAAGAGACCAAGCCGGGGCAGCAGGCGTGGGCTTGGTACTGTAGAGCAAGTTAGCCTAGGCGCCGGCAGGCAGGCAGACAGACAGAATAGGGGACAACCTCGCCACTAAACCCAGGAAATTAACACCATATCCACCAAGAGACACAGACATCCTTTCGCTCAGTTGTTGCTGCCAAAGCACAGCAAGGGAGGGCACCAGCAGTAAAAGGGAAATGGAGATTAGAGCTACGCTTTGTAACATTACCAATGCCTTTTTGTGCCCAGTCCAATCTACGACCTCCGTGCCGGGCCCTCCGACTCTCCAGAACCCGGCACTTGCACTGCTATTCGTCCATGGGCCGTATTGGTATACTATGAGCATTAAAATAACACGGGCTGGCTACGCAGCGAGCCAGCTAACCACCCAACCCCCTGAAAATAGCAGGAAAACGTACCATTACAGACACGGTACGACTCTCTCAAACAGGCCATTATTAGCAAGGTCCTGTCCACTATTGCCGCTACTACAGTGCGCTCACTACCACGCCTGCGCCGTTGCTGCCCTGAACTCGGCCCCAACCACACTGTCGGCCGTAGTCTGCTGGCTAAACGCTGGCACCACTCACACCACTGAGCAGAGAGCCCACTTAGCGCAGGGGGCAGCGGGCGTCGTTACTCCTCCAAGCTGCGCTGTCGCTGTCTTTTCTTTGGGTGGCACGCCGCACATAACTCCACTGGGCTGCCTACGGCTGCTACACGGCGAAATTGATGCTTTTATTCTGGGGCGGTAGTCTAAACGGAGGGCTCCGATGGTAACTGAACGAAAGACATCGTTATGCCCTAACCACCGTAGACGTGGCGGGTGCTCCCTAGAGCAGCAGAACGGGCACTAATAGACTCGCCAACACAGGACAAGCTAACACGTGTTTGGTCAAGAAGCAGACGACTATACACTTGAAGAAAACCCAACGATCGATTGACAGTCGATCACAGCGTTTGCGACCAGATTTTCTCTGTGAATCGCGTCTCTAGTGTATAGATTTATGCATCTAACGAATATCCCTTCCCCAGCAGGAACTTGCTTACACTCCAGCAGCAGCAGCCTGCCTTGACTTTTTGCTTTACTGTGCATGCTAGATGAGAGAGACGGGGAGTTTCTTTGGGCAAAGGCGTTCCCATATAGTGGACCCTGTCCACACTGCACACCCCGCCCCCGCACCGGGCGAGTAAGTGCAGTCAGCTGCCCAGCGCCAACAGCCGGGCTGCACCACAGTGGAAAAGTTGGGGGAGCGACCGAGCCACCGTCCCAACTTTTTTTTAGGGGGCACTACGTCAACGATTGAAAAAAATTAACTTTGGTGCGGCACGGAACAAACCTTTTATTGCCATGTGTTTCTTTTTTTTAGGGTTTCCAACATTCATCTGGTGCTTAGTTGGACGGAACAAACGGGCGCATGGTTTAGGTAAACCCAATCCAATTGCAAGCACTGGCTGCGTGTAGTGTCACCCTCCTCCTCCTCCAGCCCATGGGTATAGCCGACAAGCAGTGCGCTTTTGGGGTCACAGCATGCAAAGAGGGGTACTGACTGTGGTGGTGCAAAGAACTCGCACGCCTCCTCTGGACTGTTTGTTAGTATCGCTATAATAAACCTCCTGTATTGGGCAAAGGCGGGGAAGCAGATGCGCAATTGACCCCAGACTACAGCAATTGGACGGTGGTTGGCCGACTGAATTCAATTTCCAACGACCTGCCTCATTCATCCAGCGTGCTCCAGTTCTCTCTGACATTAACCCCAGGCTCCCGATCTCGGATCAACAACCCATCTCCTTGTCTCTCTGGGCTATCCTTGCCAATTGGAGAAGACGTCGTTGATCGCTCACTGTTTTGTACGATTTGCATCACAATTGGTAGGAATTGGACCTCGACTGGCATCGCATTCTGGTTTTCTCTCACCTATCCTACGGAGGTTTTTTTTTTGTTTGGCCGCCAACCCCAGCCCACCACTACCACCACAAGCTTTAGCGGCTACGGGCGGAAGGCTCTGGCTGCCGCCACACTAGCCATGGTCCTGACTGGACAAGTCGGTCGCGGAGGAATAACAGCCGTATTTGGCAAGGTGCCGGCCATGGTAAAAGATGCTTTTAAGGTTCCGGAGAGGATCTGGTTAGTTTGTTGGCGCTGACTGGTCGCATCTAACCGAACACCGGAGCGGTAAACAACAACAACAACAACACAAAAAGTTGTCCTTTTTCTTGGGCTGTCAAAGTCACATCGCTTGTCCGGCTAAGGACTCCTGCCAAGTTGCTTGAGCCTCGGGTTGGCTGCGGAGAAGTAAACAATGGGACTATTGGACAGAGAGACAGACAAGTGGGAAAAAGCAACGCTCCCCTCAGCGACGCCGATCCTCAAATCCCAAATTCGGGGCTATTCCAGACCCCATGTACAAAGCAGCAGGTATTCTTCTCCCCAAGCACCACCCACTCGCACCACCACCACGACCGCCGCCGCTCGCTGCCCCTCTGTGGTGCTGCGGTGCGGTGCGGTGCGGAGCAAGTTATGGAGGGCTTACCCAATATAAGCAATTGTGGTGCATCTACCGCTGGATGTGGAGGGGTGTGTGGCGACGACAACCACCGATGGCAGCAGTTAGGGTTGATCTATTCTTATTGTTTAATCACTGAGCATGAATTGAAGGAGACCAAGAACACGACCTCCATGCTACCAACATACAGTACTGTAAGAAGCCCTAAAAGAACGCCTGCGTGTATCAAACCCTACTGCGATTCCACGGTGGCCCCGGGGCGATATAGTGCCGTGGGGGTAATCGGCGCAGTCACCACCGACATGCCTTGGCAGCTCAGCTATTACAGTACCGCTACTATTACTATTACCACTCACTGTAAGGTGAATTACCTTTGTAATAATGTCTCGCGTAGTTGCATACCCGTCCAGGTAAATCAACCCCCAAGACCCTTGAATTCGGCACACAAAAAAGGTTAAAGCCCTCTCCCAAAAAAACAAAATATCCGTATGGCCCGTGAGGGCTGGATGTGCACATTCAGAGCCATGGACGTCCCCACGTGGGCGCAGCGCCTAGGCCCCTGTACTCGGCCACGCCACGCCATTCAGCTGGCTCCAGAGCAGAGCGGGCGGGTGTGTAGCCTGAATAGCGGACGATAGAGTCAGGGTTAGTGGCCGGGTTTGTCCAGTGGGATCGTGATAATCGTAGCAACGGCCAATTCCAAAGCAAGCACTTTTTAAGAAGAAAAGAAGTCATGCAGCTGGGGACGGAAACAGGCTGTTCTCCTTTGCAGCCAGCCACTGGTTCTCTGTTCATCTCATGCACGGCCAGCGCATACTCCCAAGCCCCCCAGAATGGATATCGCTTTCGTACAGGGAGGCAATTACTGCACAGTACAGTTTTTGGTAGTAGCCGTCACGATAGCGCTACAGATTAGGGCTTCGGCTCGGGAAGCATAGTTAGCGTGGGGTTTTCCTCCGTGGTGGCTTTCTGGCAGGCCCCAGGCGCACCCATGCCTCAGACAGTCTCCATCGGCTTGCTGCTCTTGCTGCAGGCTGTTCTCACCTGATGTGGGGAAGAAAGAAAGTGGGAGGGAGGGAGTGTATGCAGACAAAGGAGTAGCAGATCATAAAAGGAAAAAAAAGGTGGACGAGAAAAAGTCTGGAAGACCCGAACAGTGCAATTGAGCCGGTCCAGAAGATGGCAGCAAAATTCAAAAATTCAATTAGCGGCCGTTGCAGCCTCTCGAAAGCCAACAGTTAAGTGGCACGCGCCTGTTGGTCGTGCGGGGAGAGAAGACAAGCCCCCGCCAACGCCATTACAGGACCTTCTGTCACGATACGATGGCGTCTAGAAGACCCGGATAGCGCAATTGGGTTGGTCTCCAAAAGAATACAATAGAATGCCCACAACGAAAAACGCGATAGAATTATCGGCCGTTTGCAGGCTCTCGGAAGTCAGAAGTGGCTCCATGCTTTAGAAGGAGATGTAAAATTATCTGTACGAGAAGCTGCGCGAGTCTATAACGTAGTCCGCCCGCCGACGCAAGAAAATTATAGTTCGAGCCAATAAGACCCTAGCTTACCGAAAATCAACAGGTAATGAAGAAAGTTTTCTAATTCAATATATTCTTAACTTGCATTCTTAATCTTAACTGCCTTGCCTTTGTGATGTGGAAGGTATGGCTAATCAATTGCTCGATATTTTGGTTGGTCGCAACCGGGTTGTAAGCTTTGTTAAGCGAACTTGTATATAATATAATCACAAAATATAGTATTAAGGAGACTAATATTTACAACTGTGAAGGATGGGGTCTGTTGGTCCCAATCCCTCTATATAAGTAGAGCTGTCGGCAATGTGGAAAATGCGGCATAATTCTCGAACCTATGAAAATGAGGTAGATACCACCTCTTTACATCATTCAGAATAAATTTCATATCTCTTTTTTTAATTATATTTAGAGTTGATACGCTATTCTTTATTCGCTAAAGTTGGGATGGGGGGGTAGTACTATGTCACGACCTGCTGGATCGCTCTATAGTCTATCGGTCACAACACTCACAACAGTCACGATGTCGAAATAGTTGCTACGCGACGTGTTCGCTTGCTAGCTGGCAAATAAAGAAGTTTCAACAACAAGTGTTTGCCAGCTGGCAAAGGAAAGCCGCCAGCTGGCAGGACCACAACAACCTTGTATAGAAATAGAGAAGTGAACTGTGGAAGGAGGGGAGGGATTTGTCCTTCTTCAAGTTTGTTGTCTTCTTTCTATCTCATATATAGAACAGTTAACAATAGCATTATGTTTGGCGAACTTTTCTCGTAATACCTAGACATCTACGTGACATACTATATATAAAATACCCTGCAACACAACAACTACTACGATTGGACATATAGACAAACTGGATTTTATCTATATTGGCTGTTTTGATATATTGGTCTTATCTGCTACGATACCAAGGCTATAATTGCTACAACAACTCTACTGTACGAGTTCTTTTTCTACCCAATAGAGGGTTTTTTCTCTCACCATATATGCAGAATCACGAGGCGATGGTGCGCGGTGAGGGTCCAGCGATGGCAACAAAAACAGTATCGAGTACGTCGTTTTCGCCGACGATGTAAAAGCCGCTGGCCTTGAGCTAGTATATCAGGTCGTCGGTCTCGGAGACGGCGCCTACGCCCGAGAGGTGCCCACCTGGATCACCGTGGCAGCGAGACCCAGACGCTCGCGGAGATGCTGCGCAAAGGTATCGAGGAAGCTGTTTGCGCTGGCGTAGTTGGCCTGGCCGACATTACCAATGAGGTTGGGGATAGAGCTAAGTGACCTCGTCTGGCAATCTACGCCTCCTCTGCTGCAGCCGGCTTCTTCTGCTCCAAGTTCTGACGCCCAACCTCTTCCGTCTCCAGAGACAGCTCCTTGACCAAAAATGAAGACGCAAGACCAAATGCGCTGAAGCTGGTCATTAGATACCAAAGCGCCTTGAACGAGTCGCGGTAGGCTCTTTGCACGGCAGCCATGACCTCGGGTGGCACATTGACGCTGCGTAGATGAGTAATAAAGCCAACAGCTTCAGAAGAGTCTCGAAGGATATGCAATACGTCGGGAAGCGGCTCCGCGTGAACAATGGACTTGGCAAAGGCGCTGCTAAATATAGTAGAGCCAGCGGCGAGGCCCACCAGAGCGCCAAACAGGCGGAACGACACCAGGATGCCCACGGCCAGGCCCTGATCGTCGGGAACAACACTGGCTTGCACTGCAACGGCCGGCACCACAAACTGGACGCCGAGTCCAATGGCCGCAATGACCTGGAAGCTGGCCGTCATGGCCAATGTTGCGTTTTCGTCCCAGAGCGCGTACAGGCCCGTGCCGACAGCCATGGCAACCCAAGACGCCCAGAGCAGCCAAAGGTAGCGCCGGAGGCTGTCAATAGTGAAGCCAGTGATTATACTAAAGGCGATAAGGACGCAGCAGAGCGGGAGGATCGAAACGGCAGATTGCAGAGGCGTCTGCAGAAACACGGACTGGAAGAAGAGCGGCAGGTAGAGCGTCGAGGGGTACAGCACCAGGCCGTGGATGAAGCCTCCCATCAGAGTCGCCAGCGTGGTCAGCTTGGTCATGAAGCGGTAAGGAATGACAGCCTCGGCGGGGCGCTTTTCGTAGATGGCAAAGATGACGAGAATAACGAGTCCAATGATGAGCGGAACAATCGTCCTCCACGAGCCCCAGGCGTACAGCGATCCGGCCCAGCTCAGTGGAAGCGCAAACAGTGTGCATCCAGTAACAAAAAGGGCCATGCCGAGCCAGTCCAGCTTGGCCAGGCGAGCGCTAAAGGATCCGTCCATGGGCTTGAGGTGCATGAAGAAGAAGGCGCAGGCAGCGCTAACAGCCACCAATGGCAAGTTGATCCAGCCGATCCAGCGCCAAGTGACATACTCGGTGAAGAGAGCGCCAAGGACAGGGCCGAGGATGACGCCGGCAGCCATGGGCACGGCAAGGAGGCCTAACCAAAAGGGTCGCTCTTTGAGCGTCGTGATGTCGCACATGATGACCTCGTTGAGCACGTCGAGGCCGCCACCGCCCAGGCCCTGAATGACTCGACCGAGGATAACGACGGGCATGGTCTGCGCGACGGCAAAGACGATGGATCCGATGAAGAAGAAGACAAAGGCGGCGTAGAGCAGCGGCTTGCGGCCGATGACGTCCGAGGCGCTGGTGTAGAGAGGCTGGGTAATGACAACCGACAGCATAAACGACAAGCTGGCCCAGAAGGCTTCGAGAGATGTTCCACCCAGCTGATTGGTGAGGACCTGTTTGAGTTTGAAGCAGAAACGTCAGCTACAGTATGAAAATGTCGATCTCTCAAAAGGATGCTTCTTACGGGAATGGCCACAGCAAGGGCTGTAGAGTCAATGGAAACGATCAAGACCATGATGACAAGGGAGAGAAAGGCAAAGTAAAACGACATTGGCTTCTTTCTAGGCGAATCATCGTCATCTTGGTCTTGCTCGTCCGGCACGCCGGCAGTGACCTGCTGCTCTTTTGACTCCTGTTGGGCTTCGTCGTGGGCGTGCTGGCTGCTGGTTCGAGGAGGCGCTTCGTTTGGTGGTGCAGCTGCAGCCTCTGACGCCGTAGCGGGCGGTTGCGATTCAGACATGATTCTTTTTGATACAGGTTGGCAGTCTGGCCAAGATGATAGACGGAGTTGAACAAGATAGAGAAGACGGTGCGAGTAGTGTAAGCAAGCAAGCAAGCAAGCAAACAAACCTGTGTCTAGGCAAGGCCCGACGGGAGCAGACGGGCTTCTACTGTACTGTGCTGAGCTATGCGTTGCTCTGATACTATACCAAACAAGCCCTGCCATGTTGCATTACAAATCAAGCTTTGGCAGGCGGGACGTGGGGCCGTTAGCGTGCTTGCTTGTAAGATGTGCACGCCAATCTCCAGCTAAAAGTCGTGGCCGCCCCGAGGCTAGCTAGCTTGCGTTGCTACAGTGGCCTCGCTTGCTGGAAGAGAGCTGAAACCAATTGATGCCCCCAGCGCCCGCCGGTTTACTCCAAGGCCCTTTTTGCAAGCAACGCAAATAGGCCTACACCCGACAGGGTAGGTAGGTCGGTCCCTCACTCCATTAGGGACTCGGCCGAACGTGGCGCCAGTGGCGTGATTGCTAATGGGACTAGCGCTAGAGCCTCGCCCTGCCCATCCCAGAGCCTCGTCGCAGTGCCATGCCTTTGCTTTCCGACGGTTGTGCCTGCGGGTGATAATCACGTCGCCGATGCGGCCAACTAGGAAACTAAAATCCCATACGCAGTACTGTACGGCCACACACAAGGGAGAGGCCAAGCAATAGATCGCGGTTGCTAGTCCTCGCTCGCCATGGGCCCTATGCATGCGCCAGCCTTGCCAGTGCTTTGACTCCACCGCGGGTTCCGTCGCCCGTCTTGTCTGCAAGCGTTGCAGTGGCCCGATTCAACCGCTCCATAAAGTGTTCTTTCCCTTGGAAATACAAAGTATTTCAAAATTTCATACATCTTACCATCTTAATTTCATGAATTGTACAAAGGCTATCAGTTACACGAGCGCCGACGTCATGGGATAGTCCAAGTTGAGCAGCGCCCAGCTCGTCCATTCGGGCTCCTCGACCGACATGGGGCCAGGGAAAACCAGGATGGGCAGGTCATTTAGCCCATCATCATCCTGCTGGCCAAGCTCTGTCGACACTATGCTCGTCTCGGGCGTGTAGCTCACTGCAGTCCTCCTGGCATGGCTGCCGCCGCCCACGCCGCTGGACAGAGGCTGCTCCAGAACGGCGTCGAGGCGGTCCGAGAGGTGCTGGGCAGCGCGGCCGGCCAGGAAATGGTTCGACTCGGTCTTGTCCGTAATGGTGTCGAGGTTGGAGATGAAGACGGACAAGTTGCGCACCAGGGTGGCCTTGCAGATTTCAGGCGGCAGAGAGCCGCTGTGCTGCTGCATCGCATCGAGCAGGACCACCGCGCTCGGCACGCCGTACATTAAAAGCTAACAATTGCGAGTATTAGCAAGTTTTCTTCCTCTCATTAGAAATTAACAAGAAAATTTGTGTTTTCGCTTACCATGATAGGCAAGTCCTCCGTAGATAGGCGCCCACTGTTGCGCTCCTTGCTCACTCGGAGGACAACCTTGAGAGTCTGCCATGCAGCAGAGACGAGTTCTGCCGACGACGTGTGCGCGTCGGACGACCGTAGCATGGAGAAGATTGTGAACTGGATATTGTGGTAGCTGATGAAGAGAAACGAGAGCATGAGGCAGGCGCCCACGCTTATCGAATCCCAACAATCTGGCGTGTACTTGACGTACACTGGCATGGCATACCAGCTATCGCGTAGCCTTGTTGATATGTTCCTGCGCATGATTAGTATATTGAATTTCCGCACGTATGGGGCAGGCGGGGAATATCTGTTTACTTCAACTTCAACTCGCGGTCCGTGCCCGTCGAGTTTTTGATGTCGAGTATCTCCTCCTGGAAGCGCGCAAAGCAGAATCGCACCCGCGCCGCCGACATGATGCCCAGCGTGCCCTGCAAGCTCCAGCCGTCCATGGTAATCAGCTTGAGCTTTTCGCCCGGCGTGGTGGGCGAGTAGAGGTCGTCTTCCGGTATGTCCAGCGGGGGCACGCAGTCAGTGTTTTGCAGCCGCACGCACGCCGGGCGGCTAAACGCAATGGCTTTGGTCTTGTCCAGGTGATGGACCGTGGCGAAGAGCCTCTTTCGCGTTTCCGAGAGGAAAAGCGGCAACAGTTCTGTAGAGTGGCTAGACTCGTGGTGGATGTCGAGCGCGTGCATGTCGGCGGCAATCTCGCTCATGCGGCGCCAGACGCTTAAACCTAGGTGTTGTTAGCTTTTTACTCTGCTCGCTCCGCAGGTGCATACGCTCGCTACATACTGGTATCGCCTTCCAAAAAGTCAATCAGGCAGATGCTGCTACATGCCAGCCACAGCAGCACGTCGTTGGTCTGGGGCGCCAGCTCCCGCGCCGTGTCGAGGCTTAGCTTCCCACAGCGCAGCATCTCGGACACAAACTCGCCGTCGACTGCATTTCTGGAGCGCTTGTCAAACAAAACGGCCATGGCGCACAGGCTGCACAGCAAGCCCACGGTTTCCACGCGCAGGCTAGCACCCGAGAAAAGCTTGCAGAAGCCCTGCCAGGTCGTATCAGGCCCCAGGTCTACAGGCGATGCCGACGACGCAAACACGTCTTGCGCCAGCTTGTCCAATCCACCCACAAGTTCGACGCCATCTGATCGCACAGTGACGGGGAGCAGCTTCAGCAGTATCTTGACCACCGGACGCGGCACGTGGGTGAACCTCGCTTCCGCAATGTATCTGTCGACAATGCCTCTGATGCGTTGGACGTGCTGCAGTGATCCCAGGATGTCTCGGACTGTGCTCATGCGCTGCGCTCTCATCTTTTGCTCATACAAATCAGACACAAACGTCTTCGGTAGAGCGGCGGTGGTGGATTCGGCGGTAAAGGGCCATGATTGCAAAGGAGCGGCTGGCGTGCTGGTGGCCGTGGAGGCGTCGTTGGTCGTGAGCGGCGTAAGCAGTGATGGCGTTTCCGCTTGGGATGATTGCTTTGACAAGCCTGGTGGTGTCTTTTCTGAGGGCGGAGTCAGCCTCGATGGTGTTTTTCTGGACGCTGGCATTCTAGACATGGGCGCGGGATGGTAGTAGCAGTCCATCTTGCGCCTGGCGCAGTATGAGCACGCCGGCCTTTTGTGGTCACATTTCGACTTGCGCTTGCGACACGCTTCGCACGCCGCCTCGGTGCCGTTGCGACGGAAGCTAGTTCGCAGCATCGGCGGGCTCATTGTGCGTAGCAGATGGTGTGTGTTGAGGCTGGCGTGAGAGCGGGAGGCAACATCGCAGCTTCATCACTTACATTAATAATACCAGAGCCTCGCGAGCCAAAAATGGAAATAGGCGGGGAGGGGGCGACCCCGTAGCGTGCGTTTAGCGCTGCTTGACAGGCCGCTAGGCAGATCGGCGTGGAGGTGGCATGGTTCTATATTTCTGCAAATGGAATCCAAAAAAGAGATGGTCTTGCAATGGATTGCTGCCGGCTGCCCGGATTAACGAACCAGCCGTCATGCTTGACAACCCAATATCGCCGCTTTTTATGCTTTGACCAGCTTTTCAAGTACACATATTCGATATGCTCGACTGAACGAGGGCCGTTGGTGTCAAAGTCACGGGGCGCAACAGCTACCTTTGCCGTAAATAGCATTGTGTTTTTCAGATGAATTGGATGTCGGTGGTTTGGCGACAAAATATAGCCGTCGCAAGGTCTCAGGTAAGTGTACTCCTGGCCGCCGTCTTTGAGCGGCGCCAACGAATCTGGATTACGGGCATGACCTCTATGGAGGAGGCGGGCGATGCTGCGGGAGGGATAACGTCGGAGGCAAGATGCGTCAGCGGTACCAACAGCCCCCGAATGGCGGTTTGAGCGACTTTGCGTTTATTTTTTTTTCGAATCCACTGTCCTCGTAAGAAGGCGTCCTGTGTGTGGCTCAATTGGGTTCGTAGGCTGACAGATGCAGCAACTATCTGTACAAAGTACGAAGTAGCAGTAGCAGCACCACCACCACACACAGAAAGACAAAAAAAAAAGAGCCGCCACCGCCCGTAACGAGTGCTTTTATTGGCGGGCGTGCACGCAGCGGGGTTCGATGCTGATCGCTGAGTCTAGGCTTGATCGTCCCCGTTGGGCCTGCCTACCCACCAAAACCCAGATGCACTTTACAGAGCGTAGGTGGTGGGCAAGACGCTATCTATCATGGCTCCCGCGTTGGCTACAGCGTAAATAAAACACACACCCAGCAAGAGTAGACAACGTCAACACTCTTTTTCTGTTTCCCTTTTTTTATTGATGCTTTGGAAAGCAGAGCCGAGGCTACAAGAGGTGGAAATTACACCCAATTTGCGTGCTGCATGCATGCAGGTCGCTGCACGGTCCTCACCATATTCCGTCTGCTTACACGACCTTTGCGTTCGACGAAAGAACCAACAACTCCGGCCGATAATGACGACAGATACAATGAAGCAAAGCTCCCCGACAGCTGGCGCCTAGATTGACAAACTTCTTTCGTCTATTCGCCAACAATAAGCATCTGTCTAACCCACGAAAGAAACGATGACCCATAGCGACAGCACAAGTAGAAAACCACCGTGACAAACATTCACGGCACCGATACACTGTATCGCAGACAGGTCAAAGTGAAAAAAGCACACAGACGAACTCTTATCTATGCAGCAGACAACGTTGAAGGACGGGCCCTAATTCGATCCGCAGCCCAGCCGTTGTCTCAACTGTGGGTAAAAGAGATCTCGGCTGGCCAATCGACCCGAGATGCACATCTCCGCGGGGTTGAAAAACGGCATCACCTGTCACGTCGCAGCCCCCTAGAAAACAGCTTTAGCTCTCTCGTCAATATGTCTCTCTACACATTCGCTTTCGTCCTTTCTACTCATTAATTCCCATTGCGCATGTCCTCAACTCATACCATGGACTTGTCCATATTGGCCAAGACGGCTGCCTTTGCCGCCATCATCTACTATCAATATATCCGCACCGGGCGATGCATGATACTTTTGCAGCAGGTCCTGCTTCTTCTCAGCGGCTGGTTTGCCTCCATTATTATTCTTGTACATGAGCCTGAGAATGCACTCGAAAAACAGGCCGCCGTATCCTTCTTTGCCAGCTGCGTCGTGCTGTCCGTATGCTTCGCCATGGTGTTGGACTTGGACACCTCTTGGTCTGATATTGGCAAACAATTGATATTCTTTTGGGCCACGACAACCCTCATCGCACTGATCCCGCTGTACAGAGACCAGGGAATCCATGCTAGCCACATCTTGTTTCTGTGCAAGACGCCCTTCATCATAGCGTCCTTCTTCATCCGCTTACCTGTCGACGGAGCTGGCCCATTAACCGACGCTACAAGAAAATGGGCCAAGGAGATTTGGTACAACATGCATAATACTTCCTCGGAGGACCTGTTTCTGCGGTTAAGCCAAGACGACGTGTTTGGATATAACGCCACGGCGCTGGAGCTGGAGTAATTGGGTGGCCCGACGGCCGACATTTTCACGGTCACAAGATGACCATTTGTACAAGCAAAAATACCACAAAATTTCAACGACTACAGAGATTCATGGGAGCACACGGAAAACCAAAAGGCGTTAGTTTGTTTGTTGTTTGGGTTGTATTGCGTTTTGCTAGCTAGTAATAATACATGCATCGTTTTGACTTTTGCTGCGCCGGGGCGATTTCAGCAATACAAACCCCAGAAGCATCCCCATCCAGACGCATTCTCATAGCGCTTGTAACTCATTATTAATGACCCATGGTCCGTATCATGGTTGTCTTTCTTTTGTTTCTCCCCTTCTGGCCCTAGTATAAAAACGCTGGTGTATCGATCGCCCCGCGCGCCGGCCAGAAGAAGCGCAGCCAACATGATCGAGCATTCGTGTCGGAGATTATAGAAGAGTTGATTTATGCCTTCTTCTTGGCGGCAGCAGCCTTGGCCTTGGCGGCCTTCTTTTGGTTGCTGCGAATCATGACAATGGCCAAGAAAGAGCCCACGACGGCGGAACCGAGGAGGATGAGGATGACGGGAATGCGGATGGCCCAGACGCGGGGGAGGAAGAAGTTCTGGAGGGGGTGGTCGTCATCGACAAAGGGCTAAAGCGTAAAGCACAAAGGTTAGTATTATAATCGTAGTAGGAATTCGGCATGCGCTCGGGTGGTTGCCATTGCAGAAGTCGCATAGAGAGGAAGTAAACGAACCATCAACAGCGTCCAGATTGTGTAGTAGAGGAACACAAAGGAAGCGGCCGCAAGCATGGCGAGGCCGACGAGCTTATCGAGCTATATAACACACAAAATCATCGTTAGTTGCCTGATTCTGGCGCATACGTTTGCCAATCGGGAGCTATAAAGCCAGCGTACCATTTTTGGATAGCGAGGGCGAGGATATATGGAGGGAGCGTCAAAAAGGCAAGGCGCTTTTTTGCAATCGGGCGAATAGTCGAGTTAAAAGAGGAAATAAAAGGAGCGTGATGGTGGCAGAGCCGGTGCGATATTCTGTTCAACGTGAGGTCGAAGTGGAAAACAAGGAGCTCTCTTGGAAATTGGCCACTGGAGCTAAACTCATCAGGACACAACACGCGATTTCAGGAGAGCGCGGCGGGCTGCTGGTGTGGCGCAGGCGTCGTCAAGTTTGGAGGCTGTGGCGCGTGCAGCCAGCAAACAAAGGCAGGCAGCGGCGGTGCTCCACTCTTTAGGCGGCGGGTGGCCGAAAAAGGATGTGGCTAGGCAACTGGTGTCGATTTTCTTTTTGCGACTACCAACGCGACCACGGTCAACTTTTTGTCTTTTTCTTCTCCTTTTAGGAATTGTTTTGGGTGCTTGCCTCGCCGCCGTTGTTTGTATCTTCTCGAGCAGCATCACCTATAGATAATCGAGATACACGCCGAAAACCTCTCCCAACCCCCGGCGAGGACAACCCGAACCGAGTTTGATCAGACGCGAAGCCATCCATCTGCAATCCCATCCATGGTCGACCACCGCCGCGACGACCGAGACAAAGACGGCAAGGACGACACCATGGCGTCTGCCGACGTGAGTATCCCGCGTCGGGAGCGCAGAGACCGAGATGGAGGCGACTCGTACCGGCCCTCACGAGATGACAAGCGCTCGCCGCCTCCCGCACGAGACCGTTCGCCGCCGCGCGTGCGCACCGAGGAGGAGAAGCAGGCTGCAGCAAAGGCCGAGTACGAGAAGCTCCTGACGATGCGATCGGGCGGTACATATATTCCTCCAGCTCGTTTGCGTGCTCTGCAGTCGCAAATCACAGACAAGACCAGCAAGGAGTACCAGCGCATGGCCTGGGAGGCCCTCAAGAAGAGCATCAATGGTCTCATCAACAAGATCAACACAGCCAATATCAAGCACATTGTCCCCGAACTCTTTAGCGAGAACCTGATTCGTGGGCGCGGCCTCTTTTGTCGATCGATTATGAAGGCTCAGGCAGCCAGTTTGCCGTTTACGCCCATCTACGCCGCCATGGCAGCCATTGTCAACACAAAGCTGCCCCAAGTCGGCGACCTCCTGACGAAGCGATTGGTGATGCAGTTCCGCAAAAGCTTCAAGCGAAACGACAAGTCCGTCTGTCTATCCTCAACGACCTTTTTGGCGCACCTCATCAACCAGCAGGTGCAGAGCGAGATGCTCGCCGGTCAGATCCTCCTCCTTCTCCTCAACAAGCCGACCGACGACAGTGTCGAGATTGCTGTAGGCTTCTATCGCGAGGTTGGACAGTTCCTAGAGGACATGCGCCCCGCCATTGCCAACCTCATCTTTGACCAATTCCGCACCATCCTTCACGAGGCCGATATCGACAAGCGTACGCAATACATGATTGAGGTGCTGTTCCAGGTGCGCAAGGACAGATTCAAGGACAACCCCGCCATCAAAGAGGAGCTGGACCTTGTGGAAGAGGAGGACCAGATTACGCACCAGGTCGACCTGGACGGCGAGATCAATGTGCAGGACGGGCTCAACATTTTCAAGTTTGACGCCGACTGGGAAGAGAACGAGGACGCCTACAAGAAGCTCAAGGCCGAAATCTTGGGCGAAAACAGCGACGATGAAGACGACGACGACGAAGACGAGAGCTCCGACGAAGAGGACGAGGAAACAAAGGCTATGGAAATCAAGGACCAGTCCAACGTCGACCTGGTCAACTTGCGCCGTGTCATCTACCTGACCATCATGTCGAGCGCGGATCCTGAAGAAGCCACTCACAAGCTGATGAAGATCAACCTCCCCGCCGGCCAAGAGCCCGAGCTGCCTTCCATGATTGTCGAATGCTGTTCGCAAGAAAAGACATACACCAAGTTCTTCGGCCTCATTGGCGAGCGCTTCGCCAAGATCAACCGTCTATGGTGCGACCTCTTTGAGCAGGCCTTTGCCAAGTACTACGAGACGATCCATCGCTACGAAAACAACAAGCTGCGCAACATTGCCATGCTCTTTGGCCACATGTTTGGCTCCGACGCCATCTCATGGCACAGCCTCTCTGTTATCCACCTCAACGAGGACGAGACGACATCGTCCAGCCGTATCTTTATCAAGATTCTCTTCCAGAGCATCATTGAGGAGACGGGCATGGCCAAGCTGCGCGAGCGCATGGTCGACACCACGCTGCGCCCCGAGCTCGCGGGTCTCTTCCCCCAGGACAATGCCCGTAACATCCGCTTCTCCATCAACTACTTTACTAGTATCGGCATGGGCGCGCTGACCGAGGAGATGCGCGAGTTCTTGCAGAACATGCCTAAACCCGCGCTTCCTGCGCCTGCGCGCGCCGCCTCCGATTCCGACTCGGTCTCGAGCTACTCATCTCGCTCTGGCTCGTACTCGTCCCGCTCCCGCTCGAGATCTAGATCCAGATCCAGATCTCGCGGCCGTTCCTTCTCTCGCACCCCATCTCGCCGCAACGACTCCCGTTCCCGATCCGGCTCCTACAGCCGCTCACGTTCACGCTCTCGCTCGCGCTCCTACAGCCGCTCCAGGTCCAGATCCTCACGCGGTAGCTACGACAGCCGCAGTCGCAGCCGCTCGCGATCCTACTCTCGCTCCGTTAGCCGTTCTCGCTCGCCAGCCGGCCGCCGCAGCCGCAGCCCAGTACAAGGTGCTGCTTCAGGTTCCCATCGCCGCAACAGCTCGTCCGTCAGCCGCTCCAGAAGCCCTGCTCCGCGCGCCGCCAACAACGAGGGCCGCGATTCGCGATCCCCGCTACCTAGAGGCAGCCGTGGACGATCCTACTCGCGCACGCCTAGCCGTTCGCCGTCGCCTCGTCCCCGAGGGCGAGAGGGATCGTCTAGCCCTGGAAATAAGAGGAGGAGAGTGTCGGAGAGTGCTTCGCGGTCACCACCACCGCAGAAGCGTGGCCGACCAAACTAAGCGAGGCGTATAGATAGGAATATTGCTTTCTCATTGTATTAGTGGCGTTTTGTGTAACATAAGAAAAAGTATCTTAGCAAAAGAATTTGTGTTTGCGTCAATATGTATTCCCACTGTTTTGCATCGTAGCGTGACAAGTAAGCACAGAGTGCCGTATCGTGAATCTTCACGATCAATTATTCTAATAAATTGTTTTAATAACTATCGAAAATCTACTTCATTTTTATGTGACCGATTTAAATACTCATGGAAGCCTCCTTTGCTCCAATATGCGTCCAGAGCAACTCTTGGACCTTGCTACCCTGAACACGCACCGTGACATCCTCACCAGGCATAATGTCAAACCCGTTATCGCTCAGCTTCATACCAGGCGTCTCTTCAAAAACAAAGGCCTTTACTGGCTTCTCAGCGGAAATGGTAACGTGCTCGCCATCTGCAGATGCTGCAAACTGGACATTGCGCGCCGCAAAATCCAAATACTTTATGGGGTCTGGCCAAGCAGAGTCAGATACAACGGTTCCGTCCGGAAGAGTAACAGTAGCGTGAACAACGAAGGGATCATGCTTTGCAACACAAAAAGGAACAGTGTAATCATCTGCATCTGGAATAGACGCTGGGAGGGCTTCCTTTTCCAGCACCTCTGTGGTTCGGTTTGCGCCAGCGATAGTCTTGCGCTGGATCGGCGCGCAGACATCCTTTCCTGTCTTGATGGAGATGAAGCGAACTGTTAGGCTAACCTCGATCTCGTCTACCGCGCTGCTGGCAATCCAGACGTCAAAGGTACCCTTGCGGGCTGCCTCGGACAGATCAATCTGACCTGTCTTGAGGCCAGAGAACTCGTCGACAAACTCGGTGGTCTGGCACCAGTCAAAGACGGTCCTTGTGACGCCGACATCCACCGTTCTCATGGCGCGCGCAATGGCATAGTACGCCGGCTTCTTGACCAGGTAGTAGTCCACGACGGCCCAGGAGGCCGTGGGCCAACAGTCGTTGAGCTGCCATACAAGCACGCCGCCACACTTGCGTTGACCAGGCGTGTTCCACTGACGGCGCCATGTCTTGTACGCCCAGCGCATTGTCTCCGACTGAACGGTCTGCGAGAGATGCGTGAATTCGCCAAAGCCGTCGCGGAAGCGAAAGTTCTCAGCAATGTAGGTGGCGGTGCGCCGCTCGTGTCCAATGGCCTTGTTGCGGAAGTCGAGCATCATGGAGCCCGGGTAGAGCTGTGATGCATCCGTAATGGCGGCCTTGTTGGTCGAGACGTGTGGATAGGCGGCCATGCCGAATTCGCTGACGAATCGACCAGACATTTCCGCTGCATCTTGGTACTTTTCCATCGTGCCGTGCCAGATGTTCCATTGATGCATATCACCGACAGTGAGATCGGCCCACGGCTTGCCGTCTCCCCAAGGGCTGCTTGGGTGGTAGAGATTGTGAGGATCATGCTCCTTGAGAAGTTCTGGGAGAAGGTGCTCGTAGATGTAGCGCGCCGGGAAGCTCGACTTGAGCCACGACTCTGGGTCCTTGTTGGCGTAGTCGTAGTCGAGCTTGTATCGCTCTTGGACCTGGTAGTCCTCGTTGTTGCCAGCCCAGACAACGACCGAGGGCCGCCATCGGAAGCGTTGGATTTGCTGAGTGGCCTCACGCGTAAAGGTGTCAAGATACGACTTGTACGTGGGGTAGCTGGCGCAGGCAAACTGGAAGTCGTGCCATACAAGAACACCAAGCTCGTCGCAGGCGTCCATAAAGGCATCATCCTCGTAGATGCCGCCGCCCCAGACGCGGATCATATCTTGGTTGCCTTCCACCGCCAGCTTGACCCAGTCGTAGTAGCGCTGGGGAGAAATCTGTGAGACCATGTTGTCGGCAGGGATCCAGCACGAACCGCCGGCAAAGACGTCAATGTTGTTGATGCGGAAGTAAAACGACTTGCCGTGGGAGTCATCTTCTTGCACGAGCTCAGTCTTGCGGAATCCAACGAGGCGGGTCTTGGTATCGAGTTGTGCGGAGGAGCGGCGGAGAGTTGCAGTGAAGCTATATCGCACAGGACTGCCATAGCGGAAGGGATACCAAAGTTTGGGATTTGTTAGCTCAAAGGGAGCTTGCGCCGTGCCGTTGTTGTCGACTTTGGATTCTGCTTCCAGGATGGTCTCATTGTCGAGGGTGAGTGTAAACTTGACGGTATCGTCGGCGCCAGTGCCACCCTGAACGTTGGCAAACAGGAAGCCGTTGCAAGATTGAAGGTCATCTCCAAAAAGGTGCTGCACCCAAATATCGTCGAGCTTGGCGGTGTACTGATCCAGATACACGGGCTTCCATGGGCCAGCGGTCATCAGGATAGGACCCCAATCCCAGCCCCAATTGTACTGAGCCTTTCTGACAGCGACTCTTCCTGCCTCAGACTGTCGAACGTAAAAGTCGTGTTCATGTTTGTGCTTCTCGACGAGCTGGCGTCCCTTGGTCAAAGCAGAGTCAAACTCGATTTCGAGCAGGTTTTCCTGGTCAGGGATCATGGCGTCATTGATGTTGACCCTGTAAGATACAAACATGTTATCTGAAGAGAGGATTTCTTTGCCGTTTAATGTCACTTTGGCAAACGTGTCGAGCCCCTCAAACACAATGTCTGTGAACTTGTGAGTGGTGGTAGGCGGCGTGAACTGCAGTTTGTATATCCACGTCTTTTCTCCCACCCATTGGACTGCGAGCTCATTCATGTCGACATAGGGATCTGGAATCTTGCCATTGGCGAGTAGGTCCATGTGAATTTGAGTAGGCATCTGTTTTACTGGTAGCCATTCTGAGGGAGACCAATCTTTGGCTCGGACAGACCAGCCTTGGTCGAGGCGGAATCGAGCAGCAACAGTAGACATGTTGGATGGTTGATGAACAATGAACATTCTACTCCTGTATTATGGGCATTGAGTATGTATTCTGATGAGTGTGTGTGTTTATGTATGCGGCTCGCGTATTATAATAGAAGGAGAGTAAATGGAGGATGCAAGGAGATGGGGGATTGTAATGCCGACGGTTCCAACTTCCCCCACCCAACAAGTGAAGTGAGGGTTGCCCACCGTTTGTAGTGGCGCTGCCCCCTCCCCGCATCGTGGGGGAACTGGAGGTGGGGGGCAGCCATGGACTATCGTTGTCCTTTACAAACTGGAAATGTGTATCACCCAAATTAATTAAAAGGAAAATTACGAACAAAATCGTGGAAATAGAATGCATTCTGCCATCTGCAGGGAAACTTGCCAGAACCTGTATACTATAGCATAGAAACTAATATATATATTTAGATATACTCTTTAAGCTCTGGAGTATCTACAAACTCAAGTCTGGTTATACCATAAGTCCTGTTAAAAAAGAGCACATTATTGCCTTCCATAGCAGTCGCCATAAATCGTGCATCCATCGACTCGCCACCAGTGCGAAAATCTGGAGGTAGCCAAAGCCAATTTACACCATTCCACATAATCCAGCATCGATCTTCGTTAATACCCCAACCCGACCATTTATAAGACATTGAAAATTCGGTTTGTGAGACGTTGTCTGAGGGTAGCGGTGCATCATGCTCATCCTCCACCAACTGCTGCTCTTCTGTTTTTTGGTTGATTATGTATGTAATCATTCCAAAATTAGTGAGAATAGCTGGTTTCAAAGCATCAAAGCATGCTTTATTTAGCATCCATCTAAACGTGTGAAGCAAACATGCTCCACTGGCCACATGCAATACTTCCAGCACACCATCAGCAATAAAAAGAAGAAGAGATCCATCCGGTGAGAATACTATTACACCATCGGTAGCAGTACTTTTTTCCCGCTCTATTTCTTTGATTAGAAACGGAGCTCGCTTTTCAGTACAAGTTTCAGAGACTTGTGAAAATATTCCACCACACTCGTTGATTTGCACAACCCGAATCACATATGCTCCCATTAGAGCAACCTGAGAATTATCGGGAGAAAAGCAAACTGCATAACAGTAGAAATAGAAGAAACTGGTGATATCGATGGTTTGGATATGCTGCAGAGTATTGACAGAGAAGAGTAGGATTTCGCAGCCACGTTCACTCAGCGGATGAATTTGCTTTCCATTTGGGTAATGCAAACGGTGAACCATTACACCAAGAATGGTTGAATCTGGCGAAAAGAATAGGTGGGTTAGAGAATACGGAGGGCGGGGTCTATCAAATGTCGGTTTACCCAGTATTATTGGCTTCTTCTGTATTGACCAAAGATAGACATGTCTTCCGCGATAGTCATCTGTTGTAGCAAAATACCTCCTGTCAGCCGATATAGCAACTATAGGGCCAGCATTTGGTATATCTAACGTTATTTGACTATTGGCACTCAACAATTGGGCCGTTTTTCCGCCGATAGATTCACCAACAGCAATACAAGAGGGATCTGGCAACGTATACGAGGTCCACCACTCTGGTTTGCTTCCTGTTGCTGCGATTGCATCCTGAAAACTTTGGTCTTGAAGAAGCGTTGTTTTTGACCCAGTATCGAGTTTCCAAAAGTAAATATTTGTGTTGCCTGTTCCGGACGATGGAATAGCTAGCGCTAGAATCGATGACCTTGATGCATGAGCAATCATGTGCGCTGTTCTTTTGACAGGTACAGGATGATCTACGCGATCTCCATTCTCAATGTTCCAAACATGAATACTTTCCGCCTCGACGACAATATAGTACTTATTGGTACAAGTGGCAGAGAAACTGACGCCACATAGATATGCATCAATATTGTAGGTGCTGTTGCCATATGATGTAGAAGCGATATACTGTTTATTCTCCTTTTCATATAGAGCCCATAGCTTAGAGTCTGAAGAGAAGTGCAGTTCGTTTATTGTGCTATGCCTCGAGCCGATGGTTGATATTAGCTGGCCAGAGTGTATATCCCATACTTGTATAGCCTGTTGTAAGGCAACCGCTAGGACAGTCCTGTCTGGCGACAATGCAGCGCAACTAGCTTTCATATCGTCACCGTAATATATAGTCCTCGCATCGCCACATGTTGAGATCGACGATACTGAAAAGCCAGACTTTGAACAAGTAAGAATACCAGTGTCGTTTCCAACAAACTCAGTAGGAAACATACCGTTGGCTTCTGTGGAAGAGTGTAGTTTAAAGTCTATCGTGAGTTGCAAGTCGCTTACACGCCAGATGCGAGTCTGACTCGATCGGTTGTAGGCTAAAACGAGCTTGCTATCACTCGAAAAGGCAATACCAAGAAACACTTCTTCTTCTGGCCCAATTGTCAATAGACTTTCGCCTGCAGTAGTAAAAAGCTGCACTGCTTCGAAGCTGCAGCAGAGCAGCAGCGTTTCATCTGGAGAAAAGAGCAGCCGCCGTGCCCGATGTGTTGCTGTTTCAAAGCTCTGTATTTCAGCATTCCAATCTTTCTGTGTTTTTGGCTTCTCCACTATCCATTTATCATAGTACCCTTCAAACTGCTTTCTGACGATGCTGTTTTCCGGTGAGAAGAGTAGAGCTGAATAATATAGCTGGAGGGGAGATGTTTCCAGTAACATAATATTGGTTAAGAGGAATCGAAGCGCGTCAGCCAAAAATAGTCCAACAACTGTACCTTCAGAAACCTAACAAGTAATTATTAGCATCACGCTTGCGGATTATCAAGGGCATTCTGGCAGATAGCTGCCAAGATTGACAACATACATCTATAAGGCCTTGGAATACTGTAATCATTTTCCCAATTTCAAGCATGTGACCAAGGATGCTCATCACTTCCACCCAGTGAAGGAAGTGCTGGTTAAGAAACTGATGAAACACATCATTATCCTTTATTCGAAATTGAGCAAGTCGCATATGATGTGCCAGAAAGATACAAGCATACTTGACTTCGGCCGTCAAGCTTGCGTTGATATGGTCTTCGCTAATATCTGAACGCTGCACAGACGGAGAGTCCATTCCGCATATATTGAACCGCAACCCGAGCTCAGCATTGGTCAAAACATTGAGGCAATGTATTGCTAGGCTCCTGTGTGCTTCTTCCTCATTTATCGCCAAAGGGGACATATCCAGCATAGTAGATGATAAAAGAAAGTCTCTGAACGAGAGATGCAGCAGTCTAATTTGAGATTGCTCGGGATCCCCATCGTCAGTATTTACAATCTCAATTACTGAGCCAAGATTCTGTAACCTCTTTGTGAGAACACTAGACGGTAGGCCAATCAGCCTTGCTAGCGCAGGGACAGACAGAGGATCAGCAAGTATACTGACAGCCCCCAATATATTCTTGACTTGGTCAACAAGAGCGTCTCCTTGCACCTTGGGTGTATCCACTGGGATCTGCTTCTCCAAAACAGGTAGATATGTGGCGGCAAAGGCATGAACATTGCTTTTTGTTGCAAACGTGAGCATATATTCCAACTGCTCCTCTGGGGTACCAAATATGGATTGATTGATAAATCTGCATATAGTTGCGGCAAAAATGAAGAGCCCATTTGACATTTCAAGTAGTCTCTGTACCCTTGCCTCTCCCGGCCACTCATTGTCTAGATAATCGTTCTCTGTGACATTATCATTATAGGAGTTGCGAATCTGTACTAGTTCGTGCTGAAGAAACAAAAGGAGATCATGGTCGATGATATGCTTCAGAACATGGTGTAGAATGATGTCATCGTAGTGTCCTTTGACATTTTTAAAGCCAGATATTACCGGTAGGTCGGGTCGACTAGTTATAAACACCTTTAAGAAAGGGATATCAAGGCTTTTCAACTCAAATATTATGTCGAATAGCCTCGATAGCTCGATTTGATCGCATTCATCCACAGCGTCCAGCACCACTACCATGCGTCTGGGTGACTGGATGACAGATAGCGGTTCAAGTACAAGGCGCTTAAACTGCTCATGAGCAGTTTTGTTGGTTACATTAGCGTCGCCCTTTAGAACACGCATGAGCTCCGCGCCAAAGCTCGCGTTTCGAATAGCCAAATCGGTGGCAATGGAGGTCGAAAGCTTTCGAATAGTGTCTCGATCGGCTTCACCTCGTTTAAAGAAAAACGATGCTCCGAGCATACTCTTCGTATCCAGTATATGTGCGAGCGTGCGGCATATCGTGGACTTGCCTGTCCCTGCCATACCGTTGAGCCAAAACAATCGTGTTGTTGTGTTGCTGTCAATCCAGTCAAAGATTTCTGCGAGGACCTCTTCTCTTGTGTTTTCAAGGCACACAGGATTATTGCCTTCCGTGTATGAGTCGTACCGTGCTTCTGCTGCAATGGGTAGTTGGCTGAAGAGAGTCTTGTTAGTGGACTCGTTGAGCCCACGTCTAATATTATCAGCCATTAAATGAATAAATACGACATAAAATATCTACCTACTGTAATTCATCTATTTTCTTGTGCCCGAGGGTGCTATCGACCTGGAGTTTATCTAGAGACACCTTTACTTTGAGGTTTCATTAGTAAACCAAGCAAGATTATCAGCTCTAGTAAAACGAGTACTTACCGGCAGAAATCTCGCTCAATGGCACAGCAGTAGCTACATCTGCCGGTAGTAAATGGTAAAGAAGCTCTTTGGCAAACGCTGCCGCTGTTGCTGCCGCATATGGTTGCCAGCGGTCATTTTTATGCGAGTCTGCATAGTCGCATATACCGCGGATAACTAGACAAGGGAAATGGGACACGATGCCGGCGGCTTCCATTTCATAGCAGAGGCATTTTTGGCCAGTTGACTCAGCTATCTTATCTCGCGTCAAGGCATCTTTGACAAGTGTATTCCCAGATGCAATAATACCAAAATGTACCTCGGGCTCGGTGCTGCTGCGGTCTGAGCGGGTTACTTGTTCAGATAGATCGCATTGCTGGCAGGTCTCTGGCGCACCATGGTGTTCATATTGGGCTTTAAAAAGCACATCATTTTCAAATCCCTGATGCGTATAAGTCGGTTTCCCGGTCGAGCCAGACTCGGCTAGCTTAGGATACTCCTGCCACATGGTTTCGAGGTACTCTGGGACTTTGACATCTCCCAGTTCGCGCTCAGATTGTAATACAGATAGAGCTGCAAGGAGAGCTAGCGGAGGCTGATTCAATGAACCCTTTCGTTCCCAAACTTGCCCGAGCTTCGATTTTCCCAAGTCATACTGGACGACACCACCAGCAGTACCGTCCGGCTGCCCAACAACAATGTCACCCAGTCGGATATCGCGCCCGGCATCTATGCACTCCACAAGCCCATCTTTCCTAGTGTGTGGAATTGCGCCGGCAATGCCTACCAATAGAGCCATTTTGATGTGGGGAAGCGACGCGCTGAGATGGGATGCCGTGACAGCAGCTGCTGTGGTTCCGTAGATTCCGCTTGGAAGAACTGCTATGACAATGTTATGGCCGTTCATTTGACCCCATGTGTATTGATTGATGTCTGATGCTGATGGTGTAAAATCCCGCGGCGGCTTGTGTCGCTCATCCAGCATAGCCGCCGCGGCTGTTCGCTCGATAGACAGCGCGGCAATCCATGCGATAGAATACTGCTTATAGCTGTCAAGAGTCTTGTCTGGTCGCTTCATAATCGTTAACCTATAAAAGCCAAGGCATGTGGTGTATAGGATTTGCCTAGTAGTGAAGCAAAACTGAAATGAACTACATAGATGACGATTTGCACCACGTCAGCACTAGCAATGCATGCATAAAGTGAGGGGTATCACAGCGCAGCCTCATCCGCACAACAGCACTACCTACAACGGGCCAATAGAGAAGATGCGTAGTACAGCTTATAAGCACATGCTTCCCATTGCGTTGGATGTCCTTGAACAATCAATATTCGGTATGGCATGGGCTACTAGTTATGATTGCCGCTGTAGTGAGAAATATGGTTGAGTATAGGTAACGACAATGTGGCTTGTAGGGTTGGTTGCAGGCTAACGTTAGTAGATGGGGGTCAAGTGTTGAGCCACTTGTACTTGTCGCTAGGCACTGTAGCAGCGCGCCGGAGAAGCTCCCGGGCAAATGACGGCAATATTTTTTCTAAACCGATACGCCGGTACGGGTACCCTTTGAATGGAGGACATTTGTTACTATATAGATTTCCAATCAACAGAAAACTAGAGTGAGCAGAGGCCAGGTGGGGGCAGCCATGAACAGTGGTTGCCATTTAGAAACGAGAAGGATATATCACGATGAATTAAAAAAGAAATTAGGGAAATGTTAGAGAAAGTAGAATATATTCTGTCATCTAATCTGCTGAGTCTATCCGGATACATTATTAACATGATATTTATCTAGCTTGTGCACCAGCCTTGAAGGATGCTGCCTCTTTTCTCTTCAACTCTTCGTATATTGGCTGCAACACCCGAAAGAGACTCTCGGCACGCTTTATAAAATCCGCTTTGAGTTCTGTTCTACATGCGCTAAAACGATCCGGATGCCAATGTGTCCTCTGCTCCTTGACTAACTGCAGAGAAAACTTGCCGGAACTTTGCAGAAACTGCTCCAGGTTGTGCTTGCAAGTACCGTCCCCTTTGGCAAACTCAGGGCAACCGCTCACTGTACATTGGGAGAGGGGCGGTGATGGGAACTGGGTCATGCCAGGCTTGTCGAGAAAAGCAGTCTTGTATCTCTTTTCCCATGCCATGTATGTGGCTTTTCTGGCGGCAACCTTGCGTTCCCTGGCCGTGATGAAAGCTCGGAGCTCTGAAGCCCGTTGCAACCTGGCAGCCTGCGCAGCTGCCTCTTGTCTTTTATGAGATTCTTCTTGTTCAATACGCTGACGCCGTTCAATTTCCCGATCTCGATGCTCGATATGCATCACTAGGAGTTTTTGTATCGCCAAAATGACTAGACGACTGCCGGCCACGACAGCAAGGGCGATACCACACCATTTGAGAGTTTGTATGGCCAGGCTTTTAAGAAAACACAGTATTCCTTGGCTTTCAAGAAGTTGATAGAGACCAAATAATACCCATAGGTATTGACGAACGGTCCATTGCAGTGTAAGATTTAGACCTTGAAATAGAAGCGCGGCCAAGTGAAGAGTAAGCTTTAGACCTTGAAATAGAAGCACGGTCAAACGAAATGTAAACTTTAGACCTTGAAACAGAAGATGAAACAGAAGACGTAGCGTCGTTCCGAGTAGGCTCGTTATCAACATGCCTCGATTTGGCTGGCTTTGGGGCGGAAGGTGTAACGGTCTCAACTGAGTATATTGACAACTAGCTGAGCGACTACTACGAGTATCCGAATATGAAGAAGAAATCGAAAAAGGGTTGTTCTAGCTCGACTGGAATGGCCTCTTATATAACTTACATAGATCCCCAATCAATAGTGTTGTGACTATTGTGACATTGGACGTATGTCACTTTACCAGATGAGTGAAGGAACAGTTAAGTCACTGGAAGTGGATGACATAGGAAAAGGAAGTGAATACAGGATGTATTCGCTGTATTTAACTAGAGCAGTTCCGACCATGGAACTAGAAGAGAACAACGAACTTTTACCACAACCTCTCACCTTTCGATAACACGTGTTATTAAGCCTTGAACCAACAGATAGTAAAGATACGCGATTGAACCGGGTTATTCGAGTTCTCTTCCCATAGCTCTTGGTTAATGGTTTTCTTCCGTATTCGTCTCACTAAGCCCATGAATACTGCAGCACTCTGCCCTGTGATATTATACTCTTGTTTTTCTTCGTACTTTCGCTCTTTAACCCAGTGATTGGATGAACCAATGTGTAGTAAGCCTCTAGCAGGCTGTATTGTGACGTTCTCTAGATCCATCCAGGTTTTCCCTAGTATAACATCATCTTGTTGATTTGGGATTATTTAAAAGAAAGACCGTTTCTTCGTTTATCCGTCGATATCTAGTTCGACGTATGTCACGGTTTGTATAGCCCCTTGTATCGTAGTTCTGATCTGTTCGAGCGATCTTGGGGTGATTGGTTTACGCGGCAAGCAAAGCTTCTGGGCTAATCGAGAGCTGATAGTTCCATAGCAAAGGCATCCGGAGTCAATAAAGGCTCTTGAATAATACTCTTGATTGATTCCTATGTTAATATAGATACCTCGACTATCCATTCTCTTCTTTAGCTTGTTCCAGTCCTTCTGAGCTTGGTTGTGCTCCTGACGGCGCTTTTGGCCAGGAGCTACTCGTTTCCCGACTCATACTCGCTATTTGAGTCGTCTGAACCGCCTAGATCGTCGTCCTCTTCTCGAGAGAGTGTCTTCTTCGACTTGCCTTTTGCAATTCGTGTTTCAGGCTGTGATTCCTGTTTGCCCTTTCTATTGGTCTTGCAATATCGAGCGATATGGCCAAGGTTGCCGCAATTGTAACACTCTGGGGCGTACTTAGGTTGCTTTCTTTGTTTGTTGCTTCTTAACTTTCCGGCCTTTGTAGGCTCCCAATCCATCTGGTTGCTACCCGTAGCACTCTGGTTGTTCTGTTGGGGCTGTTCTCTTCTGGGTTGGTTTGGGTGGTAGTTACTGTTGCTCTCCTTGGGGTATGGATTCTGTTGGTATGAACTTTGGTATCGAAGCTTGTGGTTTCGGAAGTGATAGCCTTCGATATTAGCTCCTAAGCTCTGTAGAGTATTGACAAAGTCCGGATAAACTGTCGGTAGAGCGAGCTGGCTGATAAGGTGGCCTTCCATCTCTTGATTTATTACTCGTCGTAAAGAGTTGATCTTAATCTCGTCATCCCAATTATATCCTCCACTATCTGCTAGTTCTCTTTCGAATCGAGGTAGGAAAGCAGCAAAGCTTTCTTTATTGTTCTGCCTCATTGTTTCTAGCCGGTTTAGAGCTTTTTGTTTGAGGTGGCGATCTCCATAACAGCTAACAAGGTATGCCATGAATTCGACGGGATTATGGCTGCCATTACTTCCTCCTTTTTTGAAGTAAGCAGCTGCTAAAGACTGGGGAGTCTGGTCTAATCTTGTATAGATATAAGCGAACTGGTCCGCAGAGTTACCGAGTGCTGGCCCATCAACTCGAAGCTTGCTTTCCATTTCTAGCTGCCACACTTGGAAGTTTCTTCTATTTCCATCGAAGAGTTTCGGATCGGGGAGAGTTGGCTTCTTCTTAATATAAATGATGTTTTGTTGTTGAGACTCTGTCGGTATAGGAGGTGATGTCAGTTGGGTGTTAAGAACTGATGGTATTGGTTCTTGTCGTCGAGGCGTGGGATTAGCGATGCCATCTATAGAAGTGTGTGCTGGTGTCGCAATAGCTGATTGTAGAGCTTGAATTTGAACTCTAGTTTGTTCTTGATGCGTTCGGATTTCTTCCCGATCAGCTTCTCTTTCTGCTTTCAATGATTGCTGGAGAGTTTGTTGATTGTTCTGCAGGTTTAGAAGCTGTTCCGACATTTGGCTCATCATCTGTAAGAGCATCTGGGAGGTTCTTCCTGGGGACCCCCCTTCTTGACTATTAGTCTCCATTATAGAGACTTGTCTTTATTCTTCTACAAGCCGATTTCTTACGGGCTCTTGTAGGTATCCTCCTCTAGATTAATCACTAGAGGCCCTCCGCTATCCGTATCTAGTACGGGGTCGTTGCAGGCACTTGCAATTCGCACCTAGGCGAAAGCCTTCTACTCTGTCGGTCGCGCTCGAGGCCGAAGTAGGTATCCTCTCCTGAACCAGTTATCAGGAGTCCTCTGCTATTCGTATCTTGTACGAAGTCGTTGCAGGCACTTGCAATTCGCACCTGGGCGAAAGCCTTCTACTCTGTCGGTCGCGCTTGGGACCAAGGTAGGGATCGAGCCAAATAAACTGAATGGCTCGCTTCTTTTAATATCTTCGGATAATGTAACGGTCTCAACTGAGTATATTGACAACTAGCTGAGCGACTACTACGAGTATCCGAAGATGAAGAAGAAGGGATCGAAAAGGGGCTATTCCAGCTAGCTGGAATAGCCTTTTATATGACTTACATGGGTCCCTTGCCTAGATGGTCGAGGGCTACCCGAGACCTCCACGGGCCTAGCCCGTTACAGAAGGGGTAGGTATACAATATGATTTAAAACTGTTTTCATGGGAATTTTCTATCCTAGTTCCAAAATCGATGTGTCAGCCGTCTTGATATTTGTTTCTTCGCTCAAGAGGCCGCACTGTTAGGCGCCTAGCTGCACGTGATGAATAACATCTGCACTGCGCCATCATGGAGAGCGGCCTCTTTCAAACAGCCTCACAGCCGTATTTTATCTGTCCATGTCCATGAGTAGATAGTTCAGTTAATCAACTGCAATTACGGAAAGCTTCTCTCTAGCTTTAGTGTTTTTGTGTAGGTGGGCCAGTCTCTAGTGGGAATACAGTAGTACATTAGTCGTCGTAGTAGCACCGGCAGCCCACCGGAGAAATATATTGATGTATTTTCCTAAGCCCCCTGTTTGAGAAATTCCTGGAGAACACCTTGTTGTTTGTAAGCCTTAGCCCATGCTAGCGGAGTTTGCCCACTATTATCTCTACTGTCAAGTGCCGCTCCATACCCAATGAGTATTCGTATAATGTCTATATCTCCCCTTTCTACCACCCAAGAGAGTGGCGTTCGCCCAGTATCATCTCGAGGGTCAATATTAGCTCCGTGACTAAGAAGCAAATGTATACTAGTTAGTTGTGCATGTAGAGCAGCTGTAAAGAGCGCTGTCCGCCCGTTTGTCTCCCGCGCTTCAACATCGGCTCCGTGTTTGATAAGAGTCTCCATAACATCATCAAAGCCATTCTCAGCAGCCCAAGATAGGGCTGTTCGCTCGCTTTTGTCTCTACTGTTAACTGTCGCCCCATAACCGATAAGGATCCTCGCAGTAGACGCGTGTCTACCCCAAATACTTCCCAAGAGTGGCGTATGCCCATTCGTATCTCGAGAGTCAACATTGGCTCCGTGGTTAACAAGTAGATGTATAGTAATGTTATGTCCGTGGCGAGCTGCTTCAAAGAGCGCGGTACATCCGTCCGCCTCTAAGGCTTCAACATTAGCTCCATACCTGATAAAAGTCTCGATAATATCATTGAAGCCTCTCTCAGCAGCGAAAGACAGCGCCGTCCGCCCGCTATTATCTTTGCTATTAATTGTTTCCGTATCTGCTCTTCTTTTAAGGAGCACCTCAACCAAAGATTGGTCACGACAAACAACAGCCCAATGTAGTGGCAGCCTGCCCATATTATCTTTGGCCTTGACATTGGCACCTTTATCGAGTAAAAGCCGGGCTACCCCAAGCCTTCTCTCGTGTATAGCAACTAACAGTGGTGTCTGGTGACGGCTGTTTGTAGTCTCTAAATCAACTCCTGTTTCGAGAAGCATTTTAATAACGCGTTCTTGTCCTGTTTCGGCTGCGGAAAGAAGCAGATTGTTGCGCACAGCTTGCGCTTCGGACATCGAATAGCCCATAGACATCTCGTTAACCACATCCATCCTACCAGTACATAGAGCGTAATATAGAGGCGAGGCATTGATGTCATCCTCAGTATTAACGTCAGCTCCTTCTTGAACTAGACGCCGTACAACTGAAAGGTGGCCATTCCAAGCTGCGTATGACAATGGGGTTCTGTTATTCACGTCTCTCGTATTAACCTTTGCCCCTCGCAACGTTAACGGCTTGGTAATGGCTCGGCGAAATTCCAGCTTTGGACCTTTCAGTAATAGCTTAGCGACATTGTCGAAGCCGTTTTCAGCAGCCCATGAGAGCGATGATCGTCCATAAATGCTGTCTTTAACATTGACATCTGCATTACCTGAAGAGAGCTGAAGCTTCAAAACCTGCTCAAGTCCAAAGAATGAGGCAACCATGATGTCGTTAAATTTTGGAGCATTACCGACTTGCGTCGCTTTCCAGTAGATCCCGAACCAGTGATCAAAAAGGGGCTGGCTTGTAATGCAAAGTTGCCTTGCCGATTCGATTGCCGATGTATTATGTTTATTGTAAGCATTTCGGAAGTGAATGGCCCAGTTGATTGCGCAATATTCAAAAAGGTCGCCCTTTTTGCCCGAATTAGAGGCTCCGCCCTCGTCAAACAACCGCCAAAGACAGATGTTATAAACTATGCTTTGTGACTCTTGAGGATCAAATGATGACTTCCATGTTAAAGCTGAAGGGCCATGGCTGCCTTTATTAGAGTCTGCATCCGCTTTTGTTACAAGAAACTCTTTTGCAGTCTGGTGTAAGAGATAAACTTTGGAGTCGACGATGTTGACAAAGAGACCACACAGATTTCTAATGTATTTTTCGCATCTGTCTCGTCTGCTGCGATCCCAAGGTCTATGGATAATTATAGGACTCTTTTCGGGTCCAATATGCAAGGCTGAGTCCATTTCGAACATAGTTAGCGGCCGCGTCGTGGCAACAACAATATGTAGTAGCTTCCTGGCCTCTTTTTGATCGATGCTTTTCGCCAAGATTTTCTCGTATGCTTGATCGACTGTGGTTGGTAAAGCTGAAGTAATGTCTAACGCATCTGCGCTGTGTATCTTCACATCTCGAATCCATTCAATAGCAAGATAAACCCACAGATAGGTTCGATTGGGGATTTCCTGTAGTCTTTGCAGCAGCAGCTGTCTTTCTTCTGGTAGAAAATCATCCATCTCGGAGACTTTGGACTTGATGTATATGTTGATTTCCCTTGCAATTTTAGCTACCTCTTCGTCACTCTCCCCTCGGAGATGGACCACAGACAGACCGGGTGTATCAAAAGGTAGGAATCCCCGCCGGATCTTATCATAAGGCCGACTTGTGATGAGAAATTTTAATGTTGAGCCTCTCTTGGCCTCGCTTTCTGGATCATAAAAGCTTCGCAAGGCTCGAGAGAGCATATGTCGTTCATCATCGGCACATTCATCAAATGCATCCAAAACACAGACTATCTCATGTGCATTCTCATGTTTCGAAGCCGCCACCAGAGCGTCCCAAACCTCATTAAATGAGTTGGCAAGGTGTGCCCTATGAGCATCCAACCGATAAGCAATATCTTCTGAGAAGAGTTTCGGCCGGTCTGTGAAGAGCTTGTGCAGAATGCAGCAGATGGCCCCAGCTGCTCCTCTCTGATCCAAAAAGTCGTCTTTAAAGAAAAAGTAGCATACGGTCCGCGACTTATGCTTCGGAAGCACGGATTGTACTAAATATTTCGCCAAGACAGACTTTCCGCATCCTGGATTGGCCGATATCCACAACATGCTAGATGATTGGCATGCGTCCCACTGCTTGAATTCCGGGTGATCTTCAAACCATTCGCAGGTTCTAGGAGTACGATCTGGATTTCTGTTCATCCTGGCTCGGTATGGCAAAGTATTTAAAGCTTCTAGAATACGACTTTTACGGGATGGACCTTTGCGCAATAGCTCAAGTCAGCATATACAAAACTAAGTCAATTAAAGGCTATTCCTGCTTATCTCATACCAAAGTTCATTGTGTGGCTGCCTCCAGAGATGTTGTAGTTGGGCCCACTGCCATAGTTGTTGTACTGCGCCTGATAGCCTGTGCCTCCAGGCTCAATCAGTTGGTTGAGGCTCTGTGGACCTTCGAGCTCTGCATCTGGTACGGAAGAAGCTAGGTCGGATAACTGATCAATAGACTCTTTCAGCTGAGCAGCAAGGTGGGATGTGTCATCTCCTTGAAAGATTCGGTTGGTCGCCAAGGCATTTAAGTCAGCCAAGATGCTGTTCATCAGGCGCTCAACGCGGTGAACCTTGCCCAGGCGCATCAGGGCTGCACGGTATATATCAAGTACAGAGCCATCATTTGTAGCCCCCTGTTCTACGCTCTTGAAAATATCGCGCAGCTTTTGGGCCTTTGCGTAACAACCATTGATACAAGGCTCCAGGGCTCTTTTTGATGCGTCGTCGAGATTCCCCGTGTTATTGAGCTGATTTTGTAGCAGACGCAGACTATCCTCGGCCAAGGGAAAGCGTAAGCTCACTTCCACAAACTCCTTGGGCAGGCCCTTGAACTTTTGAATTGCTTTGTACGTCGCAGCAGTCGCCTGCACAACGGCGATTGTAGAGGCGATGATGCTCAGAGGATCCATTTCAATCACTCAGACCGCTTCCACGCACCACAGTGCCACACAGAGCGCAGCCAACAACCTGACAGCTGTACCGAAGGCAGCTGTAACAGAAATAGAAAGAAATTCGATCTTGGTACAATATTGTATAGTTCCCCAAGTTTGTCGTATTGTGACGGATTAAGAACAGAATCAAGTTCGTACAGAGTGAGTGGTGAAGCGCGGGGATGTTCCCCCCTTTTGCTTACACCCGCATGATTTCGACTACTGCAGCCGACAGCCTTGTTCACGTGGCGCGTGTTTCAAAATACCAGAAAGAAAGTCGTCGATAAGAAAACGAAACATTAACGTAATTTACCAGCGCGTATGGTGGTTTCCTAACGTCAACAGTCTCCTGCAACAACTCACATGCGTTACAAGACGCCCTTCTTAGGTCCCGCTCACGCTGCTATTATATAACCTCCTTTAAAATTATTTAAATTCTCCAAACCTCTTTTATTTTGGGGTCATCTCAATAGACACCTGTATCAACAAACCAGCAATCGACGAGCGTTATCCCGCAAAATGCCGAGACCGAAATTGACCCCTGAGGAGCGAACACTAATGAATGAGTACAAGAAGGCTTTCCAAACTGCAATGGATAATGCACCCAACGGTAGCCCAGGTGCCTTGGACTAGGCGCTGAAGAATATGGATGAAACATATCCCATCACTACTGAGATGCGCGAGGGAATCGCACAAGTGGCTGCGAATAATTACACCGACCCATTGCGCGATTTGTAAAAACAATTAAGCTGCCATCAATTCAAACCCAATGCCCCGTGGGGTCTCGCCATTTATCGCACTGCTTATGATGATCCTGCTGCTTGGGACCAAATGCTTGAACTCATACAAAATTCTATCGAATCGGTGTCTCACGAGCCTATCAATCAGCACCTCGGTGGTGGTTCACTCACAGGATCGTGTTTGGCTAGCGCCATGCTGTGGAATTCAACCTCGGTTTCGGACTTCTTGAGTAGTAGTGGTGGCTTAGTAATGACGGCCGAGGATGGTTCGTCCTTAATAGCTTGAGTAATACTAGTAGTCTCTTCATCTTTGGGACTCGTTTTCATGGTCCTAGGAAGACAAGTTGCACTCAGTACAATGCCATGTTCAGCCATGAGCATTTTCAATATGAGCGATAGCATCGCAATCTCTGCCCCAATACTGGAGTCGATGGCTGGCGGATAACGCTGTTGACTGCTTGCAGACAACACAAAAGGCAGGTCGGACGAGCGTGCTGCGATGCGTGAATACGCCACATCGCTTGAATCTCAAGGATATATGACGCTGACAGTCTCGTTCCCACTTATTCTCTGTATAAAACTCGAAACAGAAGTAGCAGAGCCGCAGACTATATGGAAGCACGTCAAGCATTTTTGCCACGTCCTGTCTTCGGCAGCGATAGATATAGTCGCATCGTTCGCGTTTCAGAAGTCTAAGCCTGGTTAGATACCAATTACACCAGCACTCAAGAACATACCCTTCAAGGTCGGTATTGCAGTAGCTACACCTGCCGCAAATAGGGCTCTCATTAGGGCGGTAAAACACAGCACCCGATGCCCGGAGTACAACTTGCATGTCGTCCGACAGTTGTTCAAGTGACGTTCTATCGAATACCTGGTCGCTCTGTATTACGTCTGCAATCCGACCTCGCTCAGGAACGGCATCTCTCAAAGGACGTTATTTGTTGGTGCCTGGCCGTGGAGTAACTTTTCCTGTTGTAGCCTTTTAAAGCAGTCTTCTCGGTATGAAAGCAGAGCTGCTCTCTCCAATCTGACTGCGGTATTCCTTCAATCACACTTCAAAAATACCAGCTCGTCCCCAGTACAACGCTTCGTCTTTTCCGTAATATCGACCAGTTCCAAACTCAGTCTCACCTCCTGACGCAACGACGCGGGGAGTTTGACTGGCATGCCAGGCTGCCAGAATTGCCCCATGCCTTGGAAATAATCAGCTGCATCGTGATTCGGTTTCTCGCCAAGAAAAGCTGCAAACTCGTCACAGGATGAGATGCGCCCAACATAGCTCTGCCCAAAGACCATTGGGTCACTTTGCACCAGATGCTGAGATCGTTGTGTTTCGGTGTAGTATTCTGGCGTTTAATTAGCAACGCTCTAGATCATACATGCAATAACGTACTGTCAATCATTTTACCAACCTCCCGTCGGATTGGTGAATGCTTGCTTGCGCCGATTCATACTCCGCGGCGAACAGCATTCTAAAAATCGCATCGAACACATCTGACGTCATAGGTGCTTTCGTGAGATTTCCTTGGCGATCTACGCCAGGGCATACTAGCAGTGTCTCGCTGTTTGGTATCCAGTTGATTATTCCGTCTCTATTTCCCGTTTAGTACACGGAGCAGATGGTCGGCGTCTAACGCTCTATCCGCAATAGCAAATTGAATAAGAAGCCACGGAGCACTGTACCGAAGTATAGAATGCTCCCGGCGAGTGTATCCGTATCTAAAAATTAGCACCCAACTAATATAAAGCCAAGACAACTCACCCTTTATGCTCTGTATCTCGATTTCCTTTCACGCTACGTTGATCGGCAGCGTAAGAGAAAGTTGGGCCCTCAGCTGTTCGCTGTAGTACTAGTTTGTAGTGCTTTTGATTCGGTTAGATGGTAGATTCAAAAAGTGTTACATATGGAAGCATAGCTCGTAGCGTCTGCCGCCTTTGAGGAAGTGGCCCTTACGGCTACCACTAGTACAAAAGTCCAAGAGTATAAGGTGGCAATTATACCTAATTCGCTCGTGAGGTATATTGAGATCGGCACGACTGTACAATGAGCAAAGGTTACGATCCAGATCCTCACGTTTGAATAGGTACTTCGGCCGCTCGATGGGTGCAACCCTGCTGCCTTCTTCAAATAGAATCACCCACCTTAGCCACTATCGTACATGTTAATAAATTGTACCACTTCGTCCTTCTAACTTCGGCTCACATGGTTAATCTCGGCTGTAGCATCGTCGCTGAATTCAGCCCCGGTAAAACACTTAAGTCCAGCCTTGAGCCGTTTTGCAGAGGTTCTGAGCGAGACAGGCGTCGGTTCTTTATCAAGTTGACTATTTGACTGGTTTATAAAAAACTGCCAGAAATCTTTTAATTGGTGGAGCTCAGGGAGCTCGCTACCCTTGGTAAGGACAGAGTGTTCGTATTCCTCCACTGTCTATTATTTGTTACTTTTGCTCTATTGCTAGTTATAAATGTTAGTCCAGAAATTATCAAGCACAGCGGGCATACATGACATAGACTCTCAAGATATATTTTTGCTATTAAAGGTTTCCTACTAACTCCTTTTTAACCCCAGTCTCTTTGTCAGCCTCTGCATGATCGTCTTGACCATAGCCATTGGCTTTTGCTCGAGCAATCATAGTAGAAGGGTCGGCATTTCTGCGAGTAGGCCTGCGAGTAGGCAGCGGTTCCCGTGCGCTCATGGTAATGGAGGCTGATAAATACGTGAGAATTGTCGTGAGGGCTACCCCTGCCATTTAATATCCACCGCAACACCCTCTGCCAATTTTCCTCTATTTTGCCTCATTTTTATCATAAGCAGATTCCTGAAAGCTGATTTGTGAAAGTGGTTGTAGGATGCAGGATGGGTGTGTTCGCGCAACGGTCGCGCGACAGTCTCTCAGGCATCCACGCAGAAGTCGCTGCGCACGGACCATCAGTGAGAGACCGAAATCCGTAAATTCACCTTTACCTACTGGGGTATCACTGCGCAGCCTCATCCACACAAGGGCACTCACTACCTGCAACCGGCGAGTAGAGAAGATTCGCAGTACGGCTTATAATAACATACTTCCTATTGCGTCGGATCTCCTTGAACAATCAATAGTCGGTTTAGTATGAGCTACTAGTCATGATTGTCGCTATGGTGAGAAATGGTAACGATCACCATAATACCACTACATCATCTAGCAAAAGATTAAGCATTAACTCTACTTTGCAGTTAATGTATGGCATCTTTGGGTCTATAGCTTGTAACTCATTACAGAAAATATAATTGAGTATAGGTTACAACAATGCGGCTTGTAGGGTTGCTAGTTAGTAGATGGGTCAAGTGTTGAACCAGTCGTACCTGTCGGTAGGCACTATAGCAGCGCGGCGGAGAATCTCCCGGGCGAATGACGCCAATATTTTTTCTGAATCGATACACTGGTACGGGTACTCGTTGAATGGAGGACATTTGTCACTATATGGATTTCCAATCAGTAGAAAACCGAAGTGAGCAGAGGCCACTGGTCAAGGGGCGCAGGGGCCAACGGGCCGGGAGACCAGAACTAGAGGCCGCTGCTACTGTCCTGCTGCAAGTCTGTAATGGTTGTCAGCCTTGTTTAGGAGATGCGTATCGTTGGGTGGTTCTTGCGCTGAGCCATCAGATACGAAAAGAGGAGCTTTTTGGTGTAGCTGATCTGCTTACAAAAGACGATCGGGCTAGGCAGCAGAATAGAAAGAGGATCAAGATGGCCATGCGCAAGGGCAAAGCAAATCGGAGGGCAGACTAGACTAGCCCGGCAGGCAGATGGCACGTTGCGTTGGGGCAGTCCCAGCAGCAGTCGGCAGGTGATACAGCAGTAGCTACTGTTGTCTGTTTTTTGCCCTTTTAGCGGTTCTCGCACCTAAAGAAACCAAAGCCGTAAATTACAGCGCTTGTAGTGAGTAGACTACCGCTGCTCTATGCTCTACAGACAACTCATCTGTTCAATTTCATGGAAAGTCGACACATACCATGTCAGTACAAAAAAAAAGAGAACACACAAAAGAACGATACGCGTACATCGACCATCGTTCCTGAGCTTTACAAATCAACAGCCGCGTTTTTTTTTCATCGTTGCATCTCCATTCGTCGCCGCAAAGGTTGTCTACTAGTGCTGACTGCAAAACCCAGTTTGCGTATGTGTCCATACAAACCGCTGGCCTGATCAGTGCAGCTTTCCTCCCACACAAGCCCTGTACCTTGACCTGCTAGGCACCCTCCCAGCGCCCTGGAGCATCCACTGTGGGGGTGGCGGGACAGGGTTGTTCAGTGCTCTAGAAGGTCCCCCCGCTGTTCTTCTTTTTGGCTGCTCCCTCCAATACTGTGGCGGCGTGGCCGACATCCTCGACAGCCGGCACTGCGCAAGAGCCCACGCCACGCCTTTTTCTGGCTCTTCAGCCTCAATCAGCGCCTACACCACCACCGCCATCAACCTCCTGCAGCACCACGCACCTACAACACATTGACGCACCGGGCATCGCTGGTTGCGGATTGGTCAGCCTGTCGCCTGCCTTTGGTTCACTTATTCTTTTCAAACACTACTACTCCTCCTACTGCTACTTGCTCTCTCCTTTATAGTTGCTTTATCCCCCTCTCCTCTGCAAATCCCTCCATCTTCATCGACTCACTCACACAAAGCTTCCTCTCCCTCACCTCAACATGCCGCCGAAGAAGGTATCGCACATCAAGGGCAACAGCTCCGAGCACCGCTCTACTTCTCCTCCCGCTACCAACAGAAAGGTCAACCGCTCCTGTATGGAGTGCACACGGCGCAAGATCAAGTGCGATGGCCGCCAACCCTGCGGGAGCTGCGTCTATTATCGAGCCGCAGACTCATGCGAGTTCCGCCAGCGTTCTAGAAGAAACGCCGTCAGTCGAAGGTAAGACATTTTCAATGTACCAAGCCACAAAATACTCAATGGCTGACTCCAAATATAGCTCATATGAAAAGCTATCAGAAGAGTTGAGGGAACAATCGCGCGTTCTCGAAACCCTTTTCCCCGGCCTGTCGGTGGCCCATCTCAAAGGCAAAACACAGGCTGAGCTTCTCAGTCTCGTCACTGGCTCAAGAGAAGCCAGGCCCCCGATATCACTCTCTCAGTCTCACTTCTCACATATCACCGCGGAAAGCTCTGGTGATGACGAGTCGCTGCAACAAAACGACGACTCCGCAGCCATGTCGGAGAATGGCGATGCATCTGCCGAGCGCCGCTGGGATGAATCGCTTGACAAGCCCAATACTGTTGCCGTTGACGACATCAACGGTATCGGTCTTGTTACCGACAAAAAGTCAAGGTCATACCTGGGCATCTCATCCATGAGCGCGGCCTTTCGCGCCATCTTTAAGCTATTCCCGCCAACAAAGGAACACACTGCTGAGCGAGCAAGAGCATGCGCTGCGCTGCCGCCAGCCTCACAGCTTGCAGCACCTGCTGTTGCACGCGATCCAGCCATGAACATGCTCCGCGAGCAACGATGTATAGACTTTTACTTTGACCACTTCCACGCGGCTACACCCTTTCTCGACGAAGAGGACTTTCGCCGCCAGTATGCGTCAGGGGATCGCAGCGACAAGTCGTGGCTTGGTCTTCTTAACATGGTGCTCTGTCTAGGCAGCATTGCCTCTGGAAGCGACAACCTGCACGAGGAATACTACCTTGAAGCGCGTTCACTGCTCAGTCTTGATAGCCTGGGTTCAGGTAACCTATACACCTTACAGGCTCTGGCATTACTAGGTGGACAGTATCTGCACTACCGCAATTCCCCCAACATGGCCTACGGTATTATGGGTGCTGCACAGCGCGTGGCCATTGCTCTGGGACTGCATCGTGAGCCCAAGAGGCAGCATCTCCAGGACCCCGCCGAGCAAAGGCGGGTAGAGATTGGCCGGCGTACCTGGTGGAGCTTGTTCTGCATGGATGTATGGGCATGCATGACCCAAGGTCGACCTACCTGCGGCCGTTGGGACGGCTTATCCATGGACACTGCCCTGCCCTCGCCGTTGAACGCAGACGACCAAATCTATGCATCCCTGCGGGCCAGTGCCCAGTTTTGTTTAATCTGCGATCGCATTGAGCACCGTCTCGCCAAGCTGGGCAAGCTTAGCATGCACGATACCATCAATTTTGACCAAGAGCTGAAAGGATGGTACGAGTCTCTACCGCCAGCACTTCGAGGTGTCGACAACTCTGTTCATCCCCGTATCCAGGTGGCCCGCGACTTGATTCGCACTCGCTACTTTAACGCTCGAGTTGTGCTGGCACGCTGCTTGATCCTACTCCTTGCGCAGGACTGGAAGCGCAAGATTATCGAAATCGTTCCAGAGCAGCGACAAATGGTGGAGCAGTGTTGCATTGTGGCAGCAGAAGCTATTGATGCTATTGTCCTTTACTGGACACCCACACGCTTCCAAATCTGGAGCTCAGCATGGTATCTCTTCCAAGCTTGCACGGTTCCTTTATTGGCCATGGCCATGGAGCGCAACACACATACGACATCATCTAGCAATGAGTTTGCAACATGGCGCGACAGCCTCGCCAAAGCGCTAGCTGCGTTTGCAGAGATGCGGCCGTGGATGCGCACTTCGGATCGCTCACCTGAGATTGTGTCTGCCATGTTTGAAGCACTGACTGCCGATGCCGACGGCGTTACGCGCACACCATCCAACACGGACGGAAGCCTGGACCTGTTTGGCTGGTGCGACGAGCAGCTTACCGAGATGGACTGGAGCATGTTTCTAGGCGAGGAAACGATCCCACAAGCCATCACGCAAGGACTCGCTTCAGGTATGGTTCAGACTATGCCACAAGTTTTGCCGCTTTAACCAGCAGCACAACAATAAAAGGGGCTTGGGGAGTCGTGGCATAGAAGCTTACTGAATGAAATGACTGAATGACCCATGGACGGACCAATTGTATGTATCTAGCAGCCTTACGCTTTGTATCATAGTAAATGTAACCATCTACGATTCATATTATTCATGACAAATTCCTCCCCAACGTGAAGATGGACCTGCACCCCCATTGGCTCGCGATATTTGTGTAACATGGTAATTTTTAATACTTGGAAGCGAATTTCGATAGTTGATGCCACTTTGGGGGTCCGGTTACACAGAGGTCAGCAATGTTGTACAAATCTCCGTGGTCGGTGATATGAATCCCCGCCCGGATCTTCAACTAGCCTCCGGGACACGCACTGCCTAAAATGGAAATGCGTCCACACGGAGTCGCCAGACCTGCCCCGGGACGCTCCAGCAGCCAAGTGAGACGATCTGCCGGTAGTTGATCCGCATTCCCTAAACACCAAATTTCCAACATCATCATATCTAGTTTCTTCCAGTGTCCATAGCTTCCTTCACTCGGCACCAGATCCATGCTAGCATCGCTAAGAGAGCGCCAGTCAGCATGCGTCCCACCAGTCGGCTCACGCTAGTGCCGAGCGTACTGTACCTGAATAGCATCCATGAGCGCTAATCTACTCTTGGAGGGCCTTGCGAGCAAGTTGTCGTCATCAATTCGACGAGCCAGATGAATTTTTATCCTCTTCACGAACAACACTTTTTGTATCCTCACCGCGCCAATTGCCCATCATGATGCTCTGCAAATTGAGCGCCAGCACTGCCAGCCTTGCGCTGATGCTTGTGCCGCTCTGCGCAGGCAGCGAAATCACCAGCAACAGCAGCGCCTCGACAACGACCACACACGCCAGAGCCGTCGATATCCCCAACGAGTACACATACAAGCTTCCCGACGGCTTCCTGTCCAACGAAAATTACACCTTCGTCAACGGCACATCGACGCCCAACGACAAGCACATCAACGACCTCTTCAAAAAGGCATCCGATGCCCCCATCATCAGCTTCGACCCGAGCTTTTCCAAACTCGTTGGCAACGCAGAGATCAAGCTGGTCGCTGAGCGCCCGCACGACCAATGGACATATGAAGGCGGCATCTGGGTCCCTGAGCGCGACGAGATCTGGACCATCTCCAGCATCGTACAGTCTAGCGCCGGCAAGCCCTCCACCGTCTACACATACCACCTGACCTCAGGCGCCGTCAACAAGCTCAACGCTTCACTACCCATTATCAATCCCAATGGCGGCTACTACTACAACGGCAAGGTCTACATTGGCACATACCCCTCCAACAGCACGTACCGCGGCGGTATAGTGTCTGTGGACGCGCGCACGCTCAAGGTGGAAACCGTCGTCAACAGCTACTTTGGCATCGAGTTCGACGGCATCGACGACCTTACGTGGGCAAACCGCGGCGGCAAGGACTACATGTACTTTACAGACCTCTACATCACGCCGCTCGCGTACCCGGGGACACAGCCTCGCCCGCTACTGCCCGCGGGCGTTTGGCGCTGGGATGCACAGGACGAAGTGCTTCTGCCTGTGCTAGGCCGCGGCGACGTCAACCCGAATGGCATCCGCGTATCGCCGGACCACAAGTCGCTCTATGTGACGGATAGCACGGCCTTGTTCTTCGACATCCCGAAACCTGCGCCGCCCGCAGGAGGCAGTGTGGCGTCGTGGTTGGGACCTTACATTCTGAGGTATGATATTGATGACGAGGGCTTCCCTGTTAACAAGCGCGTCTTTGGCTACGTCAGACGCCTCATTGCAGATGGCATTCACTGCGACGATGCAGGAAGAGTGTGGACAGGTGAGGGCGACGGTATTGTGGTACGCAGCCCCAGCGGCAAGGTGCTCGGCATCTTCAACCAGAGCTACTTTCTGAAGAGCAATGGCGAACTGGATTACATGGCAAACTTTGCGTTGGCTGGCGACAAGGTTGTTGTCTTTGCCCATGAGCGCATGTACACGATCAAGCTTGCGCAGGAGGTGGTTAACAAGAATAGCAGCATTGTAAACTAAGTTCATAGAGTGGGTGGGAACCAGTAGTGGTGGTGGTTTGTGTTTATAGAGTGGTGAGGGTCCGTACCAGCGAGCCCTAGTACCACCAAACAGCAAATAATGTACATATTGTTATAATAGATGGCTAGTATATCTAGCGACTTTTTTTCGTCCGTTTTGTTCGAGATGTCGTTGGACTTTTGGCTTCTTTTGGACTGTTTTTGTTTCCTTGTAGTCTTGGGCTGCGCCGTGTCGGTGTTGCGCTGGCTTGGTCCTTCGTTGTGCTCCGCCTTCTCTTTTTACTATCCTTATTCGTTATATTTGCCCGTTTCGTGGGTTCGTCCTGTCTTTGCCGCTTGAGCTTTGTTTGTGGTGGGGTTGGTTTCGTCGTCTTTGCTGCCGAATCGCTGGTAGAAGGAGTTGGTAGTGATGGTAATAGCGATTGTGGCGGTTCTTTGGCATTTTGCTCCTCTGGTTCGCAACTTTGCATGCGTGCTTCGGGTTGCTCGAAGACGAATGAATCTGGCGTTGCGCCGCGTTGCGTCAACCCCTCTTCAAAGTCGTCGCGAATGTCCTGTTGCACGTCCTCTAAAATATCATCAAGGGTATCAGGCTCTTCCTGTGGGAGCACTTTGTTGAATATGAAACTGGAAAGTGCTTCGAGGTTATGATCGAGGGGAAATCCATTTAGGGACCGAAGATTTTTGGTTGCAGATGTCATCATATCGACAATGGAGGCTCGACGCCGTTCAGCATCTTCTTCTAAACGTCCCATGCCTTTTGTTTTCCGTATTGTTTTTAAATATCGTAGGAAATCGTAATCGCCGCATAGGGGAAGCGTCATTTGGACCGTAACTGTATTGTATTCATTTCGTAGCGCAGTAAAATCTGTACCATCAATATCGTACCATTCGCGACAGTCGCCATCCAGTGGTTTTTCGACATATGATAACACTATTGCTTTCTTGCTCGACATCGTAGCATATATAGCTACCAGAGCAAGTCAAGTTTCGCGTGGCTGCGCGAATCCTTATGATTGTGTAGATTGCAAGTTTGGTTGGTATTGAGCGAGCTTGTCTGTGACATAACGTGAGGCTGGGTAGATGGGTGGTGGGGGCGGCGGGTATCTGCAACTCCAGCGACACGCCCAAGCGAAATCATTGGCTGTTAGTTCACCATGCAAGACGCACGACAGCCTCCACGGCCCGACAGGCGCCTAACGCCTTTGCCGCTTATAATATTATTATGAGTCTCTAAAAGCCCCTAATGTAGGTATTCTTTGTTTTCGTTCCAAATTATCTCAATCTAATATGTCTGATAGAGAATGTACTCCCACCGAAGTGTTCAGCAACAGCTGCCACCTCTATCGTGCCCGCATTGATCCACAGCAACTTCGAAAACATTTGGACACGTGCAATTGCCAACAATCTAAAGGCATACTGCCCCAAGAGGACGAAGTTTCACAATCATCGCAGCCTGCAGAGTCTACTTCATGGAGTCCTAATGACGAAACCATCGGCACGACACTTAGACGCCATGCAAATCCAGGCGCGCGATGCGTCGTCACCTATCGTCATGGCCCAAATAATCGTTATTCGGCTCAAATTACCGATATGGAGAAACAAATACAACCTATCCAGAGCAATATCGGCTGGGATATCAGTGTGGTGGAACAAACTCGACAATCGCCGGGACTCACACTCGACATACCCTTCTTAAAGCCACCAGCGCTATCCAAATATAACGAGACAATTGTATTATTCCACTTGAAGTTCGACCTCTTATACCAGCCGAGTAGTAACGCAGTACTCCTATTCAACAAATCTCGTGAGGAAGTATATGTCGATTCAATGCCGAGCTCTACGAGAGAGCATATACTTCCGGCGCAATCTTTCTGCGAGCTCCGTCTCGGCACTTGGAAATTTTCCATACTTTTACGATCAGCCGAAGCCGAAGCTGAACAGGCGTTCTTATATCTAACAACTTTGCCCAGAACATCAGCTGCTACAATGCATAGCACAATGATTGCTGGTTTGAAGCGGTCTGCCGATGAACTTAATGACAGTCAACTTGTTACTACTTCTGGCTCGATGGACCGCTTAGGGCCGCGCAAATCAATATCAACCGACCTAATAACTCCTATGGAAGGCCTTGCTAGCGGCGATGTCATGGTTGTTGATACATTAGAGGGTTCTTACAAGCTCCTCTGCGTGAAGGTTATGGTGCAGCGAGGAACGACCAAAGTCATGCGATGTCGGCATTCCAAACGTCAAGGATTCCAAGTTGCTAAATTCCCCATCACCCCGAATCCCTCGCCATCATCAATAAGAAGAGCCGCTCTAAGTTGGCTTCACGAGAGGCAAATTATGAGACGATTGGATCATGTGAGTTCCCTTTCGAAATCAAGGGTGATTATACTAATATTCTTCTAATAGGAAAACATTATGAAACTGCTGGAATGGGACGCTGAGTATTTTCTTCTTATCTTTGAATGGCTTCAAAGCGATCTCAGACAAGGTGACTGGGCCAAGTACAACGAGCCAGAGCAACTGTTATTGCTCCGTGGCATAGCCCAAGGCCTCTCGTACCTTCACAAAGAAGGTATCATTCATAATGATATCAAGCCAGAAAACGTTTGCTATTCAGCACGGACTAGAAACGTCAAAATTATTGATTTTGGCCTCGCGTCCCGATATGAAGAGCGCGGCGCAGGTGGTACGCATTGGTATATTCCGCGAGAAGCCCTTGATCCGCAGAAGTATACCCGTGGCTATAGAGGCAAGCCGGGTGATATCTGGGCCTTTGGTGTCACGGCCTTGTATATTACAAAAGAGATGGCGTTTCCTCGTACCCGCGATCATGGCTTTTGGAACATCGGCATGGTTGGCAAAGAAGGCAAAGACGACGAAGGAATGCGAACGTGGATGAAGACGCTAGACGGGGTCACATCATCTATCGAGGGCAAACTTATTGACCCTGACACGTCTGACACCCGACGAACAATCCTCGCCATTATCTTGGACATGTTTAAAGAGCGGAATGAACGGATCACAGCACAAGAGATATCAGAGAGACTGGCACATCTGTCCGTCCAGGAACAGAGTCAGCCTCGATCCATAACGGCATAGACGGAACTGACAGGAAAATGTACAAACTTGGTGATGATATACGGAGCTGGCATAGAAGTGTACAAACTTTGTATGATGACAAAACGGAAGACGGAAAGGGAAACAGATTGTACAAACTTTCTAAGGATGTAACTTTGCAACTTTGTAAATTTATAATATAGATCGATTTTTTTGGATAATGTACAGTTTAATCGTTTGCCTCTAACAGTGGCGTTTTCTATCGTCATGTAGATGTAGTCTCTTTTGTCTCGTCCGTCTTCTTCACCTCTTCCGTCTTGACCTCTTCACTCTTCTTGGCTTCTTCAGTCTTGACCTCTTCACTCTTCTTTCCCTCCTCCGCCTTGGCAGCAGCAGTACCATCCTTCAAATCCTTCTTACTCGGCTTAATCGCCCCCTTGGCCATCGCCTCAGCCGGCAACGGCCTCAGAATCGGCTGAGCCACCCACCACGGCCGCTTACACCTGCGCATAGCACCCACAGAGCTCTGCTCCTCAGGCACATCGCCCACGGGCTTCAGATTCGCAATCTCCTCTGCAAACTGCTTGCCGTCCGTCTTTTCATACTCCAGCATGCCCTCGGCCACCTTGCGCTCCACGGCCGCTAGCACCTTTTCGTAGCCGTCAAAACCATCCTTGCGGCTGCGGGCCAGCATATCGCGCACATCGGTGTGCTTGGTGACAAAGTGACGAAGAAGGTGGAACAGATGAGGCTGTACAGCGGTCAGATTAGGTGAGGGCTCGTCGCGCTTCGGTGCCTCGTCCTTCTTGCGGCGCTTCTTGGCTGGCTCTTCGGACTCTGCCTCCTCAGCATCCGACTTGGGCTCGAGCCAGGCCGTGTCGTCGCCAACTACGAAAAGCGGACGGCGCTCAGGAGGCTCTTGGCCACGAGCGTACTTGTGCAGAATATCCAGATACCTTCTCATCAAGGCATCCACTCGCCAGCCACCCTTGCCATCCTTGCCGCGCCAGTACTCGCGGCCCTCTTCGCCCACAGCCGGCGCCTTGGCAAACAGAGCAGGGTCGCTTAGGTTTCCCTCGGCACTCATGATGCCATCGGCGCCTGTCGCTTCCAGGCACGCCTCCAAGTCATCTGGTTGCAAGATATTGCCGTTGGCAAAGATGACAGTCTCTGGTGGAAGACTATCGCGGAGGAACCGAATCATGTTCCAATCCGCAACACCCGTCAAATGACCCTTTTGCTCGCGCAGACGTCCATGGACTGTCAGGATAGAGGCACCGGCCTTGAGAACATTCTGTGCATACGCAAGTGTCTTCTCCTTGGTTTCTAGCATGCGGATCTTGGCTGTGACGGGAATAGAGAGCTCCTTGTGCAAGATGTTGATTAGGCGGAAGATGAGCTCCTGGTCCTCCTGCAGAAAGGCACCGTAGTGTCCCTTGCGAGCAATGCCCTGGGGACATCCCAAGTTCAGGTCCACAGCATCACAGTACGGAGCGACCTGCTTAGCAGCCGCAAGGAGAGCGTCGGGGTCGTTGGCGCAGAACTGGACAAACAGGGGGCGGTCGATCTTGGGATTGCCGTCGAGCCAGGGTTCGTCGGAGCCCGTTCGCGTGGACTGGAAGTGTGACTTTCGGTATTTATCTTCTTGCGAGAAGAGTCGGGCATGGAACATGGGTGTGTATGCGAGCAAATTGGATTGCTCTTCGGCCGAGAGAAAGGATCGCGATAGCATGCGCCAGGCCTGGTACAGTTAGTAACCCTCTCAAGTGGTTTCTGGTGTAGGGGGGAGGACAACGCACAAACTCAGACTGGTCTACCATGGGCGCAATAATGAATTTCGGGCTGCCGATGCTCTCGTAAAAGGCGCGGCCGTGCAACTTGGGCTTTGTAGAAGCGCCCTCAGCTGCCGTCGCCGTCGCCGTCGCAGGGGACGCTGCCGTTTCGGCGGTCATTGTGGCCAAGGTTCGAAGCAATACTCTGGGTCGAAGGAAAGGCCGTGTCGAATGAGGCCGTAGAATCCTTTGCATAAGGCTCGGCTGGCTGCCTGGTTGTCGAGTATGTGCGTGGTGTTGAAAAGGTCGGCGTTTGCCGTTGGTGTTGAAAAAAAAAGTTTATGAATCAGAGGAGTGACAGCCCGCGTATCCAATCAGGTGGGGGTGGATTCCCCTTACAGTGGGCGGCGGCGAGTCTGGCAGCGGCCTCAGTGATGTTACAGGGGACGTCATCCCCCGCGTCAACCTCCCGCTGTTAATACACGTTGCTATATGCTGCAAAGACACAAACACGTCACATATAAACTAGAAAAGGGGATCCATGATAATAGAATCAAAAAGAGGCCGACTGTAAATATAATGTTTCGCTGCAAGTATGGACAAGTTTGGACGCCTCCCGCCGCGTGCTATTTTTTTCGCTTCATGGCGCACTCCCATGTAGCCGTGCTGCTACTACTACCACCACTAACAAAAGAGTTCGCCTCAAAGAGTTAGTTGGCCGACTATCCATTAAATCCACGCGAAAAAAAAGATGCATCGATGCAGGCCGGACACCAATCTAACATGTAGTAAAAGAGAAAAACAATCAACAAAACGCCATCGACACCGTCAAATGCTGTTCCGAAAACGCCGCTAGTGAATGAAGAGAGGAAATAAAAGACAAGCAAGAAGAGAAGGAAAAACAAAGAAGCAGAAAAGGCAGCAGGCAAATATCGACAAAATACACAGGATGCCACTCGGCAGAGTCAAGTTGTAACGCTCCATGGTGTTTGCATCATGGTCGTTAAAAGAAGTGCGTGTAAATCTTGGAGTTTTCATGGACTTCCATTTCCTGTTTGCTTGTGGTTAGCGTTTCCTCTGTTACTGTAAATCACAATGTACGAACCATCTTGAAAGTGTTTAGCTCCTCCTTAATCTGTTGAGCAAGAAGAGGTGTGAGGCGGTTGCAAGTGGCAACGTCACCGCGTCTGTCGTACTCCTGAGGTGGCCAAGTGTCGTGGAAGATGATGCGAGGAGAAAAGGTTGCAGAACGCTTGCCTCCCTGAGGTGTGCCCGGGGCACTCTTGCTGTCACTGCGAGAGCGGAGGGCGTTGACAAAGAAGTCGTCGCTGGCTAGAGCAATAGATCCTGTGCGTCGGTGACCCTGGGCATCGTCATTGGGTGTGCTAGGAGCGCTGGAGATGGGCGAGTCCGAAATGATAGGGATAGGTGGGAGCATCAACTCGGGAGAAATATCAACAGGGCGGATAGAAGGGCTAGCAGAGCCAGGTCCTATACACGTTATTGTTAGTATGTCCGGCATCAACCCAAAGGAGACATATGTTTTCTGTTTTTCACTTACGCTTGAGAATGCCCTTACGCACGGCAGCAAGCACCTCAGCCCGCTCAAAGTCACCACCGACGATGCTTCGGCGATCTGTGCCGGAGCTGCCGAGGCGCTCGGTGGGAATCTCGGGAAGCTCAAGAGGGCGAGAGGCATCAAGTGAGTTGCGCTCCAAATGGGGGAATCCGGTACCGGTAGCGGGATCCGGAGTCACACCAACAAGCTGCGTCTCGGCTTCCACAGTCGTCATGGTAGCCATGGCCTGGCTAGTCTCAGGCTCAAGAGGAGCAGCAGTGACAGGAACACCACCGGCAGACTTGGGTCGGAAGAGTCCAGCAAGCGATCTCGTTCCCTTCTTCACACCGCGACCCATCTTGCGCAGCATAATCGAGGCAGAGGAAGCCGTGGAGGAAATGGACAAGTTATCCGTGGAGCCAAAGAAGCGGCTACCATAGATGCTGTTGCCGATGCCACCGGCCTCCTGGGCCTGCACAATGCGAGCCTGCTCCGCATCGTAAGCCTGCTCCGCAGTAGGCTGCTTCTGAAGCTTGGATGGCGCCTCCATCTTAGCGTCCTCTTCGTCGGCCTTGCGGAAGTCGGCAGCGCTTCCAAAAGAAAAGGCTCGTCGAAGGCGAGACGTCTTGCTCTTGCTCTTGGCACCCTTCTGGTTAAGGGCAGCAAGGTGCTTTGCGGCAGGCGAGTTCAAGTTGGGGCTAGTTCCCAGAGAAGCGGTGGCCTCATCGGCATAGTCGGGTCCCAGGTTCGCTTGTCGCGACAGAGGAGATGGGCTAATCGTTCTCTTAATAGCATCAGCAGAAGAGCCGCGGGCGGGAACAGGCTGGGCCTGCTCAGGCTTGCCGGCAAGAGAAGCGTCAGAGGAGGGGCTGCTGGTGGAGACAGATGCGTTGTGTCTGTGAGCCTGCATGATATCCCTGTCAGTATGTGCAGATCCACTAGAGGCGGTTCATTGGCTGGGCCAGTTTGAAAGGGAAAGGGGGAAAAAGCATAAAAGAAGCATCATATACTTACGGAAGATGGGCGAGAAATAGAGCTGCGGCCAGATGAAGCGCTCTCTCCGCTGCCGTTGCGGGAGTGGGCAGAGCCGGGTCGGGCGTCGATGGAAGCGGCGCTTCGGCGACGAGCCTGAAAGGCGTCCTCTGTTCCTGCACGGTTGGCGAAGCTCAGTTGGCTAGGAGATGAAGGTCGAGACGAGTACTTGCCACCAGGCAGGTTAGGGACGGAGAGAGAGCCCTGGGTAAGCTGATATACGGCGGCATGCTGGTTAGCAGCCATGTTGGCACTCTGCGTTCGGTTGTGCTGGACGGCTTGGGCATTGGCTCGGCGGTACTTGTCGGTGACGTTGGCAGATCCCTGGCCAGGAACATAGTAGTTGGACTGTGGTCGCTGCATCGATCCCATGTTTCGAACAATATGAGAGTCGTCGCGGGCAGCGACCACCGGGGCTCCGTAGGGCTGGCTATATCCAGCAGCACCGCTGGAAGGGTGCTGGAGGCGATATTGAGAGGGATCAAAGGTCTGTGTCATGGGTGGTGCAGACGACGGGCTCGATCGGTTCGCTGCTGCGTACTGCTGCCACTGGATGTTGTGGTTGATGACTGGTGGCGAGGCGTAGACTCTGGGTTGGGCAACAGTCGAGCTGCCACGGTAGCCTGTGGGAGTGCCGCTGAAGGAACCGCGAGATCGGTGGGACTGGTCCACGTAGGATTGGCCGTATTGCGGCTGACCCGTCATGATGCCACCGGCAGAGGCTGGGCGAGCCTGGAGCATGGCAATGGAGGAGTTTTGCTGAGGGTAGCCTTGGACCAAAGCCATGGTTAGAGGCGGGATGCCAGTGTTTGTTTGCTTGCCGCTCGATGGAAATATATCGAGCCGGGAAGGAAGAAAAATTGCTATGTACGGTCCTCGTGGGCAAAGATCTCGATTGACGGTTTCGAAGGACGGGGCTGAGCGTTGAGGACGAGTGGCACTGTGTTGCATTGGTTAGCAAATGTGAAATGGTTGATGTCGTAGTCTCAGCACGGAGGGTTGCAAACTCGCAGGGCAAGGTGGCTTACATGTTCCTTGGCAAGAAAAGGCAACCCGATTCTAGATCAGAGCTAGCAGATGGAACAGCTCGCTCGGTAGATGCTTGTTTGCAAAATGACGTTTGCAACACAGAGCAAGACGGCGAAGGACTTCGTTCGTCTACTAAGGCTGGCCTTACAAAAACTGATGTGATGCAGCCCCCTAGGGATGGTAGGAAAGCTTTAGGCGATGTCTTGAGGGCACAAATACGAGGGCAATGAAGCCTCTATTACGTGTCTGCCTTGCAAAATTGGGTGGGCGAGTCAAGGAAGAAGAAGACAAAGGTATGGTATCCAGTGATGAATCACGGGAAGTGCAGACGGGACGGCAACAGCAGTAGCACAAGGGCAAGAAAGAATCGTGGCAAATGCAGCAACAAACGACGCTGATGAGTGGCAGAGGACAATGGAGAAGTCGACACAAGACAAGGACAAACTAATATTGGGTTCGATGGCGGTGCAGGATGCTCGGGATGTCGGAAGAGAAAAGGGGGCAGTTGCTCGCGGGGGGGGCTTCGAGGACGTGTCGTGTTTCGGTGTCGTCTGTTTTTTTGGCTGTTTATTGAATAAAATCCAAGGTGAAGAGGTGAAAGGCAAGGAAAAGGGGGAAGAAAACAAAGAATGTAGGGGGGGTGAGGAAAGGAAACGGAAAGGAAAGGGAAGTTGTGATGTTGGATGGAAGAATTGTTGACGGAGGAGAAAGAAGGCTTTCAGGAGCAGCCGCCGAAAAACGAGGAGTGGTGGTGATGGCGCCCGTCAGTGCACAGCGAAAAAGCAAGGCAGCCAGTCAAGACACCCGTTGCTGGCCTGCCAGTGTCTCTCAGCAGCAGGCACAGGCACCGAACCGAACCTTTTTTGGAGGGGAGGGGGGGCGTGGGCGTCCGTTGGTGGTGGTGGCTCCAGCAAACAATGGGCAAGCAACCCTTTTTTTTTCCTTGCCTTTTCCTTGTTGGCTCGTTCCAGCAAGTAAACAGCACCATAGAAAAAACCTGGCTGCACAGCCCAGCGCCAGTGAGTGGAGCCAACGACCCAGCACGCAGGCAGGCAGCGGGCAACAGCAAGCAAAGCACCACTGTAAATGCGTGTTGCTGCAGCGCCTTCAGGACAAACGCAATGGGATTTACAGCAGCATCGCCCGCTGTTGACACTGGTGTCCGCGCTACCGTTTAGGGGGAGTGGGGAGCGTTGATGCACGTCTGCATACAGACGCACATTAGCTTGCTGATGGCTTGCGTTAACGTCGCCCGTTCACTCTATTTTATTTATTTTCCTTTTTTTTGCCACCACCGTTACTATCTCTTTTTTCATTTGGTGTTTCTGGGGCTGTAGGGGGCTATATCTCACCACAAGGTGAATATTTGTCAACATTCACAAGCTAAAGAAAAGCATTAGTCGTCCTCTCCTAGGTTTTATCGGGAGGATCCCCAAGGATCAGAAGGATCCGCAGAGAAGCTCTAAGCGGCTCAAGCTAAAAAGCCAGCTAGCTCAGGCACATCCATTCCAGCGCTCCCATTTGACACTGTGCTGGCTTTAGCAGCTAGCTTAGCTCTTAGGTAGTTCTAGATAACGGCACTCGCCGGGGCATCTCGTTAGTAAAAGCGGCCTCGGCATTAAAACACCACCGCGTTGATTAGAAAAAAAAAAGCGGATGAATAGGCTTGCATTGTTAGTATCAGCTAGCTTCTATTGTACTACAAACAAAAGGCAGCCAAGCTTAGTAGTCCACAGCATGCAAGTCGCCTCGCGTCGGATATTTACACCAGAAGCAACAACCGCTGTTTGGTGCTGCTATAGCGGCCCCCAATTCAGTGCAACGCTGGCCCAGGGTGGTACTGTACTTTAGAACAGCCAGCCAGCACCACCCCCAGGCGATCTCCCTGCCTGGCATCCACCGCGCTATCGTTCTGGCACCGTCCACGTACGCTGTGGCTCCCTATTGTGCGGGTTCCCCGGATATTAATATATTGCATGACCCTTGTTCATTTGGCTGGAACAAAATAGCCATACGGGACTTGAAATGTCCCATCTTTAATTCCTGGACCACGACAGCTGCTACAGCAAACAACGAGCCGTAATGGGCGATGTTTGACACGACTACCACAACAACAACAACAACAAAGGAGAAAGAAAATTCTCTTTGCTGGCCCGGCTTAGCCTAGCCTAGCCATCCAAGACATCCTGCAACTCGCTCTCAACAACACCCGTGCACCTACCACCCACTACAAGCTGCCCGCCCAGCGAGAGATGGCGCGGCACAGAGCTCAGAGACACGGCGCTAAACCATCTTGTGCATGCCCAGGACGCCACGCTCGGCGGGTCGCGTCCGATGGTCGTTGGGCCTGCGCCGTAAAAGGGGCCTTTACGCCCGCTGATTGGGTATAATGCCTGAATGGTGGCATAAACCCGTCCCAAGCTAGCAAGGCACCCCTCGCTCCGCTCTTGCGCAACAACATCCCAGTCTGGGTTGGCGCCGGACGCTTAGTAGAGTCCATAAAGCGCCATTCAGGGAGAAACAGAAGGAGGATCACGCCCCCGTCTCAGCACACAGTTTTCCCGAGAAGCGTTTTAACACAGTGGTGATGATCAACGCAAGCAACTGGTGGGATTGCTTTTGCTGAGAGATAAAAAAACGCTTTGTTGAGCTGCTACTACTGGTGCTGCTGATTGCAACGTGTTCTACGTCTGATGGGCCGAAGCAAAAGACATCACCGACATGAGTGAGTGCGTGCATTGGATGCATCTCCCTGGAACACCACCACTTTCCAACGCACTTGTAATGGTTTCTCTCCATCCGCATCTGGTTAAGCCGTGCCTCCCAGTATGACGGCAGAAATGCAACACACCACCGGCTCAAAGTTCCCCATCCTGCGGTCCACCAGACATGTGTGGAAAACGGTGGAACACGGATCGAGCACGATCGGGAAGGAAGAAGAAAGAAAAAATAGGTTCGGTCGGTCATGACCTTTAGGCTACAGAGCCCCCGGATCCAGCGCTACTGCAGAACCCGGACTCGCTAGGCCTTCCTCTTCCCACGGCTCGTCACTTTTTTTCTCTTTGTCCTCTGACTGTACGATATATCCGCCTCCTCGTACCACTTTAAGTGGCCCAACGAGGCGCTCATGGCCCACCAATATGTTGTTCGTTGCCAAGTTGAGTGAGCAGCAGCGAGCACGATATAAACAGAAAAACGCGTAATAAACCAAGGAAAGTCTTTCGACTGATGCTGCTGTGGGCAACAGGCATCCATGCATCCAGGCGACTTAAGCGGAGATCTGCAGGAGACAACGAGCAAGCCCGCATATATTGGAACCACCACAGTGGCTCTTTTTTGCCTTTGCTTTCGTCAGAGCGTACGATGCTTTGCAGATGGACAGTGGATGTCGTCCTAGTGGTTTTGGTCCCTTGGCTTCTCCATCCCCAGGGACACAATGCATCGACGGGCTGGCTCGCGTGACATGGGACAGACACCCGCATTGCTAGCACAAGGAGGGCACTCTTCGTATGCCGTGTCGTCGCGGGATTTGCTTTGGTGGTGTTGCCGCAGCCAAAGTGCGTCATTACGCCGATGACGACTTTGTCTATGCTCGAATGGGGACGCATTATTCGGACCAAGCAAACCTGCCTACAACAGCCTGCTCCCTTTTTTCTTGCCTACCCCATGTTCGTCTTAGCTGCCCACAGCTCGTCTGTGAATGGCTGCGGATAAGGGCAACCCTCGTATTGGCGCCGTCGGTGGGTCGGCGTGTTCCAAGCTAGCAAGGATAAGGGCATGGTCAGCGTCCGATCCAAGGGACGTTGGCGTGGTGCGTGCCTGGGAGCTTTCGTACGGCATAGTATTACTGTAGCATTTAAACGCTCCATGAACCAAAAGTTGGCAGTTGGTGGTTGCGCCTCCGTGGGCCGCCACAACGCCCGCGTGCGGTAGGTACGAGAAAAACTGTCCATCGGCTCTGATATATCCGGAGATGCCCTTTTTTTTAACGAGTGGGCGTAAGATCCGCTTTGGCTCTGTGAACAACACTGCTTGTCTCAGACTTGGCCCATCGGCAGCCGCCACGCAAGGCTGTACGAGTCGGCCGCTAGTGAAGCCGTAGCCTAGACCGAGTAGCCTAGGACTTGCAGCAAGACGGCTCGATACGGACCAAGCAAGAAAAAATTGGCATGAGTAGTGGTGTTTGTACCAGCCTGTAATTAGCCTTGCCGCTACTGCAAGATGCGAATACGATCAACAGGCAGATGCTGCAATGTCCAGGCTGGTGGCTTTTGGTGTAGAGAGTGCTGTAAATCTCTAGGGTACTAAACGTGGGAAATATTTGCCAATGAACAAATGTCGGGTAGAGTACAATGGACAGACAAGAAAATAGTGAGCCGTAAAATTATAGTTTGGATGAATTATTATTAACATAAATTAAACATCGTGTTGTGAAGCAGTACATGGTGTTTATGTTTGAATCAGAGAACTGGCAAAATCGCCATTCTGTGCCCAGACTCTGGCCCCAAGACATCTACACACAAACATCGGTTACGCCGTAGGGCGGGCGGCGGGCCGTGGCTGACACGTCCAACTCGCTTAGACCGTTAAGCTTCCCGTGGTAATTAAGTTCCAAGCGAAGCCGTCTCACTACATAAAACGTCAATTACAATCCAGCGGTACCCCCAAATCACAATACAAACTCGTGCGCGGGTCTTCTCGGATAGCCTGGGCAGAGACATTCCACAGCTCCATTCTTTGCCGCTACCACCCCCATCAGATCGCCACGCGCGCAATTTCCCCCAGACATGCGAAGCCGGCGCCCGTTGAAACATTACAAAGCAAACCGGGCCGCCGATAATTTAGCAAGCCTTATCAGACCTTTATCACCGTAAAGAATGGACGCCGAATCGGGGGACCAGCCGACCCCGCGGCAGGCAAAGAAAAGCGAGCATCAGGCCGTTATCAAAGCCCAGAATCGGCGCAGAGAATACCTTGAGCGTACACCGGAATACTTTCACAATGTTGAACACGAGCTATCAGGTATGTTTTTCGTATGCGTGCTTGATTCTATAGACAGGAACAGGCACCCAGGTCAGACCAAGCAGTTACTGACGTGTACCATTAGATCCTGTGCTATATGAACGCTTGGTGAAGCGCTATCAGTCGGCAGAAGAACGCCAGGCCGAAGGCAAAAAGAAGGGATATGGGCGAACACTAGAAGCGGATCTCATCCGCGGAGAGACAAAGATATCGAGTATTCGACCGGGAGCAGAGGCCGATGCCATTTCATCATCGTCACCCATGAGCGTCGCCCGCCAGCGATTAAAAGGCGGCGAGCCGTGGGATCAAGACGTTTCCGACAAAAGCCAAGGACTGGAGCTATGGAAGGAATATCTCTGTGACCGTTTCATTCGCGGTGATGACGAAGAGTTTGATTATACCCGTGTCGACAGCAATGAGGACCTAGATGTGCTGGCGAGAGCAGACGCAGAGGACGAGTGGTTTGACCAAGAAGAACCAAGCTGGCACGAGGAACAGGGCGAGGCGTCTCTTCAGGGCGAAACCGGCGTTCAGGATTATTAATGACTCTGATGAAAACTCACGTATAGAATAGATACCAAAGCGGCAGCGGCTATTGGCCCCGTTGATTGCATCATAGGCAATTGACACAACGAAAATAATAAATATCAAAGATTCACTATCACCACGATGGAACCTGTGCATTTAAATTATGGAACGAGAATTTTAGCAATGAAAACTAATTTTTCCGCTAAAAATAAATGGATATTCCAGCGTGGTTATGCAACAATTACTGAAAATGTCTTTCTGGCATCTCTCGCCGACGGGTTCCCCATTGGGCAAAATCGGCTTTGGCATTGTCTTCCCCGCCCCCACCAATGACGGACCATCTAACCTGCAAACGCTTCTTAAACAGCTGGGCCCTCACATTTGCGTTTCTTCCTTTCTATCCCCTCAATTCCCCTCTCTACTACCAAACGATTCTTCAAAATGGCCCCTACTTCATTCAAGCTCAACACTGGCCAGGATATTCCTGCCGTCGGTCTCGGTATGGCCTGTACCATACTCGCCTCCAACCTCTAAACTAACCACTCTACTTCTGCACAGGCACCTGGCAATCCAAGGCCGGCGAGGTCGAAAAGGCTGTTTCATACGCCCTCCAGAACGGATACAAGCTTGTGGACGGGGCCTACTGTTACGGAAACGAAGATGAAGTCGGTGCTGGCCTCAAGGAAGCCTTTGCCAATGGCGTCAAGCGCGAGGACGTCTTTGTCATGACCAAGGTCTGGGCCACCTACAACACCCGTGTCGGCGAGGCCATCGAAAAGAGCTTGAAGAGCCTTGGATTGGACTACGTTGACATGTACCTCATTGTAAGTGGCCCCGCTACAGCAGCCCCCATCTATTCGCTAACACACGCAACAGCACTGGCCTGTTCTCCTCAACCCCGAAGGCAACGATGACAAGTTCCCTACCCTCCCCGACGGCTCCCGCGATATTCTCCGCGACTGGAACCACGTTGAGGCCTGGAAGCAGATGGAGGCCCTGGTTGAGACCGGCAAGGTCAAGGCTATCGGTGTTTGCAACGTAAGAACCGTGACACTAATGCCAAGTGGAAACCACCAGCTAACGCCTTTTGTTATAGTACAGCAAGAAATACCTTGAGGAGCTTCTCCCTGTGGCCAAGATTGTCCCTGCCATCAACCAGATCGAGAACCACCCCAGCCTTCCCCAGCAGGAGATTGTCGATCTCTGCCGCGAAAAGGGCATCCACATTGTCTCCTACAGCCCTCTTGGCAGCACTGGCAGCCCTCTCATGACGTGCGAGCCTGTCGTCAAGGTTGCTGAGAAGAAGGGTGTTTCGGCGGGCACTGTTCTCCTGAGCTACCATGGTATGTTGTCCCGCCTTGCAAAACACAAAACGTATAACTGTATGCTAACGCAATTCCAGTCGCTCGTGGAAGCACTGTCCTCGCCAAGTCTGTCAACCCTGACCGCATCAAGGCCAACACTCAGATTGTCGACCTTGACGCTGAGGACATGAAGCTGCTCAACGATTACTCTGACGATCTCACCAAGAGGGGAGAGCTTAAGCGCTACGTCTACCCTCCCTTCGGTGTCGACTTTGGCTTCCCCGACAAGTCGTAAATACAAAAACTGGCGATGCTCTAACGATGAAGTAATACATAGACCTTTGATTTTTGATATAAATGAATAAATAAATTGACATGATTTTCTGATCAGCCCCTGTTTTCTAATACACTATAAACTTGCTAAAACGCCACTCAAGAGACTCTGCTCGTCTCTTCATGCATGCACGACACCTAACAAATCATTTTCAAATCCAAACTATTTAGTTAAGCGCTCATATCAATCATAACCTTCAAGACAAGTTTACCGTCGTCATCCTTTACCTTGCCGGCAGTCGCAAAGGCCTGGGGAATATTCTCCATGCCCTTGATGCGATGTGTGACGAGGGTGCTCAGATCAGGCATTCCCCTGGGGGGATTCGACAGCATCTCAATGGCTCGAGGATAGGTGTTTGCGTAGCGGAAAACACCAACCAAGTCAACTTCACGGAGCGCAGCTGCGGACATGGGAAGCGTGAGGATTGGCGTACCCATGCCGATAATCATGACCTTGCCGCCGGGCTTGGTGCACTATTGGATTGTTAGAGGGGCTTTTCTTTCTTTGTGGACTTAAAGGGCTAAGAATAGTTTCACTTACGTAGATGGAGCACTGCGTACATGTTTCAACGCCAGTGCACTCATACGTAGCAGAGACCTCACCGACAGGCTCGCTGTTGACCTTGGTCTCCTTGACCATGGCAGCAACCTCCTGCGCGTATTTGAGCTTGTCTTCTGTCGTCTGGGGTCGGGCCATTGGCACAAGCACACCAGCGTCGGCAAATCCATTCTTAATAGCAAAGTCGATTCGATCTTGTTGGATGTCGGCAATGATGATGGCCTTGGCACCGGCCGCTCTGCTCACTGCAGCAGCCAGAATACCGACGGCACCGGCACCAAACACTAGGATTGTAGCGCCCTCAGGCAGTCGAGCTCGGTCTTGGGCGTGCATGGCTACCGACAAGGGCTCAATGAGAGCACCAAGGTCTAGGGACATGTTGCTGGGCAATCTGTCGCTGGCTGTTAGTGTATCTTCTTTGGCGGAGACTTGAAAGGAACACTCACTTGTGGCACCATTTCGCAGGATGGTTAATCCTTTCCTGTAGTGTGCCCTGGAAATGAGGAAACGACTTGGCAGAGCTACGGAAGCGCATACCGCGGCAGATGTTGTAGGAGCCGCTGTCACAGTATTCACAGTCGTCGCAAGAGACGCCGACTTCTAGGGCGACGCGGTCACCAGGGGCAAATGTCGTTACAGAAGATCCGACGGAGACTACTGTACCGCTGGACTCGTGTCCAAGAGTGAGCGGCTCGCGAACAATGATGTCACCGTTGCGGTAGTGGTTGAAGTAATGGAGGTCGGAGCCACAGAGACCTGTAGACTGAATGGCGATTTGGATTTCGGAGGCCTCGGGGGCTGGTAGCTCGCGGTCTTGCTGGTGATAGGGGAAAAGAGTGTCAGTTTCTGGAATAGAAACAAGAAGGATGAAGAGCACAAGTTTTTGAACTTACAAGGCGAAGGTCCTTTTCGCCATGGAGGACGGACGCTTGAACTCGTTCTGTCGCCATGTTGAGTTTTGGCTAGTAGTAGATGAAAAGATGCGATTGATTATTCAAAGAAAAAGAGAAGTGATAGACGTATATGAGGACAGAATGCAGAGCGGGAAGTGAAGGGAGAGAGTATTGGCAGGAAAGTAAAACGTTCCAAGTGGCGGCAAAGAAAACTTGACGGCGGCACCACGATCCCCCACGTTGGGCGTACGGCGCCGGCTATTGAAGCTTTGCGCCCCCCCGCACCACCCGCCTCCGCAGACCGGACGTTGGACAAAGGGCGTAGCAGCACGTAGACCATTCAGGACAAAAGGTGTAAATATGCGAAGCAAAGGTAAAATTGAATATACTGCTGAAGAATCAATTGCAATATTTTCACAATTTTATACCTTTATTAAACATAGTAGAACCTCAATACTTGTCCTTATGCCAAAATGGGAGCTTGTCGCCGGAACTTGCCCAACACGGAAACTTTTCATCGGCAATAGAAACACCTCCACCAAATACCCCAGCGCCCCTCTCCAACAGTGACGTCCCGGTTGAATGCCCCTCCAAGAACCACATCTTCCCTCTGTTTCTTCTCCATCACCAGTATCCTTTGCTTTTACCATTGCTTGCACGCAAAATTATTCAAATGGCTGCCAACATGTTCTCGCTCGAGGGCCAAACGGCCATGATCACCGGCTGCACTAGAGGCATTGGCCAGTCTGTCGCTATTGGGCTGGCAGAGGCTGGTGCCGATGTCATTCTCATCCAGGTGCGCAGCAATTGCCAAGTCGCTGCATATTATTCGCAGTAGCTAATGCTTTGTATTTGCAGAGAGATACATCCGTCACAGAAACCAAGGAAGCCGTCGAAAAGCTCGGCCGCAAGGCCTGGATCTACACGGCAGACATGGCCGTCCCTGAATCCGTTGCGGCCCTCACGCCCAAGATCCTCGCTGACAACCACGAGATCCGCATCCTCGTCAACTGCGCTGGCATCCAGCGCCGTCACGCCTGTGAAGAGTTCCCCGACAGCGACTTCAACGAGGTCATTCAGGTCAACCTCAACGCCGTCTTCACCCTCTGCCGCGACGTCGGCGCCCACATGCTCAAGCTGGAGCCCTCGCCCGTCACCGGCCGCCGCGGCAGTGTCATCAACTATGCATCCCTCCTCACCTTCCAGGGCGGTCTTACTGTCCCTGCCTATGCGGCGTCCAAGGGTGCAGTTGGCCAGCTGACAAAGTCGTTTGCTAATGAGTGGACATCCAAGGGCATTACTGTCAACGCCATTGCTCCGGGCTACATTGAGACGGACATGAACACAGCCTTGCTCAACAACCCCGAGCGATTGGCTAGCATTAGCGCTAGAATCCCTGCTGGCCGCTGGGGCTCCCCTGAAGACTTCAAGGGCACAACAGTGTACCTTGCGTCCAAGTCTAGCGCCTACGTTAGCGGTCATGTGTTGGTCGTGGATGGTGGTTGGATGGGCCGATAGAGCATGTCGTGGAAGAAAAAATGTAGTTTGCAAATGTAGCTCGTTATTTTGGGATATAATATAAAAAAAGAAATTGAGTATGCCATCGAGGAGAGTCCTTTGCTTTTTGCTCCTAAAGAAAGCCATAAAACGCCGTATGCCATGCTGTCAAGCTGTCAGGCAATGAAGAATAATTTCCGTGCAGTTCCCGTCTCTTCCGTGGTATCATACAGACGGTGCAGACTACACATAGCGCCCGGTTAAAACAAAATATACAGGAGCCTAAAATAAAAGGCGAAGCAAATAGTCAATCATGCAAGTAAAATGCATGTCTAGTTGCGGCGGGCAGAGACGACACGGCGGACAGCCAAGCTGGGTGTGCCATCGGGCGTGATGACCTGAGTGACGGTGTTTCGTCTAGAGCGGACAACGACGTTTGAGGGGCTGGTGCTCTTGGATCGGACCCTATTTGCATCATGTTAGTCTCTATGTAAAAAGGGGTATTTTTTGTCGCAGCTTGACTTCGTCTTGGAAGACAGATGAAAGGTTGGCGCTGGTGATCAGGCTAGGCTTACTCAGACTGGAGGGCAGCAATGCGGATGCGCGCAAGCATAGGGTGAAGCTCGTCAGTATACATTTTGGTGGTATATGAGAAGAATGGAGAAATAAAGAAGCTTTGTGTAAGGTCTGGCGTTAATTTTGAATATTGAAAAGGGAAAAATGTAGATGAAAGGAGGAAAATGAATTGGCGTGGGCATTGTTCTTATTCGGAATCACATGCTTACTTACTACCTAAATCTGACACTCGGAGTCCGTCTTACACAGCGAACGAAACGGGTGACAGCTACCGCATTCAGACTGCAAAACCGCAAATTGAACCCCGTTCGTCCACTAGTCGTGCGACTTGGCGTTGCCCTCCTTCAGGCTGCTTGCTGGTGCTGGGTGCTGCAAATCGTGCGACACGTCGTGGCGCGCAATGCACAAGGTCATCTGGCTCCTTTTGCAGCAGTTTCGGAATCATCCGTGCCAAGATGCCGACACGAGCGAGAAGTCTTTGACGGTCATGACATGGTGAGCGGAATGCTCGGAGGATGCAAGTACACAATTATTATAGAGCCTTCAAGTTAAGCTCTTCGTATTTTTACAATTTGTACAGCAGTGCGGCTCAGGTCGTCCCATGTTCGGGACGGGGATGGTTGCGCCAGGAAGGGGGAAAGGCTGTTGATCCCCGCCTTATGCGCCACCACTCCTGGTGACCAGAGCGCAGGGAGAGGGGAGTGTGTCGCGTGCTGGTTTGGGTATATATGCTTTCATTATTAAGATCATAACTGGGTTTTGAAGGGTTGTTCAAAATAGTTGTTTATAGAACCTCTCCCTTGCGTTCAGATGGTTGCCAATTTAGGAAGATATAAGGACGTAAGCCGGGCTTATACTGTGCTTTTCTTGAGTTACTTATAAGTTAGTCCACATGCTATAAATATAAACCCGCAATGACGTCCATCACTTTTCAGAAAGATTATATAGAAAAATATATAAACAAACCTACCAACTTAGCATAGATGATGTCGACAGAGCACGCCTCGCCCATTGTCTCCAACAACAGTGCCCCACTAAACCTGCCAGCGCAAAAAAGGCTACGCTACACTATCACATGCTAAATTTGCATGTGCCGCACTGTCTCGCCCTCCGCCTACGCAATTGGCTAGTAATTTCCCTTCATTTCAATCGTATCAATACATCGTACCACAGTAACACCTCTGTGCTAAGAGATACAATACGCCACTAGACTCGTAGTATGGCTTGAAATGGCATGTATCCGAGTAACTTGTACCTGGCGCACGTCACCTTCTAGAACAAGACGCCAGAACGCGCTTTTGCCACTGCCACGGTCATTGCCAGGTGCCCAACAGGTGCCCGCCAGCTGTCGCCTGGTCCATCCCTCAACAGTTTTTTGATTTGTTCCAACTAGGATCTTCTATTTTCCTTTTTCTCTCTTTCCCATCTGCACACTCCTTTAATTTTTGTAATTCACCAACCCTTGCAATACCAGGTGCATTCTCCTGCCCTTTACAGCTCGTCCTGCTACAGCGACATGCAGGTAGCTCCGCCGCCGCGATGACCTCCTCAGACCCTCCTAATACGCCCCAACAAATCGCGGCCAAATCGCAATCAATATTAACAACACCCAAGACTTCTAACCAGTCTCTTGGTCCAACGCTTCTACCTTCGCCTATTGCGCATGCTGTCAGTTTAGCGACTCGATCGACGTCCTTTGCTATCCGCCTCGGTTCGCTTGTTAGCGCGTACGGTCTCGATGCGGCCCGATTCACAACGCTCTCCAGTCTCGAACTTGCCCGCGGCTTAGTAGAGGTGGTCCTGATAAAGGCAGGCAAAGACACTGCTACGAGTGCAATAGCCGCTGCTGATGCCGAATCTGTCTTGGAAAAGAGTCTCGAGAGCCTGCACTATGCTGTTATCCAAGTCGTCTTTTGGACGTCGGCTAGTTTCCGACTTACAGGCACCACATTATCCGCCGCGTCCGAGGCCAGCCAAATCGTTCTTTCTTCTCTGGATAGGATTTTAGGATCAACAGATTCGTCTCGCGCTGTCGCGAGTATTATCACGCTAATCCGCCGCGAATTTCGAAATCCCATCACTGGAAACCAGGGAGAAAAGGTCGGCGTTACAGATTTAGTGCTCGCTCTTAGCGCTCTGGCATATCTTCAACAGTCCTGCTACAGGTTTCGTGAAGAAGAAGACCGAAGACGTTCGTATGAAGAAGTCATATGGGATGTAGTTGTCCTTAATGATGGCGAGCGGGTCGACATTGACAACCAAATGGCTTTACAGCGTGGTTATAGTGAAGACCAAATACCATCACCAACAACTCCAGGCGATATGCAACATGCAGAAGATGATGTTGTTCTAGAGAGACTCCGACATCAAATCATATCGTCGCTCCCTGCTGATACAAAAGTCACAATATCCAACTCCGTGTCAACCATACAGACCATTGCGGTCGATGTGGAAGGCCCGGATTTGCCAGCTCTGCCCACACCTCCTGGAGCAGAGATTGTGGAAACAAGCATTATTCCCGCCAAGCCGCAATCGAAATCTTGGCTCTCATACGGCGGCGATGAAAGTCAGACGTCTTCATATAGAGTTGTTTATAAGCTTGAACGAGACAAGTTCCGATCCATGGTATTCTCTGGAAATGGTGCAGAGGACGCTATCATGACTGACGCAAAGGAGGACGACCCCAAAGATGTCATGCAATACGATGCAGCCAGCGGAACATTCAAGGCTGTGCCAAACAGTCCTCGTACGGTACCGCAAGTGAAGGTCGAGGCGCCACCAAAGCCAGAAAGACGCCTCTCTGCCGGACCACCAGCGACAGGAACGCAAACCGCAGCGCGAGCACAGTCCCGCTTGTCGAGATCTATGGAGCCAGCGGCGAACCAGAAGAAGGCTAGAACCCCAGCCAATGGAACTCCGGAGCGGACCGACAAGCACCGGGCGGACAGCTCTGGAGTACGTAAACCTGTTGCAAAGCGCAAAGGCGACGCGGCTTCCTTGGGTCGATCGACAGACAAGAAGACAGGCTTGAAGCAGGCACTCAAAGAAGGTGGCCAGTCTCTGTCCAACATTTGGAACAAAGATGGCGTTGAACCTAGTCAAGGCTCTAAAAGTAAGAGTGGCACGAAGCCTGAACGACCGCTCTCCACGTCCTCAGCTGGTTCAGTCAAATCAAAGCCTCTTCCCTCTCGGCCTCAAAGAAACAACGAGCGAACCATTGCTTCACGGCGGTCGGTTCAAACGCCAGAGATCTTACCCCGAAGCTCGTCCAGAGCTAGCTATGTCTCTATCCAAGACCGCCGGCGCGATTCGCTCGTGTCTCAAACAGACACTTACACCATGACCCCGGCCGGCGGACTCCAACCAGCCTCACCAACCGTCCGCAGATCAGACGTCTCAACGTCGCAAGACAGCACACTCTGGGCGAGAGCCGAAGCAGCATATGGAGCCCATTCGGCAGCCCCACGCCGCGGTCATCGTCGCCATGGCTCTGCCTACGCCCCGAGTCTCTATAGTCTCGCAACCAACGACTCGCAAACATCGCTCGTGCTCTCGTCATATTATAAGAAGAGCGCCTATAGCGCAACCGATGCCCTAGAGACGCTTCGAAGGGAAGGGTTTGTGGATGGTACGTTTCCGTCTGGCCACTTACTGCCCAACATTGTCCGATATATGCGCTTCTCTTCGGCGTGCTACGGCTCCAACTTTATGAAGTTCCTTGGAATCTCGTCCGACATGCCCACTGGCAAAGCCTGGGATACAACCCACCATGATGTTCGCCATTTTGCCCACCATACAGAATCAGACGCCGGCAACATTCTTCTAGCATCCTTCGTAGATCCCCAAGGTGGCACCGACGCCACAGGCGCAACTGGTACTGGCGTCCCGCTTGTCCATTACATCTCGCTGGACCACGAAGCCAAGGCTGTCGTACTTGCCTGTCGAGGAACGCTTGGATTTGAAGATGTCATGACAGATATGGCCTGTGAATTTGACGATCTTGTCTGGAAAGGCCACAGCTACCAGGTACACAAGGGCATGCACGCCTCTGCTCGTCGCCTACTATACGGCGGTGACGGCCGCGTCTTGTTTACTCTCAAGGCAGCACTACAAGAATTCTCCGACTATGGACTCGTCCTATGCGGCCACTCTCTCGGTGCAGGCGTCACATCTCTTCTCGGCCTAATGCTTTCAGAACCCAATCGCCAGGGTCCCGGCTTCGTCACAGCATCCGAGTCACTCTACACAAAGATGATTACCGACGGCTCCTTTATAGACCACAGCTTCTCTGACGTGAAACTACCGCCGGGCCGCCGCATTCACGTGTACGCATACGGTCCTCCGGGCGTCATGTCCTCTGGCCTCCGCAAAATCACGCGCGGCCTCATCACCAGCGTCGTCCACGGCAGCGATCTGGTCCCTCACCTATCGCTCGGACTACTCCACGACTTCCAGGCCCTCGCGCTGGCCTTTAAGAATAAAGAAAACCGCACTAAGACGGAGATCCGCGCCCGCCTCTGGGCTGCCTTCCAGAACAACCTCTCTGCTGGCGCACGCCGTATCCCCTCCAACGACGAAGACGCTTGGATGCTGCCAGCCCTTCAGGCCCTTCGCGATACCATGACCAACAACAAGCTCCTTCCGCCCGGGGAGGTCTTCACCGTCGAGACACAGCGGGTTCTGCGACGAGACGCCTTTGTGCTAGTTAGTGAACGGCAGCTTGGGCGTCCCGCGCAGCGCGTAGTCCTCAAGTACATCCGTGACGTCGAGGGCCGATTCGGCGAAGCTCGCTTCGGAACAAGCATGCTTACGGACCACAGCCCTGCCAACTACGAAAGCGCCCTCAACAAGCTCAAGATGGGCGTGGTTGAATAGCTGCCGTCTTCTTGACATCTCTAATGTCTACTTTCTCTCTCATTTTATCCCCATTTTCAGCAAGCATATCCTTCTTTCTTTTAGTTTTTGTATAGATTAGATTTCTCATTTCACGAGCACACGAAGAATGGTATAAGCACAGTTACAAGGAACATGTATTTGTAATTCTCTTTAATAGAAACGAAGCTCTCTTTTTTTGTTCAATCACCATGCATCAAACTGTGAAATCTCCTTCTCTTAACTTGTATCCAGGTGGTATTAAAAACAACAAACGAAATAAAGAAGGCTACTCAAACATGGGGAGGTTTTTGGGATATAGAAACAAAATAAACAATGCAAAACGAGAAGAAAGTTACATATCAAAACAACACGACCTGGTAGCCGTGCACTTCTTTTTTAGTCTTCAGTCCAGTCTCCAAAGTTGTCACCGTATGGATTCCACTCTTGACCAGGATAACTGGTTGCTGCCATGACAGGCTCGGCATCAAGAGGGTCATAAGCAATCTTCTCTTCCTGGCTTTCTAAACGAATGGTGCGCTGACGAGCGTCGGCAGTGTCCTCTAGTTCAATATTGAAGCTTGATGAGGGTTCCTTGGCAGGGCTCTCGCTAGCAACAGCAGCGGTGGTAGTAGCAGAGGCAGCTGCTAATGGAGCTGCAACAACTGCCGCGGCCTGGACATTTTCAATCACTGGGCTGGGCTCAGCTGGCTTTGAGGCTACAGAAGCTCTCTTGGCCTCATTGACTGGCTCGGCCTTGGTTGGCTTGGGGAATGCAGACATGGGCGTAACCACAACGTCTTCAGGCTCCTCGTGACCTGTGCCAACGGCAATCTCGGGTTGCTTTTGAACAGGTGGGCTCGCTCTCGGCTGTTGCTGTGGTGGTGCTGGTTCATCATGAACTATGCGCACACCAGGCGACGACACAGGTACCGTTTCCCGGACATCACGCTGCGACTCAGGCGAGGGCTCCTGGGATACGTGTGCTGGCTGACCGTAGCCAGAGTGGCGAGGGGGTTGAGGAGAGACACTTTGGGGAGAATGGCTTGGAGGAGCGTTTCTAGGTAGGGGTTGTGAGAATTGGAGATCCGTGCGGATAGGTGTCTCTGGTTCGCGATGGTTTGCAGCGCCAGGGGGCGGCTGTCTCATCTGATTAAGCAGGGTTCCTTGAATAGATGCGGGTGCAGGTGCCTGAGGACCGGGGAAGCCTACGGGCATGGTAGAAGAACGCGCCGAGGGTTGCGGAGGGAAGTAGTTGTTCTGCGCAGACATGCGATGCTGAGGAGAAACAACATACATTTGCTCATGCGGCGACATGGGCTGTGATTGGGACTGCTGAGGGGGATCCCCCTGGCCAGGGCTTTCCAGATAATGGTTATAGTAGCCCGGCGCAGACTTGCCGGGCGATGTGACTGGAGCATCTGCCTGCTTTGAGCTGCGCTTGAAAGCATCCATGAGTTTCTTTCCAGAGTGACGGTCAGTACGATCGCCCTTGTCTGCCTTTTCTGGTTTGTCCTCTCGGCTCATGCCTTGGGACATGTTGTTCATCTGCTCAGTCATCTTGCTACGCAGTCCCTTCCAGCGAGAACCGCCTTCGCGCTCATTCTTGTCCGGGGCAGCAGGCAAAGCCTTGTCCAGGCTCATCTTGGATCTTGGAGATGCGTTCACAGGCGTTTGAGATCCTGGAGCGCCATCACCCATATGAGGAGGGAGGTTGTTGCCATACACCGCTCCCATGTTGGGGTGCTGTTGTTGTTGTTGAGGCTGCTGATAGGCTTGTTGATACGGTTGCTGAGAGTGCTGGGGTTGCTGCGATGGGTGAGCAGAGCCAAGCGGGCGTCCATACTGATCAACAGGAACAGGTACAGGGCCCATGGGTCGGCCATATTGATCAACGCGCATATGACCATATCCTGGTGTTCCTCCCATTGGCGGTTGAGGTGCCTGTTGGGCGCGGTTCCAGCCGCTAGGAGGTGCAGGCTCATTGGCACCCGAAGCGGGGTTGAAATTTGCGGCATGTTGCACTACTGGAGGTTGCATAGGAGTCTGTTCTTGAGAAGGTGTTTGCCTATCAGTGGGGGATGCAACAGAGCTTCGAGAAACAGTCGTATCAGCAACATCACTCGTAGAGTCATTTGTATCTTGACGAGAAATCATGGAGCTAGCAAGAGAAGTGATGGAGGGTCTCGATTCGGTGGGTGCCGTGATAGCCTCAGATTCTCTCCTCTCTTGTTGCTCAGGTTCATGAACGTCTTGATCGCCTCGCTCGGTTCTGGTATCATCATCTGCGCTCATCGGGCGCTTCCCACTGCCATCAAGATCGGGGATTGCGAGTCCCTGGTGCGGCATTTGTAGAGTTGATCCCTCCAAAGTATCAGCGGAGGGATCGCCTGCTTCAGAGCTCATCGATTGTCGCACGCCGCTATCACCATCAGCATGTGGTTTGAAAGGAGCGGGTGTAGGTAGTCCATAGGTCAGTGGAGATGCCGTTGCAGGCTGCGTCCACAGTTGCGATGTGCGTCTCTGCTCGAAATCAGTCGAATTGCGGTTGGAGTTGGCCCTAGAGCGATTGGCTGGAATAGAGCCGTCTCTTCGTTGCTGCGAAGGCGGTCTAGGGATGTTTTGCCAGTTCTGCGAGTGAATCGACGAATCAACAGGTCCTTGCTGAGCTGCCTGGGGCTGGCGACTTGGGTCAGCAACCTCGCCAGTGCGCTGGTGTGAGCCAGAGCGACGAGCAAAGAAGTTTGCCATACTGGAGCCTCTACCTCTCGGTGTGGTGGCTCCATCGCCATTCTCCATGGAACCGAGTGTACCACTGCGCTGTCGTGGTGCGGCCCAATCGTTGGAACCTGGGCGCGAACCCTGTTGCGAGCTGAAAGTGCTGAGCGCATTACGAGACGGTGGTCGATCTGATCCATCGGTATTCTTGGACTTGCGGAAAAGCTTGGTCATGTCTGAAAATCGCTTCTTTTTGCTGGGAGTCGTAGCCTCATCTTCGTACTCGGGTCGCGACATGGACATGGACAGTCGTGAACCAGTTGAGGGCAAGAACTTGTTTTGCGCTGCTGCTAGCGTATTCATAAACGACTTGCGACGGCCTTGGCTGTCCTCAGTTCCAAACGACATATCTGTAGCGGCGCGCTTGGGCGGACCGAAAGAATCCTGGGGTCGACTCTGCTCCATAGAGCCTCGGCGGCCGAGGTTCATCATGAAGCTAGAGCGGCGCTTCTTGTTGTCTTGCATGTCTTCGGCATTCTCACTGGTATACTCATCACGTGTGTTGGTTCGCGAGAGTCTACCATCAGCGTTCGAGGAGAAACGGTCTCGCGAGGTTGCACGGGCAATCTTATCGCCAATCTGATTGAAAATGCCGGAACCTCTCTTGGAGCGACCACGCTCTTCTGGTCCAGGAGGGCCCATTCCAGCAATGCCAAACTCGCTGCTTGTTCCCCTCGGGTTTGGTCCATCTCCTCTCCACCCAGCTCCTTGACCTAGGTGAGGCATTGCTCCATCCCCTTGAGGCGCAAACAGACCAGGGTATCGCTGAGCGGAAGAAGGTGGCATATCTTGAGATCGTGGCTGATTGGCACCGCCAAATTCTGGGCCTTGTGGTCCTGGGAAGCCGGGACGTCCCTCAAATCCGGGGAATGCAGGCGAACGAGATCCGCTGGTACCGGATCGGTTACGAGACACTTGGTTAAGAGGTTCTGCAAGATAGCTTTCTTCCAGTTTCCATGGACCAGAACCGGCAAAGTGCTGGTTGGGCATCATCATTGGAGGACCACCTGCATGATTCGGAGGAGGCATGCTACCATTGGGATACGCAGGGCCGGCTTGTCTGAATTCAGGGCCGTGTTGTGCCACCATGTTGCCTTGATATTGCACAAGTCCGTTACTTGGAGCACCGTGGAGTGCTTCACCAGCATTGGCCGCAGAAGGAGTCTGAACCGCTGCTTTGGCGCTCTCAGAGATTGGAGCAGCAGCAGCAGCAGCAGCTTGCTTGCCACTTGTTGCGGCTGACGCATTGTCGTCCGAGATATCAGGCTCAGTAGTAGCCGTGTGCTCGGCAATGGGTGGGGTAGCAACACTACGCTCAGGTAGCGAGACATCGTCTTCATCAAGTGCAAATCTATCCTTTGCTTCCTTTGCCTTCTTTGCTTTACTCAGTCCAAACGTGGACGATCTTCGAATGGGAGGAAGACCGATGAACGAGGCATCCCGTGGAGTTACATCTTCACTTGCTTGAGATGGCTGTATCGCTACACCACTGTCCTGCGCAGCAAATGTGTTGGGAGCTGTCGCCGGTTGGGTCATGTCGCGAGTAACGCTGGCCCAATCATCATTTGATGCTGATGCCCCAGAAAGCGCTGTGCTTGGTACGGGAGGAACGGCCTTGTTCTTATCAGCGGCCGTGATAGAGTCCTCCTGTTCTGCGACAGCTGCTGCCCATGGATCATTCTTGTCTGCTGATGGCTCAATCGGTGAGAGCGGTTCTGGCTGAGGAATCTGGGGAGCCAGCCTGCTCGAGACACTGGGTGATGGAGTATGCTGCTGGTGCTGCTGATGCTGTGGAGGCTGGTAGTGGTTTACAGCTGGGGGAGGGACATCTGCTTTTCGTTTGGGGCTGATATTCTTGGGACTGATATTCACAGCCCAAGAGGTGCGTCGGTCAGGTTTGGTCTTTTGGGCTGGAGAAGAGGGAGACTCGGCCTATTATACAGTCAAGCAATTAATACGGTGTCTCATCACACACAGCAACATGGAGTTCGCGGTAGTTGGGTGGGCAGTTGGGTGAAGTGTGATATATACGTGATGTGAAATTCCTATCTCATGTACTCGTTCAGGTCGTTGGGAATTCTGCAAAGAAGCTGGCATCATGCCTCTCTTATACAGAATGCCATACGCCAAAGTTCATATCTATCTTCAAACAAGCGGAAGAAGAGGAAATAAAAGAAAAACGACAAAGTCATTCTGGTGTAAATGAAAGGGGACTAGGGAATGAGGGGCAATGGGGGGGGCAGGTGGAGTGAAGTGATGTGTGGTGAGAAGAAGCAAAAAAGAAAGTAGCAATTAGTTAAATACCTTTTCCCCGCTTCCACGCAGCTTGATTTTACCCTTGCTAAGAAGCCCCTTGCCCATCTTACCAGCGGACTGCATAAATTCTTTGCTCTTGGTGCCCAATTGGTTACTCGAGTGACTGAAGGAACTTGTCGTATTGGCGGAGGGGATACTGAGACCACCTAGGCGACTTCGAGTGGTGGTGGGAGAAGAAGTCGTGGCGTTGAGATATTGCTGATAATATGGCTGTTGTGCAGGCGGTTGCTGAGCACTAGACGCGGTACCAGGCGGTCCAGAAGTTGGAACATAGGCCAGCGCTGTGGACTTGGTCAGATGCTCGGGATGATCGTTTCGCAAAGTTGTAAGCCACTGATCCAAGCCACTGTCTGTAGTGGCATAGCTGACCCTCGTCTCGTTGAACGAGGCAATGCGTTCCTTCGAAGAGCCCATTCCCATAATTTCCCGGAAAGACTTTGTCTGCGCCGCAGCTACAGGATGGGCAACAGGAGGCAAGACCTGGGGTACCCAACCAGCAGACGGCTCAACCAAGGCGGGATGGTCGGCGATGGGCGGCGACTCTGGGACAACGCGTGACGATGTTTCTGTCAGAGCCTTTTCGTCTGCGAGTGACAAGCGCGACAAACGAGACCCGGCAGCAGACTTGTCATCGATGTCTTCCGTAACAGCAGAAACGCTCTTCTGGTTATCAGCTTCAACTTGGTCAACTGGTGCAGCAGGCTCGGGAGGAGTGATGGCCTTGGTTTCGGGAACGACATTAATTCCAGGTACAGGGCTAAGATCCTTGACAGCATCTACCGGTTTAGCATCGCTTCCACTAGTTGTCACCGGTTTGGCCTCTTGCGTAGGTTGCGTTGCAGATGCTTTGTTAGCCGCAACACCAGCTACCACGGCGGCTCCAGCAACGGCAGCGGTTGCTGCGACTGCTGCAGCAACAGGAGCAGATGTCGCAGCAGATGGTCCTGGAGCAACTGGAGCGGCTGGAGCCTGTTGTAAAGCTTGCTTTGGTGGTGCCAGAACCTCTTCATCTCCTTCCCATGAAAATCGGCGTCTGGGATTGCGTTGGTTCGCATTATCTGCTACAGGAGTTTGAGGAGCCATAACTTCGGTTGGCAGAGCAGAAGCAACACGAGGCACAGGCTGAATGTGCTCTTGCACAGGCGCGGGCTCTGGCACTGGTACTGGTACTGGTACTGGTGCATTAGTATCAGCTTTGGCAACGACGGGCTCCACAGGTTTTGAGGCCAAGGCTGGAGTAGGCGCAGGGACAGGAGCCGGTTGTTCCTGCGATTTAGTAAGGCCAAGTGGCGTGGCGTGTGCCCTCGCAGCATCGGAGCCGGCAGCAGCGGCCGGCGGGGCGCTATCAGCCCAGTATGTATCGTAGTCACTGAGGGTATAGCTGCTGTCACGGACCTTGTTGCGCTCTTGACTCTCCCGCTCAGCGAGTGAAGCAATACGTGGGTCGGGATCGGGGCTCAGAGTTCGGATGATTTCATCTCGCAGTACATCACTTTCTTTGACAGGAGATGAGGTATCAGTGTCGAAGGTGCCAGCCCGTTGAAGGGGGGGTGGAGGGTCCAATACAGGACTCTCGCCTTTGCGAACCTGCAACGGCTGCGTCGGTGTGACTTCAACAGATTGGGTAGGTGCTGTAGTGACAGGTGTTGTGAGCTCGATCGGTGTGGCCTCAGCTCGTGTTTCTGGCGCTTTCGTTTCCTGTACAGCTTCGTCCTCAGGCGCTGTGGCAATTTTGGGGGACTGAACTGCCTTTGTGTCAACTGGAAGCAGCTGAGGCGACTTCTTCAATGGTTCTGAGGCGGTAGCAGAGGCCGAAGTTGTAGCAGCAGCAGCAGCAGCAGCAGCAGGAACAACAGCGGGAGTGGCAGCGGTTTCGGGCTTAGGCTCAGGCGTAGGCTCAGTTGCTGCTGTCTCTGCAGGGCTCTCTGGTGTTGCTGTCTTCGCTGGTTCCGCCGGGGCTGGCTCCACTGGTGTCGCCTTAGCAGGTGCTTCGAATTGCGTAAGATCAGGAGTCTCCGGGATGGGCTCCGTATTAAAGCTATTCGTAGTAGATGAAAAGAAGTCATCCGAGCCAAAGACTGACATGCGGGCCAGGTCCGGTAGCTTCGGGCTAGTAGACATACGCCTATCATTGGTTGGATGGCTTAGGAACTGTGGTGCGCCGCTGTGAGCAGGTCTCTGACCAGTACTCGCCTGCGGGCCATTTCCGTATTGTGGAAGGGATTGGCCACGAGGGGGCGTTTGGAAAGAAGCCGGTGCCTGTTGAGAGGGTGCAGGGGCCTGCTGTAGCGATACACTACGAGTCTGAAAGGGAGACTGTCCTGGGGTCGGGCCCACGGCGGGCTGTGAGAATGATTGCCCTCCAGGGGGTGCTTGGAACGAGGCTGACGCAGCTCGAGGAGCTGTTGGAGGTTGCTGCTGCTGGTGCTGCTGGGGCTGCCAAGATTCACCGCGAGGTTGCGGTTGGAAAGAGGCAGCCGGGCTAGATGCTGCAGCAGAAGGCTGAGGACCAGCTGGCCTCGATTGAGGAGCAACTGGGCTAGCAGAAGCTACTGGGCTACCTGCGTGCTCTGTAACTGGGCTTTTGGCCTGTTCCATTCGACGGTAGATGTCCGAAGGGCGGATAAAGGCTGGTCTATTTGCGGGCGGAGCCTGTGCTGGCGGAGCTGCAGTATGAGGTGGTGGCTGCGCAAACGGCACATTGGCCAATGGAGGTGAGACCATGCGCTCAGAGGTTGCGGTAGGTGGTGTTATATTTGCCGAAGCATCGGATATGGCAGGCGAAGCCGTACGCAAAGCAGCCTGTTCCTGGTGCTGTGTACGAACTTGAAGGGAATGAGGATTGGGCACCTGCGACGGCAGATGACTTGTAGTTACGGCGGCCCGGGCGCCCGGTAGAGGGGGAAGCGGTGCTTGGTTGCGAGGGGGTTCGTCGTCATCGTCGAATTCGTCGGCTCCCCAGTCGTCGCCGTCATAGTTTTGCGTCTTGGCCTCGACCCATTTCTTCGTCTTTTGTCGACTGACGTTGACTTGATATGTGGGATCGTGTGCTTTATCCGTCGGCCTAGCGCAGAGCAAGAATGTTAGATGCCGAACCAAGGTAAGAATGAGCAAAGCATTTGTTGGGGGCGACGGGCGTCGTCGGTCGGCTACTTACATGGTGGGTTGGCCACGGCCGTCTGGTCGGCTGTAGGAACCTTCCATTTTGTATTATTATATATGGCGTAGATTGTTTATATTAGTACATGCTGCAACGTGCTAATTGCGGCGAGATGGGATGCGAAGCTTCGCTGTTGCGCTGGGTTGTTGGGTGTGCTGTTTCTTTGCTCCCCCTTGGAAGAATGGTTTGTGAGAGAGAGTAAGCAAGGAGACCGTCGTCGAGATACGAGCAAAGCGGGCGACTCGGGAATCGGTGTGTGTGAGAGCAACGGCTGCGATGATGAAGATGAAACGAAGGGGCGATGAAACGCAAGAGCAAAATCAGCAGCAGCAGCAAAAAAAAGGATGAAAGTAAGGATGACGGAGGTTGGACGTGTCAGGCTTTGGGGAGGCGGGCTGGCAAGCTTGGTTAGAGGTGGGCGGGCGGGTGGCGGTGCAACGTGGAGCTGTAGCTACTGGTACTGTGCTGTACTACGAACGGTCCTGTTAGTGCACCAGTGGGCGACAGGGCAGAGCACCAGCAAACAACAGCTGGCCTGTTAGCTCCTAGGCTAAGACACTCCGCTGAGAACCTGGGAAGCCAGGGCGCTGCGCGTCATTACTCGCCAGGCGGGGGTCCACCAAGAGCCGAGTTGCTGCTATTTGTGGCGCACGGTGCTCCCCAACAGGTGCCCTAATTTAGCAGTGTAACAGCGCAACAGCAGCCGTACTGTATTACGAGGGGAGAGCACCACTTTTTGTATGGGGCTGGGGGACAATTGTGAGCTGTATGCACTGTGGGGGGTAAAGAGAGGGCCTTATAAGGGTAAATAATTGGCCGGGGACCACAAGCAACTCCGCGGCCATAGATTAGCTGGGAGATCGTCAGACTGAAGTCAAACTTCAATCCTACGGATACCTATCTGAAGGTCGTGTGTTCGAGTCACACTGGCCGCAAGTTATTTTTTGCCTTTTTTTGCTGCCCGATGCAGATCCCTGGCGATGTTATGCATTGTAATTCATGCAATGGAATTTTTTTTATTACTTTTGGCAAGCATCCTTCCCCCTGGAGCTCGTATTTAAATTACCAACGCATCCAACCAAGAGCCTCGTTTTCTGTGCCATCTTGATTGTCCCTGCGCCAGGCATTGCGCAGAGTCCACGCCTTATTTGATGCAGAATCATTTGGAAGAGACACATCTTCTCTTACCTGTTTTACTCTTATTCTTTTTCTTTCATTTATTTTGCAAAGATTATAACCTCTGCAGCAACATCTTCCCTGGAAGGGAAGCGTCCTTGCCCAGCCTGCTGCCAATGCGTTCTGTACGTGTCATGTCCGGCTGAGACTTAAGAGCCGAGCTGGTGTACCAGCAGACAAAACTAAAATCTTGGGGACTCTCTGCTTCTTCGTTTTTAAGCTTTTTTCACATGCATACACAGACGGAAGAGCTATACGCGAGAAACGAAACATGCCCCTGGGGAGTCAAAACCCTGTCCACGGGCAGTGGAGCTCTGTGGGTTGACGGTTTGTGACTATTGGCAGCACAAGGCAGATAAGCGAGAGCGGGTGCAACGGGCAGCGCTGACGAAATCTCCGACAGTTTCCTTGAAGGACATCGCGAGCAATGGCGCAACGGGGGCAGCATCCACGTGCAGTCCAGCAATTCCAGAAGCGATCTGTTGTAGCCGAATACATCGTGGCAGAACCGCAAGTGTCGCATCCCGTCCAACCAGAGGCTTCCGGTGGGTGGCGATGGGTGGTTGTCTTACCTAAACTGGCCGCGGAGGCATCCGTATTCTCTCGGAATCGCGGCTGTCGGGAACGTTGCAGCGATGGCTCTTGGCTTCAATATATTTCCATCGACTTTGACAGAGCGCTAGTAAACGAGATGGAGCTTTGCAGGCGAGGGAGACCCAAGAGGACGGCCTATCACCGCAGACCTAGGGAGTGGAGGGGAGGAGCAGGGCCACTCTGTTGCAATATACTGAAAACGGTAGAGGCTAGCTGGAGGGCTGCAGAAGAAGCAGAGTGTGTCCGTTTCCGTTTCCTTGGGAGCAAAACCTCCCTCCCAATGGTAAAAGAAGCGAGAAGCGCATAGTGTGGTGCAGAGCTGAAAGTGCCAGGCAATTTCCGTTATGCGTGCAAGACGGCGGCCAATGGCCAAGCCGGGAGTCAGGGCGCATCCATCACGGCCAAATCGGGCAGTTGCGCCGGCCAGGGTCCCCATAAAACGCAGCGCCTCCACTGGAACTTGTGCGTCTTCAGCAGCCTCTTAGCACCCGTTAGGTTACTTTCAGGACGCCAATGGGACGCCTTCAGGGGGTTTTGGGGCGGCGTCCGAGCCCCCAGGGGTCCACTGAAGGACGCCACTGGCCACAGCCCATCCACTTGGTTCCCTCGGCTCCGAAAAAGATGGGCGATGGGGGCAGACAAAGATGGTCAAGATAGTACCGTCGCAGTCGGCAGGTGACGATTTAATTAATTTAGTTGCGTATGGTTTTTGTACAGTTGGCAATGTAGATGAATTGGACTCCAGCTGCATTGGCGCATCGCATTTGAAAAAGAAAAAAACAAAGACGTGCAGCCGGATCTATTGGCGTATAAAAAGAAAGCACCAGCCGGTGGTCCGCTGAAGGAGACGTGGCGGCGCGAACCACACAGCCTCTACAATAGCACGAACCACTGGCTGCCACTCTGCTGGTGCCCCAAACGCCACCACTACAAACGCCAGCTTTTCCTCTTTTTCGCTTTTTTTCCTTTTCTTCCTCTGCTTCCCCCTCTTTTTCTTCGCTTGTACATTTTGCCGGTGGTTTCCCTTCCTTTATTTTTCTTGCTCTTCTTCTTCTTCCTTTACGTTTCGCTTCTCATCGTCTTGCCGTCGCCTACTTTCGTTACGTTGCTGCTGCTGGTTACATCAACCCCAGCGCGCATGAACTGGTCGTAGCACTAGATATATCGCCACAAGCACTATTGCAGCAACCTCACGTGCTTTCGAATATTCTACAACGCGCCGTTATTGCCCTTCTACTCTTCCGCGGCTACAGGCGTCATTTTCTTCAGGCCAGATTTTTTGGATTTCTTTGTTTGTGTTTCTCAGTCGACAGAATCACAGCCATGCGGCTCAGTTTCGTTGTTGGTTCGGCCCTGGCTGCCGTCCCAGCCGTCATGGCCCAGACCGATTTACTCACGGAGTTTACCAAAATCCCTTGCACAGTGAGTCAGAAAAGCAAAGAGTCAACATTGTCTAGTGTTTGCTAACCTGCAGCAGATTTCCTGTGCTAGTGCGTTAACAACTACCAAGTGTTCACTCACGGACACGGCCTGCATCTGCGCCGATCAGCCTCTGCAGGATGCCGTCACAGCATGTATCGTCAAATCGTGCCCTGTAAAAGATGCTCTATGTAAGCAGGCAATACACTGTGACCTTGCCCAATGATCCGATCAACTAACAAGAACTGCTGCTGTAGCCGTCAAAAACATCACCGTCACAGCCTGCCACGTTCCCGTCCGCAACAGAGAGCCAGAGTACTCTCTCGTCAACACCGTCCTAGGCATAATATCTGCTTGCTTCATCATACAAAGATTTGCCTATAAGCTGTTTGCCAAGGTCGATTTTGCGTGGGATGACTGGTTTGCTTTGCTTACCATTGTATCGGGCGTGCCCTCGACAATTATGAACGCCTATGGCCTCGCTCCCAACGGCATGGGCCGCGACGTCTGGACGCTCAATCCTGATCAAATCACCAAATTCGGATACTTCTTTTACTTTGTAGAAGTCTTGTACTTTTTCCAAGTCTCGTGTCTGAAGCTTTCGCTGCTCTGCTTCTATCTCCGCATCTTCCCGGATAAAAAGGTCCAGCGGCTGCTCTGGGGCACAATCATCTTTGATGTGCTCTTTGGTATTTCCTACATATTTGTTGGCATTTTCCAATGCGCTCCTATTTCTCACTTCTGGACCAAATGGGACCGTGAGCATCCAGGCTCTTGTCTGGACATCAACTCGATTGGTTGGTCCAACGCTGGTATTAGCATTGTACTGGATGCGTGGATGCTGGCCATCCCGCTCTGGCAGCTGAAAGATCTCCGTATGAGCCTCAAGAAGAAGCTCGGAGTCGCTGCTATGCTCTGTGTGGGCACTTTGTAAGTTTTTTTTTAAGAGTGTATAACTTTTGCTGGATGGTGGCTAACCCCTTACTAGTGTCACTGTTGTGAGCATTCTGAGATTACAGTCTCTTGTGCAGTTCCGTTCAGACACCATTAACCCTACGTGGGATTATGTCAATGTCGCCATCTGGTCTGACGTGGAAGTCAACGTGGGCATTATCTGCATCTGCATGCCCTCCCTTCGATTGCTGTTGACTAGACTCTTCCCCAAGGTGTTTGGCGGCAGCTCCAATGCTTCATATGTCAACTACTCACACAGCAACTCGCGATCTCGCACCGGCGGGTCACGGAAGAACGCTCCAGTGACACCAAACTCAGCGTCGTACAGTGGTAATCACCGAAACTACTCGACGCCAATTCAAATGAAGACGTTTATGTATCAAAATGCGGAGGCCGGCCAGTCGGGGGATGTGGATGAAAAGGATCTTGTACCAAAACGAAGCCCGCAAGAATTTTAGACTCACAAAAAAGGCAACTTATTTTGTGCATAATTTTTTCGATTAATGAATACTATAACGACATAATTTATACTCTCTTGCTCTGTGTGAGTGACACCAAGGCTAGCAGTACGCCAGCAGAGATACCCATAGCATATTGTACTATCTTTTATCTTGCCCTCCGTATAATTCCATAATCGGACTACTCTTCGTTTTTCTAAATAAATCCTTCGTAACTATGTACCACGTATTTATTTCCACCACTGGCCGGCTGGTCCTCGTCTTGGTGCATTTGTGGCGTCGCCGTTTGTGGCTGACGCTTGCATGTGGCAACCCAACCCAACAGAAAAGGAAAATATGGATACTCCGGCAACGCCAGGCCAATCACAAGCCAGCCGAACAAGGCCAAGTATACCTACTGCAGCGTCATCCCTTTTTCCTCTTTGTTTCATAGAAAACCAGCATCATCACCACCAACTCTTTCGTTCCTTGCCCCGCGCCCGCGCTGTTTAATACTGCTTCTTCTTCTTCTCCTTCTGTTTTCATCTTCTTCTATTTTCTTCGCTAGACAACCTTGTGCGCGCAAACCGTCAACCACTCGCTGCCGAACCCCCTCGACCACAGCCCACCTACTACAACTACCACTGCCCCTCGTCGCGTCGGCAAAGCCAAAAAGAACAGAAACTACGAAGCGAGCAGCGTCTAACTCTACGCCCGTCACTGCTTTTATAGATTAGCACCACCCTCTGCGCTGGCCGCCCTCTAATACACACACCACCGCCTCCCGAAACCATCTACTCGACTGCCGCAGCACCAACAACCACAATGGCTGCCGTCACAACATCGATCCAGGACCGAACGTCCGAGTTCAAGTCGGTGCTCGCCCAGGCACAGCGCCGGCAAAACGCCAGCAAGGTCGGCGCGCAGAGACGCTCACTGCTGACGGATGCGCAAAAGGCCAACGCCAACGGCGATGCGCAACCCGCGCGACGCTCCGACTTTGCTCGCAACGCGGCCGAGATTGGACGCGGCATCTCGGCAACCATGGGCAAGCTCGAGAAGCTTGCGCAGCTGGCCAAGCGCCGCACGCTATTTGACGACCGGCCCGTCGAGATCAACGAGCTCACCTTTGTCATCAAGCAGGACCTGTCGTCGCTCAACCAGCAGATTGGCGCGCTGTCCACCATGACCAAGCAGCAGCACCCCAAGGCCGACCAGGAGGGCGAGCACAACAAGAACGTCGTGTACCTGCTGCAAGGCAAGCTCACAGACGTGTCTGTCAACTTCAAGGACGTGCTCGAGGCGCGCACCAAGAACATCCAGGCCTCGCGCTCGCGCACCGAAAACTTCATCTCGTCCGTGTCGCAGCACGCTCAGCCCAGCATGCAGCAATCGTCGTCGCCGCTGTACGGCACACCTAACCGCGCATCGCCTGCGCCCGCAAACGACACCCTCTCGCTGCAACCTGTCGGCGAGCAGCAGCTCCTCATGATGGAGGAGGCCCAGCCGCAAAACTCGTACATTCAGCAGCGTGGCGAGGCCATCGAGGCCATTGAAAAGACCATTGGCGAACTCGGCAGCATCTTTGGCCAGCTGGCCACCATGGTCTCTGAGCAGAGCGACATGATTCAGCGCATTGATGCCAACACCGAGGATGTCGTCGACAATGTCGAGGGCGCCCAGCGCGAGCTGCTCAAGTACTGGTCCCGCGTGTCGAGTAACCGCTGGCTGATTGCCAAGCTCTTTGGCGTGCTCATGATTTTCTTCCTGTAAGTACAGTCGCTGACTGCAATGGTAGTCCCCAAGTAAGCCGTATACTAACCTCATCACAGTCTATGGGTCCTGGTATCAGGATAAACCAACTTTTAGTACTAATAACCGGACGAAAATTTATTCTTTTATTTTCTTGGGGGATGCACGCCTCTGTTTCGATATGAACGTCACTGCCCGTTTTGGGTGTACTGCACGCTTGACGCCGCGTCTAGCTCTTTTTTTCATTTGTTCGTTTTTTTGTATTCGGCATTACATATATATGTGTTCATGCGCCTTGTACGGTGCCAGGAGTTGGCGGGTCTAGAATTAATGGCATATCTTTTTTTTTCTTATTATTGCAGACATGCTATATATTACAAGTAACACTGATGCGTGCATTTACGTGGAGGAGAGTGACTACTAAAACAAACGCTAACAAAGAACTATCATCACGAATTCATGCATCCCAGGTCCAGCCGTGGATACGATGCGTCTCGTTGAGAAACTGAATTGCTGCATCCATGGTTTTAGCTTTGACTCCTGCAGGAATAAGCATATCGGGGACTAGTAACGCAAATGTTAGTAGCATGATCAATGGCACATCTGCAGACAACCTCAACTTACTCTCGATATATCCGTGCATCATGCCCGGTACCAGCATAGTTTCAACGCGGGGCTCTTGTCCATTCTTGACATCTTCCGCATTCACGCGCTCCGCCAGCTCCATCTGCTCAGCTACCAAAATGTCCATGCCCGCAATGGTTAGAAGCATTCGCGGGGGGAGCGTCTCTCGCTTTGCCAGTATAGGACTGAGCCGCGGGTCGTCAATATGCTTAACTCTAGCCGGCGCAGCATACGCATCGAAGAGCGGGACAAGGATAGCCAAGGGATTAGTTGTAGGGAATCCCTCTGGGGTAGGTTTATCGTTGGGATTGAGGCGCAGATCCACGACACTATCGAATCCGACAAACGCCTTCACGGCCGTCTGCGATGCTCCATGGCAATCGGGCTGCTGTGTCGATGCAAGGCACAAGTTGCCGCCGGCAGACACTCCCGACATGGTGAGAAGAGTGGCATCGGCTCCCCATCGGTCCGCGGCGTGTTTCTTGATCCAACGAATGGTGTCGTCAACGTCATCTATCGCCGTGGGAAACGTCTTTTCTGGCGCGAAGCGGTATGTGATGCTGACTACAACTGCACCCGTCTCGCGGGAAACTTTATCGTCAAAATGCGCCATTCCCTCAGGAAACCCACCTATAAACGCACCGCCATGAATCTCGATGTGCAGCGGCCGCAGCTTGTCTCCTGTAGTTGGACTAGGTGTCTTGAAAACGAGACACCGTACTGAGCGATCCTTCCATACGGGGAGATGTTCCACCTGGAATGGTCTTGAGAATAGGTAGGGAATCGTCTCTAGACTGTATGTGATGAGACAGGTTGGTTGAAGTAGAAGGGTGCGCCAACGGATGGCCCATGAGAGGCGAGGGTTAAACAGGGCCACTAGGGTTGGGCGGAACCAGATGTGCAACACGTTGAAGAAATTGGTGATGGATGTTAACATCTTTTTGCCAGAATTCTTTGGTGGTGATGCAGGATGTTTGTGGCGAACAGAAGGGAGGGATGAATCATAGTGAGGCTGAAGCTTGAATGTCGTAGCCTTGTTTGGTTGTCTCGTACCCGTCGGGTTGACAGCACCGGGACAAATCGGACATTTAGCATAATGATTCACTCTTTACTTTCCTACTACGTCACCATGGGGGAACATTAAAAACATGAATCTCAATGACCGGCCGTGATGTTCTATTTTTTGTATCTGCAAATATATATAAAAAAAGCCAACCATAGCACTATGTAGATCCCTATGCAGGGACAGCTACTCAGAACCTGAATGTCCTAGGCGTAGATGGGAAGCCCTAAGCCAGACCATAACGCTGATGAAAATAACAGCCAAGAGGGCAAGTATAAGGTAGAAACACTCCCCTCTGGGCAAAAAACACCAAGTACTGTCGGAGTCCATACAAATCCAGCCATTATCCCTCGGCGGGCGAGGTCTCGCGGCCTCGAGATCTTCTGGATCTAGATCTTCTGCCCGGTCAAGATCACTAGACTCAGGTGTAATCTCAGGTGGCGTCGTCCTAAATCCATTAGCATATAATTTACATTATATATTAAATAGGCTTCTGTGTCTGTATATCTTACTTTGTATAGGCTGAAGTGACGGGCGCGGATGGCGCGGGAATGAAGGAGACTCCATATTTGAAGTATAAGTTGAAGTGTTAAGAATGTCTTTTGTGCGATAACACAGCTGTATGAATGGGGCCGTGCGAGTATTTAAATATAATCCGGTAATATTAAAAGGAAAGGCTTGATACTTGCAGAGTGCAGCGAAAGAGGTTATTTTCGCCCACGCGCAATTTGCTGTGAAATCTTCATAGAACATGATTTCAAAGTTCGACTTAGATCTTTAAGCTCAAACGTACATCGAAACTCTAAGCAAATTTTAGGTGCCTGTATGATTATGTGCTTATGATTCTCGCTTTGATAGCTGCCGTCATCTCCACAAATACGTCGTCCATGTTCTTCATGGAATCAATAAGAATGACATCTTTTTCTTCTTCCAGTGGATCTTGAATAGCCCCCGCCTTGATGGCCATGATCCTGGCCGCCAGCTCAGGCTCCTCTGCGCCAAGAGTCCTCCCTGACAAGACTGTGGTTGTAATGTGCATGATACAAAAGATGGGCTTGACATTCCGCTCCAACATAGCCTGGCGCATAGCGTTTCTCTCGAAAGGTGGCATATGAAAGCAAGATATAACAGCAAGAGGTCGTTGCGTCCCATCAAAGTCGAACCCAACCTGTGCTAGTTTATTGGAATAGACACGTCCAAAGACGGTGTTATAATCGAGTCCCCTCTGTGACTGGGTCCGGGCTGCTTTTTCGGCAGCAGAGTTCATCCATTCGCTCTTTATCCACCGACATCCAAGGGCATCAGCAACAGACGCGGCGAGTACTTCTTTTCCTGTAACATGTGTTCCGGATATGAAGACAGCATATACGGGCTCCTGTTGGGTTGTGTGTTTGGGGCTCTCCATGGTTTTGGCCAGCAACAGTGCCCGTACATACACTACACCGGCATATAATATGTGTTTTTTTTTTCACAGCACTGGTCCTAATGCAGCTAAATTTCTGTATGGTTAGAAGAATTTGGATAATTGGAAGCTGACGACAAGGCTCTGGAATCGCGGGGACTTACGTATCGTGTCGGCCAGCCCCGCATGCACCAACTGGACCGCTGGGCGCGCCTTAGCAGCAAGCGACATGTTCACCTACGATGAGATGGCCAGACTGTACAAGATTCATTCTGCTACGCATGATTGAAAGGGGACACGAACCAGTAGGTGAGTACTGGACTTTGCATTATATTAGTAGTAGCATGTATCCTATCAGTTACACAAGTTTCATCAGATAAGCGGCCCAAGCAGTGTCATACCTTTTGAAAGGACATTTTGTGCAATGGTGTTGTGATGTATTTAAGCTAATGTATGAAGAACAAAAATACATCAGCCATTGAGAATTTACCTTTAACACCAAAAAAAAAAAAAATAACTTATAAGGTTCAGCTTCATTTTTTTCCATAACTGTTGCATAGAGCCAAAGATTTGTTTACAACGGATGCATGTAGGGTAGCAGAGGCCGACTGTGGATGCAAGGGCGGCGTGTGCGTGAGACACTGTCTCTACCAAGCTTACTCTCTCACTTTTTTCCTTCTTCGTATTTTAACCTGTCGCCACATTCACGAAGAGCAGGGATGAAGAAATCTACAGGTTGACTGAGGCGTTGCCGATGTTGTGCAGTAGACAGACAGAATAGCACGGGTAATGACGTCGTTGGCGATCCCAGTTCCTTGGTAACGCTCAGCGGCAAATGGCCAATTGACTCTGTTTTGTTGGAGGGGCGTTATAGTACGAGAAGTAATAATGCTAGTACGAAGGGTACCTCGTTCAGGAACAGATGCGACCGAACAGGGAAGAAGCGGCAAGAAAAAAAAGACCGAGCTCGCGTACCTTGCAGCGGCAAAGGAGATTGGATCTGGTGAGCTGACGTATCGGGGTGCGTGGGAGCGGATGATTGCAACGCCCGTGCCTGGAACTGCGCCTCACCTCTGGAGCAAAAGCCCCAAGGTCCGCGTTACTATTTACGGCGTATTGGTATTGGGACCCGTCTGACGGTGTTTTCCCTATTTTTTCCTGACTTTCGTTTGCTCGAATTATTGTCCGATGGCGCGTTGTAGATGGGAGTAGCAGTAGTGGTACAGCTGCACTGAACGGATTGCTGGGAAACAGGCGTGCAATAATGGAAGCGAGGGCACCAATGACGACGGCGAGTAAAAAACCTACAGTAACGTTTTTCGCTGGATGCGGAAGTTGATGGGAAGCTAGCGCGACAAGTGGGAGGCTAGTGGTGGACTACGACGTCATGGGTATTTGTTGTGCTGTGTTGTTGGTGGAGAGGGCGAAGCTTAGTTGTGGTGCTTGTTTGTCCATGAACAGTTGCAGCGTGCGTGCACTATACGGGCAGCGCCACAACTACTCTAACTCCACTACGTGAATGTGGTGCAAGCAGAAAGGCAGTGCTGGTGCTTGTGCAAGGCATATCCTTTATGCATGAGAGCACTGAGCATAACTGTTACTGGATATTTTTTTGGTATCACAGAGGAATCACATCGGCACGTCTCTTTTCTCTTTTCCCTCTCTTTTCTCTCCTTTTCTGAAACCACATTGACTGCATTGCATCTCTTCCCAATACATTCGGTAAATACCCGCTCGCCACCACTACCCCAGCACCAGGTTTGTTCAATAGCGTGACGTGATGCTACAGTGTCCTTCCTAAAGCGTGCATGCACCATCTGCGGGCGGGGCAGCACCAGCACCAAGCACTTGCAGAAGCCACCTGAACAAATGCAGTGGTCACCCGTAGCCTGCAGCAGCAGAGCAGCCTGGTTGGTGGTGGTGGGTAGGTGGACGGAGACACTGAGTGTGCTGTAGATCTTTCTAGCGTGGTAGGTAGTATTGGTCTAAGCGAACCTAGTGCATTTTGCTTTTCGTTTCTTTTCTTTTCGGCATGGGAATCTACCGGATGATGAGGTGTCCAATTGAGCTGTATAAAAAAAGGGCAATTTATCCTCTGTACTCTATTTTTGCTTCGTATGCACTGTCAGAAAGTAACTGAGTAAGCTACTGTATGTGCAAGCGCCCAACTCATACAGCGGTGCACAACAGACCCAGAAGATGCATCAGCATAAAATCTACTCGTTCCCGTAGCCTCGCCTGCCACGCGCCGCCTGCGCTATCGACAGAGTTCCAGGCCCTCTCGGCGGGTGGTCCCCCCAGACAAGGACCCCTGTACCTGCGCCCCAGTGCAGTGCCATCCGCTGAGTGATTGGCTTCTGCGGGCGCTAAAAGGGTCCCGCAACAGCCAGTGAGTGACGACGCGGACACGAAGGGAAGAAAAGAATACGCTGTTGCTGCTGCATACGAGGCTGGCTGCTGTACTGGGCGATCTATCTGTAACTGGTGTTGACACTGCACTGGTTCTTATTTTCACCGTCATAAGCAGAATAAAAAAAAATCGCATGATGTCAATTGTCAATTGCACAACTGTCAATATACAGTCAACAGTACAACGGTCATGAACATAAAAGAAAGAGACTGACCTTGGAGGGCGGATGACGAATGACCTCAGCTGGGCCAGCGACCTCAACTGACAAGGGCCTGGTGTCTTGTCCCCGCTGTGGCTTGCCTGCACCGCAAAAGTGCTTTTCCGGGTCTGCTGCACTAGCACCAGTCGTAGTGTCACTCAGCGCTGTACCGTAGCACTGGCCCCCCCCCCCCAAAAAGCAACCCAATCGCCTGCCGAACAGCGCCAAAAAGCAAAAGCAACCGCCTACTACAGACTGCAGCAGCCGCTTCTTTCGCCTCCGCTCGCTTCTCCTCCTCTTCTTCCCTCTTCTCGCTTCTGCCGTTGGTGCAAGCAGGTTTTCCTTTTTTGACTTTCCTCAGAAAACACTACCACCACGACCTTTTATTCTTTCTTCTTTTTTTTTCTTGACGAGCGTCGGCATCTCCATCTCTATACAACACATCTTTTCGGTTTTGCACACCAAACAACCTTCTCCCGACGCCTCCGCCATTTACCCAGCCCAGCCTCCCAAAGCCCGACATCGCCAACTGGGACGCTGCTGCTGCTGAACGACAAACCAATCACCTACGGCCCTCGTTGGCATCGAAAACGGCGCGACAGCCTCTGTAATGGACTCGTAAGCACCTCTGCATCCCCCATCTACATCTAAATCATTCCCAAGGGAGGGCGTTGAATGGCTACGCCTGGGTCGGCCTCACCGGCGCCGTATTTTTTTCTGGCGAGTCTCGAAGAGGAAGTGTCTTACCACGGCCTGCGGGAGCGTAAAAATAAAACAAAAATTCAGAGACAAAAAGAAAGCAAAGCACGACGAGACCCTCGCCTCAAAGCCACTTGGGCCGACGCCTCCGCCGTCGCAATTTGTCTCACATCGGCCTCTTGTTTGGCTCTTCGGCCGCCCTTGCGATCGGCCTCGCTTGCCTACGCCGCCCGTTCCCGCGCACCATTACTTACTTTTACACTCGCGTACCCGCTAGCATCACATTCTAACATAATCGTCCTTCTTCTACAGTGTCATATATGCCGCCGGCTGGTCCCAACACTTTACTCCCCACGACCCCCAGCAGAAGCCATCTCGTCCTCAGAGCGGTCACTTCCGCTCCCTTTCCTCCATGGCGACCTCTTCTACAACGCCCTCGTCGCCATCGGCTCGACTTCACCTCCCTCTCAAATCACCATCCACCTCGCAGCTCCCCAAGATATCGCTCTCTCCTAATTATCCCGACGACGATATGAGCACAATTCCTGACCCTAGAAGTAGGCGTGTCAGCGACGCCCACGACGCCACCGCTTCCTCCGAAGGCTCAAGTCCGACACAGCACCCTGATCTCAACGATGAGGTAGCAACCCTGAGTACAAAACTCATCAATGCGATAAACCACCAGACTGCTCTGGATGACTCTCTTTCGGCGGCGCGCCAAGAGCTGGAAACTGCCAACAACCGTATACGCGAGCTCGAGGCCTATAACTCATCTCAACGTCAGTCGATGCAAGCCACCATTGCCTCCGAAACGGCACTGCGCATAGAAACCGAAAACGATAAGAAAAAGATTGAACAGGAGCTGGAAAATCTCACTACGGCCCTGTTTGAAGAAGCTAATCGTATGGTCATTGGTGCCAAGGAGGAGGCGCAGCAACAACAGGATGCGATTCAAAAGAAAAATGACCAGCTCAAGGCCCAGCTTGAAGATTCCGAAGCTCTTTTGAAATCCCAGCAGGAGCAGCTCACGGAGCTGAAGCGTGTTCTGGAAACCATGGCTGAGCGCGATGACCAAACCAACATCACTACCCCCTCTTCACCTGGCATCACCAAATTTGAGAGCAATGACGACCGTCTTGGCTTCCAAGAGTCCACCGTCAGCTCCCCTGTATACGATAACATGGCACCCGCTCCGCCCACCAGCCTACAACACCTTATCCAACCTGTTCTGCGCCATGATCTCGGCGCCTACGAAGACTTTGTCGCTCTGGCTCGCCACTCACACCAGCGCGCCGGCAGCCGTATTTCCTCTAGTTCCATTGGTGGGCTTACTGCGCTTACTCTTGGTCTAGGCGGATCGACCTCGAGCAATGGCAACTCCTCGCAGCCTCTGAGCGCTCCTCAGTCTCCCAACACCGTGTCTGGCTCGTCGACTGCCAGCACACCCAACCTGCCTCCTCTTCCCAGTCTCAAGGAGACCAAGTTCTACAAGCGTGCTCTTGTGGAAGACATTGAGCCCACGCTTCGCCTCGACAACGCCCCTGGCCTGTCCTGGTTGGCTCGCCGAAGCGTCCTCACCGCAGTCACGGACGGCAACCTCGTTGTTGAACCAGTAGCCACCACGAGTGCGGCCAAGCCCCAGTTCAACGCCTGCGCTCTGTGCGGTGAAGCGCGCAAAGAGGCGCCGTTTTTGCGCTACCACCGATTCCGAACCAGCGAGGCCGACTCTGCCCAGCGCTACGCCCTCTGCGGATACTGCGTCGCCCGTGTCCGCTCGACCTGCGGCTTCTTGGGCTTCCTCCGTATGATCAAGGACGGCCACTGGCGCGCTGACGACGATGACCACGAAAAGACGGCTTGGGAAGAGAGCGTGCGCCTACGTGAGCAAATGTTCTGGGCGCGCATCGGCGGCGGCGTAGTCCCTACCAGCCAGATTGACGGCACCGGGTCAGAGGCGTTTCGGAGTCCTCGCACAAGCCACGAACGACACGCCAGCGACCGGAGTCCTGTTGCCGCTACCGCTCCCACCACACACCTCAAGCCCGACGCGGCCGTCTCTATCACAGCCCCAGCTGCGAGTTCTACCACTTCGACTGCCACCCCCAAAGTCCCGCGAACACCTCCTGAGCAAACAGCCCGCGTTGCCCAGCTCGCCCGCGGCTTCGACGCTCTCCACGGAGCAGCAGCCGCCAACTAAGCAGGCTATACGAAAACGACAGCTACCCACCATCAAGCTGAGCGTCTTTTCATAATACGAGCAACAATGGTCCACCTTTGGCTCGGCCTGCACGTTGATCTTCACCCTTCTTGCTATAATGTATATTCTGTATGATTCGCTACAGACCTTATTGCACATTATCCTTTTTTTTCTTTGTTTGTCTTGTTAACCATGCTGGAGATGGATGGGAATGGGAACTGGGACATGTTTGGGACGGGATACACACAGCATCTCGCATTACAACGGCGTTTTTTGTGAGCATGGGCAACGTTTATTTGGCCTGTGTTTGAATTTTTTGTTTTTGCTTTGCATGTAAAAAAGAAGAAGTATAGAGTCCTCATAGTGAAGAGGGCAACAGCATGGGATAATATTTGCTGGCGTTAGTATGGGAGGATGGATGGTTGTGCGAGATATACCTTTTTTTTTAGCAATTACAGCTAAAAAGCATTAATTAATGATACCACCATGAAAACTTATTCCGTCTCTCAATTACTTAGTAGTGACAATGTATACAAAGTGTTTAACAATGATTCACGTACAATATATACTGGTTTCAAAGGGAAAAATAGTGTATTATGTGTTTGTTACATGAAAGCCAGCCCGCAGACCTAAAAAAAAAAAGGACATTACCAAAGCCGTCGTCGGTTCTAATTACTTTGACTTCCAACAACACGACAACCGAAAATAGGTTCTAGTAAGATTGAAGAAAAAAGATACTTTCCTTTTTTGCATGTCGTCGTCAAGTATTACAGCTTTTCTCTAGATTTCACCACCGCTAACCAAGCACACAATGAAGTATCTTGGTTCTATAAGCATTTTGGGAGGGGAAGGAGGGCGTGTGTGTGTTTTTTTTTTTTTTTACAACTCGTCTCTGGCAGCACTAGCCTCCTTCTTGTCGCTGGCAGGCTTGGCCTTGGCGTGCTCGGCCTCCTTCTCGCCGTCACGGCTGGCAGCGGCATTCTTGGGGACACCCTCGCTAGCAGCGTTCTTGACGGTCTCCTTGTTGGCACCCTCGACGTCGGGGTGAGGAGGGGCGACACCGTAGCCAGCAGGGACGTTGCCCTCTGACCAGCCGCCCTCGGGAGCAGGAATCTCCTTGCCCTGGGAGTCGACGACGCGCGTCTTGGTCTCGTACTTGGTCTCGAAGCTAACCTTGCCCTCGAGAGCGGCAACCTGCTCGGCGTTGAGAATGTTGCCGTTTTGGTCACGGTACACAATCTTCTCCTCGCGAGAGACAATAGGCTCCTGCTCAGGGACAGCGGCAACAGTCTCGGTGGAGTCGGCGCTGTTGGTGGTGGTCGTAAAGGTGGAAATGCTGTACTCGGAGTAGTTGGTGTGGAAAGTGTTGCAGTCCCAGTCCCAGGTGTCGAAGAGCTTGACGCGGCGGCATTCGGCCTGGGTCCACTGGTTGCCGTAAGCCAGAGGGCTGTAGAGGGCAAAAGCGGTAATGGAGAGGACGAGGAAGCCAATGGTGGCAGCGCGGTTGATGAGGGCAGGGGTCTGGGCACCCTTGCCGGCAAAGGCGGCGGGGATACGGGCCGTGGCAAAGTCAAAGAGCTGGGTGAAAGCAATGACGCCAAAGTAGAGAGCCGGGAAGTAGTGGTGGAGGAAGAGCTGGCGCTTCATCAAGAAGAAGGGGAAGTAGTGCAGGGCCCAGCCGAGCACGTAGGTTCCAAGTTCGTAGTCGAAGCGCTTGACAATGGGGTCAGAGTAGTCCTGGAAGCTGCGTTGCCAGCGCAAGATGGCAATGCCCTTGAAGGCAATCCAGACGAGGATGGTGGCGGTAGCGGACCACCAAACAATGGGGTTACCGATGAGGTAGATCTGCGTGTTGTTCTTGCCCCAGAAGTTGATACCGCGCTGCATAATGGGCCAAGATTCGGGGCGGGATTCCCAGGCGTGAGAGTCAGTGAGACCAGCGTTGGTCTTCCACATGACAGCGTGGAGCTCGAGGAACTTGCCAAAGAAGCCAGGGTTGCGGTAGTTGACCTTTTCGGCATCGGCGCCAAGCAGAGGGTGTTCGTTGTGCTCGACGTACCACAAGCTGTTGGGCAGGCTACCGCCGCGGGCGCAAGTGACTTCCTGCTGCTCAGAGGCCCAATCGGGAAGCTTGACCTTGTGGGAGAAGAGGACGCAACCAGTCATGACGTGAACAAGGCGGAACTGGGTCTCAATGGTTCGGACGCGCTCCTTGGCGATGGCACCAATGGACTTCTTCTTGACAATCTCAACCTTGAAGAAATCGTTGGCATCACCCTCGAAACCTTCGTAACCGTAGGCGGAAACCTCGTTTTGCCAGTCGGCCTCGGTGATGGGGGCGCGGACGTCGTGAGAGTGGAGGCGGCGGTGGGTGGGCTGATGGTAGAGACGGAGAACAGTGCCATCGGTAATGTAGTGAGGCTCAGGAAGAGTGTCCCAGGCAAAAGTTCCGTTGATGGGCTGTCCGTCAATGCCGAGGGGCTGCGTCTGGTTCTCGAGCAACCAAATGTTGTTCTCGTCCTTGTGGGGGTAGAGGGTGATTTGCTGCTGCTTGCTGCCGGTAGGGTACATGAGAGCGTGGGAGTGCAGGTAGCCGCCCTGGGTGTTGACGTGGCGGATGCTGACGCGGGAACCGAGAAGGACATCAGCGGCGACGTCGTTCATGCCCTTGCTGTTGAGGGTGGCCTGGAACTCGGAGCTCATGAAGCCGTCACCTTCGCCAGGGTTGACAAGGCAGAGGAAGTGAATAGCGAACATGCCGAGGTAGAAGGTGGCAGGGATGACGATGAGGCAGAAGACGCGAGCCATGAAGTGCTTGGACCAGATACGCTAGAGAAAGCTAGTTAGAATGGCGAGAAACTATGTGTTTGGAGGGGCAAAATTGTACGTACCATGGTGACGTTCTTGTTGTCACCGAGGAGAACCCAGAGCTGGACGAGGGTCAAGGCGCCAACCCAAGCAATGGTGAAGAGACCAACCCACTTGATGCTCGCAGTGATACCGAGACCGAGACCAGTCATGGAGAGCCAGAACCACCAAGTAACGCTGAATGCCTTGGAGGGGCCAAGCTCGTGCTGGTTGGTGAAGCAAGAGAAGGCGAGCGCGGTGAAGGCGGTAGCAGCAACAAGAGGAGAATCGAGGAGAATCAGACGGGCCTGAGTGAGGAGACCGTTTTCTAACAAGGGTTAGTGGATGCGCAGCGCACGGTGTGACAGATCTTAAGAGCCTACCAAAGATGATGAGGGACGCGCCGAGGGCAGCAGTAAACGAACGGCAGCCAATAGCCTTGAGCGTCAAGAACATGAAGGGAGCCAAGAGAATACCGCAAATGGCGGGATACAGGCGCATGGCGACGTATGGAACACCGGGTTCGAGGTAGTCCTTGCCAATCTCTTTGAAGTCGAAGTTGCCGTCGAAGCCAGCGAGCCAGCCAGTGAGGGCGATGAGCATCTTGGCCAGGGGAGGGTGCACGTCCATGAAGAACTTGCCCTTGATATATTTCGAAGCGAAGCCACCGAAGCTGTAATAGAGCGCAATTAGTATGAGGATTGGAGGTAAATGGTGACGGATGCTGTCATCGAATAACGCAGGGCTACTGGCTACAACTTACTGGACTTCGTCAAAGACGACACTGGTGGGCTGCGAGATGCGGAAGATGCGCACAGCAGTAGCCAGGACAGTCAATCCAAGCATAACAAGGTAATCGGCGCCAGGCAAGAGGAAGACGTCGTTATCCTCGACGCCATCCGACTTGTAGGACTTTGTAACGGCCGCAGTCTTCTTTGCGGCTGCGGCCGGGTTGGGAGACTTGCCCCTTGCTGAGCTCGGTCTGGCCATGGCGAAGTATCAATTCGAGAGAGTCGCGATGGCGGGACGGAGTATCGGGGGCGGTCTAGTCGCGTCGATCGAGAAGAAAAAAAGATTGGCTACAAAAAGAAAGGTCGAGTTGTTGAATGGTCCAAAAGGATAAAAAGGAGTCGAAGGAGCGTATAGAATGGAACAGAAGCGGAAGAAAGCTATCCAGCAGCACACGTTTGCACGAGGAGGGGATACGTCTTTGAACCAGAAAAGAGAAGAATAAAAGGGAAAAGAAGAAAAAAGAAGAAGGGATGCGGATGGAAAATTCCAATTGCAAACCAGCAAGCGTTGGCGAAGAAGGGAAAAAGAGGAAAGATTGCGCAGTTGGGCGGGGCGAGAGGGAGGAAGAGGAGGGAGACCAGACAGACCCGTGGCGTGTTTGCAGCAGCTGTGGCAGCACCAGTTCAGGGGCAGGCTGCTGGCACAAGCTCCGTGGTGGGTGGGTGGTGCTTGTAGCTACAGTGGCCTCATCAGCCTTGGTCTGCGTGCGTGCAGCTGCAAGCATGGACAGCCAATAGGACGCTAGCACCGCCACGGGCGTGGTGGAGAAGCCCAGCTGCCAGCGCTACCAGCCCACCTGGCTGTAACTGTACTGTAAATGCGCTGTAGTTTTAGGGGGACGAGAAGAACCGAGAAAAAGGAAAAAGAATACCAATGGTGTATCTAGGCAAGGGCGCACAAAATGGATACACTAAAAACTCCAATGCTAACAATTCAGATGAATTCTTCTCTCAATGAATCTATTTCACACAGAGTTCGACTCCTTCTTCAACCTGACTCTCTGCTTTTCTCGTATTACGCTTCAGGGGGGCGCCCGTTTACAGCGCCAGCTGGTGGAGCAGAAGCCCGCTGTCAAACGAGGCTGTCTACTTTCTCTTAGTTCGCATGTGCATGCGCGAGGACACCAAATATCCGCGAATATTTTAAAATCCAGTGTTATTTCTCTCGAAGAGTTGTAATTCGTCATGTGCGAATTTCTTCCAAAAACAACTCACAAACAAGCAATGAATCAAACTCTGGTGCATGTTTGCAGCAAGCAGCCTCCCCGTGTAAAACAACCCCCGACGTCACCGTTGGCTCCGTCCCGTCCACGGGCGGCGGCGCCGGATTAACAGAGGCCCCGAGGAACTGTCGCGCGATCTGCTTCGCGAAATAATTTCTAGGCGCCAACCACCACCAGCCAGACGCTGCCATCGTCCTCCATCCCACGTCCGCACCACAACCATCGCCCATTGCTCAGAATGGCCGCTGCCGTAGCGTCAGCCGCCAATGGCGATCAGGACAATACTCTAGATAGTCTCAAGCCGCCCTCGGGAGTCGTCCTGCCACCCAAGGAGATCCGCAACATCCTCGAAAAGACAGCCGGCTACGTTGCCCGCAACGGTGCAGTTTTCGAAGACCGTATCCGCGATAAAGAACAAGGCAACCCGAAATTCAGCTTCCTCCATCCCACCGATGCCTACCACGAGTTTTACACATGGCGCCTGACGGAGATTCGCGCCGGTAGAGGCACTGATGTCGCCGCCGGCCGAGCTGGTGAAGCGGCGCCCGCGCCAGAGAAGCCAAAGGGACCACCCAAGCCAGACGACTTTCAATTCTCGGCCCGCATGCCTCGCATCAACCAAAAGGATCTCGACGTTATTCGTCTGACGGCGCTTTTTGTCGCCAAGAACGGCCGCCAGTGGATGACCCAGCTTGCACAGCGCGAAACAGGCAACCCACAGTTCCAGTTCCTCATCCCCAACCACACCCTCCACAACTTCTTCCAACACATTATCGACCAGTACACCATGCTGCTGCGTGCCGGCGGCCTTGGTGGCGAGGGCGGCAAGCTGCAGGAGGAACGAATCGAAGAGCTCAATAAGAACATCTCCGACAAGTTTCACGTCCTGGCGCGAGCCAAGCAGCGAGCCGAGTACATCAAGTTTCAGGAAGAGGAGCGCAAGAAGAAGGAAGCCGAAGCCGAAGAGGCCCAAGCAGAGTTTGCGCGGATCGACTGGGGCGACTTTGTCGTGGTGGAAACTATTACCTTTACTGAATCAGACGAGACGGCGAACCTGCCGCCACCAACCAACCTATCCGAGCTGCAATATGCGTCTCTCGAAGACCGCAACAAGGCATCCATCAGCGCAAGCTTACGCATCGAAGAGGCCATGCCCGGCGAAGAGTTGTCGCAAGGCAGCTTTGTTCCACAGCAGCCTGCTCCCTCCTATCCTCTCCCTGTTCACCCTGGGGCCGGTCCCCAGCAGCCACCCAACTACGTTCCTGCATACCCTCAAGCACAAGTATACGGTGCTGTCCAGCCGCCATATGGTGCTGACCCGTACGCAGAACAAGCTCGCCTTGCTCAACAACAACAGCAGGCTGAAACGGCTCGCGTGGAACCTGCAGCCGCGCCAGCTCGCCCTGGTGCGCCAGGCGGCATGAAGATTCGTGAAAACTACGTGCCGCGCGCCGCACAAAAGGTACAGACCAAGGCTATGACGGTCTGCCGCAACTGTAACCAGCAGATCCCAGTGGACGAGATTGAGGAGCACATGCGCATCGAGCTGCTGGATCCTCGCTGGAAGGAGCAAAAGTCAAGGGCAGACGCACGATATGCCTCCACGACCGTTTCTACGGCAGATGTGGCAAACAACCTGAAGCGACTGGCCAGTCAACGCCGCGATCTATTCGACCCAGTAACAGGCCAGGAGCTGACAGAAGAGGAGCTGGCCCGGCGCAAGAAGTTGTCGCTGAACAGCTTTGGCGGCAACCCCAACAGCACGCCGCAGGCGCAGATGAACCATATGCAGAATATCAACGTGGAGGAGCAAGTCCGCGCCATTCACGAGAAGTTTGCCGACAAGAAATAAGAAGCAAGAGAACAAAGCGGCAGATTACCTGGGTGGTATCATGGAGTCCTCCAACTTGATTTATTATCTTTTTTTATTGTAATTAACACACACAACACAACATGGCACAGAGCAGGCGTTTTAGGGAGGGGGACTGGACTGGCGTTGATGCATGCATGCAGGGTTACTAGTAGTCTTGTACTGTAAAAAAACAAAAATCTTGTTAAAATATACACAACTTGTAATTTCAAATAACATGCTCTTTAAAAGTAGGGCAGCTGTAACTCCCATGATTGTATACTGCACTGCGGTTCGTTACATCCCCATGGCGGATGGAGGGCGTTTGTTGGTAGCGTGACCTGCGCTGCGAGCTGTCGTCACTCAACCCCCCACTTTCTTCACGAGCCATCACCAGCCGTTGCCATAAAAAAAACTCCACGCCCGCCTATCTTTTTGTCTTTTTAGCCGCCTGTGATTATTGCGTGGTCTTGGATTCGAAGTAACTGTATAAACAGTAAGACAAATCACCGACGGACAGCGAACCGCGCATACATAGTCGAACCGCGGCGCACACCGCACCGTGAACTTCAGCTCCCCGTCTATCTTCTGTCGAAGCTTCTGCTGTGGCCGTGCAGGCACTGCCAACGAAGCGCTCCCGCTTGTATTCTACCCTCCTACATATATATCTTCTATTCAAAAGCTCCGGCTTGCGCAACAGACACGATGCAGGCGCTTCCCGACTCCCGACAGCAGAGCTTCGAGGAAATCTACGGCCCGCCGGAGAACTTTCTCGAAATCGAGGTACGCAGCCCAGGTCATACGTGGTTCTATATACGGAAGTACTAACGGAAATCAAAGATTCGCAACCCCAGAACACACGGCATCGGCCGCTCCATGTACACCGACTACGAAATACTCTGCCGCACCAATATCCCCGCCTTCAAGCTGCGCCAGAGCAGCGTCCGTCGCCGATACTCGGACTTTGAATACTTTCGCGACATTCTCGAGCGCGAGAGCGCCCGCGTCACCATTCCCCCGCTGCCCGGCAAGGTCTTTACCAACCGCTTCAGCGACGATGTCATCGAGGGCCGCCGCGCGGGTCTAGAAAAGTTCCTCAAGATTGTTGTCGGACACCCGCTGCTGCAGACGGGCAGCAAGGTCCTCGCGGCCTTTGTCCAGGGTGAGTAGATGTGCTCTGATGTATAGGAAATGGTATGCTAACAGTGTGGGCGCAGACCCGAATTGGGATCGTAATGCGTGGTAAGGTAGATGGATAGCGAGGAGGACTCTGTACAAGGCATCAACATCATGGACATGAAGGAACGTGAAGCGACTGTCAGATTGTGGCACATTTTGTTTTGTTTTTCGTCTTGAGCATTCAATTTTGATTATTGATTATTATTTTTTCCGCATGTAATCAAAATTATGCAAAAACAGTACTTTTTCTTGGGACACTAAAACGCCACGCCGAAAGATCATGACAGGTCTGCGCCTAGACCTTGGAAAAGAGGACAAAGCCGTGATCTGGTTTCGAACCCGGAGGTGTCAAGGTAATCTTGAGACCAGTTACCTGGCCTGCTGGGCCAACAATGACTTCTGCGCCATGGAATCCGTAGCATACATCCACGATGCTGTCAAACACCTCGATGAGCCAGAACCTGCCAGAGACATGGCGCATATGCCACTTTTCGTTTCGGAATCTGTCTTTGCTCGACGTATCAGCGGTTAGCAAAGTCCTGTTTCCACTCTTGTCTACGCGCTCGTTCTCAACAAGAACGAAACGGCCGTGTCCTGGCGCTCGGTAGGTTCCGATAATATCCAGCAAACCGACATCGCTCGGGCTCGGGAGCTGCACATCGGGATACCACATCTTCAGGCCATCTTGGGGCGACTTGCCCTCTGGTCTCCAAAGCTTTTCAAACCTGCCTTCATGTTAGTTACGATACTGTGCTGGACATGCAAAGTTGCCACCTACTCCTTGTCTGCGTCAATGCGCTTCTTATAAGGCACTTCGAAGCGGTCTTCAATCAGCTTAGCCAGCGCAATCCGGGCAGCATGGCTGCCTAGGCCGGTATTGGTCATTGCCACCAGACCATATTTGTGCTCTGGAAACCACATGATGTAGCTGGTGAAGCAGTCCTTGCCACCAGTGTGGATGTACATGGTCTCTCCGTACCGTAGCGTCTTGACCCAGCCCAGACCATAGAGGGTTTCATCTGTGTCCATGGTACGCATTTTGCGCAAGTCGTCGTGTACTTTGCCAGGAATCTCTGGGCCTCTATGTAAGAGGCAGTGAATCCACCTCGTGTAGTCTATCACGTTGGAAATGGTACCGCCAGCGCCACTGGACGACCGGACGCTCTCGACGGGATATTCGCGCTGCTCTTTGTGCTCCTCGTTCCAGTTGTAGCCGCGGGCTAGCGGTAGCCTCGTATTTAGCGCCTGGTATGTGTCGAGGAAGGTGTTGTCCATTTTCAAGGGGCCCCAGATCTTGTCACGCAGGATTTCTGGGAAGCGATTGCCAGTCACGACCTCTGTGGCTCGCGCGAGGACGACGTACATGGAATTGTTGTACTGGAGTTGTAGGCGCGGTTCTAGGGACGGCATGACATGACGCAGTTGCCGAACGCGATGTTGATCTGAGGGAATCTGGCCGTCATCTGTATCTCTCCAGCCAAAGTCACCTCCAGGGAGGCCGGTGCGGTGGCACGCGGCGTCATCGAGAGTGACGTGCTCTGTTGCCCACTCATCATGAAGCAGAAAGTCATCTCGCATGAGCGAGGAAATGGGTGTATCCCAGCCTCTTGCTAGTTGCGGGCATTCACCGCTATGGATTAAACAAGAAAGTGATGCTGCGGTAAATGCCTTTGTTGTAGATGCGGTAGCATATAAGGTCGCAGAAGTGGCTGGTACATTAGGCAAGGCCGCCAATCCGTAACCCTGGAGAGGTGAGTATCAGTAATATGTAACATAAAGCATAACTTTAAAACAAGAAGAAAAAGGAGAGAAGAACATACTGCTGTATAAATATCATCTCCATCTACAACTCCAATCGATACACCTGGGGCATGCCACTGCTTGAGCAACTTTTGCACCAGATGCTCAAAGTGCGGTGTAAGCGGATTGGAGCGCTTAGAGGCTGCAGCCAGACTGCCAGAGTTGGCATCCGAGGGCAGTACACTGCGGCCTCTCTGTATTCCGTATGAATTACTCATTAATACGGGTGATTGCCTTTGAGGCTGTTGTGATGTGTGCTTTGTGTCCATATATGTCCTGGTCATCATAGGGTGGGGTACGTCCGCTGTCAAGGCTTTGGGAGTTTCGCTGTATACTGGCAGAGCCCCCAGCGGTTATAGATCCCGTAAAATAGTTATTTACATCAAAATAAAATTTACATGTTGAATAATTTGTAAAATTGAATAACATACCCTCGTGTAATATTAGTCCGTAATATCTATCTTTATGTGCTTGATATTTTAGGATATGTGCTGTAAGTATTACATTGCCGATTAGTATATAAACAACATCGCTTGATATCATTACATGCGCCCATATAATATATTTGAAGAACAAATATATAGCTGAGTATCGAATATTACTATATATACTCTGAGGAGAACCATGAAATCAAAACTGTACAAAGAAGCCAAGTCTAGGCTAGACGTGAGTTTGATAGAGTATTCCGAAGGAAGACCTATATAGGTTATTTCCCGACCATCTCAAATTCGCACTGCGTCATCAAAGACGATACTGAACGTCTATTTGAGATTAGTGCGTAGAACCTTTGTTACTCCTGACTATAGATATATACTTGGTTCAACGATATAAGCGACACATATCACAGACTAGAGGAAGTAACCCAGACCAGCGCTGGCAGCAACCAGCAACACGGCCCATTTACTCACATTCCTCGTTGAGGCGCCTGAATCTTTGCCACCGTCAGACTTGGACTTCCCATTGCCACCACCCAGATTCGAAGTACCGCCCTCCTTTTTAGTGACAGGCGCAGGAGCATCATCCACGAGCAGTGCAGAAACGGCACCGAGACCAGCGACATCATTCTCTGTTGCAAAGCTGCCGACTCTGTGTGGGCCGGTCACCCACGGAGGACAGTAGCCCTTGTTATCGAAGCACCGGCCGGCAATGTCCTCGGCCGACTTTTTAATCAAAGGCATGAGCTTGTCCCCCGTAAAGGGTGCCATCTTGACGGTGGCTGCGTAGAATGGTATGGAGATGGTTTTGCCCCAATACTGGGGTAAGTTGCAGCTCTTGTCGGATTGGCACATCTCGGTCAAGACGCCCGTTTCACTGGGGAAAAACTTGGTAATGCCTGCGTCAAGCACGGTGCTTAGACGAGTCTTCCATTTGGTATCGCCATTGGTCTGTTTTGTATTCAGTTAGCATCCCGAGGGCGACTTTGCAACCAAAGTTACATACCAAGTTGTACATGACAGCGGCGCCTGCAGCCAGGACGGCGTTATCTCCAGAATAAGTAGAGGAAGATGGTTTGCTACAATCAGGCGAACGCTTAATGTTGGCGCCGCTGACAACATCACCATCGGCGGTGATAAACTTGACCTTGTCCATCCAGGTCCAGACTTTCTCGGCCCAATCCACATACGTCTGGTTGCCCGTGTATCTGCCGAGCCTGGCAGCGAGGTTGAAAAGACGGCCATTTGTGTCCGCTGCAAAAAGGGTTAGTTTAGCTCTTGAAGAGTAGCGCAGCAGTTTGGTCACTCGACGTACAGATTTTCCAGTGGTAGTCCTCGAGCCTTTGATCCTGCGACATGCGAAGTCCGCCGCCACATTCATCTGAAGAACCCCACAGGCCGGTCAGGTTGTTAAAGACATTGTTGGCGAGCTGAATCCATTGCGGCTGGTCTCGTGGGGGATCAGGGAACTTGTACTCGGCGGCGGCCATGGCGACGTGTGCCCAGGATGCCACCTGTGTGTTTGCAAAGTTCAGTGTGAAATTGGGCGGCCAGAAGTCATTGTTGGGTCCACGACGGGTCAGGATACTCTTCATTAAGGCGTCATTGTACGTAGTATCGCCAGTGTAGTGCCAGTAGTTGAGAATGGCAGGCCAAAAGAGCGTGCTGTAAGCTGGATCAGCACTTGACGATCCGTCAACGATGCCAGGCGTTTTGCCTGGCTTGTCGCCGTCGTAGTGTGCCATTGTGCTGTTGGCAATGATTTTGGCGGCGCTTTTAATGTCACCTATGGTTATCTGTTAGGTTTTGTGTGTCAAATTGGTGCTGTTTGAACTAACCGGGAGTGTTTAATGCCAGAGAGGCGTCGTTGCTCTGGGATGGAGCACCATGGCTGATGCCAATGTGCAGAGCAGATGCAACGGCAACCTGCGCAATAGAGATCTTCATTTTTGAACTGAAAACTATTACAAGTTGCAAGTATAATACAAAGACAAGTTTGCCAACTGAAGAAGAAAAAGAGTCGCTAGGAAACAAGGGGGTCAACGAGTTAACATTACGCGCTGGAGCAATGACCCACAGCGCTCTTGGCCTCTATAAACCCACATATACCAGGCCTGTGCATTGCTGTTATAAGGGCCTAAGACGGGTTTAGCGTGTTTACTTTGCACATCACACCACGACGACGGGGATATTCCCGCGTAAGTACATTAGGACTCAGGGTAGCAATACCGTTGGCGGTGGTCGTGGTGGAAGAGGCACGTGGCTGATTGGTGATGCTGGGCGTTGATGCTCGATCAGTAGGACCGCCAGCATTACAATAGAGCTTTACTTTTGCTGTTGCTCTTGTCTTGTCTTGATTATTTCGTGGCAAAGAAAACGTCTTACAGACTTACACTCTTTCATTCCTCTTGAATGCATTGTTTTCTCTGGCATCAGAACTGTAATATTAAAACGAGGCTCTTGCCAGTTTCCTCTTGCAGACTAGATCGTATTTTGGCTGACGGGTGGATGCATTGTATAAAACTTTAGTTGGAAAATCTTGGTTCGGGTTAGAACCCCTGACAGCCACAATCACACACTTCTATAGTGCGAGGTAACAAGAGTGTGTCTATGATAAAGTCTAAAACTCTAATAATCCCTTTCACCACACAACCATAGCATTCTATATCTAACACTATACAATATCTAGAGAAGTAAACAACTAACGTTCACTATGCTATTCTATTCTATCCCATAGCATATGTTCCCATGACTTGATGAACCCCTCAGCTCCTTCCCGAGCATGCTTAATCCCGGGTGGAATAGTCTCCAGAAAGGCCTTGGCGGCAGCGATGGACTCTTCGGCGTTTTCCCTTTCCATCTGACGCTCATCTTCCTTGTCCTTCTTCGCTGTTTCCGCCGCTGCCTCGTCCCTGGTGCGAGAATTGGCCCCGTCGCCGTTGCCACAAGTTGCAGTGACTTTGCCTAATTCTTCCAGGGCCGCTTCGGCCTCCGTGTGAGCTCGCGTATATATTCTGATGTTACGGTTGACCTGTTTTTGGCGCAGCCTAGCGGCTCGCATCTCGGGACCCTCCTGTCTACATTTAAGTATTGAGGAATGGACGCTTATGAGTTTGCTCTTTTCCCCCCAGAGTAGGTACATCAGCTTATCCACCTCGCCATCCAAGCGCTCCGCCTCGCTAGGCTCGAGTTTGTCATAGCCCTTGGCTAGGCCAAACGCGATGCGCCGCGTCGTAATACTCTGTGCTCGGCGCTTCTTGAATAGGTGATATCGTGCTAGCCACTTCCCCTCAATATCAGTTTCCTCGTCGATTCGGCCTTCCCAGTACGCCCAGTCTGGGTCCGCGTACCGCTTGGCAGTGTGCTGCTGCTGGTGGAGTCTTTTTGTTGGACCAGCTGCATCATCTGCGCTCGTCTCTCTCGCATCGTGGCGAACAAGGTCGACGAGAAATGCGTCTCCATCAAACCCATCGGTAGGCCAGCCGTGCTTCTCGTACAGTGGGCGGGTAACAGTCTTGTCCCACAGAGTCGACGAGTACTCACCGCCTCCTGGCAGTGCTTTGAGCTCAAGAAACCATTGGTTAATGTCTCGGAGAACGGCAGTAGCTGGCCGGCTGTTGTCCTCACTATAGGGAGACTCGTCGTCCTCGTCCTCGTCGTCATCTTGGTCGTCCTCGTCATCTTCGTCATCCTCGTACTCATCCTCGTCCTGCTCGCTTTCATTGCTGATGCCTTGGTTGCCGCTCTCGCCGTCGCTTCCACTGCATGAATTCTCATCCTCATCGTCCCTTCAGTCGTAATCGGGGCTCATGATGGCAGGATCAACTGAGCCTGGAAACGATGATGTCCGCATCCAGATGCGATTAGTTTTGGTGCTGTAAATGAGTGCAACGCCGTTATTGCCCCCCATAGACAACGGCGTCATCCATGGCTTTAACGTTTCTTGCTTTTCATCTTCCGTGTACAAAGGCTCTCGACTCTGGCCAAGACAAGAGGTATTGCGAAAGTCGATGAATTCTCCTCCTGCATAAAAATCAATTTCGCCAACAAAGTCGGGATGCAGATACGGAAGAATCGAGTACAGATATATCACACTATCCTCCAAGTCAAAAGATCGATAATCGTCAATGTCGTCTGCAATGCCATGAGGCCCTTCCACAATCCAGAGCGGGTCAAGGTATCGCATGCGAGCCAAAGTTTTGTATATCTGTAGCATGCCGTTGGCCACCTTTTGTAGGCGTGCCTTTTGAGCGTCGCTCAAAACTAGGCTGTCCATGGCGGAGCAATTGTACGGTGTTGGTTGACAAATTCAGGCTCGGTTTGCTTGTTCGAAATTAAAACCACCAATGCACGCTCCATAAAATCAGATCAACGTCACACTAGCCTAATACGATGCTAGAATCAGTGTCGTAATGGAATTGAATAAATAAATACGATTTTTTGGGCAAAATTAAAGAGATTGTTATATAATAAGGCGAACTTCTTTTGTTCAACATATTAAATGTATACACACATATGGATATAGATGGACTGTAAACAACCGTCTCCGGGTGAATGAAGCCAGTATTAGTATTTTGAGATCCTATTATGTATGAAATTTATAAAACATATCACAATTGCTAATTTCTTTTTAGGAAATATGTCTGCGGTGTGTAGTTCCGAAGTTGCATAGTAAGCTCCATTCTCATCCATGTACCACTAAATCTTGGCCCCATGAGTGTATACTAGGGGTTAATAAGTTGATGTACAGAAACGAAGAGAGTATGTACGGTACGTTTTATGTGTAATTGAGAGATATAGGGATGCTATTATTGCAGCGCTTGGATTACCCGATTCTGACCACGTACCTCTATTACGCCATAGCTAGAAAGCTGTACGCCGTAAGTACATTACACCAATAAGCGACTGCCGATCGGCTTGCAACGGCGCGGATGCGTAGATATGCACCAGCACAGTGACGTGGCTATCATGTCACTAACCGGCCGTACCCTGCCCAGTATCAATCATCAACTATATTTACGTGCAGAATAGCGCACGACAATGGCTTGTTACCAGCTGCCGGCTGTGGCCACATGAAGTTACCAGTATTTACAGACTAATTGCATATAGCAAAGTTGAAGGCAGATTGAGACGGAAGCTAATGTTTAATTTGTTTTAGTTATAATCAATTTATCAAGCCTTTGAGATAGTCCAGTACATAATGCACTAGACTAACCCGTTACCCGGCCTTTCATCTGACTTTAAGACGCGGCACAGACATTGCCACGACGTGCATAGACACGAAACGGGTAAATAAGACGCAAGATAACAGCAGCAGGTGAGCGATCTTTGCCTCCTATTGTTTGGTAATGCGCTCGGGATAAGCCATACGTCTTTTACATTGGCCAAATACCCCGCACCGATATGACCGCAGCTGCATCATTCATGGCGTTGAACCGCTCTGCATGTCGGCCGCAGTCCAAACAACTATATATAGAGCCCAGTGCGTGTGAAGAGTCTTTGGGGCTCCCGAAAATTTCTTAAGAGGTATTCAAATCAACTCATCACTATACAAAATGACTCGCGATTCTCATATCCCATTGACTAAGTCTACTAAGACGGACTTCCACGACGTCTATAATCAGCTCGACCCACGTGCCTACTATGCTGCCCTGGAGCCGTTTTCTTACCAAACTCCACAAAATGCATCGGCGCTAGTAGGCTCTCTGATCGACGCCTCGGGATGCCGCCATGGCTCTGGTCGCTTAGTGCTTGATGTATGCTGTTCGTATGGTATCAATTCAGCGCTGCAGAGCCGCAGCTTGACGTATGATGACTTGACTCGTCACTATGCGGCTTCTAAAATACCCCCAAAGGAACAGGCAGCCGCTGATAGACTCTTCTTCGACGCGCAAATCGACTCGCCTGTCGCGGACATACTCGGTCTAGACACTGCTACGAATGCCATACAATATGCCAAAACAGCAGGCCTCATTGTCAACGGATGGGATGAGAATCTCGAATTGGGACCCCCATCTGATACTTTACAGAGAGCCCTCAAGCATGTGGGCCTTGTTATATGCACTGGTGGCTATGCGTATGTCGCAAACTCCACGTTTGATCGTATTGTGTCTTGTGTCGAAGACCGTCAAACGCTCTGGATCATGGTCTCAGTCTTGCGAACTTTCTCTTTCGACTCAACTGCAAAGAAACTGGAGAAATATGGACTAGTAACTGAGAAGATTCCCGGGGCCCGGTTCCGTCAGCGTCGCTTTACTTCCGTTGAAGAACAGGATGCTGCTATTCATGACGTCCTCGCTCGAGGACTGGATCCGACAGGTTTCGAAGCAGATGGGTGGTACTATACAGAATGCTATTTGTGTCGGTCTTTGGACGAGGTTGAGAGAGTGCCCATCGAAGAAATCGTCATCGACCGTCTGGCTGCCATCTAAGGCTACAGCCATCCACTGTCCGTTTGCCGGTTATGACAAGTCCATGTTAAATAAACTGATTATCTTTTATAAAACCACCAGAAATACCTCTTGTTTTAAAACTCAAGCCGAAAATGTATGGTGAGACTTGCAATGCCCGTCGCTCTGCTTGAGACACACGACTGATGACCTCTGGGCTTGCCACCGCCCATGTAGACACTTTGCCCCAACGAATAATCAGAGAGTGTAATTTGCCCAAACATGTTTGATGAAATAACCCATAAACCATGAGAAAGAATTTCATAGAATACGCTCATACAAAAAGATTTAGTAGCAGCGCCGCAGCCAAACCGTTACGCGAGGTTGTATTGGGACGTCGCTCCCCTCCGATGTTGGCAAGCAGTAACGTAACGACATTTACGTGGCTATAGACTGAAAAGATGCTCAAATAGCCAGAAGAATATTTAAAAGCACGAGGGATCCCACCATATCACTGGAATTAAATCAGATATCAAACAAACAACATTACACACTTTTCACCCGCCAATATGAAGTTCGCCATTGCCCTCACCATTGCTGCCGCTGCTACCGGCCACGCTCTTAGCATCAACAGACAAACTGCCGAAGACTTGGAACTTTTGCATCAGACAGATGGCCTCTTGATTCGAGGCGAGCCCGTGGTAGAAGCCCGGGGCGATAGCAACTCGCAGTGTGGATCACAAAATGGCAGCACATTCTGCCGCAAGGAGCGCCGTGAAGGCAACAAGCTTATTGGAGAGGCTACCTTGCAGAAGATCCAGGGCACGGTGAACATGGGTTCCATTCCCATGAAGGGTATTCCCGCAGCTGGGCCAAGGGGAACGATGATGGCGAACTCCGCTGGCGAGCTGTATGTGGGTGGCCCCCAGGGCAACTCCTTTGTCGGCACAGCAGCCATGAACAAGGAGTTTAAATATGTGATTGAGTACCAAGGATCTTCGATGATGTTTACTATGGAGGGTGGCAAGCCAGTTCAAGTTAAAATGTAAAGGTCTGTGGGATGGATGATGAAATTTGCAAATAGTCTTCACACGATTAGCGGCTAGCGTATACCTAACAGGCTGGAAATAGGTTCAGCTATATTTGAATACCCAATAACTTTCAACGAAGCACTTATACTATATCGACTGATAAGTATCAGTCTCTCATTAAGCTTGTGACTGTTCAATATGCGTTGCGGTGCCAGAAAATGCAGCCTTTGCTTCGCCTGCCTTCTCATTTGGGAGTCGACTCTTGGAGTCCCCGTCGACGACCAAATCGCCAAACGATGCGGCGATTTCTTCAAGAGGCTTTTGCCGTGTTTCGCTATCGCAGTGTTATCAGCACATCGAATCATATGTCGGTCACGCAACATAAACTTACGGGAAGAAAAAGTATGCAATGGCAAGGAAGAAGGATGTGCAGCAGACAAATACATAGTAGTAGTTTTCCCTGATGTTGGCGAATGCGCTCGGGCCAGCTTCTGTGACTGTGACACTTTAGAATTAAAATGACCAGCTCGTACTGCGTAAACACGAACCTGCAACATTCATTATGAAATGAGATGCTGAAGCCAGTCCCATGACTTTGCTTCGGAGGGCGACAGGCAGTACCTCAGCGCCGTAGAGCCAGGTTGTACTATTCAGCATTCCGTCTACCAGAATTAGTCTCTCTCCAGTAGTTGGATAAACAAAGGCCACTTACAGTATACAATGGCGAAGATGTAGATGCCAAGGATGGTGAATCCCTTTCCGATCTTGTTGTCAGTATCTTGGAAGAAGCGCTGCATAACGGCAGTGTAAATTTCAATCAAAATGACGCCAGACAGGCCAGTCAAGATCATCCTATCCAGTAAGCATATATCTTTACACAATGAAGAGAATAACATACTTGCGACGACCCCATTGATCTGTTAAATATTTCGTAGTAAAGACATTGGAAACAAAGGTGAGAATGCCATAGACTCCAGCTAGCGCGAGGATCATTTTTGGCTGTAGCCCAAGCGTCTTATACACAATTGCTGCATCAGTTAGAAAAGGCCATCAAGAAGCGTTATCTTAATCTTACTTTGGTAGTACTAGGAAAATTAGAAAATGTGTATAGCATCGCAGTCTTGGCAGCTTACCTGAATAACATTTACACCTGTGAGACTGGTCATAGTCTGCACCGCGATGGATCTATTGTCGTTAGTCACCAAAATATTTTCATCACAGACGAAACATGGATAGAAAAGTTACTTACACGAGCGCACGGTGACGGAAGAGCCGGAAGATGTCCCGGTACGATGTCAGCTCCCTCTCCATCTCATACTGGATCTGTGAGACCATGAGCGCAAACTCTTCGTCTGCTTCGTACTGGCCAAGTTGACGATTCACTTTGTTAAAGTTAACACGCGCCTCTTCAGTCTTCCCTTGTCTAATCAGTTGGCGTGGCGAATTTGGCATAAAGGTGACTAGACCAATGAACAAGATAATACCCCATGGGACTTGGATGCCGAGGGGAAGACGCCACTGCACCGCTCCATATGGTGCATAAGAGCAAGCAAAGCCAACCCAGTTGGACATCATGGTTCCAAAGGTGATGCCGCAGCCTGAGATGCCAGCAATCATGCCACGCTGATGGGGTGGAGAGATTTCTGTGAGATAAATGGGAACCGTAGACACCATGCCGCTGTTTGTAAAACATATTAGCTAGAAGTCTAAATCGACTTTTGGCATACTTACCCAACAGCAATACCTGCGAGCGCTCGACCTGCGAGAAACATGCCCATATTGACTGCCGCGGTCTGCACGACGGTACCAATGGTGACGATGACGCAGAGGAGTTGCATAAAACGCAGTCGGCCAAGTTGATCGGCAACGGCCGTCTGCACGAGGGCACCTACCGCCTCACCGGCAATGTAAACTGACACGACCTTCAAATAATAGCTTAGTAGACGCGCAAAGGTATTGTGCATAGCAAACGTACCGCCCCTGTAAGTCCATTGTTTGGATGTTCCATGTACTCTACCCAGCTTGGATGGGCAATGGCTACGGCCAAGTTAGTCAGGCATGTAGCTTGGTTTTAGTGGTAGTTCAACGAACTCGTTGTGGCTATGCCAGTATCAAACCCCTGCTCTTGTTAGTGGCTGCATCGGGAGCATCGGTCGAAGCGAGACCTACAAATAGAAAGGTGCCGATGGCGGCAAAGATGGCGATGCCAATAGTATACAGATTGGACATTGTATAGCTTGTACGGTCTTACAGTCTACTTGAAGATGTGGTTGTTTACTACAGAATCACCGTCGTGAGAGAGGGGAAGCGGGCAGATGACCGGGCGGCTGAGCGAATCGTGGGGGGGATCGCGGGGTAAATACCCGACGGGAGGGATGTTCTCCGAAAGCGGCCCCGACAGGCCATCAATACAGCGGCAACAGGTCGAAGGCCATTTTTAGCTACAGAAAAGAATATATTGAATTTATGATAAAGTAGTAGATGATCTACTATAAGCCACGGTGAGTACGTGGCCTGCTGGGCTCAAACTTGGACGTTGCAAGGATGCTGCAGTAGTCTTGTGTATACATTCACCAGATAGAATTAGTCTCCACCATTGACTACCATATTGCTCGTATCAGAACCCAGAGACGCTGTTCAGAAATAGATAGTTTGGAGCTGCTTGGGACAGATCTGGTATGATTTGTCCCGTCGACGCTCTGTGTTGGGTGCTGCAGGACGGGTAACGTCGCTCATCTTGTCTGCGGCAGCCGCCTGAAATCTCCTGATACTAGTGAAGAACTTTAAGGCGAATGTTATTATTTTTGCAGTGCGTCTTTATTCCCGTATGTGGGCTAAGAGCCACAGCACAGACCCTTCCCATTTGTGGTCAATTTGGCATTTTATCCTAGAGCATGGGAGTGAAGCTTACAGTGGGAAATCACGCTAAGCACGACCGAAGTGGTCAGCTGCGGGATCATAGCATAAGCCACCGGGCGAATCTAAGCGAAGGGATGGGCACCAACAAGGTTAATTTTCAGCCTCACCTCACAGCGTTCACATCCTTCCCCCCATTCAGCTTGGCATGCGTTCCCGTCGACGTTGTTAAAGCCGATCGATACCCACCTCTGTCCCTTTGTGCAGCGCCAAATCTCAAAACAAAAAGTCATCGATTAAGTCTTACACGTACGACAGCAAGCATGGCTGGGTTTTTCTCAGTGATCTACGGTGGGACTGCGGGCTTGACGGCCTTCACTGCTATTGTTGCTTGTCTACTATGCGCTACCAGGCTTACCAGAGTTAAAGCTCACTGGAGATCATGGTACATGGCCTTTACAATACTCACTACCATGTAGGAAATCTCGGGCTCTTGCTTGCTTTTTAGAGGGCGAACTAACGACTCAAAGCACAACGCTTCTTGGCGTCGCCTCACAGTCGCTGCGACTTGCTTTCAATATAGCTTGGGACGAATCAGATAATCCCCATCGAGACTATAACCGACATGTCTACATTGCGTTTATCTTTACAGATATAACATATCAACTGTTTCTTAATGCTTCACAGCTCGGACTCTTCTGTACAATTCTGATGGCAGGAGTCGGCTCGGACCATTCCAAATTTCAAAAAATATCACGTCTCATCGTGTATATGGTTGGTGGCCTGTTGCTGGTCATTAGTTTTGCCAAGTTCGCCGTTGAGTGCAAATACTATTTATATCTGACCAACGTCGCCGATCCTTATCATGCGGAGGAAGAGAGCAGCAGCGTGGCAGGACAGGTCCTTGTGTCTGTCCGACTAGACACTGCCTTTAAGGTTATGATGCTAGTTGCTTCTATCGGTGCCATTGTGCATTGTTTACTTACTGTATTCAGTCCCCAGGGAGAAAAAAGGGTAAGATTCTCAAGCGATTCTTGAAAGAATATCGAAGTAATTAACAAGAGACTATAGACAGTCGTTGCCGCGGTATTCCTACTTCTCACCACGGCTACTCTGCTCAGTATTCTCGAGTCCAGTGTCAATCCATCGGACGGGACGGTGAAATACACAGACGCAGAGGCTACGCTTGCCGCCCAGCTGGTTCTTAGCGTCCTCCTTGGTCTTATACCTTTAGTCCTTTCTGTAGGAGTGCTTTCGATGAGGCGCAAGGTGAGGACGAGCAACCAGGTAGGAGGCTCAGCAAACGAAGGTCATGAACTGGAGAGTGGCGCCGAAGAACAGTCTGATAAGGCTACAAAGAAGGATGGCGTCGGAGGACAGTCTGATAAGGCTGCAAAGAAGGGTGTCAGACTAGATGAATAATTTTATACATAAAGAATACATGTAATTTGTTATATAGCCATAGAGCGTCTATTGTAGGCGATTTCGAAGACTTGTCCTATTGCGCACACACTGGGGCGTAATCAATATATGGTGCTAGTCGCAGGCCCAGATGGAAATGGTCTCTAGCGTGGGTTGGACGGTTGGACTATTGTCTAAATACAAACCAAGGGACGGACCCTGTTTAAAAATAGTCTATTTAGAATTATGGGATCCAGGTGGTTCGTGTTCAAGAAAGGCTGAGCTTTTGGTCCTGCGCCATGAGTAGCGTCGCCCGACTCGTATACAGAGCCCGCCTGTACAAAGTAGACCCTCGATTGTACCTAAAATATGGATAGGGTTTGAGGCGCAGGGAATTATATCCAAGTAAGCCTGGTGGGCCAATGAATAACTATGATTGGTTTGTGGCGTCGGTTTGTCGGTCGGGCGTCTCCCCATCGCGGTTTGGCGCGGTAATCCAAGGAAGTTTGCGGAGCCTCGCCTCGGAGGAAGGATTACAGTAGGCAATTTCCAGGGCTGGCTCTGCCTACCGGGCGATCATAGTCATAGGGCACAGAGCGGATCTGGGCGTAGGCAACTACGCCAAGAATGCTAATTTCCCCCGTCATAGCGGCAGCCTCGCCGTCCCTATAGGGTTTGGCGTAGATTTTCTGTTGTCTCTATTAAACCTGGTCGATGCCCACCTCTATCTTGTGGGACTGTAATCTAACTAAAAAAGCGACGTTGACTTTGTTTTAATCTACAACAATAAACATGGTCTCTTACACAGGAACCTACGGCGCTCTAGTCGGCCTTATGGCCTTGGCTGTTATTGCTGCATGCGGACTATGGGCTACCAGACTCACCAGCTTCACAGCTAGCTGGAAGCCGTGGTATATCGCGTTTGCCATAATCACCACCATGTAAGATGCCCTTCGAAGCTTTATACAGGGAAAGGAGCTGACAAAGCCGGAGTACCACGCTGCTTGGACTCACCTATCAGTCGCTGGGCCTCGCTGTTACTGCCGATGAAGACCGATTTAATCACGGCTCTGACTATAATGAACAGCTGGCGAATGCGTATATGTTTGTAAATTTAGCTTACGGGCTATTTCTCAATGTTTCAGAGGTTTTGCTCTTCGCCGCCATCATGGTAGCAGGGGCCACTGCAGCCAACAGCAGCTCTCGCAAGCTCTCGCAGGTCATCACATATCTTGTGAGTGGCTTGCTTATTGCCATTGCCTCCGTCATGTTCGCCCTTGAGTGCAACTACAACGCATGGTTTATTGTCGGCCGTTGGGATGACGATTATATCTATTATGGACCGCCCAGCGACTTGGAAAGACAGGCCCTTGTGTCTACCCAGCTTGATTTCGCCTTCTCGTCCATCATGCTGGCTGCGGCTGTTGTTGCTATTGGGCAAAGCGTCGTCGCTAGCAACAAGGCCCACGCAAACAAGACGGTACGTTGTGTTTATCAGGCCACTTCCGATCCGTCCAAACCTTGCTAACATGACACTACAGAGCGCTGGACGTCTAGTCCTTACGGCCGTTTTACTGCTGATCACCACGGCCACTCAGCTCGGAATTCTGGCCTCGCTTGTGGACCCGTCAACCGGCGAAGCGACGTTCTACGGACGCGGACCTTCGGCAGCCTCCACTATTGCTGTTGCAATTCTGGCAATTCTCCTTGTTGTCTGGCCGTTGGTCGCTTCCATGGCAACAATTTCATCGGTAGGGAAGTACAGCAGCGATCTTGGAGGCCCAGGAAAGGAGCCCTACAGCCAGGAGAGCGCTGATGCAGCCCGATTCGGCAATGCCCCAAGGGAGAATGTGGTGGTTTAACCAAAGCCACATCCAACGTTTTGTATTAAATTTTGTATTTTGTGACCCTAGACGTAATACTAAATTGTGATACCCTTACCGTCTGTGCATGACGTGAAGTGAGTAGTGTTAGAAGCAGGCTGATAAATTTTGTTTGTGGTTCCTGAATGGTTCCATACTCGACAACCTGTTTGGATACAATACAAAACAATTATGCATGTTAAATTTGAATTAAAGTTAATTTCGTCCCAATGTATTCCTTTACTGTTACAAACAGCACATTATTACGCTTAGGATACGATGCAAGCCTAGTTGAAAATACCCCTACAACTAAGCAACTCGGCGGTTGTGTATGTCTATACTGGTAGTCCTACCAAGATTGGCAAGAGTAGTTGCGGACTAAGGTTTACAACTTCAGACGTTACCAAACTTGCAAGAAATACAAGTCTTTAGCCACTGTATTTTGATTATAAAGCTAAAACAATTTTCCATTTGAAATCCATTCTAACAGCGCAAATCACTCTTTTTTTTCAATTATATCGACTTACATATGCATGACAAACGCGCATCGCAGCGGATTTGTCATTCACAAGCAAGCGCCTTGTAAGCCAAAACTCGGCACCGCGCACGTGACACGGCCGGGCCGCACCATCACGACATCCCGAACCGAGACCGGCCTTTTGAGTCACTTTGCGAATAAAAAAACACCAAAAGTGAGCGGCGAGATGTGCAATTAAGCGTGGGGAGTGCTTGAAAAAGTTTTTTGTTTTATTTTAGAGTTTGTCTCTTGATTTCCTTACGACCGTGCTCTTCTACACAATGGAGAAGCAGAATCGAGATGCCCGATCTGCCGGCGCCGCCGCCAAGGAGGCCGTTGTTACTGAGGCCCGAGATCCGGGCGTGTCCATGGTTGGCGATGTTGTCGATTCTGAGCGCGACATGAGCCTACGGGATGCCTTCCGGCTGTGGCCCAAGGCAATCCTGTTTGCTTTCATCATCTCGCTCACAATCATTATGGAGGTGAGTACATACCACGCATACAAGACGAATGAGAAAACCACTTACACATGGCATAAACAGGGTTACGACACGGCACTCATGTCCAACTTCTTTGCCTACCCGTCATTTGTTGCCCGCTATGGTGACGAAGTAGACGATAAAGGCAACCCGCTTGTCTCGGCACGCTGGCAGACAATCGTCATCAACGGCGCATACGTCGGCTCCATTATCGGCGTCTTCCTCAACGGCTTCATCACAGACTGGCTCGGCTACCGCAAGACGATGATTGTGACTATGCTCTTCATGATTGGCGCCAACTTTATCCCCTTCTTTTCCACCAGCCTGCCCATGTTCCTGGCAGGCGAGCTGATCCAAGGCCTCCCCTGGGGTATCTTTTCCACACTCGGCGTCTCCTACGCTGCTGATATCTGCCCTATTCAGCTTAGAGGATACATGACGTCTTGGGTGAGTGACATTTTCCTTGGATTTGGCATGTGAATGCGTACGCGTCTTTTGCTACGTGTAAACATGCCAGACGAATTGATGCTGCTGCAGGAGCAAACACCCTTCGGTACTAACTGGTTTCATCTCTAGGTCAACATTTGTTGGGTCATTGGCCAGCTGATCGCAGTTGGCATCCTCAACGCATTCATTAAACACCCAGGCGAGTGGTCCTACAGGATTCCCTTTGCCGTGCAGTGGGTAAGTCTTCTACTAGTGTGGTCGAGACCGACTTGCCTAGCCTATGCAAGCAAAGACTCAACACATGTTTACTTGTCCGCTTCATCAGCTAACCCATCAACCCCCTTCTGTCTAGGTATGGCCAGTTCCCATTATCATCGTAAGCCTGTTCGCACCAGAGAGCCCATGGTGGCTGATGCGACGCAGGCAGCACGCCGAAGCGCGCGTTGCTGTTGCGAAGCTGCTCACCCCGCGCTCCGACATTGACTTCGACTTGGACAATCACATGGAAATCATGCGGTTAACCATGCGGTTTGAGCAAAAGGCCACATCGGGGCCCACCAGTAGTTATCTAGACTGCTTCCGCGGGGCCAACTTGCGGAGGACGGAAATCTCCTCGATGGCCTGGCTGACGCCTGCGTTTTGCGGGGCCCCTTTCATGGGCTACGGTATTCAGTATATGATTCAGGCTGGGCTGAATCCTAGCGACAGCTTCTCCCTCAGCTTGGGCCAGACAGGCATCTCCCTGGCGGGCTGCCTGATTGCGTGGTGGATTATGACGGTAGCAGGACGCCGTACCATGTACCTCGCCGGCCTTTCTACCATGACGCTGATCCTCGTGACGATTGGCTTTCTAGGGATTGCTCCTGCCACTAATCACGCGGCGTCTTGGGCTGTGGGTGGGCTGATTTTACTCATTGTGTTTGTTTTCCAGCTGACGGTACGTACAACAATCGAGCAGCGTGACTACTCTCTGCGATTGGCATTTGACTCATTCTTACTTTTTATCTTAGGTCGGCCCATCTTGCTACACCGTTGTAGCCGAAGCCCCCTCTGCCCAGCTTCGCATCAAAACGGTTGCTGTAGCGCGTGTCGCGTATAGTGCCGGCGGCTTCGTCATCAGTGCATTGATGCCGCAAATGATTGGCCATAATGCGTGGAACTGGGGAGCCAAAGGTGGCTTCTTCTGGGCAGGCGTCTCGTTCCTGTTCCTGGTGTGGACTTGGTTCCGCTTGCCGGAGACCAAGGGCCTAACCACATCGGACATCAACCTTCTCTTCGAGCACAAGGTACCGACGCGCGGCTTCACTCGTGAAGCAGCAGACTACCTGCGGCCAAAGCTGCAGGATGATGCGTCTTCCACTGAAACTGTGGACCTGACATCCAGACTGGCAAGCGTGTAAATACCAAAAGTTGCACACTACGGAGTTGTTTACATGTGTAAGTGGCCATAGACTGATACGGACACGAAGAAAAGGGATAGCATTTTGTTTTGGTTTTGGCTTCATAGTAGTGCGGTTTCTTTCTTTTATTATCATGACGACGCATATTGCATATTTTTCAACATCTCATAGCAAATAGAATACCAATTGCTTTTGGAGTCTTACACTGTACAAACATCGATTGCCCCATTAAGCAAGTGATCGTGCAGTGAGTGGGTGTCAAACCATGTAGCGCCAGTGTTAGTGAGGGGAACGGGTGCTGTTGGGGAGCCAAATTGACATGTGAACGCCGTTCCACAGGGCATCATCTCCACCGCGTTCCTCTCAACAAAAGTTGAAGCAACAGCAGTGAAATTATTTACTACAATAGTCACAGACTAAACCACATCCAGAAAGCCCCCCTCACAGCGCGGCAGTGCGAACCCTGGGAAAGGTGATGGAGGTCCACTATGCAGAGTCTGCTTGCCTCGGCAGGACGTAGAGAGAGAGTGCGGGGTAAAAAGTACAAGATTTAATTCCAACGCCCAAACGGGTAATACTTTGCTGGATTGGGAAATCAAAGTGTTACACCAGCCTTACCAGCTGGCACCAACTGGCGGCGGCCGTCGAATAAAAAAATAATAACACGTAAATTAATACATAATTTACTCGAAAAAAACGAAAAAGAAAATGATGATGATGAATCCAACACAATAGTAAAATCAGGCCACTGGAATACGACGCCTGGCAACGTAAGCCAAATCCCAAGTACCGCTCTCATTGGAGAGAGGGACTCAGCACATGTGAAAGGAAATAGACTAAAAAAAAGACACAAGGTTGGTACAAAGTGGCGTAGCCTGAGTTTGCGCTTGCCTTTCGTACCTAACCCCTTCTTCTCCTCCTTCGATGGTCTGACGTAGTCCCACATGGTCCATCGTTTTAGAGTGGAAGTATAATACAGACAGGATTCCCTCGCGTACTCCGGATTCAGCAACGATTGAGGAGCTTAGAAAAACAAGACTCTACCCTCACCCAACGTCTTTATTATCAGTGTTCTTTCCATCTTGACTTCTTCTTTCTCAACCAAACAATATCACCTCGATCATACACATACATCAAACCCAAACTTGAACGAACCCAATCTCGCCCATCATGTCATCTGTGGCAAAGGGCAACCCCAAGGACTCCATGAAGTCCACCTGGCGCCGACAGGACAAGGCGACATGGACACCATTCCACTGGTTCTACCAGCTGTTGTACATTCACCCAACACATCTGGATGTTCCTGTGCCCGTGCACAAGAAGACCGACAAGTTGGCCTACAACCCAGAGTGGAATCTCCACGCATGGATCATTATCCACGCCGTCATCCCATACATCTTGCACCAAGCTTACATCAACTACACGGGCAAGAACCTGAACCCTGTGTTAGCGTTTGTTCTGTACTCGTTCTTCTTCAAGTTCAACACAATCCATCAGATCCACTCGCTACGCACGGCAGGCCACATGGTCGGCTTCCTCGACGGCGACGAGCACGATCGCGACGGCGTGCCCGATGTTGGCGTAGCCAAGGTCTTCTTCTCGCTCGTCATTACCTCGACCGTGCGCCCGCTCTTCACCGTCTTCCTCAGCTACCGCACCAGCATGACCCCAGCCGATATTAACTGGTACCTGCTACCCGTGCAGGTCGGCCTCTACGGCATCATCCTCGACTTTTGGTTCTACTGGTACCACCGCCTCATGCATGAGGTTGAGGCCCTCTGGAAGTTCCACCGCACGCACCACCTGACCAAGCACCCCAACCCACTGCTGACGCTCTACGCCGACGAGGAGCAGGAGATTTGGGATATTGCAGTCATTCCTCTGCTCACTTACTTCAGCATGGCCGCCATTGGTCTCCCCCTCGATTTCTACGCGTGGTGGATGTGCCACCAGTACGTTGTGTTTGCTGAGGTGGCCGGTCACAGTGGTCTGCGCGTCCAGACATCGCCTCCTAACCCCTTTACCTTCATTCTCAAGTGGTTCGGCGCCGAGCTCGTCGTGGAGGATCACGATCTGCACCACCGCAAGGGCTGGAAGGCCAGCGGCAACTACGGCAAGCAGACTCGCCTCTGGGATCTCATCTTCAACACTTGCAAGGACCGAATTGAGGCTGTGGATGACAATGTTGATTGGAACAATCCCGTTTACATGCCTCTTTGGTAAATAAGAATGAAAAAAGGAAAGGAAGTCATATGAATGTGCGATACGCATTACGTGGGTGTTTTTTGTTTGCAATATCATGGATTATCATCATAGATTTTTTACGCTATATATCCCCCTTGAATTTTACTATTTTCTCTAAACTATGGTGTTGAATTTTATATGCGCAAGTCTGTATTGTTTTATAGGATATTGAGTTGATGGCTATGTAAGTGGCCAACATCAGCTCTCATCTATTTAGCGGAGCCGTGGCGCCGTTGAGCGTTTTGTGCGGATTTACGTTTTCTCCCCCTTTCATCAACCACAGCCGTATTTAAACAAGGCAGCCACCAATCAAGAGACAAAAACATTATTAAATTTTCATCTTATTCATACTCATACTTTATACTAGAGACCAGGAAACATGCTTGCATCAAGGGCGTGTACCCGCGCAACGCCGCGCTTACTCGCACGCGTCTCACTTACACCAGTCCTTCATCATAGGCAACACGCCACAAAGACATCATGCTGTAGCAAAACCTCTACTGTAAATGCTACAACTAAACCACCAACGCCACCCCCTTCCATGTTTTCTTCACTGTTTTGGAGCTCCGAGTCTGTCTGGCAACGCGCGTCCGTCAACACAACGCGATGTCTCATCGGCTGCACATCCGGCGACTTTACATCTATGTGGCTGTTGCAATCATATTACCCTGAGCTAGGGACTCCTACTATCATGGGAATATCAAGTATGTATACTTCTAACTGTCCAATTATCACATAGGAGGCGCTAACAGGTAACAGTGGCCGCTGGTATCACAACATCTCTGCTCCTAGAAACTGTTCTCCTGCACAAAGGCAAAGATCGGCTTCCGTGGCCAGTAGCCGCAAAAACAGCTGCAGGCATGAGTCTAATATCCATGATTACCATGGAGGCAGCAGAAAATGCCGTTGACTTTTACCTGACTGGTGGTACGGTGTGCTTTGATTCTCCGGCATTTTGGGCAGCCGCTGCTGCGTCTATCGTCGCGGGTTTTCTAGCGCCGCTGCCGTATAATTATGTTCGGCTAAGGAAATATGGAAAAAGCTGCCATTGAAAACAAACTAAGGAACAACTATGCATAAAGTAAACTGTACAATACACCACTCATTCGCACCTAGAATCCCATTTCCAAGTCTCCTGTTACATCAAAGTCATCTTCGCTGTCCTCTTCCACATCCTCGTCACCAAACTCCTCGTCGTCTGAATAGTCTGGCGTGCCAGTCTCTAAAAAGCCCCCGTCAACGACTTTGTCTGGAACAATTCGTCCACTTGCTGTATGATACGCAACCCGATCAAGGATGTAGTTACAGTCATCCCAGACTCTCTTTCTGTTGCGGAGTCCATTGTCTACAGACTCTATCTTTCGAAGCTCAATGTATATCTCTCTCCAGTTCACCTTCATATTTACCAACGCTGGCAATTTTATCTGACGCGCAATATTCTGGCGTGCGTTAAACTCCGTTTCATCATGGAGGAGCTGCTCTAGCCAAACCTGTTCATAAATCGACAAATTTGACTTGCCTTCCAATCTCAAAATCAGTAGTTCACGCTGAGCTTGGTCTTGTGTCTCTGGCCTATCCCATTTGGATCGGAGTTCGCGCTCACTCTGCGTTGCCCAGCTGGAATAGGAAGCATCAGTCCAGGCCTCCCAGAGCCATGGCATATCCACCAAGATCACCTCTCGAAAGTACGACTCGTGAATCTTGCCAAAGGATTGGAGTGAGCGGTGCCAGCTCTGCGTGTCATTCGGGTCCAACGCCCTTAAAATCTCTACCCGCATCTCTTGGCTTAGTTTTCCAAATTCATCTGTTTCATTAACAGAATCCAGCGGTGCAAACTCTAGGTCGTTTGAATCGCTTGATGCCCGTTCGGTTGCGGAGCTCAGCCCTGGGATAAAGCAGGGATTCGCCGCTAGCCACTCATCCCCAGAAACATGTTTCCATCGCTCCTCTCTGGCATTCTCTACTTCAGGTGTGCGCGGGAAGTTGTCAAGAAAGTGTGTCTTGGTTGCCTCCAATCGATACCAATTGACTAACCCGAGCATATCAACCTTTCCAAGTCGCTTCAGACACGCTCGTTTGTAAATCTCCAGACATGTTGGGTGGAAAGGGATCATATGTTGGCTTGTATGTGTTTCCGTCGTCAAAAGATTGGTTGCGTGCCCATCTTTAACGTCGTGGCGAGCAGGAAAGCCGCCACCATGTTGTGTACCGGCCAGGGACACAAAGTCGGAGAGACCGGATAGATGATATGGAAAGGAAGGGTCCTTTTCAAAATCCTCGTCATCATCCTCTGATTTCCAATCCGCAGTCTTGGGGACCAAAAACTGCATAGTGCATGTTCCTCGCATCTCCTGGGCAGATATATTATTTCCATTGTAACCTTGAGTTACCCTGCATCGACCACCGGCGATGTGCTCGTCTGTTGCAACATCAGCACGGTTGCTGTGACCAGGAAAGGGAACAATATTATTATCGGTGGCTGTTAGACCACTCAAAAACTCTTTGTAGACCTCTTGTGAGCCTGTAGGGTGGCTATCCTGGTCCGTCATATTGTCGTCGTCGAGATACCGGTCCAGTTCGTCTTCAGACATGTATTCGATAGGATCGTCGAGAGTATCCTCGTCGTCAGGAGTATAGTCTTCTTCTTCCGTAGCGTCATCATCAATGATCAACACTTCGTCAAACTCTCTAACGTCAATTTGTTTGTTGTTGTCGGTAGTCGTAAGACAGTCGGTACAGTCTGGAGCACACTCATTCAGAATAGCGCCAGTACCGTCTCTGGACCACCCTGCTTCAACGGGCTCTAAGCTGGTACGAAGCCTTCCAATGTTGGATGGAATTCCGCAGAGTTGGCAATATACTTCAGTCGACATTGTTCTTGTATTGCTAAAGACAGCTGTAATGCAGAGGTTGAACAGTTGCTGGGAACAGGAGCACTATATGACATCCATCGTATAACTAAGAAGATGTAATTTGGGATGTTGGTGTGATTACATGATGATCTTCTTCGTAGGCCATCACAACCAGGGAAATTTATTTCATTGCAGTGTGCAGCCTTGAATGCAAATGTCACGATGTTTGCAAACAATGGTGTTGAAGTTGCTGCCAAAATACAGTGGGAACCGGGATGTGACGGCGCTAGTGCACTGCCGAGATCCACTGTAACCCGGATTTTCCAGGGGCATGACAGCGCCGCTGCACACTGTCGTGAACGGTTTGGTGCGGCTTGTTAAGCGCCTCTCACTGCACTGTGCAGTGAATATTTACAGCGCCATTGGTGCACCGCAGCCTTGTTGCTTCACTACAGTGCACAACCCAAAAAATCATGCGCTCACACTATTTTGCTTATTAAATCGTATAAATACAGGGGTGTCCTTTGGATATATTTGTTGACATCTTTATGCCTAGGAGCGGACGATTTCCAACTCAATTGCCTCTGAGGCGCGCGCTATATGTCTATTGTACAAGGATTGCTGTTACTATACACCGCCAATGGCTCTGTCAACGACAGTTATTTCAACTCCGAATTATCAGTCGCCATTAGCTCCTCAACCACCTGATCCATCTTAGTCCCCATGGTGTAATGGGTATCCTGCGCAAACTCGGTAAGCTTCGCATTAGGCATCTTCTCCGCCAAATACCGAATCGCCTCTATCGGCGCATTCACATCTTTCGTGCCATGCCAAATCTGGATAGGATATGTAGTATCTTCCAAGGGAAAGCCCCAGTCCTGTGCTGAAAGAAGCTTGGTTTCACGCGTCATTGCGCCTGTGCCTTGTCGAAAAGGCTCCCCTAGGATCAGATCCACTAAATATTCTCTTTGTTGGGCAACTGGCGTCTCGTCTCGCTCAAAGGGCTTCGATGCATCCTTCGCATCTGCTGCAAGTTTTGCATTGACGGCTTCCAGCCACGTATGTATGCGCTTGGTGACAAACGTCCGCGATGTAAGCCAGCGGCCAAAAGCTAACACACCATCCAAAATGAGCTTTAGAATGAACGGTGCCTTGTGTGCCAAAAAGCATGCCATTCTCCGTGTTCGCGTCATGTATTGTTTACCAGCTGCCCAAGGCGGCCCTGACGCGAAGAGACCGACACTGGTCAGGCGTTGTCGAGGTAAAGCATAGGCACAAGCAGCAGCAAATGGTCCACCCCCCGAGGTTCCGAGAATAGCGAATTTCTTAATATCCATGGCATCTGCGAAACTCTCCACGTCTTTTGTCCAATCTAGCATAGTTCGCTCAGGCTGTGGCGACGATAATCCGTATCCGGGACGGTCGAGGGCAAGGACGCGAATGCCATGGCGGCTGGCATACTTGTCAATCGGCTTTGCTTCAATTCGTGAAGACGGATACCCATGGAAATATATCAATGGGCGACCATTATGCGCTCCGTACTCGGCAAATCCAAGGGTTCTACCATCTGGTAGTCGAATGGTCTGATTGATGCGATCGATTGTCGGTTGCGTAGAGAAGCGCCGTATAGCCGAAACCGGACTTTGTCGTATCATTGCAGTAATAAAAGTATCCTTTATTGTCGATTTGAATATATCAAGTATGAGATAAACAATTAAAGGAGAGGGCGATGGATGGCGGTAGTGGCGTTGATATAGTTCCACATCCTCAGCTGAGGCGAACGTAGCGGCGCATACGGCCAAATCGGGCTAGCTCCCGCGGTTCCTATAATACCCGATTGACAGACACCAGATGACGCACAATCAAAGTGCTCAAATTTTGAAGAATCAAGTCGCATGAAATCCATTGAACTTTGCAGTTCTGTAGTCTAGTAACCTTTTTTCCTATTCTAATAATCCCGGCATGGTTTGGCTGATGTGTGTCTGTATCAAATCGTCGTATATCGTCGGGCCGTCAGGTAATTGCAAAATCAAGCTTCTAAGAAATCTGAGATTTTCTCGAGACCTGATGCTGCTACCCCCTGGAGTGTATATCATCGTTGGTAGAGGGCTCGGGACTCCAGCCAGCACATCGACCAGCGTGGATGCAATATCAAACACCTTTTCTGTTATCCCTCCTCCGTGCATCTGGATACTGTCCAGTGGAAGCTGTCTCGTGATATCGACCAAGTCGTTTGCCACAATTACAGGATATCGAAAAGTGACACTTGGTTGATCGGGATGATTTGACAAATACCCCAAGCGCAACCGAAGCTTCCACAGCACTATCCTCAACCATAGCTGCGTTATGTGCAGGTCTGCTGTTTGGCCTGGCTTAACGTTCGTAGTCGACTGTATGGCGTTGTTTATAGTAGCTTCGACTCGATTGAGATGCAGGTGTGACGGTGGCGTGCCGAGTTGCTCTTTGTTCAAGGCTGCAACAAGATGTGAATCGATGGGCTCAAACAAGTGAGCCAGTGCGCGAAAGGGCTCCAGTTCCGCGCCAAGATCGTCCAGCAAGGGTGTCTCGCTCGTGATTTGAAGAGTAATGGGTCGTGAGTATCGAATGGCATGCGACCTTTCCGATACCAGCAGCACCCAGAAGAGGTTAGACATCAGCGACTTCCACGGTGCATCTTCGTCGCGCAGCTTCAACACCATGAGCTGCGTGGTAGCCTCCCGAAGGAATAGAAATGCCTGAGCATGCTGTGACAGACGGATATGACAAGTATAAAGAAAGAAAACCAAAAGGCATTGCCCGAGGCCAGGCATGGTCAGCCTGGGCAGGCTGTGATAGCCCAGCAAAGCGCTGCAGAACAGGGTTCGGGCAAACGGGCCATTCTTGTCTGGCAAGATATTGTCGTGAAACACACCATCAACGTCGTCTGTTTGCAAGATAACCTGCGCTGATAAGGCTGCAAGCAAACATCTTGCCTCCAAACCACCGGTCGGAGAGCCCGCCTCTGATAAGAGATGGTCCACATACTGGCGACTAACAACAGGGATGGTGGGATGCAAGAGATCAAAGAAGCGATCTATACAACGTTTCACCAGCTCTTCATCCTCGACAAAGTCTCGAATCCTTCGAAGAGCTTCCTCCCATTCGGCAAAGGGCAGATTTCCTGGAGAGAGGACGGCAGAGGACGAAGCCACACACTCGTCCCCTAACCCAGCCTTGACGCAGCGTCTGCAGGGCCGGTTCTCGCTGCACCCGCGCCGCAGGCTCTTGCATCTGTCACAAGCCCTGGGTACCTGAAAGCGCTTGGCCTGGCGATCGTGCGCGCCTTCCGAGTCTCTCTTCATTTTTCTTGTCTGGGGTCAACAGCAGCAGCATCAGGGTTAGTATGTAGCAGTGTACAGTTTACAGGCTGCACCGAGCGTGCAATCCCGTAAACCCATAATTAGTGTTTTTCACAGCTCCGGCCATTTTTGTTGAATCCGACCAAATCTGTTCGGGATTTTCCATTAATAGATAAGAGGCGTCGGTTAATTCACGCAATAGCAGCGCTGATAATGCTGGCGCCAGCCGCTGATTCGACGAGAATTGCCACCCATCGGCTGCGGCAGGTCGGCCCGCAACCGATGCGCGGAGTCTCCGGCGGCGGTGTCTGCTGCCCTAATGCTCGCTTTCGTTTGCCAGCTTTGATTTTCGGGCAAGGTCAGGGGTTTGGTAGGTGAACCAGGCGGTAATTAGCCCACTAAGTAGATCATCGGCTGATGTTGTATAAAACGGAGCGACTGCATGTGACGCTCGCTTAACAGTTTGCCCGCCCAGCCCTCGCTGCGATTGACTAATACGTATTTCCATTTGGGGTAAATCCCCAATCACGATCAAACCTCTCCCATCCACCGTCAAGGTCGCTCTTCATAGCCATGTTTACCACGACCATATCATACCACCCGTCTGCTGGTACCTGGCCTTTGCAGACATTACCTCCCATGGCTATGTTTAACAAAATGGTCATTTCTCGTAATGGTCGTGTGCCTGCAGGGACATCTGCCTTCATAACGGGCCTTCCATCAATGTACCATATCATTCTTCCACGCCCAGCCTGCCCTCCAGGCTGGTCCCATGCGAACTCGTAGTTGATAGCGCGGTCTCGCATGTCAGGGATCTTGGTGCCAAGCACTCTATGCTTGGACGGCTCATGGTGCTGGCCCCAGTGCAAGCATGACCTATTCTCACAGTCGCCATTCCAGGTCTCGGCAATGTCAATCTCGCCGTCTGTTGGCCAAGAAAATGGCTCAGCGGGCAATAGCCAGAACGCCGGCCAGATACCCGGAGCACAGGGCGACAGGATACGGGCAGACAACACGCCACGATCCCGGGTCAGCGGGAAGCGGGACACCAATCTAGCAGAAGTATACTTTTGTGATGGATCAGATGCAGACGAGTTTGCTATAGCACGAAGTACAAGCTTACCATCCGGAGTGCTATTAGTGGGTTAGCCATCAGAACTGAGAAAGTAGTAGTAGTGAGTAGTCGCTTACTGGAAGGAGTTTTGTGATTCGGCAGTGTAATGCTGCAGCTCATTGTTGCCCCAGCCGTTAGAATTACCTAGTTTAGCATCCCAGTCTCTACTAATTGGCGTATCTGTTGAGAATCGCGGGGACCAGTACGTCTCTGGTGGAGCGCGGGGTTGCGGCGGATGAGGCGGCACAGGCGGTGCTTCATCGCCAGGCGGCCGGGGAGGGATTGCTGGTGGGTGAGGCGGAATGGGGGGAGGAGGGCCGTAGTACCCTTGTGGAGGCGGAGGCTGATATCCCGGACCATGAGATGGTGGTGGTGGTGGCTGTGAGTTGTAGTAATGTTGTTGGGGTGGAGGGGCATGATACTGCGGTTGATAGTGCTGCGGGGGGTACTGGCCCTGCGGAGGGTACTGCTGGTGCGGTGGGGGATAATACGGCTGCTGCTGATATGGGTATCCCTGATTCTGGGGGGCTGAGCCCGGCGAGATCATGTTGTCCAGGTCATTGCGAAGCTTATTGAACTTGTCTTTCCACGGCATGGCGGTGAGGGCGGAACACGCGACGGGCGTCCACTGAGTGAGTTGGAGAAGATAATTATAGTGCAAAGGGGGCAGTGTATTGTGAGAAATTGGTATTGCCGGTGGGACGAGGGTAAAGACTGAGGAGATGAAGAGGGCAGTGCAGATATTTGCTCGTGAGGGCTTTAGCTCTGGATGACGTCTCACTGCCAAGTGTTGGGTGGAGTTTGACAGCTGGTTGGCAGTGCCGTGCCACTCACTGTTGGTGGTGTGCTTGGCGGAAGACCGGCTTCTACATTTATCAAGAGGGCAATTAACAGAACAATTTCCCAAAAGCATAATTTACACCAGTTTGGACTTTGTATAGAGAAGAAATATTTTGAATTACAGGAGAAGTGAGAGAAGTAAGTTGTCGGCGTCTTCTGCCCGTCTTAACAGCCGGTTTGGCTCGCCCTCCATAGATACTTCATAACTACTTTGCCTCCCAACGTCCCAGCTCTATAGTTTCATTTCGTCCCCAAAGTTTCCATTGTTTTGGTTGGTTGGTTCCCAGTCGCCTGGCAAGTATATACAAAAAGTTGTAAGTTGTTGATACAAGTGTGAGAATGGGTCTATCAAAGTAATGCTGTTGTTACAGGTTGTCGTTGTGGTTTTTCCAACTCAGGCTCCATACTCAGCGGCCACTTTATGCCGGAGTGTTAAAGAGGCGCAAGATGCCCTCGTACATGCCAAACATGATGGCCGCGCTGGGCACGGTACGCATGAGATGCGGCGTGAGGCCACCGTACAGACCCATCATGCCCTCTTCCTTCCAGACGAGCTTGAAGCACTGAATCAGTCCAGTGTACTTGAGCTGGCCGTTGGCCATGGGGGCCTGTCGCAATCTCGTGCGGGCTACTTCGTGTGGGTAGGCCAGGATGGCAGCAAAGAGCTTGGCGCCACCAGCAGCAAAGGGCTTTCCGATCCAGTCGACGACGGAGTCCAGCTTCGTCTTCTCGCGGCCCGACTGCTCAATGAGAACCTCACGGCGCGCAAGGTAGGCCTTGAGCTGCTCGTACATGACCCACTGGATGGTAGACTCGACGACACCGAGGTAACTGGCACTCATGCCCTTGTACAGGCCGCGCACGCCCTCCTCCTTGAGAATCTGTTTTGTGCAGTCGTAGCTGTTCTTGTACTGGCGGTGCATCTCGCCGCCGCTTCGTTCCGACATGTTCTTGTCGAGCTGTAGGCGCGTCTTGATCATCCAGATGGGGTTGGTCACTGTCGAGGTGGTGATACCAGCAGCAGCACCGGCAAGCATGTGCACCCACGGCGATTCGAGGCCGTTGTTCCAGTTCTCTGCTAGGATTCGCTTGCCGTTGCCGTATACGTAAAAGTTGATGCTTCGCGCAGGGACAACACCGACCAGGTTGGGGCCGAGGCCCTTGAAGAGAGCGCTGACGCCTTCTGTCTGTCGGACGACACCGAGAATGCGTATTGTGTCTGTGAGATGGTACATGGCGGCGCGGATGGGATTTCGCGATTGCGCCTGCATGGTTTGCGAGGCTCGGAGCTGGGCTTGGTAGATGTCGGATTGCAGTCGAGTCTTGAGCACGTCGAGGGGTGCGGTCAGGGTGGCAGCAGTCATTCCGCCGACACTATTACTACATGTTAGACTACTGGTCAATCTCACTCCAATGATGTGGTCGACTTACCCTCCGGCCATAAAGTGCACCCAGGACTTTGCAAACGGCAAAGCCTTGACTCCTCCTTTCACAGGCGTGTCGTCTGGGAGGATGTCGCCCGTCTCGCGCGACTGTATCAGCGCGGCATGTTCGGCGGGCGAATGTGAGTGTTGGAAAGGGCTTGTGTCATCATGTCCCGGAGGGAACGTGGTCTGCTTTTGCGCCATGATATGATGTGCGCTTTGGTGGAATTCGGGATAGTCGGGGGGTGATGAATGCGACAACGGATTCGATTTGGCTGCGTCAGCTGTGTCGCGGTCGACTCGTTGTATCTCTGATATTAATCGTCACAAATTATTCGGTAGGCCATATAACGTAAAACGAATGACATGAATTATGAAGGTGGTTGCCAGGAGAAGAGTCGTGAAAGGAGAAGCGTGCTGTTACCTCCCTGATCTGGTGCAGCAACTTTTTTTTTCCTTTGGCCCCCCGACACTGGCCGACACCCAAAAAAGGTACGTACCCTTTGCCTTGCACCACCCTTTTTTCCTAGAAGAGCCGTGGCGCCCGTTGTTCCGGCCGAGTGGGGCTGCAGGGGCAACAGCTGCCATTGTGCGACAGACTTATAGCGCATGAAGAACAGGTTATAGTGCCACGGAAAGGAACACAAGATTGTTTCGTGTAATCAATATATACAGGAAAATATGACACGTGAGAAATATATACGAATACAGAAAGAAATTGTTTCAATGGGTATCATGGGTTTGTCTATATACTAATATATATGTCTGCACATGTATCAATCGTGTAGTAATACAGCTCTCGTCGTTTTCTGCCAGATACGTGAACCAAAAGAAAAGCGACGCTGCAAGCAGTGCAAAGGACAATAGCTAACCTAGGACTGGCGTCCATTCGTTAAAAAGTAAAATCATGAGGAACATCGCACGGACGATGCTCCCATTTTCATCTAATCATACAAGCCTCGAGTGGTAGTATCACTGCGAGGGTGGACGGGTCATGTGTTGGGCAGCTGGGCCAGCTGGTCCTCCCATTCCATAGCCGTGATTCTGTGCATAGTAGTCAGACGGCGTCATGATGGAGGCTATCTGGTTCAGTCGCGAAGGGTCTCGCCGAGGAGGCGGTGGTCCAGCGAATCCGGAACTCGGAGGAGGCAGGCTAATGCGGCCGCCCTCCATGCTGTGGTCAGATCTTGCGCTGGAGAGATGGTCCGGGCTGTATGGCGTCGAATTGCGTACGTCGATATCGGTTCGGCTTTCGGGGCGGGAAACCAACTCCATGGCTTGCGAAGGTTGGCCATCCAAGCCTCTAGCTAGCAGGCCGTCTCTAAGGGCCGGAAGCTCACGGTTTGGTTCCGCATCCAGATCCATATCAACACGAATACCCATTTCTTGCTTGAGCCTGGTCGCCTCTTCCTCGCTCACAAACTTCCAACTGCATTTGGCATGTTTTTTGGTGCATCCTTGACAAGCAGTCAGATTACGCACACATTGTAGCCGGAGACGGCGGCATCGATCGCATGGAGGATTGATTATTTCTCCCTTGGCAAGTCTGTCCATCTTTTGGTTCACCAGAGATCGAATAAATTCGGCACGGTGGTCGATGTTTGTGTTGGTGGGCGTTTCTTGGTAGGAGACAGTTCTGTTGGAGAGGGATGGAAGATGGTGGTGGTGAGGTGAGTGCAGCGATGGGGAGACAGGAACCACGCTAGGCGTTGAGACACCAGCAATGGACGCAGATCTCGACTGTGAAAGCGACGACGAGGCATTCATAAACTGCTGTAGCAAATCGGCGTGCAGATCGTATGAAGCGCCAGTGCCCATTGGCCTCGTACCAGCCGTTGGTGAGCGATAGCTGCTCCCGGGACTGTCGTCAGGATTTCTCCTTCTGGCAAGATCATGTTTCCTCTGACCTAGCCGATGGTGTAGTATGCGTGCTCTAGCGGCCACTTCGTCTGCTTTCTTATAGAGGACGGATGTGCGCTGTTCGAGAATGTCTAGTGTGGCTAGCTCGGCCGTCTCGTCCTCCTCAAACGGGTGCTCCAGAGGGAAGCGATCCAAGGCACCCGAGGATATTAAGCGCCAATCATCTTCGGATATTTCGACTTGGGTGCCTTTGCAATGAAACTGGCAGCATCGCGAGCCATCGGGGAGGGTCAAGAGAACAAAGTCGTTTGGGCTAGCCTTTGCAAATTGCACCACGTCGATCCAGCTGATTTGTGTTCCAAAGGGCTGTGAAGAATTCGTCTTGATGGGGCCGTCAAAGAAGCGTTCGATACCTTTTAATATACGCGGCCCGGTAAGCTTTGCTCCAAGATTCGCCGCAAGACTCTCGTGTCGGTCAAGAACGCCTGGTCAGATTAGGTTAGCTGTTGCTGTGCGCCGCATTTCCCGCCTCTGAGTGCAACTGAGAGTCAAGTGAGAGCTCCGCCGACTTACCTTCGTATTCGCCCAGTAGATTCAGAATATCAGCAAAAGTATCCGCATCGCCATGTATGAGCGAGAGTCGTTCGGAACCGTGTCGGGGAAGATAGTTTATAGAAAGTGGTTGCGCTGCAAGCTGTTAGCTCTACACATGGGCAAAAAAGGGACAAAATGTTGCTGCTGCTTGGTAGTAAGCTACCCACGAGCAAAGGCGGATTTTGGTATTAAACCCTCCGTTTTTTGACCAAACGTACCTTGCTGCGGATGCTGAGACGAGTGGTAGCCCATGGGCGAGTTACCCTCAACACTTCGCTTGCGCTTGTTGTCGACATCGGGCGGTTGAGCCATGGCCCGTTGAAGCCGTTTTGGCCTTGCGAAGCTTGCAGTCTTGGCTCTGTAACAGGGAAAGCTTGGTTCGGCACGTAGTGTGAGTGGGTGGTGTTTTTGGTGGGCGGGTGCGTGCTAGTCCAGATATTAAGGTGCGGCGGGGGGGATAGCGGGCGGCGGTTCGCGTGGTCTGGGCTAGGCTAGGTGGTTCCAGCAGCGAGCAACAGGCGGGGGCCCTCTGCGACAACAATGGCGGGCGTGGGCGGGCCCAGGGGAGAAACAGCAGCGGGTGTCTTGTTCTTGGGGGCGGCTGTTGGAGAAAGTAGCGAAAAGAACGAAGTTCCGAAGATGCGACTGGGAGAAACGAGCAATGCGTGGTGAAGAGCAAAGCTGCTGTTGTGCTCGCCAACACTGCCGAAATGTCTTCTCAAAAGGTCCAAGTTCCAAAAAAAAAGAGCTTGTAAAGGCGCGTGTGTTGACCGGTGTTCCTTGGTAAAATGCGTGCGTGCTTGCTGATTACTCTTCTTTGGAGGAGCTGAGCTGCCGGCTGGTGGTGTAGTGCATGGAGTTGTGTATAATTTAGCCCAGGTGAGTGTTGTCCAGGCCTAAAAGCTTGTTCCTGTATAGGCGTATCGTCTAGGAACTGTCGTAGCTAGCAGCAGCCAAGACTCCAGGGAGATGGACTGTAGGAGGGAAGAGAGAGAGGGACAAGGTATGCAAAAGGAAAGAAGAAGATAGGATTTCTGCTTTATTTGCCTGCTTTGCTACTGTCCGTTAATTTTAGCTCTCTTTTTTTTTTTAAACGTAACGAGAGCGAGGTGAGGCGACAGCGCAAGCAAAGCAAGCCAGCCAGAGAGCACCTGGAACGAACCAAGAAAAAAGGCCCACGCCGGAGCACCACAGTAGCTAGTGGGGCAAAGCACCCTTCAGCGGCGGGGGCAGCACAACAACGCCGCACAAGTACTGAGGCGAAGCGCTGATCGTGTGCTCTCGCAGCGGGCCCGCGCCAATTCCAAAGGCCTGTCCTTTGGGGAGCTAAAACGTGTTGCGCGCGCGACGTTGGCCTGCAGGGGAAGAGCTAGGGCTGTCGATCCTTTGTCTCTGTACCTCTCGCCGACTTGAAAGAGCGGAATTGCTCCATCTATCTTTGCTAGGTGTGTTCTAGACATGGCAAAACGTCCGGTATTAGCGGTTTGGCTTTTGCCCCTCTTGCGCTCTCTTGCCTCTCTCGCGTTCTCTCACTGTCAACTACCGGAGTTGCAGTCAGTACAGTACAAGTCTTTTGCCTGTATCAGTGTTCCATCCATCATCCCATCCCATCCCTCTAACTGAGGCGTTCGTTGCCGTAGGCTTTCGGCGTGGCTGTTGGACAAAAGACGGCCATGCCGCAGGTGGTCTAGAACTACCAACCACAAACTGTCAGCAGCAGCAGCAGCAGCAGCCATTATCGTTATTGGCCCGTTATGCGGTTTTTCCTTTTTGGTGTAATTAGCTCCCAGAAGATCTGGTAAGCAACTAGTAGCAAAGCACCAGATGGGGGAGGAAGCTAAGAGCGGGAGAGGAGCTTTGACGTCCCGCCCACAGCGAGCCATGCAGTCAGTCCTCCACCAAGCACACAGAAAAAAGTGACGATTCAGGGTGCGTGCGACAAAACATGGGAACGGTCTGGAACGGCGGCCTTTCAGCTGCACTGGACGTGTACACTAACAGTCAGATTTTGCTTAGCGGCGGCGCCTACATTAGAAAGAGAGCAAAAGGAAAAAGAGCAAAGGCCGTGCTAATTTAGCCCGGGGTTCTGAGCGTCACCGATGCAGACAAAGTTAAACTGCACCGGCATCGAGAAACCTGCTTCCAATTGTCGTGGCCACTTGCGGCCCCCTCAGCGATGTAAGAGGAAAGGATTTCCCCTGCTTGCTGCTAACTGGAGACCCCTAGCCACAGCGACACCGGCCATTGCCCCCCTTGTGCATATTGACCGCTTGGAGGTAGGGAAGACGACGGCGGCCTTCTATTTTGCTTCTTTGCTTCTTTTCCCAGTATTACACAGCGGCAGTCAGTCAGCCCAGTCAAGCCAAGCCCAGCCCAGCCCATCCAGAAACAGAGCATCTACACTTAGTCCCTGACTACAGATGAAGAATACATCTACTCATGTAAATACACAAATTAACACCAAAGGAAAGGGTCACCTCGGCAGAGCACATCGACAAACTGCTACGCTCGAACCCCAGTGAGCCCATCCGCCATCTGGTGACCATTTCGATCGGCAAGATTCCAAGCTTCCATGCCACACTGCCCATCCAATGACAGGCCCCCTCCATGATTTTTGCCTTGACCTTGGGGCTACTGCATGTGGTGGCAAGGTGTATTACCGGCAAGTTCCAATATACTGGGTGTGTGGCTCATCATTTTCGGGTTTTCGCCTCTTTGCTGTCGGCAGAAGACAACTCGAAGAAAATAAATAAATGAAATAGCCGATAAGACGAATCGGGGCCTGCCATGTATCAGTACAAACAGCCGCCCGCCCACAAAGGAGAAGGATGCAGGCAGAATCCTTGGTTCGGTAGTCGTAGTTGGCTAGCAGTAGGAGGACCCAATGGACAAAGAACCCATTGTTTGCTGGAGCCCGCGATGAAACCGCCGCCTGCAGGCCTCTGAAACGCGCCTGGAGATTATCTCGTCATCTTTCGAGCCCCGCGGAGGCAGAACAAACAGCTCCTGTTTTTCTTTAAGCGAGGCTTGGCCATTCGACTGTACTTGCACGTCTCGCTCTGGATAAAGCAGTCCGCGGACACCAAGTATAGTTTCTTCTTTTTCTTCTGCGTCTAGAATTCTGTTAGTGTCCGCGCCGTAGCCTAGAACCCCCCTCCAAACTCGGCCAGTCCGGCCCCTGGCTTTGCTGCTCCAGGCGCTCCTTCAACGCTACTAACTGCCCGGTACAGCGCCTCTCCGGGGGTAGTGCCGCCCCCCTCCCCGCCTGGAGCGCGGGCCTAATTTCAAGCTTGCGCCACGCTTGCGTGCTGCTGTTGCTCCACTGGTCCCTCCGCGAAAGGGCCTGCTTAGCATTGTGGGCTGCTGCGCAGACACAAATGCTTAATTTGTTCCTCTCCGCCCCAATGGTGCCCGGAAGGTTGCATCCGGAGAGGAAGCTAAAGTAGAAGCACACCAGCTTCTTGTGGTTACCTAATCCTAATCCCATGTTATCTCTATCTGTCAAAGCTTTGGCCCCCAACTCCCGGGGACGTTATGTGAAACTGTCACTGACCTGTTTGTTGATTAGTCGATGGCGGGACTTGGTGGCCTTCGGTTTGTGGGAGACGCTCTTTCTGAAGCGGTTCCGGGAGTAATATCGGCAGTAAGAAGAACTGGTGCCTTGTGCTAATATCCGCAAAATAGACGGCAAGTGTTTAATTCCGTGGTGGGCGTTACCCGCCGAGTAGTTTTATCCGTCTAGTGTCGCCGAATCATATCTCCAAGTTGGGTTGCCTCCACGATAAGTGAGCAAGTATAATGGCACGAGTCAACACGGGTTCAAACGCATCGGTTGGATACCTCTACACGAGTAGAAGAGTTTATACAATATGTCTTTCATATTCTTTACTCCTCATTTCTCAATGGCGCCGAAACCGTGTGCAAACCAAAGCCGATTGAGCTCTAATATGTGCAGCAGTTACACGGTAATCCACAACCACAGGCTTCCACCACGATAAAATAATCTAAAATATTCTAGATAAATTTCATTATGCACACCAACATCAATGGTATACTTTCCCTATATATCCATAGCAATTGGCATGAATAACATCTTCCCAGGCCAACTCACACCAAGCTCAACCTGCCTACCAGCCTGGCTGCCCGCACTAAACCCAAAACAGCAACCCCTCCCCACTACCGCGATCTCCAAACCTCAAGGCTTTCGCTTCGCCCTCAAACCAGCTTTCCAAAACGTCCATCCATCCAACAGCCCCCAATCACACCGCTCCTCACCACGCGCTCCTGCGCAACAAGATATCTCCAACCCTCCTCCATCCGCGACACACCAACAGCACCGCGCGCCGAGCCCCGCAGACGCAGAAACACACCGCCAGTCCACGTGCTCGCGAAACAAACTCCAACCTCACACAATGGCCGACAGAGGCTCTCATAGAGGCGGTCGCGGCGGCGGCGGCGGCAGAGGCGACGGCAACAACTCCCGCGGTGGAAGAGGCGGCCGCGGCGGTGGCCACCAGGGTAACCGTGAGCAGGGCGAGAAGCCCAAGAAGGAAAACATTCTCGATCTCGCAAAGTACATGGACAAGCAAATCACCGTCAAGTTCAACGGCGGCCGTGAAGGTGCGTATGGTATACATGGGAAGATGCAAAGAAGGGTTTGGCTAACAGATGGTGACTATGTAGTTGTCGGCACGCTCAAGGGCTACGATGCGCTCATGAACCTGGTACTCGACGACGTCCAGGAGACCGTCAGAGGTATGTTTACGACGCGCCATAAGTGTCAATGTTTTGGCTAAAAGTTGTGATTTTAATGTAGATGAGGATGGCAACGAATCGAAACGACCGCTTGGCCTCGTCGTCGCCCGTGGCACGCTGCTCGTGCTCATCAGCCCCATTGATGGAAGCGAGGAGATTGCCAACCCGTTCGTGCAAGCAGAAGACGAGTAAACGAATCTAAAATACAAAAAAGAAAATACAAACTTCACCTCTAGTTGCCATAGAATACCGCATAGATGCCGTCATGACAATAAAAAGCCTTTACAAATCCCGATACGTGGTGCTTGCTCCCTTTCTTCTTCACTGATAATGTATAGCGGCGCATGGTGTTAATAAGTTTTTAAATAAGTATTTTATTTCGCTTAGTGCATTCTCGCTTAACGGCTGAACAACTAACTACAATTCCCTGAATCGTCTGCACTTTGATAAATAAAGATCCAAAATTGAAACAAAAAAAAGATGCGCGTCCTCGCTCTGCATACAAAAACGTCAACAACATCAGTTGAAGGAGCCCTTAGCAGTAGACCCGTGCTATTCCAAATACCCAGCTAGCTTGGTGTGGGGATTTCGAGTTGGTTCTCTGGAATATGGGGATGTCCATGAGATAGTGGTGTTGATGGACCAGCCTCAATAGCCAATGGAGTTGGATGGTGACTTGCGTGCCAGGTCCAAGTACCACGACCTCGGCCTCGGCCTCGACCCCAACCGCGGCCACGACCACGGCCGCGGTATGGAGAATGAGAGTAGTCAACTGGATAAGCCCCTTGATTTGGTTGGACTTCCGCAGGAGGCATCAGCGGATTCATCATGCCCCCTCCCATGTAGCCTTGCTGCCAGTTGCTTTGCCAGTTATCTTGCCAGCCGGTATTTATATAGGCCTGGTTCTACAGGCCCATGGCCGGCTGGCCATACATATTCGAAGGATATTCGTTATGTACATATCCCACCTGCTGCTGTTGTTCTTGTTGCGGTTGCCAGCTTGGCTCGCCATGGTTCTGCTGCAATGGCTCTCCTCCATCCTGCTGTGGAGCCTGTTGCGCTGGGTGTGGCTGGAGTGTCTGGTTCTACAGACCCCTGGTCTGCTTTCCACCTTTTTGCAACTCAGTAAAGGCGTTGCCCAATTGCTTCTTGAGCTCCCTGTAGCTCACGATGAAGCTTGTCTGATCATCGCGGCTTGTAAGGCATATCTTCTCGTCTATGCCCGCGTCTAGCTTATTGAGGGACCGCAACATGTGGCCCATATCCAAAACAGGCTTGCCGTTGCTATCCACTTGGTGGAATACGTAGTCCCGGAAGAGCTTTAACATATATCTCTCACCGTTTTCAGACCACGCAACATCCCCTTCAAATTCGTGGCGCTCATTGATGGTGCCTAACTTCATCAGCAGGCGCGCAACACGTCCGTTTTCGAGTTCTCGATACAGTTCGCTGTTTAATTCGTCTGCTTGGTGCTGGCTCTGATCAAACGTAGTGACTAGGTGCAGCGAGATGCCTCGCAGAAAATCGTCAATGGTTTTGGTAGCGTTGGGCTGCGGCGCCGCCACTAGCCAAGTAATAGTATCCCGTAGTTCCGGCGAATATGTTCGGCCCATTTGATCAACTAGAGCTTTCATGTTGCTGCTAACAATGGCCGGTAGAGTGCCAGTTGCAAGGCAAAGCATTGTGCGACCAAAATTGGCCATGTCCTCTTGCTGCAGCTCTGTAGCGGTGCGTCGAGGGTCATACTGCAAAACATCCAAAACTGAGCAGGCATTAAGTCGGATGCGGTTCTTATCTGTGAGGATAATTTTGCTGGGGTCTATACAGCGTGCCGCTAATCCGTTTGAATGGATTGATTTCAGCGCATTTGCAATCTGAGAGATGTATGCCCACATGACGGATTCCGAGATGGGCGGCTTAGGCTGGAATCGGCCGCCATGCACAGGCGTAGGGGTCAAGTGCACATCGGTCAGTGTCTTAGCGAGGGGGTGATAATCTTGGACAAAAATAAGGGAGCTGTCTCCAAAGGCTCGGGCTGTGAAGGCGTCGTGGACTGTAACAACATTGCCGTTGCTGACCTTTCGCCAGGCCGCGACAGAGCGAATGGCGTCTTCGCTGGTAAGTCGGAAGCCCTCAATTCTTCTCAAACAGTAAATATGACCGTTTTTCATAGATGTTGCTTTATAGACCCATGTGGTGTAGCCAAAAAGGGAGACATTCTTCCTGCCGGAGGTATCGAGAGCAACAAGGGAGTGGTAGTTTTCTAGCTGCGGTAATTGAGAGTTGGGCATGACTTGCAAAGCAGCCTCTGTTTTCTTTTGCATTTCCTCACGGAGCTTCTCTGGCATGAAGAAGTCATGTGTAAGACGGTGGAAGGGTAGCAGGTCGTCTTTGTACGGTCCGATGGGTGCGTAAAGATGATACTGGAGCGGCTGCAGTGGTGCGGCAAATGCAGCTTGGTTTTGGTAATATGTAGAGCCGTGCGCTCCCATGCCTGTCGGGTCTTCAGCGTAGGGGTTGAATTGCGCGGCAGGGAGCGTTTGGCCAACCGCGGCCATGGCATAAGGATCGTACTGGTTGGCATCCTGGACGCCGCCGTTGGGGGCAGGGGTAGAATTTTCGAAGGTCGGCGTAAATTCGCGGATATTGCCTGGGTTAAACATTGCGCTAGGATCCTGTTCAGTCGGGGTGGCAGCTGTGGCGGCTCTATTAGCATGATGCGCCCAAAGCGGCGATGGCAGCGCGTTCTTACTTCCGACGGTTCGAGGCGTGAAAGCCGCAGCGCCAGCAACTTGGGCCGTAAAAGTGGCCTTTTTGGCGGCTGCGGAGGATTGTATGTTCGCCGGGGTGAAGGAGGGTGATTCGACGTTTAGAGATTTCTTGTTTCTATATCCAACGTCAGCTGTCCGTCGTCTGGGCTTCGGTTGGGCAGGTGCGAGTCGTACAGGTCTTGCTGGTTGTTTTTGTTCTGATCGTGTGAAAAAGTGCAGCCTTGGTCCTCATACCGGCAGTGCCCGTATATAAGCACGTTGCGACAGAGCGTCTCCTTCGTTTCTACTGTTGGATGTGAGCTTGATGCGGCTAGCAGCATGAACGGGTGTTTGGGGGGAGAGCATACCCCGGTTCTTGACTCGAGGCGAACCAGCCTGGCGCGCGCCGGAAGGATATCTTGTGTTTGACATGTTAAGTTTTCACTCGGGAGAGGTAGTACTTATATATAGGAGCGGTGGCGCTATCTATGACATCTGAAGAGACGGTCAGCGGTCGGATGAGGGGGTGTGGCCGGGAGCGGGCTGAGGAGACGAACAAAGAATTTACAAAGCATTAGCCATGGCTTGGATCCAATTGACGACGGCGGCGGTGCGCCCATAGGGCGGGGGGGAGAGGGGGGTGAGAAGGCGATATTGCGGATGGAAGCGAGGAGAGGAGAGGTCGAATGGACGGTGGGGAGGCAACGCGTGCCTTTGACGCAGATGGAGATGGCGCTGGCGGGGACAAAGATGCTCTCGCTGCTGGGCTGCCACTGTTGCTACAAAGTAGTGGTAGTGGTAGTGTGGCTCTGCTGACTACCGCATCCGTGGCTGTGCACATAAGCGGGCGCCATTTGCACGCAAACAACGGGCGCTTCCACTGCGGGCGCTTTCCACAGGCGCTCTTTCAGGCGTCTACAGGCCTATTTGCAGCACCCGTAGCGCCCTTTGGCAGCGCCCGTTTTGTTTTGTGTTTGTTTTATGTGCGAAATTAGGCCCATTTACATACAATACCACAACTCAAGAATTCCATTGATTACAAAATCCACACTGCACTTTATACTAAGCTACTCTTTCGATTTTGTATTGTGCCGGCAGAAATGATCAAAAATCCATGTAGTAGTTGTTCTGGGCACGGACCTTTTAATGTGGCGCAGCACAGTGTATTGCCGGACGCACACCGTGTGGCAGATGTCTTCTTTCGTCCGTTGTGGACAGCGGGCGCTTGTGCGCAAGTATCTGTAGGCGCCTCAAGCCTTACAGCCAGGACTGGCGTTATGCACAACTATGGCACCACCAATAAGTGAAGCTGATCATGCACGAATATTGGCTGGATTTAATACTGGAAAATCTGATGCACAGATCAGCACCGTCGTCTTTCGCCCTGAATCGACTATCCGTAGACTACGACTAAACCACCGGCGATATGGCAGAACCAGAGCCCCAAGACGAAGATCCTGGGCCGGCCGAAGATCATAAACGACGAAATGATGCAGGTGCTTGCCGATAAGGTAAAGGAAAACTGCTCTATAGATAGAGAACAAACCATCGACTTTCTGGAAAAGAGATTTGGGATCGAACCGTTTCTAAGTTGTGTAAGTTTGTCCTGGCTTCACGGTGGTTTTACTTGGAAGAAGAAGCAACGGGTCGCGCAACAACGGGATCCTTTGCTCCGAGCCTGGTTTATAAAGAAGCTATTAGAGTTCAAATCCTACCAGTTATTCTTCATTGATGAATCCGGCTGCAATCTTCTTACAACCCAAACTACTCATGGACGAGCACCGAAGGGGTTCCCTGCTATGCAAAAGGGTAACTTCGCGCGCGATAGGAAGCGCCAAATCCTGCCAGCATATGCACAAGATGGGGTGCTCTATGTACGTGTCTACGATGGATCTACTGATGGTCTAGTATTTCGAGATTTTATTAAGGAACTACTTCCATATTGTGGTCGGTTCCCAGCTCCAAAGTCTGTCCTGATCATGGACAATGTCTCCTTTCATTATTCTAAGAAGGTGCTGTCTATGTGTGAAGCGGCGGGTGTCAAGGTGCTGTTTCTGCCGCCGTACTCGCCAGATCTCAATCTTATTGAAGAATTCTTCTCGGATTTGATGCGATTTATACCAAAGAGGTAGAATAACGAGCGGCGGCCGGAGCTTTCATTTGAGGCGTTTCTCTGTCGATGCGTTAAATATCTAGGCCAAAAACAAGTATATAAAAATAGGAACTGGAGAAACTTCAATGCAGAGGGTTATTTTAGAAATTGGGTATTTATATTGAGTATCTGATCTAGAAATATTTGCTTAAATTTATAAAATAAAATGTTTAATCTACAGTCTTGGGTAAAATAGCCTTATAGCCTGCTATTTACTTCCTATTTCCCTAAAAATTCCCCCCCATTTCAGTTGTGACTTTGAAATACTTCGATAATCTCAGAGCCGCCAGAAGTGGATATTAAACTTTCGACTGATTGCACTGACAGCCTGATTTCACTGCTAGTAGTGAGGTTCTTTGAGGTATAATTTACGCTGTTTCTATCAACAGTGCGACCCGCACCGGGCTTCCAGCTGCCTGCCGTCTCGCCACACCGCTATACCCAACGGTGCGATGTTGCGACTCTGTTCCTAGATCCCCGTTTTATCCTAAGATCTCTCATCAATTAACAATCATTTCTTTATATTCTTTTACTGTGAAAAGCTCTCATTTGCATCGCCACGATAAACCACCTAGAAACAAGTGTGGTTTGGAAAGTAATGGAAGGGAATGGAAGGTAAGTCACAAGTTGTAGACTTTATTGTAGCCGCGAGTGCATTAGTGAATAACTACTCTAGCGATGATGCCCTTTAGCCTGCTTGCAGTCATGCCCAAGAGAGCGAGGGCCTGCATTTTGGGTACATAGCTCGGATGAATTGCGCATGAGGCTAGAAAGGCTGACCCGTTGCGCTACATTGGATCTAAGATGCCCTTAAATGTCGGCTTTGTCGAGTAGAAGAGCCTTATGTCTATCACAACCAGAACTATGGTCAGATATAACATGCAAAAGAAGTTGAGTACATTAAGCAAGATGTATCGCTATATTCAATTAGGAATAAACTTGTTCAAGAACGTCTAAGAGATGCGTCTCTGAGCGAATACGATTAGGATGGTCTTCGGCTAGCGTTATCTCTTGAATCTTGACAACATGCTCTAGTAATGCCACCGCTTCTTTGATCTGGCCATTACTCTTGTATGCTCTTGCAAGTTCATGTTGCGATGCTAGTCGTGAGGGATGGTCTTCGGCCAGCGTTGTCTCTCGAATCTTGACAACATGCTCTAGTAATGTAGCCGCTTCTTTGATCTGGCCATCTTTATATAAACATCTTCCCGCCCAGTAGCCTAACTCTAACACCGTGGAAGGATCTGTTTCCCGAAAATTATTTAATATATGAAGTATATGAGGCAGTTGAGCTCGCCAGGTTTCCCGAACATCCCAGTCATCAGATTGAAAAATGCCACTCAGATGATTTATTGCATCCGTCTTTATTTCGGCATCAATACCTTGCTCAACTGTCCATGACCGCATAACCATATGCACTAGGCTATGGATGTCAAACATCCCGCGTTCTGGTCTGGCTCTAACAAACCCATAACTCTTGAGCAGCCCAATTGCCTTGATGAGATTTCCTTCAGATCCTACATCAGGCAATATTGACATAGGAATTGCCTGCGGTTGTATCCATATCATGAAACGAAGCAGTCGTGTCGCAGCGGAACTCTGCTTCTCCAGTTGCTTAAAGGAAATAAGCCACGTCGTGGCGACCGCGTATTGACTCTCGTCGTGAAAGTTATCGTCTTCATGCCGGTTGCGCATCAAATCCATCATTTCTTGACGAGATAGTACGAGGTACTCTTCAACAGATATGTCAAGCATGTTCATATAAGCTGCGGCTTGTGTGATTGCCAATGGCAAATTCGTCAACAGTCCAAGCAGCTCGTGCAGGTCGTCCTTATTTTGGATATAATCTTCGCATAACAATGACGAAAGCATCAAGTTCTTTGCGTCATTGTGTTCCATCTCTGTGATTTGAATGATGTTTTTCTTTGCGAAGTCAACCGCAATTTTCCGCGACCGCGTTGTAATTAAAATTTGGCCATGCAGGCTGCGCGGTAAGTATGCGTATATGCCTGTCGTATCGTCATATCCCTGCAGAATATCTTCATCGTCTGCATTGTCCAAAATGAGAAGCCATTGGCCAGCATCGTCGCTGCTCAAGTATCGACGAAGGACTTCTTTAGGGTCGTCGTTGTCGGGTCTGGCAAGCTTTAATTTCTCAACACACCCTGCGCATGCCTGCTCAAAGCCCACCATGCTGTGCGCAGGTAGCCAGAAGATATTTCGCTCCGGATCTTGATCCTTCATCAGGTAGGTAATCTTGAGCAAGATTTGCGTTTTTCCCACACCACCCATCCCAAACAATGCCATGCGTTGTTTTGTATTTGTCTCGGCCAATGTCAGGTCCATGAGGAGTCGGATGCTATCGTCACGGCCAACAAAGTCTTCATTATTCGCGAACGGCACGAAGAAGGTACGGGCTACAGTCTATTAGCGATAATAGTCGACGATATCTTCTACAACGTACGCTTTGCAATCGGGCAGCTAGTTTCGGTTGATGGCTGCTTTGTTGCCGATGGCACCCACGTCTTCAAAAATGCCTTCATACATGCCGCCGCTGTTGCTGCTGCATATCGCTGCCACTTCTTATTCTTGTGGCTATCCGCATAGTCACAGCCGCCTTTGATTACAACACACGGCAGCACATCCCACACGCCTGTTCCCTCCATCTCAAATGCGATCACACTTTCAGCAACCGCCACTACATCGCGATCCTCCCCCGACTTCATAACCGTGTCACCACATGCGATCAAACCAAAATGGATAGCCGGGGTCGGCGATAAGTCAGGGCTTGCCTGTAGACGGTGGCGCGGAACTAGCTTGCCATTACAGCCCGCCTTGTCACATGTGTCTTTATCCCCAAGATGGCGATATCTTGGTTCAAAAAGTTTGTCATGCTCAACGCCGGGATAGGTAGCGGCAAGTTGAGATTCTTTTCGAAGTGTAGCAAGATGCTCGGCTATATCACTGCCTAAAGATTTGAGGCGTCGAAGTCTTTTCAGACTGGCTAGAAACGTTCGTATCTCCGTATTCGGCCGCCCAAGTGAATCTAAAAGCGTATCTTTGCGCGCAAACCGCTCTGGTAACTGTCGACCAAAGTCATATTGGATAATCGCATCGCTAATGATCACATCGCCGAGAATAATCTCCTGGCCGTCTGGGCCAAATGGCACAACTCCAGCGATGCCTACCACTAGGCCAAGCTTAATGTTAGGGAAGCTTACGCGGCAGTTATTAGCTACCATCGCAGCATTCACTTTTCCCATGCCTGGTAAGCATGCAAGCACAACGTTGTGGCGGCCGATGGTGCCAGTGGAATAGGTATTAGGATCAACAGCAGCTTTGTCGAATAGAATGCCGTCGTCATCCCAAAAATGGTCGAAAAGGGCTTCGACGGCATCGGCTTCGAGGGGGAGGGCACAGATAATAGCAATCTCGAAGCCATCACGGCTCGCTGGACAGGCGGGTCGGAGATCCATAGTTATCCGTTTGGCGTTCAGGATACTCAAAGGACGCTAATCGACATTGATGAGATAATCTGGGGTACTCTGAGATTGTGAATAAATTACAACTATTTGGAGCCAGTAGGCCTCAGCTTATGAACAGGCAAAACGAGGGGTTTGCAAGGCTGCGCCGCCTGAAATGTCATGGTTTGCGGCCTTAGGCACCAGCACTATTACACTGCTAAGCGGTCCCACGTAGCAGCCTATTCACGCTATACGAGGAGTAGAATAATCTAAATAGTTATCATAGATCTATTCGAAGGTTTCATTCATTTCTGTAGTATTGGTCTTAATTGATTACGTTGTACGAAGGTGTATTCTTATCCTTGACCTAGCCTAGCCAAAATCAGGCGCAACAGTTTCCTAGTAAGCAGGTACACCGTATATTCAGTATCACTATTAACATTGTGTGGGCTATTTTTTCATTTAATTAGGTTGAAAGTTTCCCTAAGGTTATTTTGCCCGACACTGTATAAAAAATTAATTAGGCCTCCTCTATAACCACCTGCTCTACGCCTTCCTCCTCTCGCTAGTGGGGGATGTTGTGAGCCCACGACCAGGCACCTCTAAGCGCGACTCTATTATCGATGAAGAATCTCTCCGCCCAAGATAGATTCTCCTCAATCTGATTCAATTCCATAATATTTTCATACGTTATTTTCACTGCTTTCCGTATGGATTCTCTGTATGGTTTAGTTTCCGCTCTTCTAAGCGACTAATCCCGATAGCGTACGAGTTCCTTTTCGAGGCTGGATGTCAGTCGGTGCCGTTTCTTTGGGGGCGGCTCGACGGGGGCCTGTGGGAGCCTGTGGGACGAGCAGGACCTGTTGTAGGCGCTGGCTTCTGCTTCATCTCAGATCGCTCGACAATCAGGTCAAGGGTATGTCGTGGGATATCATCGTGTGATTCAATAATCCCGCCCGTATTAATAAAGTCTTTTATTATTTGTATATAATCGCTTTCGATTCTGATCCTTTTGTTGGTTCCGGGTTTAGGCGTGCAATATGGGCCGACATTGCATCCTGTTTATGGGCACTCAAAAATTGGGAAAGTGTCTCGCCATGCTTGCGACGTTCCAGCAACTCTATCCCTCTCTGCTTCTGCTGCTAGAGCTCGATGCTGGGATTTGGTTCCTTGGCGACCTCTGGCTTCTTCTTCAGATATTATGAGTACATAAATCTTGTCCATCTTCACTTTTAACCGCTTCCCAGCTCGGTTAAGGTGGCTCTAATTGGACAAAACTCCGGCGATCTGCTGCCAGTCAACAGAGTCTGCAAATGATAGGATAATATCATCTTCGCTTCTATCGTTTACGCTTATAGTTATTTCGATTTCCTCAGGTGTATATTTACTCGCTGGGGCTTTCTTTAGGGCTGCCGCTTTGACTTTCTCTTGAAGTGTAGACTGCCAGTAGTCTATCGGGGCGATGACAACATGTTGCTCTGTGTTACTCATTAGTTTAGTCCTTCTCATTCTCAGCAAAATGAGCCGCTATTTAATCGTGTAATGGATCTATTTGGGGGGAGTTGTTTCGAAGGATTTACGAGGATTCCACCGATGAAGAGGTAGGAATGGCAGCCCTGCTGGGTTCCGCTGGAGCTGGCTGGCTGGACCAGCTGGACTGCCTACGCGCTTTCTGCAGCTGGGCTATCTGGCTCGCACTGTGAAACTAGTGGTTGCCAGTTATCATCGCAACTATCATCGTCGATCCAAGTGAGACTGCCTACAGCTATGGTTGTCTTGGTAGCGTGGAAAGGGCACAAAAAGGCGAGGCCCTCGACTTCGAAGGTGGGCACAGCCAGGTACCTGACCTGCCCACAGACACCCAGATCTCGTACCTGGCATCTGTAGCCCATGCCTCTTTTTGGCCTAGCTTGGGCGTCTGTGTGCTGCTACGGGTGTACACTGGACCCCATTCTGGGCGATCAAACTCGCGAATAGGCGCGCGACTAGTAGGACTACCACCCCCTCTGCACCGCTAACATCAAGCTTCCAAGACTCAAGTCTTCGATACCTTTCCCTCCCATTCGAGGGACAATATCTCGTTTCGTCTTGCTCTTTTCTTCTACCTCTATAGCAGCAATACTTAGGAACCTGGCACTGAATTCGGTAGATGTCTTGCTTTAAGAAAGAAAGGAGACTTACTTTTTATATTAGATATGTAAGGCATATTAGCCTAGGACGAGAGAAGTCGTGAAATAAAAGCTATAAGTCATCTTAAGAGCAAGCTCGTCCAAAAGTGGCCTTCAGTTTGGAGGAGGACGCTGTCCTATTATAGAAGTTGAGCCAGGCCAGCGAGATACATGTTCGGTGGGTCTGAGCGCCCGTTGTGTCGCAAGCGGTACTTGTGGCCACAGTGTGATCTGAGATGTCACCAGCCACAAGTGGTCCGTGCTCAGAACAACTATAACTCTGTTTATTGATCATTCGTTTCTGCCTGCACAATATCAAATTGCTTCTATTACTGAAAAGAATCACGGTTGGTTCACCTGTAGCCCACGCCGCATCCAGCTGGCACTGTGTTCGTCTCCAAAAAGGTTCTGCCGCAGCTGACCGCCCGATGGTATGCTCAATTCTATTCAAAGGATACACAAGTTACAAAGGAAATAATAAAGTTCAAGGTCATATTTGGTGTTGTATCGTACTTTGTCATTTTCCATTTTTTCCGTCTATTCTTTAGCCCCCAATCGCTTAGCATAGTATACCGTTCCTTGAAGCGGACTGTCGTTATATGCAGCCGTCTCCACGAACCCTTCGGATTGATACAGACGGATAGCTGCTTCCATCCGCGACAGGGAGTCTAAAAATATGTACTCATACCCTTGTTGACCCGCTCTTTGAACAATTTCTTTAACAAGCTTTCTCGCGACTTGACGGCCTCGGGCTTCGGGGAAAACGAACAAGCGCTTTACTTCACAGCATCGCACAGCTCCGTCTTTCAATACAGGATGCCCAGACGGTATGTCGATAGGTCGCATGGCAATACAGCCCAAAGGAGAATCCGATGTAGGATCTGTGGCTAGCAGCAGGGCTCCTCTAGGCGAAGCATATTTTCCAGGAAGGTTGCTAAACTCGGCGGCGTATCCCTGATGTGTCAAATCTTCGCCGAGCCATTCCGTATAAGTGCGAAAGCAATGCGACACAATTTCAATATCGGACGCTGAAGCTGCCTGTCGTATAGACACGTGTGTATCCATTTGTGTGGTTTGAATTATTAAAAAGAGAATGGTGTTGTGGAAAGAGAACCAAATTTGATGTTGGAGTAAGGTTAGAGCTGGGTTGGTGTGACTTCTATGCCGGTATCGGTGGGCCAAGGCGCTGTCAGAGTAAGGACGAAAGGCTTGATTGACACCGCCGCATCGGCAGATGAATCCAGATCGCTATCTTAGAAAACCATATGTATTAATTTACCCTGAATATTATTCCCATTGATTTACTTACTGTATCTAGGCGCAATATAATGCCACATGGCCGGCTCATTCTGCTCTTGGCAAGATTACCCTATATGCTCAAATATGTCAAAAGCGTATTTTCGACCGTATTGAGCTAAACAGACAAGTCTAGTATTCACTAAGGATCATAATACTAAAACTCTAAATTTTAAACATTTCTTCGTAGTTTAATCTTGTTCAAGTTGATGGTCGATTTGCAACATGGGTTGGCAGCCTTGTTAGGCTCCAGCCAGCGGGTTAGCCACCCGCCGCCGCCAGCATCAATCCGAGGGACGTCATCCACCTCGGACCAGCCAACCTCGACTCTTCATCAGCAACGCTGCACCGCAGCACACGAAGACACTTCCAGAACAACTCACGGCATTGACACACATAATATCTCCCAGCATATAGCAGCATACTGCATCGAATTGCCTGCTAGGAAGCTCACCAGCATGGCGGACACGCAGGGGGATGCGGCGGGACAGCTGTCCTCTAGCCAACAGGACGCTCTGCAACAGTATCTCCAGGTCACGAACCAAGAGATTGCAGATGCGATTCCTCTTCTAGAGAGATCACAGTGGAATGTACAGGTGAGAATAGATTGGTACCAGCTCCAACAGCGGACTCTAAATAGGACGCTAACCCGCGCTTGTCACAGATTGCGATTGCCAAGTTCTTTGACGGCGAGGGACCCGACCTAGTAGCCGAGGCACTCGCTGCCGAAAGTGCTCCCCGACCTATCGCACGACACGAAAATCTGCAAGAAAGTCTTCTCGCTGCCGAATTCAGCGGCCGTACACAGCGACGCGAACGAACCGACCCAGCCCCTCGCGTGGTCCCTCAGCAGCCTGTCACTACTAGAACACCCTGGCTTGTTGGCCTGCTTCTGGCACCATTCGCTTGGGGCTGGACGGCTGCATCGGCTCTATTTCGAACAATATTATATGCGTTGTCGTTTTTGCCGGCGGCGATTCGACCGCGCCTTGCCACGACTGGGCTCTCTACGGCCATTGGAAGCGGCACCAGCAGCAATGGCCGCCGCATGCTCATGCCGCGTGACGCAGCTGCGAGGTTCAAGAGAGAATTTGAGGAAGACTATGGACCGAACAATTTGCCATTTTTCGAAGGCGGTATCGCACAAGCGCATGATTTGGCCAAAAAAGACCTAAAATTCCTCATGGTGGTCTTGCTGTCTCAGGAACACGATGACACCACCTCGTTTGTACGCGAGACCCTTTTATCGCCAGACGTGGTCAACTTTATCAAAGAAAACGAAAAGACCATTGTTCTGTGGGGCGGCAGTGTGGTGGACTCGGAGGCTTATCAGGTATCGATTGAATACTCTTGCACCAAGTTTCCCTTTACAGCCCTTGTTTGCTTGACTCCCAAGGAGGGCAGTACACGCATGGGTATTGTAAAGCGGCTGGTTGGTCCCATGGCGGCAAATGACTATCTTGGTGAGCTCCAAGCTGCCATGGAAAAGTATGGTGCAGATATGGATGGCATCCGCGCAGAGAGAACTGCCCAGGAATTCGCTAGGAGCATTCGAGATCAGCAGGATTCTGCATATGAGCGATCACTGGCCAAAGACAAGGAGCGCGCTAGAGAGAAGCGAGAAGCTGCTATTGCAGCAGAAGAGGAAGAAAAACGAAAAAAACAAGAAGCCGAAGAAGCCGAGTTGCTCGAGAAGAAGCGACAGGAGTGGAAGCACTGGCGAGCAACACAGATCCGTGCTGAGCCAGCATCAACAGACCGCAGCGCCGTGCGATTGGCAGTCAAGATGCCAGAAGCGCTGGGTGCCGAGCGTATTGTACGAAGATTCCCTGCCGACGCGCCAATGGAGGAGCTGTATGCCTTTGTAGAGTGCTACGAGCTGCTCCGAGATGGCGGCGCAGAAGAGTTGCTTGCGGCGGGCAAGGATTGCAAGCCGAAGCCTGCTGGATACGAGCACAAGTACATGTTTAGAATATCGTCGACGCTGCCTAAAAAGGTATACGAATGTAATGATACAGACTTGATGGGCGACAAGATTGGCAAGTCTAGCAATCTGATTGTCGAGGAGGTGCTGGACGACGAGTCAGACTACGAAGAGGATGAATAGATTAGCGAGGATGGCGTATAGATTTCGCTTAGGGGCGCACAACCCATGTAAAGAAAGTTAATTGCATATACCATAACACTATATTCATGGCTACCTGTTTTCTATTATATTTATTGATTTGTTGCTGGTCAATGTCGGCTGTAGCCACGTGATGTTCACTAGTGATGCACTTTACGACTGGAGATGAGTGAGTCCACGGATGGCCCCTCCTCTGCGATCTTGCCGGAACTATCAGACAATCACCACTATTAAAATCTGAGAATGGCCACTTATGAAAATTATACAGGGTTTCCTCACCCTCACCCTAATCCGACGCCGTCGTATTGGCAGCTGCAGCCGCATAAAATCGCCGAGTTGCGCACCACGCCAGAGCTTCCCAGCGATGTCGAGTTTGACTACATCATTATAGGCTCTGGTATCTCAGGCGCTACAGTAGCACATAAGCTGCTCGCCGGCGATCCGATACTTTCTATTCTTATGCTGGAAGCCCGAACTGCCTCGTCTGCCTCGTCGGGTCGCAATGGCGGCCACTGCCGAACCGGCTACTGGGCGCTGTTTAACCGCTACGTTGAGCACCTTGGCGAGGACGAGGCTCTGAAAATCCTGAAACTGGAAGAAACCAATGTTGCTAGCATTGCAGAATTTGTTCGCGACAATCAAGTCGATTGCGACTTTACAACCGTGGAGACGGCAGATTCCTTCAAGACGCAAGAGCGTTTTGATGCCGCCATCAACGTCTTAGACGCGCTGGGAGACACACAGAAACGACGACCCAACGATGCTCCATCTATGCAGCGCAAGGTTTGGCGGGGACAAGAAGCCAGAGATCACACTGGTATCCCTGACATTGTAGGCGCCATTACGTACAGCGGCCACACGCAGAATCCGTACAAGCTGGTGTGCAGGATGCTCGAGCTCAGCCTGGAGAGGGGATTGAACTTGCAGACAAACACTACGGCCCTAGAAATCACACAAAACACTACAGGTGGATGGACAGTCAAGACGAATCGGGGCGGTGACGTACACGGTAAACAGGTTGTGATGGCGACCAATGCATACACGACGTCTCTGCACCCCGGGGTTGCTGCTACCGGATTCATTACGTCGAAGCGGTCACACTGCAGCGCCATCAGGATGGGTAAAGACATCCCAGTGGACGCGCGGGCTTTGGTCCGCGGCAGCTGTGGCATCAAGGACGTTGGCTACGGCGACTACTACATGTACCGAGCACAGGAGGAGGGTGGTGGCCATCTGTTGTATGGTGGAGGCCTCGCGCAGGCGAGGACGAATGAGGTCACTAAGGACGATTCGCATCTCAACAGTGATATTTCAGACTACTTGCGCAGTGCGCCGCGGCGCCATCTGTTTGGTGGTCACGAGGGCGAGGACGACGTTGTGCTGGCGTGGTGCGGCATCAACTGCTACACGCCCGACACGTGCCCTGTGGTAGGGCCAGTTCCCGGAGAAAAGGGCCTGTGGATGTCCGTTGGGATGAATGGCCATGGCAGTAAGTTGGCACTATATATATGATATTCCATGTAAGCGATGACGAGACTAACGGATGCTGGTGTAGTGGCCCTGGCATATCGTAGTGCAGAGGCTCTTGTCGAGATGATGACTACAGGTAAGGAGCCGGATTGGTTCCCCCAGTCGTTTAGAGCGTCGCGAGCATGGGAGACGCCTATTCAGGTTCGGTGAGATGTAGAGCACAGCAAAAAGAGAAACAAGTATACAAGTGATGTGATGGTGATTCGATGGTGGTGGCTCAGGCGATAGCTGACGTCGACGATGGGAGAGGCAGTGCTTGCAGAAATGCCGATACCCGTAGTGGTGATATAGCGGGGGAGTATGCTGATGATAAGATCTATAGTAGTCTACTTCGATATTGGCTCGATGAACATGTTCGCACTGTAATGCAACTTAGAGATGAAGGTTATTTTCCAACGTGGCAAATGGGCGGGCGTGGCAGCATTGCGTAGTCCCTGGAGGCTGTGCTTGGGGGAGCGACACTAACTGGTTAGCGGCCTCTGCAAGTGACAGTGTGTATTTTCCCGGACGGCACTATGACGACGCTAGCAAAGCCGCCCACTGGTATACCAGTGGTGCGGGATGGAGTCACAGTCAATTGACAGCACTATGTAATTTGCTCGTCCAATTCCTTGTTTCTGGGGTTTATTGCCTGGAGAAACCTGGATGAGCAGCATCCACTCCAGTATTGGCAAAACAGTGCAGTCTTGGCACATGGTGCGCGGACGGCGCACTGTGGATTGGGCTTCAGTGAGGAGGCCCCGAGGAGAAATCGATTGGTTGGCGGCTAAAGGCAGGGAGCGGGTAGCGCCTTTTTGGGGGGCCATGGGTTTTGGCTAGCGCTATTTAATGCGTGTTGGTTGGCTGGCCTTTGCGTTGTGTAGAGGCGGCAGCCTTACAGTATACCTTTGTGAGTCGACGATAGGGCAACCGGGGTTTCGCGGTGCGCACAAGGCTACAGCTGCATACAAAGTGGGTAATAGTTGCCTGGGAATAATACGAGATCAGTAATATAACACGACAAAAAATATCAGGCTGTGATTCGGAAAAAACGAAATCATATGCCGGGAAACGAGGAATAGTTTGGGCTGATGTTTCCCTGAAGAGGGTACAGTGCACGGTCAGCCTGGGCCGGCACAGTGGTGGCCGCTAAAACAAAGGATGCCTGCGCTAGCAGGGTGAGCACTGACCGAGCGGACTTGCGGTTTGTGTGTGAAACAGAGAGGACACGGGCCGTTTTTCTATTTATTTATGAGAATGAAATTGGATACGCTAGTAGCTGTGTAACGGAATGTAATTTGTATATGCAATATTAATTGACTAGGTATGTTGTAATTGTATTGTATATTTCCTGATATCGTTCATGGTTCACTAGCAAGCCTCGCTAAACCCAAACAAAAGCCCACCGTGCATGCCCCGCACTGTGCTAGGTCCAACTGTTGAGTCTTTGTAGACCGCTCTGCCCGCCAATCAAACGCTTACGCCACTCCGCACACAGCCTCGTTTTCCCACCTGCTCGGCTGCCTTGGCCCCCGTTTTCTGTGTAGCCGGCAATTCCTTCGTTTTCGTGTTCACATCTTTTTTCTTCTTTTTCTCCTCTTTTCGTCCTGTCTTGGATCATCTTCTTCGTCATCGCAAGCAAGTGCTTCTGCTTTTTTTATTTTTTGCTTTTGGGTTGCTTTGTCGATAAGCTTCCCTACTCAGTTCCGTCACTGGCTGCCTGCCCCTCGTTGTCGCCTTTTCTGCCGCCGCGTATCCGCCAGGTTCCTGGGAACCTTAGCTTTGTGATCCGCGCCGCGCGTCATCCTCACGGTCCCCCGATATCACGACTCCTCCTCGCCTCCCGCCACGACCCAAACGACATCATGAAGTCCATGAAGGGCCTCGGCATGAGCAAGATGCTCGACAGCATCAAGCGAAAGACCTCAGGTACTGACTTCTCCGACCGGCCGACTCCTCCAAGCACCCGCCGCTAGCCGCCTTGCCCAGCACACACATCCGTCGCCGCTTCCACCTACCAGAATGCTAACTGTATCGACGTATCTAGGTCCCGTGGCAAACAGTGCCAACATCGAGGCCAGCAGAGTCGCCGTCGAAACGCAGTCCGGTGGCTCCCCCGAGACCACGGCGCACAACACAGTCGTATGTCGTCATCAGCCCATATGGCCCGCTGGCCGCCAGCAAGGCCTTCGCTAACGTGACTCTTAATTTGTACAGAAAGCATTCTGTGAATCCGGAGGCCAAGTTAGGGTAAGAATCAATCCTCAAGCATGGCGAATGCCACGCACTGCTACTCACTCCTGCGAGGAGAGGCTTTGCGCACTACATTAAATACCTGGTTACTAACCACGGCTTGCTACACATAGGGCGACGAAGTCCTCTTCCTGCCAACCATCGTCGAGGCTGCCGAGTCTTCTCCCGCTGCTGCCGCCGAATGCGCTCGTCTTATTCGCAAATTCATGCGCAAGGAATACTACGCCCGCGCCGCCTGGCAGTATAATGCGCTCATGCTGCTGAGAATCCTCACCCAGAACCCCGGCGAGACATTCACCCGCAACCTCGATTCCAAGTTTGCCGATACAGCAAAGGAGCTGCTCCGGTACGGTGTCGACGGCAATGTGCGCCAGATGCTCATGGAGACTCTTGAGGAGTTTGAGAACACGAGGTCATACGACGAGGGTCTCGGACCCCTGATACAAATGTGGAAGAAGGAAAAGGCCAAGATTATCAGAGAATTCGGCGTAAGTGATCTCCTCCTGAGCAAGATTCCAAGACTGGAAGACTGTACTGGACCACAAGTCGTACACATTTGCTAACCAACTATGCGCTCACAGGGTGTCCCAATGCGCCATCCCCAGCCATTTGTGCCCATGTCTCCCTCGGGCAACCAGAGAGATCAAACTTACTTTTCACGCAGCCATCGCAATAACCGCCTGCCCGATGCCGTAGAACTGGCCAGTCGTCTCGAAGAGGCGCGCACATCCGCCAAGCTGCTCGAGCAGGTTGTCATGAACACCCCCACGGCCGAGATACTCGACAACGAGCTCATCAAAGAATTTGCTGATCGCTGCCTGAGCGCCTCAAGAAGCATTCAGGGCTACATGGTGGCCACCGACCCTGCTCCCGATAACGAAACCATGGAGAGCCTCATTGATACCAACGAGCAGCTACAGACGGCTCTCAACCAACACCAGCGTTCTGTCCTAAGTGCGAGAAAGAATCTCGGCCTAAACGAGCGCCAAGAGGATGAGTCTCAGCCAGCAAGCGACACTGAGGCTGCCCGAGATGCTGAAGCTAGCGACAGCTCTGCTGCTCGCAAAGGCAAGCAGACGGGCAGACCAGAATCATACAAAGTAGTACCTTTAACCTCTGTCGCTGCCTCCGGTTCTGGCTCTGGTTCGGCCATTGCATCAAGCTCCAAAGCAGGCAAGGGCAAACAGACAGTGGAAGCTGAAGATCCATTCGCCGACCCGTTTGCCGACCCCGAGTCGGAGGCAGCGCCGAAAATACCAGAGGCCAATGGTGCCGGCTCGTCATCCCTCGGTCTGGATGCAGACGACTATGGACACCATTCTGCCGAACCCTACAGCCCAGGCTTTGGTTCTTCGTCTACAGCTGCTGGGTCATCCGCGTTGGCATCCGCATCCGCGTCTCGCGTCAATGCCAGCAGCGTAGGCGGTGCGACAACTGCAGCTGATGACAAGAAGCCCCTGTAGTCAGGCAGTAAGCATGATGAATGATGGCATGGTTATATGGGGACACAACAGAGGAGCTGAGCCAGTCGCATAACGAGCCCTTTGAACGGACTCTGCAGCGGGCGAGTCGTGTTGTTCTGGCCTCTTAAATGGGTATATATATGGAGAAAGACGTTGGTTCCAATATCGGCGGGCTGTGAGTTGTCATATTTCTCGTCTCACCTGCTTCGGTATCGGCTCTTCCACGTCACCTTTCTTTCTTCTTTTTCTTTAATGTGTCGGTTTGATCTGTATTTTCACGCAAATTACCCCTTGAGCGTTTGTGTTTTGTTTACCCTGCGTATAGTATGCAAAAGAATTAGAAGGTCTAATAAAACAAGGAAACTCTTCATACTCTGCGTGCTCATGTCGTGCCAGTTATCGGCGTAGCGTGTGTCTTCCGTGCAAGTTGAGACTGATTTGTTCACAGGTTAATGATGCCTTTCACTCGTCTTTAGTATCTAGAGTGCATAATCGGCGCATCGCAATGAGAAGTCGATGCCAGCCAATAGGCAGCTTAGACCTGGACGTCATACACGGCAACGCACATTGGTCCAAAAGCACCTTGGCTCATGGCATCTGATTGGCCACCTCGTATAAGCGCGCCCGCTGGATATTAAGGTAGACTAATGCTCCTGTTAGCTTGATGAGGCGGCCCAGACCCATCAAACTTCATCCGTCGCATGCTATTAGCGGACGGAGCTAGTCTACATTAGCGGCGGGTTATGGCGTGGTGGCGTTCACCAGTTCTTTCGCAACAAGCGCCCGATGTGGAGGTGGAGGTAGCCCTGTGGACTGCATTGGAAACGGTATGTCTGAGCTAAAAAGGGTAAAACGATAGTAGGTCTAACTTTCATGCTGTAACGCTGTTTGGAGTTTGACCTTTCGTGGGGGAACTCATGGCGCTTGTGGTGGGGGGAAGCGTGGGTAAGGATCAGCAGGCCAGGCGAATTAGCTGCATTCTGCAGAAGTGATGGCTGCGTGTGATTGGGAACGGTCATTCTGTGTGATTGGTCTACGTACGCCACCGGAATTGCTGGTGGTGGAGGGGCAGGAAGACGGTGATAGGGGTGCTTGGCGTTGTTGGGGAACGCTAGACTGCTTCTCGCATCACGATCCCATTCAAGCCAAGACTAGAGCTAAAGGATAGCGTTTCCACCAGGCATAGCTTGACAAGACTTGGTTTTGCCCAAGCGTTGATGGGAGCGTGCGGGCCGACAAAAGGAAACGGATCCTCTTTACAGAAACAGGGCGGACTAGGCAGGCCAAGGGGGTGGAATGGATCGTGTGGGAAAGAAGACGGTGTGGAAGGGTTATTCGTCCGGTCATACTAGGGTTAGAGTGTGTGATTAGGCTGAGAAAAGAAGGCAAAGTTGCGATGCCAGACTGGGGGCGGAGGATGCCTGTGGGACGATAACGACAACGACGGTGAAAATGGCGAACTCGCCGCCCCACGACCACTAAGACCATACTTTTTGGTATCCTTTATGACAAGACATGCGTGGCATGGACGCAGTATCACCAACATATCGTACCCTGGGATGGCCTGGTCTCGGGATTCCGCCCCGCGGAAAATCTCCACCGTTGGCGTTGTATAGTTTAACGTAGCAGTTTAGGTAGGGGTGTCGAGCCGTAAAAAGCGTCAGCAGCACATATTAATAACCTCAAAACGCCACCTCGCCGAAGCGTGTCTACGTAGTGCGTCATCTAGACTGGTCTAGGATGTTCCAACGAACTCCAACAGTGGCTGGTCCACTATACCATGGCATCTTGCTAGGTTTGGTGGAAGAATTTCACGTAATGGCACAGGGAAACAGGGCTGTGTCTATCAACTAGGATAGAAACGGTTACAGCGTGACATGCTACAAACTGCAGCTGCAGCTGCAGACGGGCATCGCGACCTATACCGCTGTTGAGCTAGCGCCAGCCTAAAAAGACTGGCGCGGAAAGCTTCCCGAGCCATACCGGCAGCTATGGATTTACGACAAGGGGATGCCTGTCTGTCTACTAGGCCGCCAAATGCCTGATATGGCTGGGCATGTTGGCTCACTCACACGCACGCACGGCCGTTGACGCACTGATTAGCCACTGGATCACTATGGGTCACTCGCTTGCGGCAAAAGAGATGACTCTTCTGTTGTTTTTTAGCAACTTGGTGAGGACTGGAAGAAAATTACCGAAAGCGGTACATCTGGCGATGCGACGCCGTCGGTAAATCCTACGGACATGGCAGAATGTGACCAAGAATGCAAACGACATGGCCCTGGGACAGCACAATAAGACATGCATCCTACAGACGCCCCGCGCATGGCCAGCAAACAACAACAGGCAGCGGGGCAGGAGAAAAGGAAAATGGAAGCCAAGGAAGACTAGAAAGAAGCCGTGGGAAGGTGGCGACAAAGTGGATTCGGCGCTTCCCAACGGCCGCCACAAAGAGGGTGCATTGCTTTGGCCTCTCGTTTTTCTTGTTGCTGCTGATGCAGGGCTGTGGGACCTTGTGGAGGCAGGAGAGTGGGAAATACACGTCGATTTCTGACAGGTTCTGACAGGTTCTGTCTTTGGATTGTATTGAGAGGGAATATTGGATTGTGCTGCTTGCTCTTCCGTGGAGCGTATTGGTACAGTATAGTGGTAGTGCATATTGCGAGTCACGGACGAGAGAGAACAGGAGATACAGACAAGGGGAAACGGTGCAAGTACTACGGTTGGCGGCAAATTATGGCTTGGTTTTCTTTTTTTAGCTGAAACGACATCCGGATGACATGACGTCGTGTTTTGGAACTTAACGCTGCGTCGTATACATAGACGAGGCAACCAACGAACTACTAAACAAGATTCAACGGATTTGGCGGAGACAGAAGGCTGTGGATGGAGTTATAAAACGAAAGCCATGAATTCGCCCTTGCCCCGAAGAGAAAGAAAAAGGTAGCCCCATTGATAAGAAGGGAAGAAAATTAGAGGATTTAAAAATAAAATAAAAAAAAAGAGGGAAAAGGCTGAAGACAGGCCCCAAGTTCGCCCCCACACAAAAAACGACGGCGCATCACGGACAGCAGGGGCTGCGATTGGCCAGACGCAAGTTACAATTGCCCGATTAGGATATTCTTGCGAATGGGGGAGCAGCTGAGGGGAAGGGGGGAACATGCTACAAGGTATCAATTTATGTGTGCATGAACAAGGAAAGAATCAATAGTTGAAGTTGATGATACGATTAGTTTAATTAATAGCAATATCTATCGAGAATGAAGTAGAGCATTTTCTCTGTTATTTTTTGGGTCTCAACGTCTCAACTATAGACAGTCTGCTCCTCGTAAACCGACAACCCGTAGACTATAGTGTGCGCGCGCCTGACTACCTAAGCAGGCATCATCTTGTGTCTTTTTTTTGGGGGGGGCGGGGGCTTGACTGCGTAATCCAAACACTACAGCACCATCAGTAGCCCCCCCAAAACAGCATTCAACAGCCCTTACTGTAGCTGCCCTCCTCTTCCCCTCACCCAGCCCTCAAACCAGCAAGCCACAGTACCAGCAACATACACACTCGCAGCTCGCACTACGAGAGTAGACATGCTGTGTGAGAAATGAAGCCCAAAACGTCAGACACGGCTTGGATAATTAGCTAGCTAGCTAGCCCGTAGCAGGCTTGGACGACGCCCAGAGTCGTGACGCAAACCCGCCCCGGCCCCAGCCAGCCCAGCCCAGCCCAAAGCCACGTCAGGGATCATCGTTCTTCTTCCCGCGCCTTCTCTGTTTCGTCAGTAGTAATGCATCTCAAATTACTTCACATTGATGGCTCGTCAGACAAGGGCTTGCCCGTGCATACTCTCCCTTACTCATTCACCTGCTTTTGCGTGCTTGAGCCGCGGTAATTCCCCCCTCTTTCTTCTTCTCCAAAAACTGCAGTAGATACGGTCCGCCCCCAGGAATAGGAACCCAGACGGGGCGGCGGAGCAAACGGACGGAACAATTAGCGTCGGGCCTCTCTCTTTTTGTGATTCCTTTTAGCATAGCGCGTTCAGTTGCTCTCCTCTCTCGGCCGCTGCTAAATCCCCCCCCCCGCTCTTGTATTTTCGCAAAGCACCCGGAGACGGGGCCAAGACTACGCTAAAAAGAGGGAAGGGGAGAGGAGTCCATTCCTCTGGCGGGATCGGTTCGCATCTTTCCCTGCTTAGGGGCATTGTAACGGGTATCCTAGCGGAAAGGACCAACATGTCTGCTGGTTCCACACCTAGAAAGAAATCCCCGTAGAAAATGTAATAGCCTATTGCTGCTGCTGTACTACTACTGTATTGGAGTATCACAAAACCACACACACCAAACAAGAGACGGTGCGCCGGTGCAAAAGCCTCGTTTTTGGTCCGTTGTTGGGCTCCTCTTTTTAATAACCAGCAGTCCTCAGTCTTTTTTAGTTTTCTTTCGTTTTAGGATTTTCCTTCTAGTTTGTCCATTAACTTGCGTCTAGGAAAACTATTTCCTCCAAAGCCACCGTCCACCGTCTTTTTCCACACGTAGACTACGCTTTGCTACGCTACGACCAAGGACTAATATAGAATACAAAAAAGATTTCGCCCTAGTCGCTATTCCGCATCACCTGTGCAGCGGCTGCCAATCTCCAGCGGTCACTAGATTTGGCTTACCTTCTTCTCCTTTTTATTGGCTTCTTCGCCTTCTATTTGTTATTCTTCCGCTGCCGCCGCTATTACAACACACCCAGACATTACGGGACGCGCACCCCGTTCCAGAACACCGCCCACTCTGCCGCTGTCGCTGCTGTCGCTGCGGCTGCTGCACTCGGACACACCGCATACCCTTTTTTATTTTTTATTCTTTTTTCTATTTCTTTGTTTCTTATTGTTTCACGTCTGTCCGGCCCCGCCGCTCCGCCTCTTCGTCTTCATCGTCTTTGGACCCCTATTTTCTTTTCCTTCTTCTTGTTTCCTGCTACTGGCGACAGCCTTGCAGGCCACACAAACTGACGAGATTCCGCATTTCACTGCCACGCCACTGCTACTTTCATTATTATTATTATTATTATTATTACCAAGATTACGATTACGACTATTATTATCACTAGCTATCAAAACAACTAGCACAACTCATACACCGCCACCAACAAATTACCATACCCCCGGCATCGATAGCAACATCACTCTCCTGTGCCTTTTTTGTCTCAGCAACTATTTGATATTACCACTTCGACTGCTGCTAGCTCCACGAATTCCAAGGATAGCCTTCCATGCGCCTGGTCATATACAGATAGCAGCCAACCAACCAACTAACACGCAAGATAGCAGACAGGCCACCATTGACTAGACGAAGCCAACCCTCGACCAGCAACAGTAGCAATGGCTGTCATGGCGGACACCCAGGGTATTGAGTTCCGCCATTGCGTGTCCTCTATGTTTGTTCACCAAGCCCAGTCAAAACGAAATCGAGACTCTTCATCTCCATCCCGTGTCGCTATTCCTGTCCAGAAACGCCGTCGACGACAACCGCTGGCCTCTATCAAGTGTTCCTTCAACCTACTCTCCCAGGAAATATTTGACGTTATTCTCCATCACGTATGTCTTTTCCTTTTAGTTGATAAAGTTCCACTTTTTTTGTTTCTTCGGCCTATACTCCATAGCATAGCCTTAATGGTATACACCAATTAACATATGATGGATCCTATACAGCTACGAGATGACGATCACGTTTCCATCTACTCGCTTCTCTGCATCTCAAAGTCGTTCCGCTCTGCTGCCCTGCCAGCAATCTACAGCTCACTGGAGCCTACGCAGCGGCTCATAACCGATATTTCCACAGGCGAGGCAGATCGCCTGCTTGGCCATATTCGAGATCACACCCGCCACCTCATCCTACCCAGCAATTTAGACAGAGGCGGTGTAAAGGCGTTAATCCAAGCAACCCCTCACCTACAATCCATCACGTAAGTACATTATACCCATAAACACATGTATACGCTAAAGCTAACACGGACCAGATACCGCCACGTGAACAACGGCCATGCATGGCTACCCTCAGACCTCGACAGCTTCCACACCCCATCCCAAGTAAAGCTGCATGTCCAAGATGTACCGCTACGAGAATGCCCTTCTGCATCCAAAGACCTGTTGGCGTCTATCCCCGCTGACGCCCTGGTCTCTCTAAAGTTAGCATATCCTATCCCACCACTATCTGCCACGCTAGACTCACTCAGAGAACTACTCACACGCTGTACGACTCTCGAGACGTTCCATTACCATGAGCGCGGCCAGGGCACATTTCTTCGACTCACCGAGAACCAGCGGTTGCCCGCCTTCCGCCATCTCATGTTGGAGTCGTATGACTGGCAACACTCCAAAGATGCGGTGGCCAAGTACTGGACGCTGTCGAGGCTCAAATCACTTCGTCTTGCCTCAGTGCCTGTGTACCGCTTCCTCAAGTCCATCAACATGGCCGACATGGCCAAGTTGACCTCTCTACAGCTCGACGACGCCTACGCCCGCCTAGACGGCGAGGAGAGCGAGAAAGGCACCATTCTCATGCATGACCTCATCCTGAACCACATCCAGGCGCTCGAGTTCCTCGAAGTTACATGCCACCAGCGGCTCTTTGGCATCAACGCCATTCTAAAGCATGCCGAGACACTCATATCGCTACGGCTTAGGGACCACACGGGCTTCGACAACGGCGGCATATGCCCAACACTATCAGTAGCCGACATCACAGCCATTGGCAACACGATGCACGCGCTGCGCACACTGGAGCTCGATATGGACTGTCCCGCGCCAGAGCAGGCCTGGTTTCTATCAGCTGCAGCCAAGCTACCGCGCCTGCAACATCTAACGCTGCACATCCAGACAGCCATAGAGCCTCCCAGTATCGACGAGGATGGCAACCAGCAGCCGCCGCTGGTCGAGGGCGACGTCGACCTCCAGGGCGCCTATGGGCTGCTCCACGCGCTTCTCTGGGCCATGCGGTGCGAGACACGCATTGGCGAGGTCTTCCCGCTACAACAGCTTGTCATCAATGTCGGCGGCTGGAAGCCAACCACGGCGCGCCGCATCGGGTCGACGTGGCGGGCGCTCAATGAACAGGGCGTGTTTGCCGAGCGCCGCTTCGTCTTCGTTAAGAGCAAGACGCTGGGCAAGAGCGCGGGCCGCTTCGTCTTGCGCGAGGAAGCATGTGTGGCGCCGGCCGCCTCGTGCGTCTTTTCTGCGTCGCGAAGCTGACTCTGCTCGTGGGCTGAAGTTTTAGACAAGCTATAGGGCGCTAGACGAACTGGTCAGAGGGGGAAAGTGTGTGTGTGTGGCACCGCACGGGACGGCACAGCATATGCGTGTGTGTGTATGTTTGTGAGTGAACGAGAGGTGTGTGTGTGTGTGTGTCTTGGAATGTTGGACCTCACTCATGATAACATTCTCTTCGTCCTCTGCGCTCTCAATTTTCACAGCGCGGGATGGTTTTCTCTATATTTATTTTGGTTTCCGCTGCTGGTTAGGTTTTTACTGTTTTTCATGATTGTTGGTGAAGTCTTTCCAATTTTCTTTTCTATTGATAGCTTCTCTATGATCGGTGGCTCTTGTTTTTGTTTTTGTTTGGCTTTCTTCAATTTGGACTGAGACTCGTGGCATATACGCACGCCATGGATGGCACTGGGAGGTATTTTGACTCTTCATTTTCATTACCCTTGTTTGTTTTGTTCCGGTTTCGCTTCTACGTGAACTCTTTGTTTTTTATTATTCCATATATAACTTTTCAAGAGGCGTTGTTTGGATGTCAGTTCGCAGTCTGCTACTTAACCTAGACTCCAAGTTTGTGACTGTAACCAATTCTGGTATAGAGGCTATTCAACGCTTAGAGTACGGCCGCGCGTAAAACTGCGTCATTTAACCAATTGCTGCATACTAAGTACATTATTTTTCTACCAAGTATACTTTGCCATGCACATCATGCATAGATAAGGTTGGTGCTATAGCAGAGCCTATCTAGTGCGCCGCCACCATCTACATAACTCCAACGTGGAATGCGACCGTAAAATTTGGGCTCGATCCAACGGCTTCCATTTGAGTGTCAACAGCAGTAGGAATGGTGTCTATCTCCGGCAAAAGCCAGAAGAGAGTTGTAATTAATTTTGTACACAATGACGACTTTTGACACCCAGCCTCCTTTTGCTCCTCTGCTTTTAACAGTCTCCCTCGGTACTGTAAATACTACTGTACCCTGCCAGAAGGGACCCTCTACCTATCTCTAGCCATCTACTGTAGCCTTACTTTCGGCAGAAAGTGGCAGGCTCGACGCCGGGCGGCAGGCGATGTAACCCAGCGGTCAAACGTGGCAACTTTGGACTTAACCTTGTGTACGTAGAAATAGCCCAGTCATCTGGTCTTTAGGCTGCTTACTGGCGTCATACATCACCTGCCCGCCTTGGCCAAGAGAAAGGCGAGGTGGTTCCCCGCGAGACATACACATTCTCCCTTGCATCGGGATACTCGGCGCCCCGAAGAACGGACACACACATACACGCACAAAATAGTGTTTTTTTTTGCTTTGACACATGGCATCATGATGACTCGTTCTACTGCGTGAACTAGTAATACTATACTAAAAAAAATAACAAACATAAGCTCCCAACCAAGGCTAGCGGCGGCGCGTATGTCTCTGATTTTCCCAGCCTGCATCGACACGCGTAGCCAACCAGGCGCAGCAGATTCATGTTTTTGCTGTTTTAATCAAGAGACACGGCACAAGCGGCCCAGACCCTTCCCTTGGCCCTTCTGCCTGGTCAAGCACACACACACCGCCGCGGTTGCGACACTGTTTCGTGTTCGTAGGATGACGACCAGAGACAGTGTGCCCACCAAATCAAACAGCTCTGTAGCCTGCCCGCCTTTTCTTTTTCTTCTTCCTCCTTCTAGACTTGATAAGAAAATAACATAGCTCGCCCCTTTCTGTCGTCATTAAACTCTTTCATCTCCTTGACTCGATTGCCCTGCAGCGCCCCCATTTACATCGCTGTGCACCACACTTAACCAAAGTTCGGACGACTCGTAACAGAACATAGCAAAGCCCCCTTGCATCCGTTTAGCTGCACCTGCTGCTTAGCTGGACGAACCAAAGACCACTATGGATCGCCTTTGAGGTTGCGTTGACCCGCTCTGCTGCACCTCTAGGCTGGTGGTGGCTGAATACAACATCAGTCAAACCCGAGCTGGCTGCTGCCCTATTTCTTGGTTTGCTGTTAGGCAAGCCAGCCTATTCATAAACAAGGCTGTGCCTCCTTGGACTTCTCAACCGTCGAGAGTTTGCCTTGTTTAGAATTGTGAGGGTGCCGCCGGCAGATATACACCATTAAACACCATCATCACCACCACCATCACCACAACGGCAGCACCATGACCAACGGTACTTGGGCTGACCTTGTAACCTGGGCCGTATTTGGCCTTTCGACACTCAAACCGACGCCCTCAGTCTCGCAGGCCGACGCCCCGATAGGAACCAGAGTCACCATCGACTCGGGCGTCATCGAAGGCCTCACCGGACAGTTCACCACCGCCGACGGCGCTCCCCGCGTCAACGAATATCTTGGAATTCCCTTTGGACGTATTCCGCGCCGATTCGACCGAGCCGAGAACCCGCGGAAATGGTCCGGCATACTCGATGCCACCGAATATAGAACCACATGCCTCCAGCAGTTTAGCTACCCCGAGGATGCTAGAGAGCGAACCATCCGATTCTTTGATACACCAGCTCCCCCCACCGACGAGGGGGAAGACTGCTTACATCTCAACGTATATACCCCGGCTGACGCACAGCCCGGATCCAAAGCTGTCATATTCTGGCTATATGGTGGTAGCTTCAAATTTGGATCGGCTGCGTTGCCCTTATATACCGGTGCGGGCATTGCCGCTCAGCAAGATGTCATTGTGGTCACGGCCAACTACCGCACCAATGTCTTTGGATTCCCCGGATCGACCGATATCCCCCTTGACCAGCGAAACCTGGCCTTTTACGACCAGCGTTTGGCACTGGACTGGGTGCAGCGCAACATCGGCGCCATGGGTGGTGACCCGAACCGAGTAACCATCGTTGGAGAGTCAGCCGGCGCCGGAAGCGTTGATAGCCTTGTCACTCTCCCTCCTGATCCCATTCCGTTTTCTGCTGCCATTATGGAATCGGGCCAAAATTCAGTATACATTGACAAGAAGGACTCGGTCAAGTCCTGGGCTGAGCTTGTTGTCCGCGTCGGATGCGACAGAGCCTTCAATGAACTCGACTGCATGCGCAGAGTCCCAGCGACTGACCTTCTCGAAGCCGAAGAAAAGGCCCAACTCACGTTCTGGCCTGTACCCGACGATATCACATGGGCCAAGCGTGCCCGCATCAACCGGCTGCAGTCGCGCGACGGCAACAGCAAGATTGCCCGCGTGCCAATCCTAATTGGCTCCAACGCGGATGAAGGCACATTGTTGCAGTACGGCAAATCGCCGGAGGAGCAGAAGAAATATGGTCTGCTTGCGTTCCAGTGCCCAGCGGCCGTGGTTGCCGACGAAAGTCACGCTGTGGGCATTCCGACATGGCGATACTACTTCAACGCCTCCTTTCCTAACACACAATTCTTCGAGGGCGCTGGAGCCTACCACTCGTCGGAGATTTCTCTCATCTTTGGCACATTTCCGATCAAGGGCACTACGCCGGGACAGCGCGTGCTGAGCGCAAAGATGCAAAAGGCGTGGGCTGACTTTGCAAAGAACCCAACGGCCGGGCCGGGCTGGGATCAGCAGCCTGCTCTAGGTATTATTGACGGAGCGTCAGCGACAATTCAGAATGTCAAGGATCGCTCGAGACTTGATGCGATTGATAAAGGCTGCGCGGCGAACAAGCTGCTTTACGATCTGATATCACTCTTGCAGTAAAAGAGAAATTAGGAAGGTGGAGCGTATATGAAATCAAACCGTGTGTTCTGGTTATTTTGGTACATATCGAGTAGATAATTGTAAATAATCATAATAGTGATACATATAGATGAATAATGATCATATAAGCTATAGCGCGGGTGTTGAAGGGGACAAGTGCTCAACAGTGTTATGTATTCAATAGGCTTGTCATCTATGGCTGTCGTTTATGATAGCACCATTACAGAACTACTGCACCTACCAGTCAACATCAATCCATTTGAAATCGTGCGATCTATTACCCCGCCTCTTCCAAGGGAGAATGGTTCGTTACAAGTTTGAATAGCATCTCTTACAGACACCCCCTCGACGTCATCATGCCTCCCAACTACATCATACAAATGCTGCTATAGAACCATATCTGCGAAAAAGCATGTTCCGCAAACATACTTGCTTTCAGCTTGCAATTCTTTGATAATCGCATCCTTCCCCTCACTTTCCTGCAGACTATCCCAGCCGCAACCACTTAATCCACCCACACAACTTGTAAATACATACACACACAACTTAAGCCACCGCCCTCTCCACCCCAAACTCAATTGTGGACGGTACCGTTGCGCCGGTTTATCCAAGATTTACCCGGGAACCACAGTCATGCGATTTTGATTTTTTAGCAGCCGCCCAGCCCCAAACTCTAAAGTGTAACCGTGCGAGCCGGTTGCGCTGAGAGGGGCCCTCCGCTAAGGCTGGGAGGCGGGTTTCCGTGGTGCTGCGGCATCTTTTTACTTTCGGGCTGCGTCCCGTGCCACCAAACTCAAGCACATACATTTTTCTTCTCCGGGGCAGATGCAACCTACTGCAATGTGCTTTTGCCGACATTTTGCGGTGCGTGTTGCTGGCGAGGCTAGAGGATAGCCAACCGCCAACTGCCCGCCAGCTGCCCAGCTATAGCCCGCAACAAAGACAAAGACAGTGACAGACAAACTAAGTAAGCAAGTAACCGACTATACTGTATTTAGTGCAGCAAAGTATCTCCTCTAATTTTCCTTTATTTTTTTGTACGATGTTTTTCACGGCCAAAACACCGCCAGACAGAGTCAGTCACAACATCGCCGAACGACTGCATTCCATTCGTGGTATAGCCTGTTTTTTGTCCACCAGTCTGTTTATCGCCACACCACTGCCCGCACTGTGCGATTTTGTCTTGTCTGTCGCCGAAATGCCGCTGAAAAATGCAAATCGCCGGTGCCGTTCTGAATTATTGCCTGTCTCATTTTTGTCTTTACTGGTGACAGCTTACTCGTTACTTTAATTTATTTGGGGCCTCCGTCCCGACACAACGGTTCGCACACCACAAACCACCACCACCACCACCACTGACGTTTTGCACCGTCATTTACAGCGCCTCGTCACATTTTCTTGGTCGCCGTCATTTTCTCTGGCAAACGGCTATAGGGAACTGCCGTTCTTTTCTTACACTTTTGTCAGCGCCTGCTTTAGCACTCGAAAGACGGTCTCCGCTTCAATTCCCACTGTCCAGGTGTCTATGCCTAAGACGGCATAGACAAACGGGGACTGAAGCGGGCGTGTGCGCAGCGCTGCCTCCCTGTGTCGTGTCTGCCCATTTTTAGTTTTGCTGCCATTCTTTGTCTTTTCTCTCTTTCCCCCCTCCCGTCCATTGCTCGACCCGGACGGGCCTTGTCTTGGTGCCCGTGGCCCAGAATATCGCGGGCGCTGCCGCCCAGTGTGCGTCTTTTTTAGCGGGCAGCCAATGGACGTTGTTCGAGAGGAGATGATAGAGACTGGAAAATGTGTGAAAATTATGAAACGGTAGAACAAAAGACGGGAAAGACGGTGTAAAGTGGCTTGTTGGTGGTAGATTTCCGCTGTAGCCGTTTTAAAAACAAGGGTATTATTCGTCAGTAACCACAGACGGGCTTGTCTTCTTGTCTTAGATGTTTTCGCTTATCAGCGCAGATGTAGCTTATGCATTGTCTAGTATCTGGTGTCATTTTACCAAGCAGATAATTCTGCAAAACTACATAATTAAAATATGCCGTAGATAATTTATTAGAGTATGATTCCAAATAATTATTATAAACTTATCTATAGATGGTATAATACGCGCATCTTCGGCGCAATCTCTCCCACTGTACGTAGAGGAGGTGGCCGCCATAACGGGCCTCGATCATCTTGCATGAAACCGTTGGCGCTACTGCAGGGGACCGTGGCTGCAATATGCACGTCAATCACGGAGCCCGCCCAATTTCCAACGACTAAGTAAAGGAATCGACCACGTGGAAACATATAAGAAAAAGTGAATAATGTATTAAATGACATTCATAGCACGCAGTTTTCACATTAACAAATTATCTTTTTTCCAAGGTCGTTATCTGTCTAGTACAAAGTGGCCTAGAGTCTGGCGCACCACTACAGCGCTGCCACACCCCCTGTAACCCATCCCCTACCGCGCCACACAGCAGGTTCTTCAGCACTCGCTAATATACCACTTGGCACCAAGACCAACACGCGGCTGGCAATCTCTAATTAAGAGACTTGTCAACTGTATATTCCAGCTTATGAAAAGACAACACTGAATTTCTAATAGCCCAGCATCATTCTCAGCGAAACCGCCGCCTTCAACCACCGTCGTCATTATTCACACTGTCCAAACTCTCCCCACGCAAACGGTTCCCTTCTCTTCCCGGGCCCAGCATTCCAGCCAGCGCCATTTGCCGCCACCCCCTCATCCTTCGAACGCTCTCCCAGCTGGCTGGCTGTTCAGCCATTGCCTTTAAACCTTTCCGCCCGCTAAAAAAGCCATCCTTCAGACAACGTGATCAAGCCGCCTGACGCTCAGAAACGCATGGCTTACACTATGGCATTTCCGACAGAACACAGTGTTTCTGACGAGGCACGGACGGCCATCTATGTCTTTGATGTTAGCGCCCAGTGCTTCGGATCCCTGAGATTCCAGTTTCTCTATTGTCTCTGTCTGTCTATCCGACTGGCTAGCCTTGTTTCTGGCCATTCAACCTCACCATCACTCACATCTTTTCTATAACACAATCCCGTCACAGGCGCATACAGACACATAGAGAGAGTACTTACGCAAGCGCCTATCCACTGCTTCTCCCTTTAGTTTCAACCCTTTCTCCCCCAAAGTCGTAATCGTACACGCCCTCTCTCCACAGTCTTCCCGCAACCATCCAAGCCTGGTTTAGTTTGCCTCCCAAAAAACCTTGACGCCGTCATGCCCACTCGCCTTCCAATGACTCTTCTCCTTGGCGCCTGGCAAATCGTTCCACGCTGTCTTCTAGTCCGTCTTTCCCTTCCCTTCCCTTCCCGGCTGCCTGTTTGCTGGCCCTTTCCGTCCGGGTGAGGCTTGGGTCCCAACCAAGCGGAATTCCCCCCCCCCACCACTTTGCCTGCCTGGCTGCCCATCTTAGCGTCCACTTCTGCCTTTCAGCGTCCACTTTTTGTTCTCTGCTGCTGAGCAAGTTTATCCAGAATGCCTGATTCGGGTCAAGCCATCCTTCCCAGTCTCCGTTCAGGTCTTGCCAAGGACACAGACGCCCTCAACTTCCACTGCCCAAGCCAGCGTATCCGCCCTCCCTCATTAAGCATGGCTCTCGAGTAAGTAGTGCTCGGGTAGGGGCCTAACTTGGCCTGTTTCCATAGTAGTTAGTAGCTGCCACAATCCCCTCTTATCGTCTAATGCGTGTCTTGACTCGGAGGGGCCCTCTTCCAGGCTGCACTCAATTGGATAGTACACACGTGGCCGCCTGAATCGTCCCTACATCACGATAATGGCGCGTCTCAATACCGAAATCACCGAGCTATTGCCACTGACTAGGCTCTCTGTACAGTCCTGGAAGATGCCTTCTCATAGCAATGCGGTTGTCCATACTTGTTTGCGCCCTCTTCAGTACCAATGGCGGTGCGTCGTCTATATGTGACATGTAGCAGCGTTTGCAGCCACCGCATGCGTACCATCCAGCGCTGGATTTCGCCTCTCTAGTTCGGTAATGCTTTAGCGTCGCCAGCTTTACAGATGATGTCACACCCAGAATTGCGTATTGCAAAGAGAACCACCGTAGACATTAGCCTAGAAAGAGCAAAACCTTCCTAGGCGTTCTCAGAACCATGTGAAGCGCGCGCTCTCTCTCGCCAAACAACCGTCATCGGTGACATCACACAACGAGGCATCGCTTCCCCAGTACCAGTCCAAGTACCCATTCCTTCTATGCTCTTCTGTATCGCTTCTGCCCCAGTTCCCAGGACCCGCGAAGAGCCCACTCACACAATACTTTAGCAAGCAAAAAAGAGTCAGCCCCTCCTTTCGCCGTCCTGCTTTCCCATCCCCCATCGGTCCCCAATTGGTCCGGCTCTGGCGCCGCGGAACGGCGGCAGGCCCGAGCCCTCTCGGATCACTTCTATGCTGCCCCCGTCTAGGCTTTCCACTGTATCCAAGACGGGGCCTATGGTGGATGGCAGCCGCCACGCGCACACACATGGCCGGCTGGACTAGTTTGCCCCTCCCCCTCTCCGTCGTTGCATACAAACTGGATACCCCTCCGGTCTTCTTGTTGACGCTCTGCTTCTGCGAACCACCCCCTCTTCTGCCACGGCAAGAACGCTTAGCCATACGAGGCTTGGTTCATCGCAGGCCGCCCGTCCATTCTTCTCTCGGCTGACTTCGCCGCCCAGGGGCCAGCGCCCTGAGCGCAGCACCAACAGTTGCATCAGAGGCACCACCAACACACCGCTACCGTCCCGTGCTCCTACTTGTGTCTGTCTGTCTGTTTGCCTGGCGTCCCGTCCCCTGTCCTTGCGTTCTGTAGTGTTGGCCCTGGGCAAAGTACGAACACTACTCCACTCGCCGTGCGATGTTGGGACCATTAACCATGCGATGTAATAAGTATGCGTAATATAGGTTGGCAATACACTTGTGAATAATGGCGTAGCGGCCCTAGTGGGAGATTGTCTCTCAAGCCAAAAGGCAGTGGGAAGACGGAAGCAGCCGTTCCATAGTCAGTCAGTACCCAATCATGGCGAGTCGCAAAAGTGCCCGCTGTCAACTGCTGCTACTCCTGCTTGGCCGTCCTGGTCTTTTGTCAAATCAAAAACGGTAAGCACAGCGGTGTGCTGCCCAAAACGTCAGCATGACACTAGGTCCCTAGGGCTCTGTGCTCGAGTGAGTGCGCCACAAGTTCTCCTCGGATGCCCACCCCATCCCACCTCGAGCCATGTGGGTGTCGTTTGGCTCTCGCCACGCTAAGCGAGTATAGTCTTTTGGGAGAGAGAGACTTCAACTGCGGTCGACCTGGGTTGACAAGCGTGATGGATAAGAACAATAGCATGAATTGCGGTGTCTAGATAGACTAAAGCTCGAAGCAGCTGCTATGTCGTACCTGTTGGCGATGATACGCCATACCGAGTCACAGGGTCTATTTTCCCAAGCGTTGATAACCATTTTCACTATCAAGGTAATTTCTTTTAGCATTTGTATCATGTAGAGATCGTAAGATGTAGAAATACAACGAACTGGGACGTCCAATTCGTCAGTAAAATTGTCTAAAATAAAGTGGTTGAGATTCGATCACATCTGCGCACCCTAAGGGAAAAATAATAGTAAATAACCGGATAGAAAGTCAAAGAACCCGAAACAAAACATATACCTGATCAAAATGACGAGGTAACACAAAATAAAATCAAAAAAATATCCCGTTCGCACCGTAACCCAAGTTTGCCGTGAGGCAGATCCGTCTTCTGTTTGACACTGTAAAACTCCGCGTCAAGCCCGCCATTATCCTGTCGTCGATCCTCTTTTTCATCTCCTAAGAGACATGAAAAGAATAGATGACGGCGGTGACAATGGAGGCTCAACGGACAAAAAAAGATAGAAAAAAATAAGAAAAAAATAGAACACAATACCGAAAAGAAGTTCGCCCACGCCAACCGGTGTTTGTTGCCAAACAAGGAGCTGTCTAAAAAGAAGGAGGCGTCGCCGCCAGAGTGGTATATCGACATGTCAATAACAAGACAAAAGTCAAGGAGCTCTGTCCACTTGGGCTGAGTTCCGTAGGAAAGAGGCGTTGTCTCGTCCACGAGAACGCTTGCCAGCGCATGGTATCGAAACCGGTCGATTGGCTGGAGAAAAATAGTAACGACTATTCATGGCAAGCTGTCCAGCAGTGCCACCAATGAGAATGTTGCACTGATGCTCTTGCTCTACTGAGATCCTTCCTGCGGCGCGGCACCGGGAAGAGGTCTGTTGAGGCGACCGAGCATGCCCTTGTCGATATCGCTCTTGTCTACAAGATTGCTGAGACTCATGACAGATGCAGGAGGCTGCTGTCCTTGTGTACTCGACTTTGCTGGCGTTGATGCTCCCGAGCTATTTTGAACGACTGGAGATCGACGAGCTACTGTTGCAGGAGCTCCGCGAGGGCTGGGCCCAGTAGCCTGTTGAGGATAGTTCATGCCTCCAGGGCTGCCGTTGGTCGAATCACCGGGTGACTTTCTGCGTGGTTCCTCATCTGGAGGGCCAGGACGGGGATGCGAACGTCTCCAATGCTCATCAGCTTCCCGCTGGCGTCGCTCGTCATATCGAGGATCACCATAAGGAGGATAGGCCTCTGTGGGCGATTGGCCGGGGGCAGGGTAGTAGCCATGAGGAGGAGGAGCACCACCGGGGCCATAGGGGTGGCCACCAGGCGCAGAGCTAGGTGCGAGAGGCTGTCCATATGCTCCGTAGAGGGGAGTTCCGGGAGGGACACCGCCAGGAAGTGCTGAGACGGGAATGAAGGCTGTTGAGGCAGACGACGAGACGGGCTGGAAGACACATTCTTGGTTCATGCGAGCACAGTTTTGGCATTTGCCACCAGGAGCGCTTTGGTAGCCACTGCATCGGATCTATAAAGAGCATTTCTAGTTAGTATTCTGTCCCAATCTGCGGCGTTTAGGTTTTGTTGGCAGGCCATTACATACCTTGCGCTTTCTGCAGTACTTGCAAGCAATTGAGGTTCGCTGTCTAGGCGCAGCCTGAGGACCTGGAGCACCTCCACCGGCATACTCGGCAGCATATCCGCCTTGAGGGTGGCCATGATAGTCTCTAGGAGGATAGCCATTGGGAGGAGGGCCTTGACCACGGTAGTAGTAGGGGTCAGGGGGATACTGATCATGGTACTGGGCAGGACGGCGGTCGTCATAGTAGCCTCTCTGATCGGGAGGGTAGTGAGGCGGGCGTCCATCGGCAGGATGCGCCATGTATGCTGGGTTTCCGTGGGCTGGATGGCCTTGAGGCGGAGGGTAACCGTTGCCAGCGTTGGGTGAGCCGTAGCGAGGGTCGTGAGCATAACCTCTGCCTGGCGGTGGTCCGGCGGCATAAGGCGCGCCTCGGGAGTCTTGGATGGAGGGTAAAGTTACTGAGGCAGACATGTTGTATTGATGGCCTCTAGGGTCTTGCTGCTGGTTGTGAGTTGGCTGTTCGTCGGCGTTGGTCTGCTGAGGATGTTCTCGACGATATCGGTCGTCGGCCATCTAATGCCTGAGGGGTGACTAGGTGGTTGACAGGCTGCGACAGATGCGAAGCAACTTGCGTGGCGATGGTTTTTTGGAGTTTTAAATCTCTGGACAGAGACTGCTTTTGAAAGATGGTGTCGGCTTGGGATTCGAGTGACAAAGCAAGCAATGACAGGACGTTTGCGCCAAGTGTCGGAAAAGGCGGATGGCAAAGAAACACTTATGGAATGGCGGTAGGCGAGTCGCACGAGGTGCTACTACAAATACAAAACACCAAATTCGACAAAGAGTTCTCACGCGGTGTGGCTCTAGCTCTGGCGGTGGACTGGATCCGAGGGCTGGTCGTGTGGCGTGAAGGTGAGCAGCGTGATGACGATGACCGAGGTTACTAAGTCGAAGGCCGGGCTTGTAAGAGACCAAGGCGAGAGACCGAGTCGACGAGAGATATAGAGAGACGAAGAAAGGCCACGGGCGACGGTTGGAGGAAGAAGGAAGAAAGGAGAGATGGCGTTTGGAGGGGTGGAAGAAGAAGAAAGATGGCCGTCTGAAGAGAAGGACGCCGCAGGAAGGAAAAGAAGACTTGCGGGAAGAAGGGGCGTGCTAAGGCTTGGATTTGGCGGTGCCCAGTGAATGGGTAATGGTGGGGAGGAGGGGGGGGCGTCTGGAAGGCATGGGGG